TGTGCAAACACATGGTATTTAAAAGGGGATATTTTAAACGGGATTAAAGCATGGCGATTCCAAAGGAAATAGGTCAACATATGCAGTTAAATCCAAGTGGAAAATGGTACACATTATAAATACAACTTAGACATAGAACTGAGCAACAAACAGTAGCAATTATTTATCACCACAGCTGAGCAGAAAATAATTTCACATGAGGATTCAGAAATCACCATGGAAAAACACGCAGATTTTAAAATAAACAAATGCAGGTTAATACTATGTATTGTTCAGATCCTAAAAATTCAGATAAATTTCCAGAGATCAGCTGAACAGTTGAAATTGACAAATCTGAATGTTAGAAAGATCAAAAAGATATGATTTGTACGAATCTTAAACCAATAATATCAATGTATTAATGTTCAAATTAAGGAAACTATAATACTGGGACTCGTATCTAGAAATCTAGAAGCATTAGTATGGTAGTAAGATATCTAATATTAGTCATCAGCTTATAATAATAATAAAATTTGTCAGGGAAGAAAAATCCATTGTATATGTACAAGTTGGGCTAGTATTGAGGTCCCTTCCATGGTCGAACTACTTCCCTCCCCCAAGATGCATCTCTACAGCATGCTGACTAACTCCTGGGTACCTGTTAACTGCTAGGTGAATAGGTGCATTAGATGATAGGAAACATGCCCGGGATTCAAACCCGGAATTCGTAACCCAACTATATTCCCATTGTTAGGCCCCACATGGATTCTGTACTTAAATTTTGAGCACCACACTATAAAATGGACATAAATTCTCTGCAATTCATCCATAGAAGGATGACTAGCTTAAGCTTAATTAAGTTGATAAGTAAGGGGAAACATGATTAAAGTATACAAAGGGATAAAAGGATGTAACAAAGAGTATATAAATAAGTGCAAAAAATATCAACTCTATAAAACCCAAAGCAACAGATATGAACTAAATTAGCCAAGATTTCGAATAAAAACAGGCTTGGAAGTCGGGGTTGGGGATTTATGAAAAGGTTGGCAGCATAACTGAAGTTGGTTGTTAAATTCTTTCAAGCAAGGGAACCTCGGGTAACAAACGTCCCTCTTTACAAATTTTTTGGGTTATGAGCTCAATGTCATTGTAAAATTCGAATCAGTTTACAAGCTTTGCTTCGCGTTATGAGTTTGTTGATACACGCATGGGTCGACCGAGCGAGTGGTTCCTGGTGATATAGGCAACCGCGCTTCAGTTTACCAGTGTCTCCCATGTAGTGACGATCACGCTTGAATTTTTTGTTGTAAAGTATTTCATGTTTTTCAGCTTTTTTTTCGTTAAGTAATTATTATATACCACACTATGGGTCCCAAGAAAGTCAGCGGTAAGGTTCAAGCTAAGAAAACACATGTGAGGATGACCATAGAAGAAAAATAAGAAATCATTCGTAAACATGAAATGGTTCACGGGTTGTTGAACTAGCTAGGCAGTACAACAAATCTATGTCAACGATATGCACTGTACTCACTAAGAAAAAGGACATTATGAGTGCTAAAGTGGCAAAAGGTGTATCAACAATCACGAAACAAAGAACACAAACACTTGAGGATGTCGAAAAGTTATTATTAATTTGGATACACAACAAGGTGTTAATGGGTGATAGCATTTCAGACAGCATCTTTTGTAAAAAAGCAAAGCTATTTCATGAAGATCTTATTAAGAAAACCCTTGGAATGAGTGATGCAGATACGAAAGAATTTAAGGCGAGCAGGGGATGGTTTGAGAAATTTAGAAAAATAAGTTGCATTCACAGTGTTGTGAGAGTTGTGAGTGTTGTGTTGTGAGTTGGTGGAGGAACACGGCAAAGAACTGACCACCAAGAACTCCAGGCCCTTCACAAGGCGCAGCAACAAGAGACAGCTGAGGAAATTTCTTCAGGGGAGGAGGAGGAGGCAGTGCAGAATGTCCCTTCCTCAACAATTAAGAAGTGATATGCAGTAAGGAAGAAATGCAGAGTTTTGTTGAAACGACTCGCCCAAATCAAGCTGCAGTAGGCCATTGCCTTAACCTTTTTAATGACACTGTGATGCCTGACAACAGACAAGTGCTTAGATGTAACGAAAAACAAGTCTCATTGGAAAGGTTCTTAGTGAGAAAAACAAGCAGTGAGTCACAATCAGGTCCTAATGGTATGCAGGCAAAACATACAAGAGAGAGTACCCCAGAGAAGTCATCACTGCCTGATGTTATAATGGAAGGGGACTCCCCTTCCAAACACTAACACCTCTCCTCCTCCTTCCCCCCACCTCTTCACCGTCTTCCATACGCCAACAAGAGTCATCAATAAAGGCATGCTATAACTTGTACATACTATACTGTATTACAAAATATTTGTGTTTATTATGTATGAAATGTAATTTTAAGTCAATATTTTTGAGAGTGTGGAACGGATTAATTCAATTTATATTACTGTATTTCTTATGGAAAATTTGTTTCGGGTTGCGAATTTTTGGGTTACGAGCTTTCTCTGGGAACAGATTAAATTCGAAAACCATGGTATCACTGTATGTATAATATATATATATACACATACATACATACATAGACAATATATGTAAGATTAGAGTTCTACTGACCAGGCTGCGAACACCCACAGTAAGATCCCAGACACACACCACTGATATTCACCTGGGACTTTCGACCTCAGGTGGCACACACAGGCACACGTTAAGCTTCTGTCAAGGTTCTAACAAGGTCAAAAATACTGACCTTCCCAGAATGCAACCCCACAACATTTGTCTAACTCCTGGAAAACTATTTACTGGTAGGTGAAGAGAGGCAGTAGATGAACACCATTTCTGTCCCGTTTGGGATTCTCAATTGAGAGTCGAGAATGAACCCAGCTGTACTACCATGGTCCAGGATTGCCCGAAAGTTTGTGATTTCCTTTGTTTTCAGACTTGTGGGTTGGGTGTCTGACTGAATATATATATATATGGGCTGCCTCATATGAGCCAATAAGCCTTTTGCCATTTTTTCTATTCTTAAGGTCTTATAGTAATATAATGAATATATTACTGCATTTTGATAACATTTATTACCAATTCATTTATGCATGGTTTTACCTGTTAGAGTTTGACCATGTCAGTTTTTGCTAAAGTTTAAAAACATAAATTTATATTAAAATTAAATGTATAAATTACATTCAAATTTTGTTTGAGATACTGTACTGTATAAATATATAAAGAAACTGGGCATGTTAGGCAACACCGATATTACATACGACTTTAATTAAACGAACGTATTCTATAATAATAATTACTGTACAGTGGAACGTTGGTTTACGAATGCCCCGCTTTACAAATTTTTTGGTATATGAAGTCAATTTCCTCGTAAAACTTGACTCGGTATACGGAGTTTGCCTCAGAATACGAGTGTTTGTTAATACATGTATGGGTCGTCGAGCTCGTGGGTTGTGCTGAGCGCGGGGCAAGGCATGCTCAGTTTACCAATATCTCCCGCCTAGTGACCACGCTTAAATTCTTTGTGAAGAATTTAATTGTTTTTCTGCTTTTTTTGGTTTCTGAACATAAACAATCTTATTATATCATGCCATGGGCCCCAAGAAAGTCAGTGGTAAAGTTCAATTTAAGAAAATAGTTGTGAGGATGACGATAGAGGAAAAACAAGAGATCATTTGTAAACATGAAGATGATATGTGGGTTGTTGATCTAGCTAGGCAAAATAACAAATCCTTAATTAAATCATTAATTAAGAAAATGTGTGCAGTATGGGAAGAACTACAAAGTTTTGCTGAAAAGACTCGCCCAGATAAAACTGTAGCAGGCCATTGCATTAACCTTTTTAATGACAGTAATGTCTCACTGCAGACAAGTGTTAAAACGTAGGGAAAAACAAGTATCTAACGACAGATTCTTAGTAAGACAAGCAAGCAGTTTTCCACAACCAGGTTCTAGTGGTATGCCTGCAAAACAGACAGAGTACCCCAGAAATGGCATCACTGCCTGATGTTATAATGGAAAGGGACTCCCCTTCCAAACACTAACACCTCTCCTCCTTACATGTCTTCCATACGCCAACAAGAGTCCTCAATAAAGGTAAGGTACCTATGAGTATTATTCAGCATAAAATGTATTTTTAAGTTAATATTTTTGTGTGTGTGTGTGGAACGGATTAATTCAATTTACATTATTTCTTATGGGAAAATTCGTTTGTGAATTTTCGGTGTACGAACCGTCTCTTGGAACGGATTAAATTTGTAAACCAAGGTGTCACTGTACTAATATTATTTAGGTTAGTTTTAACTATGTTACTCAGAATGTTTGAAAAATATCCATATTTAAGGATAGGCAAAGTTACCAAGATAGCTTTTGCTAATACTGTACTGAGTAAAGTCCTTGCAGGTACACATTATGAAAGTACAGGTATCTAATCATATTTACGTAATTTAGTTTTAATTGATATTTAAGATATTCAGGTTGGTAGGCAATTCTGGCTATTAGGTATGAGATAGATGTGCATGTATGTATGTATGTATGTATGTATGTATGTATGTATGTATGTATGTATATGTATGTATGTATGTATGTGTGTGTGTGTATATATATATATGTTGTACCTAGTAGCCAGAACTCACTTCTCAGCCTACTATGCAAGGCCCAATTTGCCTAATAAGCCAAGTTTTCATGAATTAATGTTTTTTCAACTACCTAACCTACCTAACCTAACCTAACCTAACTTTTTCTGCTACCTAACCGAACCTAACCTATAAAGATAGGTTAGGTTAGGTTAGGTAGGGTTGGTTAGGTTCGGTCATATATCTATGTTAATTTTAACTCCATTAAATAAAATTGACCTCATACATAATGAAATGGGTAGCTTTATTATTTCATAAGAAAAAAATTAGAGAAAATATATTAATTTATGAAAACTTGGCTTATTAGGCAACTCGGCCCTTGCATAGTAGGCTGAGAAGTGCGTTCTGGCTACTAGGTACGACACATATATATATATACATACATACATACATATACATACATACACACACATACATATATACATGTTCACAGAGTATAAAATAAATTAAATTACACAATTACATCATTAAATACACTTGAAAACTGAAAAAATACAGTGATCACATTCAGACTGTACACTGAATTACTGTACTTTACTCATCAATGTTAAAAAAATAAGTATATTATAACAGTCAAAACATTATGATGAGGAAAGAGATGGGTATGAACCATGAACCACATAAAATGATGTGAACCACACACCTCACAGTGTTAATGTGGCAGAAAAGCGTAATCTACCGCACTGACACACACACACACGCATGTAACGGCTACAGATACCGTGCTAGGCTACAGCACTTCTCATATGTACAATGGCAGTTGATGTCTGAAGTGCGTAGCCCGAGGGACAACACGTACGAGACAGTTGTGCAGATTAAGGCTGCATGCTTCATTCGTCTCCTATCACAGTCCTAAATGCAGAAAGACGGCCCCTTCCCAGGAAATGATAAACGTTAAGTTATGAATATTATGTCTTGCACTATATCATGTGAATCTCAGGCAACATGGTTGTAGCCAATCACTGGAAAAATCATCTCGCTTAATCTGTTATAATTTCTTACAATTAAAATATTCACAATTACATCCTTCTCTTACTGCTGGTATTGTAATATATTTGACACACATCACTAAAATACACCTTCAGTGCCTTGAATGATACCCTGTCAATTCACTTACACCAAGTTAAGGCTTGCTTAATATACACAACTTACCATATAAAAGTATAAGGAAATTTTTTGTACACAAGGATATCATTTAGGGTGAATGCTGCCAAAATACCAATTGTGTAAGACCAGTATTAAAGAGCCAATGCAATACTTATTCAATGCTAAGTTATTTTGATTCCTCCTTCAGAATTTTGTTGGGCTAAAGTTAACTGGCAGCCAAATATAATAGTATCCGAGATATAAATATTTTTTTAAATAAAGAGCCTAAGCACATCAACATTACAAACCTCCTCTGCTGACCATATACCATAAAGACAAATATCACATAGTGGGGGAGCGGGGGGTTAGGAAGTCTGGGCCAAGTGAGCTATCCACCACAGGTGTGTCTTGGGAAGCATCCGTCAAAAGATCCACATGGGTTATCAACATAGGGTGCAGTGGCGGTCAAACAGTAATTCAGTCTCATATGGGTCTGGGAGAATGAAGGCCATGAGTGAGTCCATCAATCGCTGGATCATGGTTAGTTCCAGGTGGGCCCCAGTCATGGAGACCGGCGGAGTGAGAGGGGCGGTGGGTGAGGCGGTGCGCAATGCTGAAGCCCCCACTGCTCTCCAGTTGCGTCAGCACAATTATCACCTGCCTGCAGACAGTGTTTGACTGGAATTCTTATTTATACTAATTAAAAAAAAGACATGTATAAAAAATATTTTTTCGAGTACTGTATAATATGTACTGTACACTGTATGGCTGTATGGCAGCATAAAGCAAGATCCTAATGGACCCTTGGTTAACATCAAGTACAGTCAGAGCAGATTGCCATTCTGGACAGATGCAACCGTTAACGTCTCCCATGGGATTATACTGGTTCTAGGGGGATACTGAATACTTACTACAGCCCCAAAAGCAGACAAGGTGCTTTAATATAAAACTCAAAGTTTTTCCAAGTACTACTTAGCATCAATATGTGCCCCTGATAGCCATCAAAGAGCCTGCTAGGTCACTACCTCCAACTGCCAAATAAGATTGCATTGACATTACAACAATGCACCCTATTGAAACCTCATCACATTCTACTTGATCCCTAAGCTAAGAAAAAAATCTTTCACCAAGCACAGGAGGACGAAGGAAGAGAGAGAGACAGGGCAAGAGCAACCAAGTTTACCGTTCAGAAGACTTCTTTTCATACACTACACTAAAAGTCTATTTCTGAGCCGCTCAGTTACTCTCTACTGTAAGGCAAAGGTTGGTAGAAGCCATCAGAAATAAAATCATTAGTTTATAGATCACCTGGGCTACAGGTGTGGCATAAGAAAAAAGCCAGAACCATAGCAGCCTCATTCGTGTCCCTCACCAGAAAAGATGGTCATCAACATAAAAGTCTGTCTATGGATAAACACACGAGTCATGTGTCTCCCTTAGTTTTTTTTTTTTTTTTTTTTTTTTTTTGAGATATATACAAGAGTTGTTACATTCTTGTACAGCCACTAGTACGCGTAGCGTTTCGGGCAAGTCCTTAATCCTACGGTCCCTGGAATACGATCCCCTGCCGCGAAGAATCGTTAAAATCGTTTGCTTGGCCACCAGCGGCATACCAACAATGTTGCCATGACACGAAGACACCTGTTCTTATCCCTGACTCGAAATTACTAAGTTTTCCAAGGAATATTTGCCCACATCATCAGCTGACAATAAATTTGATGGCAATCCCTCATAGCTAAAAACCAACCACTCTATGATTTAAAAAACAAGGGGGGATGCATTCATTAAGAAACTTAAAAGGTATCATTACACTCCTGCAATTGCTAAAAGAAACTGATGCCCAGGTACAATCTGGAGGTAAGTACACCAGACTGTGCCACCATTCCCTATAGGTAGAGACAACTGTACATTATGTATACCAGACACAGCTCAAACACCACTCACTGAAATTTAATAGTACATGTAGAATACATATGCCTGTAACCGGGAACAAAGTAACCAAGGAATGGTGACTGTAGTAGGAATCGGAAGACGTAAATCACCACTGTTGAAAGCACAGATTAATCAAGTGCTGAGAAGATAACTCTTGTGAGTCAGCCAATAGAAATACACACATGATCACATGTTCACTAATGTATAAACGAAACATTAAAGCTTCTAGTAATATCACAAGCCACTTAGATTAACTGAATAGTTTTGCTTTCTGCCTGTCCATATAACCTGCATCTCTAGTCAGTTAAGTAAGAATGTGATGAAGCTGGTTTAGAAAGCATTGTTATGGCATTGGTCCTGCCATCTAGTGGCAGTTGGGAATAGTGACCCATAGAGACATTCGATAGTTCGTAGGTACTGCTTTTTGGTTCCTATGAAGCCAACTGGAAAAAGTTTAGAGCTTCATGTAAATATACTTTGACTGCAGTTTGGGTTGGTTTGAGGATACTCTAGTGGTTTCCTAATACCAGTATAATCCAGTAGGAGTTGTGTGAACTGTTAACTACTGCACCAGTGAAGAAAATTTACTTTCCCTGACTATGCCAGATTCTAATCAGGGGTTGATGGGATCTTGTCATATGATTGAACAGTGTAGGATAAACCAGAATTAATAATAATCATAAAAATATATAAATACTTTGAAATATAATCTTAGAAACTACTGGAAGAGCTAGCTAATATGAAAATAAATTATTCCAGTAATAAATATTAATTATATTTCATTGCACATCAATCACATTTCAACCCATATTATATGGCCAGAAAAAAACAGAATACAAATTTACATGTCAGATAATGGTATGTCTTTGTTTTTAGTAAAAATCTTTCAGCAAAATTCTCATGAATGCTTGACAGGGTTACAATGCCACTCAACCCTCAGGGCAGGATTTACTTTAATCACTCAATACTCAAGGCAGGAGTTGGGATAGTGCAGGCGATGAGTCACAATAACGTGGCTAAAGTATGTTGACCAGACCACACACTAGAAGGTGAAGGGACGACGACGTTTCGGTCCGTCCTGGACCATTCTCAAGTCGATTGACGAAACGTCGTCGTCCCTTCACCTTCTAGTGTGTAGTCTGGTCAACAGATGGGCTAGTGTTATCCTTTTCAATTTACCAGGATGTGGACAATATTGTTTACCCTGTCAGTCATCTGTTGGTGTCACCATGATGCCAGTTGTTGGGTGCAGGGGCTGCATTGTGTCAAGGGTGAACACCTGTGCCAGTAACCTTCGTGCCCAGTTGTTTATATCACAGTGGAATGGGTTCATTCTCGTGTACTTTTTGTTCCAGCTGCCAGCAGGTCCCTGGTTTTACTAAGTTGATTTTGGCTTTGCCATCCCTTTTGTATCAATCATATTCTTAATTAATTTATAAAGTATACACACAATATGTTTCAAGGCAACAATACATACAAAGTTTTTAGCATTGTTGTGCTGTGTGCGTTAATGATTTGAGAGCCCCTTCCCACATTATGTATGGAGGTGGCTTGCATTACTGTTTGGTCATTTGCTCCGGTTCACTTGGGGTGATCAGGAGCTGCTTCACATCCTCTTGGCTTGGTTGAGTTCATCAATGCCGTCAATGGAGGTGCTGTTTGTGTAAGTGGTAGTGGTTAATGTTTCAAGGACTGCTCCACATAAGCCATGTCCAGGGTTATTCCATCCAACAAGGAGATATTAGTCCTGCTTTTTTTATGCTTGGAGCAAGCCTGTGGTTCTCTGTATTAGGTGCGGGAGCTCTTGTTTTTTTTGGTTATTCTGCCCCACGTCTCTCCACCCCCCATTTTGTCCTTAGTTGGGATGTGTCTTAAGGGTCCAGTGATATGATCAGACCAACTACCCCATTGGGGGCAGTTGTTATCCAATTTGTAGAGGAAACCAAGGAAGCACCGTAGATTCTTTTGCCCTTAGTGGGTTTTACTGCTATAGTCGGTTGTGACCTGGTTTTTGGTTGGCAGAGCCCTTCCGATATTTAGGTTTATGTTGGCTGCCTATTCAGGCCCTGTGTGGGTGCACATAGGTTTTGTTTCACAGCATTGTTGCTCTTTCGAGTTCTTTGCCATACCTGACCTTACAGTTACGGATGGAGGTGGCTTCATAAATGACTTTCTTTTCAGCGATATCCACTTGTTTAACTAGTGGATAGTTAAATGATGTACTACTGTGGTTTATTGGTTTTAAGTCAATATAATGAGTGATCCTCAAGATATTACACAAAAACTTTCAGAAGAAAAATACAGAAACATCTAAACAGAAAATAGAATAAAATATGCAACTCTTCAATTCAACAACCCTTAAATAAAATCATGCAATATATTATCACTATGGTACCTCTCCAATAGTTCATAGTGGTTTCACTTACCTGTGAAGTGGGGGAACAGAATCCACAGTCTTGAGCTGGGCACGTGTGGAGACTACATTGTAGCTCTCACGGCAATCACACATCACCTGGATGCACTTATCAGGGTGACGGTTCTCCACCATTACCACCAGCCCTGCCCAGCCCTACAAAAGAAACTTGAAATTATTTTCTCCAGCTCACACATACTACTTATTACACATATTTAGAGCAGAAGGTTGTGTGCATAATGAACCCCACACCTTGTAGGTATCAAATACCATATCAATGGAAGCTGAAAAATCTTTTAACAACAACCAAAATGTATCCATCACCTCAGTTGTCACATTGGTGTGAAAATTTCATAATGAACTAAGGGCTTGATGAACGTTAATGGGTTAATACAAGAACTTGTTAAAAGCCTGATTAGTCACCTTGGTTAGATAGTAAACTGTCATGCCTTGTCGACCCTCGTGACGCTGCCCCTTTGCCAGGCACAGATTAATTAGAGAATCAGCTAAGAGGGAGGCTGGGGCTGTGATCTGCTCCACTGCTACACGTTTGCTGCTATGAATTGCAAGCACATAGCCAGGGTAGCCATCCGAGACATCTAGTCCTAATGAGAAAAGGTGACGTATGAAGGCTAAATAAAATTGACATGTAATTATTGCTCATATGATTCAAAATGGATAGAAACAAGTGATAACACTAGTACCCTCAAAATATATATGAGTACAACACAATTCTGATCCAAATATATTACTTCCCCCTCCACCCAGAAACCAAGGACTTTGGGTATGAAGTCAGGCCTTATGGAACTGGAGAAATGAAGACACAGGCATATATGGGCTGCTTGAGTATGGAGCAAGCATGGGAGGTAAATACAATACAAGAGGAAGTTGTGGAGATAGACTCTATACATTATATCATATGCAAATAGATTAAGATCCATACAGTCAGGGATGTGTCACACCATTTGCTATAAACAGTGGTGAGTATCAACACATGCCATACACCAGCCAATTACAGTAATTAGTCCTGCTGTTGTCTTGTCAAGACGAGACAGGGCCCAGAAGCTAGAGCTCACTTTCAGCAAACACAACTAGGTGAAACTAATCAAAAATGTTTTTCCTCACCTGTATGCCAATGATTAAATGCCAAACACACAGCAATATATGCCCCAGGCTCAAGCATGGCATGGCAGCCAACGAAGCCGCGCACCTGGCGTTTGGAGTGTTTCACAAGTGCTCCAACTGTCGGTGTTGCCGTAGTTGTAGTGCGGAACAACACCACACACAAATCCAATGGAGATCTTTGGGAGTTTTCAGAGTTTCTGTAAAGAGAAATACAAGCAATTAAAACAAATTAAACTGGAAGGAAAATTATATAGCATTTTAAAAGATGCATTAAAGACAATATTGGCTTTAACAAGTGTGAGAAATACCAACAATGGATTTACAAAAGTGTGTGAAAGATATCAACACTGGATTACAAGTGTGTGATAGGTGATAGGATTGAAAAATTTGTAACATATATACACAATGGATTTAAATAAGCATGAAAGAAATAGATAATTGATTTTTAAGTACATAAAACATACACAGTACAGTTGTCAATGGATTTAGAGAAATGTGAAATACTATACATGTGTATAAACATATTTAAAGATGAATGAAAGATATAGTTGTAGAAATAATAATAATAATAATAATAAATAATAAACGATAACAATAATAGTGAATCTGAGGGAGCATGGGATCCAATTATCCCATGGCATCGCATAAAAATATTGCTATTGCTGTGACTGCAATTATGACAAAACTGTATCAACTTTGAACAAGCCAGACCAAAGTAAATTAAGCGGATGCTTTGTATTAGTACACAAGGGCAAAACATACTTAAACTGAGCAAATATTGAAAGACCCTATGTGAAGAAACATTACCATATCATTTTATTTAGGTGGAAAAGCTGTACCTTAAAGCCCCGAAATTATCTCAAGATAACCTCAAGATGGGTGTCTATAAATTACCTACTGTACTATCAACTTGTACTATTGGCAAGTTAAACCGTTTCATCCCCCTCCCTCAGCTTGTTAAGCATCACTCATCACCTACCATCCTCCCCCAAAATCTGAAGGAAATAGAATATACATATTGATTATTTCTATGCTATAGGCACATGAAATACCTGTGTCCTTCCTGAAACAAAGTGAACTCCACTTCAGTAGGTTCAAGGACTGTTATGAGGGTGGGTGTGAGTGCTCGGCGATCAGCCAATGAAGGCAAGGTCCCAGTCACACGAACTTCTGACCAATTGCTGTGTACTTTGCAGATGTCAATGCAGTCAAAATACCTGAAATGGAGATACGATAAATATAAACTTTACATACAGTACACAAATTTGAATGATTGATTTGTAAATAATTTATCTGGCATCGTAAAAACAAATTTCCCGAGAAACCTAAGGATTCGGTTTATAAATCTCGGTTCAGCTCCCAAACTGGAGGAAATATGACTCCAGAACTTATGAAAAACTAATGGACTATCTCCTATTCTTTGGCCCCTAAAAGAACTTTACATAACTCTCTAGGCTGCCATCCAGGTAATTGGAGTATGCAATTCTAACCACCATGGAGCATGGAGAGGTGGTGCTGCATGTTGGAATGTTTGTCTATTTTCCCATGGGAGGTCATGGTCCAAAAGCACACTACATATATGGCAACACTAGTTATTTTATTAATGATATATGATAATAATGTACATCTAAATTTTACTCTATTATAGGTTAGGTGGCTAAGTTGGTTAGGTTACCAACCTATAGGTTAGGTACTGTGTTATTAACCAGTACAGTATATACAAAATCTTACATTCAAACTTTGAAACAAAAGGAAACTTTGAAAACTTTGAAACTTTGAAATACTGCAATTCTGGGAACATATAGTAAAATATATATACAAACTGAGAACATTCTTTAACATATGGCATTGTCCTTCCGATTACTATACTATCTCCCTACTGTAGATATCTTTCACTTGGGCGAGAAAAGTATTAAGGGTATTCTAATTTCCTCAAAGTCAGGTCATTGACACTTCTACTGTATATCTTTATTATATACCTTGTGATTGTCTTTCTGCTGACCTGTTCATGCATCACAAGTTCAATGAATATAAACTTTTTATATAAAAATCTAATTAAAAACTGAGACAATATGCACGAGGACATACTAGAAAGAGATCCGGAAGAGGCTCACTTACTTGAGAACATCCGGGAATGAGATCCAGAAGACGCCATCACTACCACCCTGTGGCATGAGCTTCTCTTTTAGCTCAGTCGTCCATATGGGAGATTCGTCACACCAGTCCCCACGCCACGAGTAATGACCCCAGGGGTTACGGAGCCTTAGCAACCGAAACCCACCAATGTCTTGAACATCCAATACTGAGTAAGCATGTCTGCAAGTCACATTCACAACATAAATGTTTTCAAACTTACGATATAAAAAATTTGAAACAAATTTACATTTGCAAACACAAAGGCCCATTCATTATCCATTGCACAAAATTTTCTATTTACAATTTATTATTACTGTATTCTGTGCTGTTGCATATGAAAATGTCCCACTTACATCTCCAAGTTGCTTAAAAAATATAATTATCAGTATGCCTACTTAACTATCTGCTGATGATTCTGAGAATCACTGTACCCACGGTTGGGGGATAGTGATGGTTGTTCGTCAGATCAACCAGACTGTTTGATGCAGCTGCTTGCAGCCTAAAGTATGAGTCACAGCCCAATTAATCGGGTATTGTTTGAAGATGCTTGTCGAGTTCTCTTTTGAACATTGCGAGAGGTCGGCCAGTTATGCCCCGTAATTGTAGGGGAAAGTGTCTTGGGCCTTTGATGTTTATCGAGTTCTCTCTCAGTGTGCCTATTCCACCTCTGCTTTTCAACGGGATTATTTTGCACATCCTGCCATGCCTTCTGGTGTCATGTGGTATTAGTTCTGTGTGCAGATTTGGAACCAGTCCTTCTAATATTTTCAAAGTGTAAGTTATTATGTATCTCTTCCACCTGCACTCTAGGAAATACAGATTTATAAATTTTAGGGGATCCCAATAATTTAGATGTTTTATTAAGTGAATTCTAGTGGTAAAAGGTCTTTACATGCTCTCCAGGTCAGCAATTTCTCCAGCTATGAATGGGGCTATTAATGCACAACAATATTCCACTTTATTATCCAACCTGTCATTTTTCTTGCAGTTGTGACAGCAACTTTGTTGTGTTCCTTAACCACTGCACTGCGCACCTGGTTTTGGCAAACACTTTTTAGTGCAATTGTCAAGGACATATTTTGTTGTGTTTTTTATAAATGTTCAGGTAAAGTTAATATCAAAATGTTTCCAAATGCAACTATTTCCATTTCAAAACACAAAGAGTAATACAAACATTAAAATATAGCCCAATTAAAAAAAATTAACAAAACTCTCAAGAGCGCCTAAAGGCGCTTTGCGCAGCGCAGTGATTAAAAATGACTTCCAACATGATTATTCATAAATCTTTTACGTTGCTTTTTCTTTCAATAGTGTGGTTTGATTGTGTTTTATATGTGGATTCTGCTTTGTTATTTTTGTTTTTTTCCAAAGCACAGTACAGTAATTGGAACTTTAACATCATGTTATTTTCTGGGGCCAATTGAAAGACTTGATTAACACTAGACTGGAGGTTTGCTGTGTCCTTTATAGTGTCTACTCATGAAAGTTCTAGTGTTATCTGAAAATGATGATACAGTACTATAGTTTGTATCCTTGTGTATGTCTGATATGAGGATGAGGTAGAGTATCGAAGCAAGCACAGTACCGTGGAGAACTGTGCTTTTCACAGTGGACGATTCAGATTTTACTCTGCCGACTATTACAAGCGGTCCTGGGTTCGATCCCAGGCGCCGGCGAGAAACAATGGGCAGAGTTTCTTTCACCCTATGCCTCTGTTACCTAGCAGTAAAAATAGGTACCTGGGTGTTAGTCGGCTGTCACGGGCTGCTTCCTGGGGGTGGAGGTCTGGTCGAGGACCAGGCCGCGGGGACACTAAAAGCCTCGAAATCATCTCAAGATAACCTCAAGAAGCTGGGTTCTGTTTGTTAGGAAGTTAAAGATCCATCTCCCTACTTTGCCAGTAACTTCTTTTGTGTACAATACCACCATGATCACATTTGTCAAAAGCTTTTGTGAAATCTGTTTATTACATCAGCGTTTTGTTTGTCTTCCATGGCATCTAAGGACGTATCACAGTGGACTAGCAAGTGTAAGAAGGAGGAACACCCTTGTTCTGAACCCATGTTGCCCAGGGTTATGTAAACATTGTGATTCCATGTGTTTTGCGATCTTACTTCGTAGAACTCTTTCAAAGATTTGTATGATGTGTGATGTTAGAGCTATTAGTCTATAATTTGTTGCATCTTTATTCATCTAGACCAATGTGTGCTAGGGAATATCCTATCAAGTATATTTTATTTATATTCTGAGCAAAGCCTTCTCAGAAACTTCCTAATCTAGGGAGCCTCTCTCACTTATTTCTGCTTCTCTCTTATCCTAAGTTTGGTACTGATTCACATGTATGTCTGTCTGTATCTGCTCAGTTTCTAGAGTTGTGTCTTCCCAACCAAAACATATTAGGCTGGCCATCGTGTCCAGACAAATCTCACTGTATAGATATGGCTTCACATATATTTCCTCAATCAACTACTGTATTTGTTTTACCATACTAGGAACACAGTAATGATAAAATATATAATCTAAACATTTTGACATACAATAATCACCACACAGTCTACTACAAAATATATGCAGCTTTCAAAGGTAATATAACTTAGAAAAAGGACATTTAAAGAAGGCATTTAATACCATAGTTACCAAAAAGGATCCAGGTCTTTTAGGTTGCTTGAATGCCAACCATCATCAGTGGAGGACATCAGAACGATGTTGAAGCCACCAAAAATGTCCACTGTGGAAGGGTTTACCAAGAGTAATGAATTACCCACTGCAGGTGACACAAGAGATGTCACTACCAAGGAGACGGGCCAGGACACGACCACACATTAAATACCTTCTTCACAATGAACTTAAGTGTTTTATAAACTAACTAAAAGATCTTGGCTTGAGCAATCAGTGTCCTCACCTTCGTCTCAATCCCCGAGATCTGGTTTTAGCCGGGACACGACCACGCATTAAATACCTTCTTCACAATGAACGTAAAATATAAGTGTTTTATAAATTAACTAAAATATCTTGGCTTGAGCAATCAGTGTCCTCACCTTGGTCTCAATCCCTGAGATTTGTACTCCTCATCTACCACTTTCATGTTGCCTCCCCCACATGAAGCTCCCATAAGGAAACCAGCTGAACGCGAACTCAGCAGCTGTGCCCATATTAAATCCTCATCTATGTCATCCTCGTGTGGAGATGACGAGGCCTGGATGATAGGAGACATGTGATTCGTGTCTGACACAAACTGAGGATAATAACAGATGGTAGAATGCATGTCATAATACAGCTTTGGTTATCGTAAGGCAATATGTTTATGAGACACCATATAAAATCATACTAATGTTTTAAGAGAAAGGCTTTTTAAGTTAATATAAATGTACTGTACATTATACTGAACACATAAATTACTTAATTTGAATTAAGAATTAACAACAGATCCATTTATCTCATAACCAACTTAAAACTAATGAGTAAATAATTTAACAAGAAAATCTATCAGAACTAAACCATCATCTACACTTTTGAAAGACGTGGTGGAAAAGAACAAATAAAAAATTTAAAACTCATCCATCAAAACAAATTTTTGAGGTATGGAGAATCAGCAAGTCTTCCTTAACATAAGATGCTTTGATGTAAGTGCAGCTACCTCCTCCAGTCTTGGAGGACAGTTGCTCCCAAGATTAACCGAGAGTCCACCATCAAGTCTGCCCTCATCACACTTCAAAAAAATATAAGAGAGAACTACAGTAAGAGGCCTGAAATTATCAACTAAAAAAAAAAGTTACTAAGTACTTGCTCTATTTCATCAATACTTGCTTCACACCTCCACCCCTCCCTCCTCCACATCAACCATATCTTGAGGTTATATTGACATGATTTTGGGGCTTTAGTGTCCCCGCGGCCCGGTCCTCGACCAGGCCTCCACCCCCAGGAAGCAGCCCGTGACAGCTGACTAACACCCAGGTACCTATTTTACTGCTAGGTAACAGGAGCATAGGGTGAAAGAAACTCTGCCCATTGTTTCTCGCCGGCGCCCGGGATCGAACCCGGGACCACAGGATCACAAGTCCAGTGTGCTGTCCGCTCGGCCGACCGGATCCCGGCTCACCATCTGCACATTAGCTGTACATATTTACTGTCAGACAGGAAACCTTTACTTAGGCTTACTGAGGTCATCCTCCACCTCCCCTCCAAGGCTGACTTACAGTACTGACCTTCCCCAGGATGAAACCCACAACAATTACCTATCTCCCGGGTACTTATTTACTCCTAGGTGAATAGAAGCATCAGGTGAAAGGAAATGTGTCAAGGTCATTTTTGTCCCACACAGGAATCGAACCCAGGGTCCTTCATTGTGAGTCGCGGATGTAGTACTCTGTAGTGTACTACAGTGTCACTATTTACATTTCAAGATTATATTCCAAAATAAAAGGAATGAGTAAAAAATTGAATATTTTACATCATAACAGCAAATAGAATTACATTTCACCTGTTACAGAAGTACTATAACATATGTTTGTGACACACACACAACAGAATTTGTAATTGTTTGTATCAGGAAAATGACTCACACAGATCTGATGGTGAGATCGTTAGCAATCTTGGGAGTGACTAGTCTTCTTGTGCAACACTCTTAATAAACATGAAACTCTCAAGAACCTGATGGTGAGATCGTTAGCAATCTTGGGAGTGACTAGTCTTCTTGTGCAACACTCTTAATAAACATGAAACTCTCAAGAACCTGATGGTGAGATCGTTAGCAATCTTGGGAGTGACTAGTCTTCTTGTGCAACACTCTTAATAAACATGAAACTCTCAAGAACCTGATGGTGAGATCGTTAGCAATCTTGGGAGTGACTAGTCTTCTTGTGCAACACTCTTAATAAACATGAAACTCTCAAGAACTTCGGGTATACCTGTAATGGAAGGCTCTCACATGGTGCTCCGGTGAGTGTCGCCAGTCCCTCTATGGCACGCCCAGATACCAAAGCCTCATAACACCCATGAACTTTAGCTACGGCTTTCTCAATGAGAGGCACCCATAGCTGCCTTCGCTTGGCTTGGGAATACACCAGGCGACAGTGCCTGTCACAAGGAAGGAGGTCATCCACTAAAACAGTAACCCATCGCCCAGCCTTGCACAGCCGTACCTAGGTTTGCGAGAAAACCACAGTTGAATGTAATGAAACGCCAATTTCTGGGCGAGCCCCGAAGGCTCCCTGAAGCTACTATCTCTGACAGTGTGTCATGTTACTAGGTCGCATCAGTCATGGACTTCAATGGCCTACCGGAACCAAGAGCCAGAACCTGGGCCCCCCCCCCCCTTCACAGACATGCAGGGAGCAGAGGCATTTATATATTAAGTTATTCATTTATGCCACAACCGAGGAAGGCACTCAAAGTCAGTGAAAGATGTCCAATACAGTGGTGTCTTAAACTGACTAAATTTTGTCTACCAGAACTAAAAATGCAATGGAAGGATTCCAACAGTTAACATTCCCCAAATTGCGGCTATGGTGGGGTGTAAAAAAAAAAAAAAAAAAAAAAAAAAAAAAAAAAAAAAAAAAAAAAAAAGCATCAACTAGCTGAAGCAGAACATCGGAGGCAGAGCAAAAGAGAGGACTATCAGGAAAGAGAGGGTAGATGACACTATCTACCATCAGGAATGAGCTGTGGGTGGAGCAGCCAGCTGACCCAGTCTGCCTCCCTCCTTACCCCAAACAAGGGAAAGAGGTGGGGGTGAACAAGCTCGTGCTAGTTTCATGAATCTTCGATCATTTGTTTACATTGTTGGGGGAGTTCTTTTGGCAATTTTAAGGTGTCAATTTTTTCTTATAATCAGCATTAGTCTGTCTTGTTTCACTGATTTTATGGATGCTTTCCCTGTGGTAGCAGACGTGATTAAAACTCACTGACGATTTTATCATAGCACCACTGCTCTCAGCACTATTTTACAGAGAGCTAGGTTCTGGGTAGGTTATCTTGAGATCTTGAGACGATTTCGGGGCTTTTAGTGTCCCCGCAGCTCGGTCCTCGACCAGGCCTACACCCCCAGGAAGCAGCCCGCGACAGGTGACTAACACCCAGGTACCTATTTTACTGCTAGGTAACAGGGGCATAGGGTGAAAGAAACTCTGCCCATTGTTTCTCGCCGGCACCTGGGATCGAACCCAAGACCACAGGATCACAAGTCCAGCGTGCTGTCCGCTCGGCCGACCGGCTCCCCGGGTAGGCTGAGAAGAACTCTGCAACTGATGCCACCTAGTAGTATGGCACTATACCGTATCAGCATTATAGCTTCAGGGAGCCACAAAGGGATCCCTCCCAGAAAGAGTTAAAAAGAGTGGCTTCACAGACTATGCAATAAGAGAAAAGTTTTACATATTATTCCCATGAAAAATTTAAGTACCTCTACTGCATTTCAATTTATAATAAATGTGTATCTACTTTTTGAGCCATTTAAACCTTAAAGCCTTACTTGATAGACACCCTCAGGGCAGAAATCACGAGTGACCATGATCTTCTTAACAAGGTCATCTCTCTCAGCTAAGACGGCCAAAGCACTCAGTAGCCAGCAGTTGCCTAAGACACCTGTAAATGTTCACTAAATGTGTATTACACTTTCAAAAACTTGACATATGAGGTATAAATATAAATACATGGTTCTAAAGAATCTCAAAACAAATGTTTATACAAACATTTGTTGGCGATTCTTTCTCCATCAACATACATTTTACATAGGCCTACATAGGGCTTAATTTTCAATAATATAAAATAACCGTGCAATTTCTCCACAAATGTATTCATGTCATTGTACAGTGACACAAAAACCAAACCAACTATATAGTGTACTGTACTGTTAAACTGTAGGTTAGTTCACACACTCACAAAACTCTTCCTTATCTTTACTAATCCTCACTTCCTTATCCCCACTTCCTAATCCTCACTTTACTAATTTTTCCTAGGTAGTGGTATTTTCTAATTGCTTAGGCTTTTACAGCATAGAAAATGACTATTATTCTCAAACTTTGCTCTGAATTTTCCCTAAGACAGCTTGGTGATGAAGTCTGAAGGTACCTCAGGGCTGCCGACTTATGAAATAATGTATCACAGCTCTAGAAAAGGAGTTTGCAGTCTTGGGTTACAGTATTGAAGATATCTTCCCTAAGTTTTCTCAAGCAAAGTTCAAAGCAACGTGTGAGGAGAATAACAATCATTTTCTATACTTTGGAGATACAAGGCAATCAGAAAATAACACTGCTATTATGGATGTGTGTTAGGAACAAGAAATTGGTTCCATTTTCTTATTTTAACAAAAGATGAATTTGATAAATAGCCTCAAAGCTGGGGGAAGGTCAGGACTAGAGAAACAATAAAATACCTAAACCAATTTTTCTATTATCTTAATAATTCTGACTTAGAATACCTGTATGATTCAGCAGCTATAAGGAATCTTTTCAATTATTACATTTCCATAAATTTAACTTAAAACCAGCCTACTGAGATGACAGAAATTAACATAAACATTTCCAATTACAGAAGTTCTTACAAATAACCCTGTGTAAAACCAATTCCAAATAAAAATCAATATATCTTTACATCCACACACCCCTTTATTCCTTCACCTATATCCAGTAACTGTTTTCATTTGCACTTGTTATTAAAAATAATTTGAGAGAGGCTTTTTTGTCTATTTAGGTATCCCACCTTGCGATGATTTACCTTGCGATGATTTTGGGGCTCAACGTCCCCACAGCCCGGTCCTCAACCAGGCCTCCCAAACTACTATGGGACTCAACCCACTGGTCTTCATTAATTTAGAATTACAATCTATCATAATACTCTTACAACTGGAATGAAATCCTTTTTATGCTTTCAGAATAATGGCAAACTTAGTTCTACTCAAGCTCCACTTTATCTTAAAGCACAGCTTTTGTCTTAAGAAGTAGAGTACTGTACCTTGTGAAATATCAGATGGAAGAGGTGTTCTGAAAACTGCCCACTTGACATTACGGTTATCTGAATCGGTGACAATTTCATGAGGACGCAGCCACTGCGTCACACGAGACTCGTACTTTTCGGATGAACTGTAGAATAACGATTTTGGCACAGGAGGAAAGGAATCGTCTACGAATGGATGTTGATTCTGCAAAAGATGAAGATCAACACATTTACTAATACAGTGCAACTAACTTTAATCATATCTAAGCAACAAAATCACTTCATATAGAAAGAGTTAGAATATTATTTTTAAATATTCCACTGAAATTAAGAAAAAAATTGTGAACAGAGCACTTATAAAGTAAAATACTTTATGTACATGATATACATTGTAATCCAAAATATATAAAAAAAAAGAGACACACCACATTTCATATGATTGGAGGAACCTACACTCAATCATTAGTGAGAAATGACAGTGAGGAAGATGCTTAGCGAGAACTACACTCATCATTAGTGTGGATTAATAGTGAGGAAGATGTTTGGCGAGGATTACACCAGGCCTAGGAAACCTTTCCTGTTCCATGGCGAGGATTACACCAGGCCTAGGAAACCTTTCCTATTCCATGGCGAGGATTACACCAGGCCTAGGAAACCTTTCCTATTCCATGGCGAGGATTACACCAGGCCTAGGAAACCTTTCCTATTCCATGGCGAGGATTACACCAGGCCTAGGAAACCTTTCCTATTCCATGGCGAGGATTACACCAGGCCTAGGAAACCTTTCCTATTCCATAGCGAGGATTACACCAGGCCTTGGAAACCTTTCCTATTCCAAAGGATGTGCAGCTATCATTAAACTTGTTGCTTAAAGAATCATTCTGACTGCTGTTACTGCATATATATATATATATACAGTATATAGCATATGAAGATGACATTATAACATTATCTTTGAAACAGATTTAGAGTAACTTAATATTTGTTCATAAACTAGGTAATGGACAAAGTGCGCTCTACACTATGCCCTGTCCAGGGCTTAAAAACAATATCATATACATCACCAACCAAATTTTCTCCTAGCTAATGCTTTCCCTGCCCATGAGAAAATGTATCTCATTTTCCAAAATTAGGCCTAGGCTTTTGAAATTCAGGATATATGTCCTATATTTTCTAGCTGTGGTCAGCACCAAGACCACATTTTATTAACAACATGGAATCAAAATATAAGCATCATTTATTACTTACCACTTTGCAGTATTGAACAATCCTCGTCCACCTGTTCAGGGCATCTTGCACTTCCATTTCCCTAAGTACATCCATTAACTCTGAGTGTCCCCTATAAGTTCGGTCACCTGGCCAACTAATCTCTACATCTCCTAAGGCTGGCGAAGAGCCACACATAGCACACGACACAGCACTGGCACTGTTATTAAAGGTACAGGCACTACAGTTCCACGAGGAGGTAGACAATGCAGAAGAAGTGAGCACTTCTTTTGGTCGAGCCACAGGAGAACTTGGCATGGATGAAGGCGACCTAGTAGCCTGGGCAAGTGATGGAATTTGGCAACCTGCAACAGTGTTTGACTTAGGTATGGCTCCATTTCCCCGAGAAGATGTGTCATTGCACTGAGGGCCATTTTGATTATCTGGTAGGGGAATTGTCTTACCCCCATTAGCAGCTGAAGTATCCATTAGACTCATCCTCTGAAGACTTGGGGACTTTTGGGCACCAATACTCCAGCTTGGGCTGCTGATATGTTCAGACTTTGGTCTTGAATCCTTGGGTTTGGATTCATTATTTGAACTGAGCTTGTCTCTAGTACCACCAGTGCCATCAACTTTGGCTTTACATGCTTTGCAGCGTCTGGCAAAAATGGGATTCTTTAAAGTACACACAACACATGTCCAGAACTCTCCTCGCTTCAATGTAGCATCATCAACGTAACAGATGCTCTTTAGTCTAGACCCCCCACACACCTTACATGCATTTTCCACACCAGAATTCACTAACGTACACTTAATACATGTCCAGCTTTGGTCTGGCGAGTTACCTTCTTCTGCAAGATCTGTTGTGAGCAACTGGAAGTCCTCATCCAGATCTTGATTCAACACTTCACGTGTTTTTGGATTTTTTTCTTGTTCCTTAGTACTACTGCACATGTCACAAGTTTCTGACCATGAGGGATTATATGCAAAAGAACAAAAACTACATGACCACATATCGGACTCCGCTAAAGTATATTCTTCCTGACTGGTACCGCGCGTGAGGTCCACCATTGGTGGTGACACCGCCATCGCATTCTCTGGCTGAGATTCCTCCATATCTTTGGCTGGGCCCGACATATTTACTTCTGATGGTGATGATAGTCTACTGGCAACAAACTTTGCAAGAGATTCAGCAATATTCAGATCTGTTGTATCACTTGCAGATTTTCGAAGAGCAGTTTTCCCTGTAGAGGTCTTGACACATGGCTTTTGACTAGTACCTGTTTTACAATTATCATTTTCTACATCATTACCTGAAACACCGAGAATGTTTTTGTTTTTCTTTGGCAAAGTTGTTGGTATATTTGGTTTTCGTGGAGCATCACACACCTCACAATATTCAAAGTCGATAGGATTTTTAAGTGTGCATCGTTTACATACCCACGTCTCTACCTCCTCATTATCATTGCTGCTGCGGACACTGTAATTTTTATTTGCATCAAGTTCTACAACCAAACTATCAAAGTTTGGACAGTTTATTCTTTCAGTAACCCTTGATGATATTGGCACATACAATGGTTTATCTTCTGATTTACTCAGCTTAGATCGCAAATGTCCATAAGTGCAGGAAATTTGCCGTTTTGGCGAACGATTACATTCTTTATCAGGCGAAGTTAATGCAGAAGCATTATTTCCAAGAAAATATAGACTATTTTCCACCATCAATGATCCCTCCACTTCCTCTACAGGAGTGATGGCATTGTCTACTGAACTATTGTAACCTACAGTCAGACCACTGTTGTTACTTCTGCCACTACTACCGATCAGCTTGATGCAAGATGAGCATGTTGAGCTGTGTGCCGAGTTATAGTGCCGGCACTGTTTACACTTCCAACTGAGCTTGACCGCTTTGGAGACTAGACTGTTTGAGCTCATGTTTGCCTCAGCGAAGACCCTCGATAGTGCTTGCCGAGAAGTGGGGCCATTTTCATCAGCAACTGGACTGAGAATTTCCCGGGGCACTAGGGACAGCTTGCTACCATGCTCAGCACCACAACCACATATGATGCACTCATTGGCATGGTAAACATTCAGAAACCTGAAATAAAAGAACCATTAGAAGAAAAAGAAGGCAAACGTGAAACTTCAACTTCGCTAAGATAAGACTCTTATTAAATAAATATTCTTATCTGATCTTATCTTGCACTACAATACTAAACAGTATCAAGACAAGTCCTAATGGATACACACACACAAAAGAAGCTACAGATATTGTGTTATATGACAAAGAGTGCTGGGGAAGACAGGACACCACGAGAGTAGCTCTCACCCTGTAACTACACTTAGGTAATTACACATAACAAATACTGGTATATACCTCTTGCATGTATCATCATGTACTGTAGTCACATGTTTTTTTGTTTATATGTGGGTTTTATTGAGTCATGTTAAATATTTTACAAATAAACCTACAAGGCTCAAATGGGGAGGAAAATCATTTTCAAAATCATCTACAGATTAACTAGAGATGAATGATGACCCGTGTGAATTTACATGACAACCAATACAGGTTGTGTGAATGATGACCTGTACTGATGGTTCCATTATTGAGAATAAGAAATATATTACATTATAACAATGACCAAATAGTGTTCAGTCAACCTGTCCTCTCCTCTCAACTAGGACATTTCATTATGTACATTAGGTGCCCAATGCACAAATTACAAAGCACAGTACTGAACTGCACTATGAAAATTAGCTGCTTACAAATATCCACATTCTCTATACATCAGTAGATTAGGTTAGGTGGGATGCTTGAGTTTATGTTTCTGGTTAGGTTAGCACTTTCCATTTTGTAAACTACGGGCTCACCATAGCCCATGCTACTTGGAACTGTTTGTTCCAAGTAGCAAAAATCTTAAACAACAACAACAACAACCTTTTTGTAAGTTGTGATAAATTAAGAGAATGGATTAGTTCAGCATTAAGGGGGTGCCGATGGCTGAGCGGACAGAACACTGGAAGCGTGATCCTGTGGTCCCGGGTTCGATCCCGGGCGCCGGCGAGAAACAATGGCAGAGTTTCTTTCACCCTATTTTACTGTTACCTAGCAGTAAAATAGGTACCTGGGTGTTAGTCAGCTGTCATGGGCTGGTTCCTAGGGGTGGAAGCCTGGTCGAGGACCGGGCCGCGGGGACACTAAAGCCCCGAAATCATCTCAAGATAACCTTGGTAACTGTACTAAATGAACGGGGGACTTACTTGCAATTCTGACATGTCCATTTTTCTTTCTCATTAGTTCTCTTTTTTGCAGCAGCTTGAGCAAGGTCGGTTGTGCCAAGGAATGACCACCGGTGCACTCCAGTTACTGGGTGTGATGCCTGTCATGGAAACCAAGCTCGTGAAATACAAGATTTGAGATTATCCTTATTGACAAAATCAGTAGAAGCCATGGTGAGGATTCGAACCTGCACACTGGGTACCTGCTAGTATACCAACCTGTCCTCTTACAAATTACGTCTGAATTTGGCTGTTTGCCTGTATGGCCAAAAATGGACGAATTTGAAAATGAAAAAAATTGAAAATAAGTTTTAGATGTTTTTTTTTCTACAACAGCAAGTTAAGGGTCCTCTGGTAGGTTATTAAGGCAGGAAATTCTCCTAAGGTTTCAAAACATCATGAAAAACATTAATTGAAAGTTTCCTCTCCTAACCTAACCTAGTAAGCTGGAGGACTCAAACAGAAAACGGGACAGTGTGTCACTTTCGTGATTTCATTTCAAATTAAGTCCATTTTTGGCCATAGGCGCATACCAGCGAAAAGCGCTGCTATTTTAAAGAGAACAGGTTGAGTATATGCCCTAACCAACTTCGCCACAACATGCTCAAAAGCAATGCAACTTGGGGTTCAACTGAATCCTCCAGGGCTCCTGAAGCTTCCACTGAAGCCCAATCAGGGTTTCACACATTGCCCGCATGCACTCTGACCGTGGTATAGAACTTCTACCTATAACGCTTCTCTTCAAATACACAAAAAAATCACATTAACATAATGTATCAATGAGAAAATTAGTAGAAACAAAGGTAGGTGAGAATCACAGCTTTTCAGTTTCCTGATTGGCCCTCTGGCTGCTGGCTCAGGAAACAACCAAGGGTGACTCACTCAGAAATAATACAAATTAGGGAATAATAAGAAATATTATTAATATTAATACTGTATTAATAATATTAATATTATAGAAATACTGTAATAAGAAATTAGTCACTTTCACCTGAACTGATAAGGGTCCAGGACGGACCAAAATGTCGTCACTTCTCCATCTTCTGAGTTATGGTTTGGTCATCAATAAAAATTAGCAATTCTTTGTCAATCACACAGACATTTAATATACTGTACAGTATTTTTAAATGTGGTGTGCTATTTTCCTAATTGGGATATATTTGAATACTGTATTAGTGAAAAATGTCTTTGTGCATCCAAAATATTTATTTTATTAAGATAAGTTCTAACATTAATGAAAATGCCTTTGAATGATAGGCTATGCTTCAATGTAGGTAACATACTGCTTTTGTAAAATAAATGGGTAAAAGTTTATTTCACCAGCTCTTCACTGTACTGTATGTCTCCTGAGAAAAGGGGATTACTCCAGCAAGTCCTTAAAGTGAGTGGACAAGAGACAAGACCTTATCTATACTTTTGTCTCAAGCTGCCAATTTTGGTATGCCGCTCAAACAGCTGCCAGCTGATATTTATTCACAACAGCCACATGACGTTATTTTTTATTAATTTACTAACGTCTGCCAGAGCTGCAATCTGTTCTAGGCACATTCAGTACACTCTTATATTACAGTGCAGCAAAATAAGAACAAGTACTGTAGTTTTGATCATTAAGTACTGTATATTGTTTTGAACAATTGTGCAAATAAATTTACATTGAAATATGCTCATATCTGTGAGCATATTGATATTTCACTGTAGTCTCTTCAAAAGGATGGTGAAGCTTAGGCCTATAGATAAGCAGTATAAAATCCTAATGTTCCATCAAATTTTAATGTTCAGAAAACAAATTTAATTGGATATCATCCACTTATTTCCAGCACACATCACGGGCAAACTATTTAACGTGTGAAAAATATCAATAATATATTCCAATAAAAAAAGGTGAAACACAGACTTGCACCAACTAATTAATGCAGTGATGCCCTCATAGTACCTGTCTCTGTAAGCGTGGTCTCCATCTTGTACATATCACACATTGATCTGTTGCGGCTACATTTAGGAATCGACACGAGTTACAAGGCCATTTGCAACCATTATGTATAAAAAAAGGTGAAACACAGACTTGCACCAACTAATCAATGCAGTGATGCCCTCATAGTACCTGTCTCGGTAAGCGTGGTCTCCATCTTGTACATATCACACATTGATCTGTTGCGGCTACATTTAGGAATCGACATGAGTTACAAGGCCATTTGCAACCATTATTTAAAGATTCACTCTTCTTTGAAGGTTGTCGTCTTGTTCCTGGATCTTGAACGGTCTCGTTTCCTTGGGAATTACTATGTTGAAGGATCTTTTTTGACGAGATGATAGAATGTGTGTCGGACGTAATGATCTCGTTTGCTAATTTTGATCCTTTGTCACTAGAGGCCAGGGTGTGCGATTCTTCTTGTTTCTTGACACTCCTGCCTCTTGCCATTCCAAACCATAGCCTGAAGTGTGAAAACAATTATGTTAAATGTATGCTTGTAACTGATCAAACTATCTTTACTGAAACCTCAAATACATAAAGCTTAAAAGACATTAGAAATCTTTTCTGAGAAATTCAATTTGGTTGCTCCCTTAATCTAGGTGTTCTGTTCCCACGGACAAGAATATCCATAGTAAAGGCTAGTCAACATATCATTCGGTGCAGTAGTAATCTTTCCAAACATCCCCACAGACATTTCATTTCCAAACATTGAGGGAAACAAAACATGGAGAATACTGTACTCAACCCAGTTTTCTGGAGATAATTTAAGGCTAACTCATTTACACTAAAAATCCTTATATGCATTAATCAGCACCAAAGAGAACACCAAGGTGCTTGATGCTAATCCTTCATGATTTTTGAGAGACCAAAATTAGAATATGCAGCAGTTGTATGGTGCCCATATTCCAAGAAGCACATCAATAAACTGGCAAGGGAACTAAGACATTCTACAAAGTGGATTCCAGAACTAAAAAATGAACTATGAGACACTAGATGTGTTAAATATGCCAAAAGACAGAATAATTAGAGGTGATATGATCACTACATACAAAATTGACAGAGGAATTCTTGAAATGTGCAGCTTTAAGAAGAAAAGGTCATAGATTCAAGCTAAGGAAACAAAGGAAACAAAGGTATACCAGAAAATATTAGAAAGTACTCTTTAGCAGAGGTAGACAGTTGAAACACGTTAAGTGAGAAGGCCGTGGAGGCCATAACTGTCAGTAGTGTCATGGGTTCGTATCCTGGCCGGGGAGGATTTACTGGGCGCAATTCCTTAACTGTAGCCTCTGTTTAACGCAACAGTAAAATGTGTACTTGGTTGTAACAACGATTCTTCGCGGCAGGGGATCGTATTCCAGGGACCATAGGATTAAGGACGTGCCCGAAACGCTACGAGTACTAGTGGCTGTACAAGAATGTAACAACTCTTGTATATATCTCAAAAAAAAAAAAAAAAAAAAAAAAAAAAAAAGTTTCAAAGTGTCATACGACAACAGAACCAGAAAGACGGGACACCATATATTAGCTGCCTTCTTGATGTATGGTTGTTGCTGGATAGTAGAGAATACAAGGTTGAACACTTTAGCAGTTTATTGAGTAAAGTACAGTAATAAGTTGTTTATCTAGCCTGCCGAGGTCCTACCTAACTATGGTCTGTGTGAATACTCACTCCTCGCCACAATAGCTAGTACCAGCTCTCTGTGGAGAATGACGTCAGAGGCTTACTCGACTGTGATTGGCTATATCCCAACCATTCTACAATTTGAGTACTAACACATAAGCGTAGCCCGTATCCTGTAACTACACTTAGTTACTGTAATTCCAGCCACTATGCCCACCAGGTATCAGCCCTTATTTATTAACAGAGAACCCAGGCTATGCCCACCTCACATTTCTATTGAGTGTTCCCCAAAGCACTTTGAGGAAAAATCAAAAGCGAGGTATATTCTCAGCAAGCCCACATAAGTGCAAAAGCAAGAACTGCCCTCAGCTAGTCCAGCAGCCCTCCATATATGTCCTACCAGCCCTCAACGCAAGTCCCAATAGCCCTCAACGCACATCCCACCAGCCCTCATCACACATTGTGCTAGCCCTCAATGCATGTCCCAATAACCCTCAATGCACATTCCACCAGCCCTCAACAAACATCCAGCCAGCCCTCAACACACACATCGCGCCAGCCCTCGACACACATCGCGCCAGCCCTCAACACACACATCGCGCCAGCCCTCGACACACATCGCGCCAGCCCTCGACACACACAACCCGCCAGCCCTCGACACACACAACCCGCCAGCCCTCGACACACACAACCAGCCAGCCCTCGACACACACAACCCGCCAGCCCTCGACACACACAACCCGCCAGCCCTCGACACACACAACCCGCCAGCCCTCGACACACACAGCCCGCCAGCCCTCGACACACACAGCCCGCCAGCCCTCGACACACACAGCCCGCCAGCCCTCGACACACACAGCCCGCCAGCCCTCGACACACACAGCCCGCCAGCCCTCGACACACACAACCCGCCAGCCCTCGACATACAACCAGCCAGCCCTCGACACACACAGCCCGCCAGCCCTTGACACACACAGCCCGCCAGCCCTCGACACACACAACCCGCCAGCCCTCGACATACAACCAGCCAGCCCTCGACACACAACCGGCCAGCCCTCGACACACAACCAGCCAGCCCTCGACACACACAACCCGCCAGCCCTCGACACACACCCAGCCAGCCCTCGACACACACAACCCGCCAGCCCTCGACACACAACCAGCCAGCCCTCGACACACACACAACCAGCCCTCGACACACACACAACCAGCCCTCGACACACATCCAGCCAGCCCTCGACACACATCCAGCCAGCCAGCCCTCGACACACGCACAACCAGCCCTCGACACACACACAACCAGCCCTCGACACACATCCAGCCAGCCCTCGACACACATCCAGCCAGCCCTCGACACACATCCAGCCAGCCCTCGACACACATCCAGCCAGCCCTCGACACACACACAACCAGCCCTCGACACACATCCAGCCAGCCCTCGACACACATCCAGCCAGCCCTCGACACACATCCAGCCAGCCCTCGACACAACCCGCCAGCCCTCAACACACACAACCAGCCAGACCTCGACACACATCCAGCCAGCCCTCGACACACACACAAGCAGCCAGCCCTCGACACACACACAAGCAGCCAGCCCTCGACACAACCAGCCAGCCCTCGACACACACAACCAGCCAGCCCTCGACACACACAACCAGCCAGCCCTCGACACACACAACCAGCCAGCCCTCGACACACACAACCAGCCAGCCCTCGACACACACAACCAGCCAGCCCTCGATACACACAACCAGCCAGCCCTCGACACACACAACCCGCCAGCCCTCGACACACACAACCCGCCAGCCCTCGACACACTCAACCAGCCAGCCCTCGACACACACAACCAGCCAGCCCTCGACACACACAACCAGCCAGCCCTCGACACACACAACCAGCCAGCCCTCGACACACAACCAGCCAGCCCTCGACACACAACCAGCCAGCCCTCGACACACTCAACCAACCAGCCCTCGACACACTCAACCCGCCAGCCCTCGACACACTCAACCAGCCAGCCCTCGACACACTCAACCAGCCAGCCCTCGACACACTCAACCAGCCAGCCCTCGACACACACAACCAGCCAGCCCTCGACACACACAACCAGCCAGCCCTCGACACAACCAGCCAGCCCTCGACACACAACCCTAGGCTTACCCAGGCAGTGATCAATACAATCTCAAGCCCTAAGAGCAAAGGACTGAGGACTCCCTCCTTCACTAATAACTCCTTAACAACTAGCAACTTGGATATGGCTGAAAATTCACTAATGGAACATAAATACTGCAACCCCCATTGAATTTTAATTTCCCTGCATCCCGTCTCATAAAATGGGACGATATCTACCCCTTACCTTTCCTCTGGCCTTTAGCATCCCCGGGATGAGGAATCAATCACCTGAGCCATGTGTAAATAGGATAATGAGGCCAAATAAGAGGACAGGTGTACCCAATCTGCCCTTTGTTCGCAATGTTTACATCGAGATGTCGGTCGGGGGATGACAAGTTACCACAATATCTTTCGAGAATTTGTAGACCCTTTGTTTCAGTAATTTATTACGCTAATAACATATATATAACCATAGTTTACCTCAAATATTTGTTTCTTTTATATAAGTGATGGTATTTTAAATGATAAAAGTTTATTGTTATAATATATGATTGATATAAATGATGGAGCGGGAGACATGTGGGAGTTGGTGTACTCTTGCGCGCTCAGCTGATCAGGGAAGGTAGCGGGAAATTTGAAATTGAATATACACTATTTTATTTTATTTTATTTATTTATTTATTTATTTATATACAAGAGTTCTTACATTCTTGTATTGCCACTGACACGCATAGCGTTTCGGGAAAGCCCTTAATCCTAATTTTCACATATACACCCTCTCGCATAGGCAAGGTTTGAGGCTGTAATACACTTGGGTCCGAAATACACCTGAATTTACCTGTAACACTGAAGTGCCGAAATACACTTAAGCACCATGTGTATGTTGCCGTAATACACGCAGCTACACTTGGGCCCGTAATATACCTGTGGTCATAATGTACTTCTTTTTATATTGTACCTGCCCTACACATGATTCAAGCAGTCTTCTTATATCCTATGATTGTATGTATGTATGTATGTATGTATGTATGTATGTATGTATGTATGTATGTATGTATGTATGTATGTATGCATGTATGTATGTATGTATGTATGTATGTATGTATGTATGTATGTATGTATGTATGTATGTATGTATGTATGTATGTATGAATGTATTACCTGAGGACCACTAAATGGTCCTTGCTGGAAGCCGGCGGGTTGTCAGAAGTCCCCCCTATTTGTCCTGATGAGATTTTTCAACCTGAATTTTAGAGTTAAACAGCGTTTTGGCATTTACGGCTTCGGAGGGTAGGCGGTTCCATGGGTTAATAACTCCGTGGGGTGAAAAAACATCTTCTGCTTTCAGTCCTCCATTGTGGCTTCTTGAGTTTGAAACCGTCGCTCTTTGTTGGTGTTACAAACTGAACAAGTTTTCTAGATCAACATCCTTCAAATTGTTCAGTATTTTGAACGTTTCGATGAGAATAAGTCCCTGTCGCGTAGTGGTAAAACACACGCCCCGCGCTTTCTGAGCAATTTGGTCTGGGTTCGTATCCTGGCCGGGGAGGAGTGACTTAAAAGAAAAAGGAGCCAATACCTAACTCTAACCTCTGTTCATCCAGCAATGAATGGAAGAGAAGTTGGAAGGCTATATTTGACATAGTGGCTTTAGGCATTGTATGTACAAGCTCTGTCTATAAATCCATCAACTTTTGTATCTTACCTTGTATGTATGTACCTTACCTGAATAAATATTTATTATTTATTTATTTATTTATTTCAGGAACCTGCTATTCATCCGTTAAAATTTGTATTATATCCATATTAGCAGACTTTAGTTATAAGTTGTTTTATAGTTCACTATATTATTTCAGTTTAATATTTAGAACCACATACTGTAATCTTAATTAGTTACAGTATATTTTGTCTAAGCTTATTTATTCACAATACACGATTATATAAATGCAAATTTCAATTCCATTTACCACACAACCTTTCACAGGTTTCTTATTGAGTAGCCTATATACATATTTATTGGTTTTTAACTTTAATTATCTAATTTCAACCTGTTCTCCATAAAATATTAGTGCCTATACAAAAATATAGACTATACTATAGTACCCAAAAAGTACACATTTGGCAATATTAAAATACTATCCAGCATTAACAAATCTGCAACAAGTTAACCAACAAGCTTTCCTAAGATTAATATGCAATGTCGTATAAGATGTAAGGGTAATAGGATACTACATAGAGGCACAACTCCTTACACAAAATGCCCATAACCAAGTGGGCACAATGTTGATTGATTGACTGATGAAGATTAAGCCACCCAAAAGGTGGCACGGGGATGAATAGCCCGTAAGTGGTGGCCCTTTGGAGCCATTACCAGTATCATTAGCTGATACTGGAGATCTGTGGAGGTGCAACCGCACCCTACGGAGAGGTCGTGACCTCTAGGCACAATGTTCAAGAGTAATGTTTAATATACAAGCGAGACAAATAAGTTTCCCATATTTTATTCTAATAAGACCAATTGGAAAAGCCAAGTTTCATGGTGCAAAGTTTATTATTCCATAAACTTTGGGAATAATTTTCCATAATCATAACATTGTGAAACAGATATAGTTTGGCTGCTACTTGACAACTGGAAGATAGACTTCATAATCCATATTAATATTTATCTATCAGCCAAAGGTTCAAAAAATTTCTTCGAGCACACTAGCCCTTTGATCCTGAACACTGCTTTCTTATTTTAGAGGCTGTTCAATTAGCATTTGCTTAATGGCTTTAGTTCCCTTTTTCTTTAGTAGGCAATTAGATTTACTTTCTTAATAAATTAGGAATTGGATAATAATACAAGCATTTAGTCTAAAATGTTAGCCTTTATGGCAAAATGCTACATAATATTTAGAAAATTCCAGTGAAAATTCAGTTTACTACAAGCACAACAGATGGAAAAAATAATAACTTACTTGTACTACTTGGCAGACATCTGACTATAACACAACAATCTAGTAAAATTGACTCTAATAGCAATTACCGGGTTCCTAGGGAAAACTAGTCGGGTAATAGCCGTTACCAACTCTCAAGAGGAACTAGCCAGGCAATGGCTATTACTAGCTCTCTAGGAGAGCTGGGATGGTAATAGCAATTACCTTCTCCATAGGGCAACTGGTCAGGTAAGTTGTCTGTTAACCCAAAAGAAATTATCCTTACATACCTCCTGAAGTGTTATCCATGGACAACATCCAAGAACAAAAATATTTCTGAACGTGTGACTTAAAATCTTCCAGATCATAAAACATGGGACTAATGAACCTGTTATTACAGAGTTTCACTGCACGTAAAAACATAATTTGCATAAAAAAATTACTGTATTTTAAATACACAATGTACAACATCCGAGACTAAAACAGGAATACTTGCACAATCATTCTTTCACCGAATACATGAATGGGTTGTAAACATAAATAAAATACAAATTATACTCAAGAATTCTAACAAACCACTATGGCAGTTTTCATCACATTTCTTGCAATCATTGTACGACTTACTAGCTAATTAAAGATTCTTGTCACCTGTGAATACCGGGAAAATGCATTACATCACTAGCATCTATGAATTAATTTAGATTGTCTGTCTTTCCATTTTCCTGGTGCAATCTTCAGTGAACAAAACACCATTAAATATTGTTTGTAAACTATGAAGACCTTAGATCTATGAATAACAAAGAACATATAACATTGTAAGTACACATCAGAGAGAGAAGAATGGGGGGGGGGGGGGGGGAGGGCATCAACAACGTGATACACTACAAAGGATGTGTAAACGAAGGTCTAAAATATCTGCTGTTTGCGGATAATGCCAAGTCTAACTCGGCCTCAAATGGTGAAAACTAATCTACTCGAGAATAATTACTTGAGCAGCTGTCATTCAGATTGGCCAAAACAGACTTTACAAGTACTGTATTGTTATTTGTATTAAATTATTGTCATTATTTTTGTAATTTTTTATTAGGAATTAAGTCAATTCCACTACCATGGTAACAGTTAACAGCAGATTTACACACAATTGTACTAGCCTGTTTAAAGACAGGAAATAGCTTACTGAATCAAGAGTGAAACAAAATAATAGTATTGAGTAAATTACCCATAATCACGAAACCACATTCTTCTGTTCTCTTCTCTAATCATTGTATAATCCAAATCAATGTAGTATAAGCTCTGAGTAAAGTTACCACCCCATTCACTGATACAAAATGCTGAGGTAAATATAGGCAGAATGCAGACACTGATAAAAATATTACATTTCCTATCACACTGCATCATAGTCTATCCGCCTGTCCTCGTGTCATACAATAACATAGTATGCACAGATATTGAACATACATTTTAAGTATACTTTTGTACATAATGAAAGCTAAATGTACTTAGATCTATGTACAAAGCAATACTTACATTATGCATTCAATATCAGCCATAACAGGGTTATATATTTGTAATAAGTACAAAACTATATAGAGCACAGTACAGTAATTGCCTTTAAATAGTTTGCACATTACCATGCATACTATAATGTATGAATATGATGATGACAGGTTATGTGTAGAGTGAGGTGGAAACATACACTAATGCATGTGCACATGCATGGGATAAACACACACACACTAATGCTTGTGCACCTGCATGGATATACACACACTAATGCATGTGCACCTGCATGGATACACACACACTAATGCATGTACACCTGCATGGATATACACACACTAATTCATGTGTACCTGCATGGATACACACACACTAATGCATGTGCACCTGCATATATATACATACACACACTAATTCATGTGCACCTGCATGGATACACACACACTAATGCATGTGCACCTGCATGGATACACACGCACACACACATGCATTAGTGTGTGTGTGCATCCATGCAGATGCACATGAATTAGTGTGTGTGTATCCATGCATGTGCACCAGCATGGACACACACATACCTTCACACTAATATTAACATAAATTATATTTGTACATGAGAGTGAGCATGCTCAAACATGCAAGCATTCAGCGACACACACACACACACAATGTCCTCTAAGGGCTGTGTTAATGTTGTTTAATCTTAATGAACTTCATTATCAGGTTTCTGACATTATGGAAGGTAACCCAGTGGACACTGTTGTTTGAAAGTGACCATTACGTACTGTTTACTATGTAACGTCAGTCGCTTTCAATCAATAGTGCCCACTAGGAATAATTATCATGAAGATACACGAGAGGAGACATGCTAGTCTTGGAATTATTGTCGTTGTGGGGCAGTAACCTCAAGAATGTGTTTTCTCAGAAGTTTGAAGGAAAGTTTGAGAATAACATTGCAAGTATCATATACTATCACTGTCTTGGGAGTAAAATATATCTTAACAAACGCTATTACGCATCAACCAACAAGCAAATCTGTCTCTTAACTTTTAGTACAATAAGGAATACTAAGCCCAACCTCTCCACCTGCCTCTGCAAGCCAGTAATAAATAAACAGTTATCCGACAGAGAAAGAGAGAGAGTGTGAGACAAGAGGCGCTTCAAAGCTAAACTAATCCTACTAAGCTCATTCCATTTTTTCCTCTGTAAAGGATCCTTTCAAAGAAATAAATTACTACTCCTCAGCACAGCTGGTAATTGTATCTAATAATAATAATAATAATAACAACAACAATACTAATTACAATAATAATAATAGTTTATTATTTTAAGAAAATTTATTCAAAATTAAGTGTCCATATTGTATAACAGAAACATTTTTATTCTAAAGAACATAATTCAATTACAAACATGAACAGTGCTGAGGAAGCTATTCTAAATTATTGATTCCTTACAATAATGCTGATAATAATAATAATAATTAATAATAATAAAATAATAAAAATGCTGCTCAATTCATATTAGCAGCATAGAAACTTGAAAAATTGTTATCCTTGTTCTGTTGTAAATATGCATGGAGGAACATGAGATAATGAACATATATGAAATGATACATATAACTATAAAATGCAGAACATTGATTGATTTTCAATGGACATGTTACATTCCAGATAAATATTTCAAATTATCTACAAAACTTTAAAAAACAAACATTCACCTTACACAAAAAGTCAATAAGATGGGAAATTAAAATGCCTATTACCAGCATTTATAAATTAATAAAAAAAAGAACAATTTATGGCACAACTTTTTAAATAAAGCCTTATAAACCACTTCAAAATAAAGCTTTACCATCACATTTACGCCTGGCACAAACTGCTCAGAAATCACGAATGTGTTAAAAATGAAAGATCACTCATCTGCATGCTACCACTCAAAAAACATGAGAAACACTTAAGTGCTGACTTTTATCCACATAAAATACAAGTTCCTTTTATTCTTCTGTAAAAATTGGCAGACAATTAACATTGTTTCATGGGACGATGTTTGTATTATACAGTGACTCGCATCAACGATGTTGGTATTGTACACTGACTCGCTTCAATGATGTCTGTATTCAACAGTGACTCGCTTCAACGATGTTTGTGTTCTACAGTGACTTGCATGAAGGACATTTGTATTCTACAGTGATGCATCACGAAGATTAATAACAACACGACCAATTTAACCTCGCTATTCTCAAGCTTTGCTTTTCTCACTAACAAAAATAATCTCTTGCGATTCTGTAAATCCAAAAAGGTTAAATGTTTTCTTTATACTGTACTGTATATGCTAATTTTCATACAAAGTACTGATAACCTTGTTATGAAAAATAGAAGCCATTACTCACTAATCCAACGGCACAATGAATATATACAGTATATTCATCTAATACATGCATCAATGGGCTAGTGCAATCACTGGACTAATTGTCATGCATGTATCCAATCAATCAATGGTGTACGTAACACGGCCTGTCAATCATTGGTATAGGTGATATATGGCCCACCAGATACTGGTATAGGTGACATGTAGCTTGCCAATCATTGGTATAGGCAACACTTAGCCTGCCAATCATCAGTATAGGTGACAAATAGCCTACCAATCACCAGTAGAGGTGACACATAGCCTTCCAATCACTGATATGGGCAACACAGAGCCTGCTAGTTTACCATAGTTATCATTCAGCTATTAGTGATGGAAACTGATAAATATCTTGGGAATTCTCAAGATGCTACACACCCACACATTACTGGGCTAAACTAGTCAGTATTTACCAGCGATTAGGGGGGGAAGCGAGCGTTTTGTGCCTTGCTTCCTCACCGTTAATACCAGGATTATATCTCGGCATTTAGCTGAACATAGCTGATTAACCACATACAAGTTGAGCTAGTTTTTGAGTGAGGACCAAAAACTCACTCACAAATAAATTTACCAAGTTTCAAATTAGTTTACAAAATATATGTTATTTATTTTAAAAGCCCAAAATCTACTCACTGCACATGTATGCATGTCATAAAGACACTGCCATTTACCGAGTAGTAACAGTATCAGTTACAAGATAATTTAGAGCCCAGTGCCTGGACTTACAATATAAATATATACAGTAATTCCAATTTTCAATTGACATAAATGAAAACTCCTAAGGTTGGTAAAAGGTGGATTTGAGATCGAAAGAGGCTGAATTTTTTTTTTGTGTGTGTGTGTGTGACATGCTTAGAATGTTTGTTTCGCATCCTGTACCTATGCAATGGAGAAATGGAAAGATGTGTGTAATTACCTAGGTGTAGTAACAGGATGAGTGCTATACTCGTGGTGTCCCTATCTTCCCAGTACTGTGTATGTGTAATTACCTAAGTGTAATTACCTAAGTGTAGTTACAGGATGAGAGCTACACTCGTGGTGTCCCGTCTTCCCAGCAAGTGTGTGTGTGTGTGTGTGTGTGTGTGTGTGTGTGTGTGTGTGTGTGTGTGTGTGTGTGTGTGTGTGTGTATGTGTGTATATATATATATTATTATATATATATATATATATTTATATATATATATATATATATATGTCGTACCTAATAGCCAGAACGCACTTCTCAGCCTACTATTCAAGGCCCGATTTGCCTAATAAGCCAAGTTTTCATGAATTAATGTTTTTTCGTCTACCTAACCTACCTAACCTAACCTAACCTAGCTTTTTTTGGCTACCTAACCTAACCTTACCTATAAATATAGGTTAGGTTAGGTTAGGTAGGGTTGGTTAGGTTCGGTCATATATCTACGTTAATTTTAACTCCAATAAAAAAAAATTGACCTCATACATAGAGAAAAGGGTTGCTTTATCATTTCATAAGAAAAAAATTATAGTAAATATATTAATTCAGGAAAACTTGGCTTATTAGGCAAATCGGGCCTTGAATAGTAGGCTGAGAAGTGAGTTCTGGCTACTAGGTACGACATATATATATATATATATATATATATATATGTCGTACCTAGTAGCCAGAACGCAATTCTCAGCCTACTATGCAAGGCCAGATTTGCCTAATAAGTCAAGTTTTCATGAATTAATGCTTTTTCGGCTACCTAACCTACCTAACCTAACCTAACCTAACTTTTTCGGCTACCTAACCTAACCTAACCTATAAAGATAGGTTAGGTTAGGTTAGGTAGGGATGGTTAGGTTCGGTCATATATCTACGTTAATTTTAACTCCAATAAAAAAAATTGACCTCATACATAATGAAATGGGTAGCTTTATCATTTCATAAGAAAAAAATTAGAGAAAATATATTAATTCAGGAAAACTTGGCTTATTAGGCAAATCGGGCCTTGAATAGTAGGCTGAGAAGTGCGTTCTGGCTATTAGGTACGACATATATATATATATATATATATATATATATATATATATATATACACAGTATATATCATAACTAATGGCCAGAGTTGCCTAACAAGCTAAATTTTCTTAATTATCAAAAACTTTCTCTTACAGAATGAAAATTTTTCATTGTATTATAAACATGATAGTTTTTTTGTTAGTCAAAACAAATAATTCTAACCTAATCTAATTTGCCAGTTGAATTATTTCTCATTACTGCATAACATACATAAAACTAAATGTAAGTTAGAAAGTCATGTAGTCAGCATAATATTATACAATTAGCGGTGAACTAATTCCAAAATAAATATTTTAAATATGCACAATTCTTCTGGCTGTTAGGCAAAATGGACCTGGCATACTAGGCCAAGTAGTGCAGTTCTGGCTATTAGGTACAACATATATTTGAACTAGCAATACATGCATGCATGTACTTTGGCACAAGTCATATTTCCTGCCAAGCCACATGGCTTATACATGCAAAACAGTCATCTCAATATGGAATGTATTGATTTCTTTTGTACAAATTATTTACCAAGTAAGATATTCATGAAACCTAGGTCATACAGATTTACTGTATACTGATTTTGTCCATCTTCTCCATGCAAATGAGATAAAAATTAATACGGTTAAAAGATAAATATATAAAACATTGATTTGAGGCTTTTTTGACCATGAAAGGCAGATGGGTGAGCAATAACTACATACAGTATATGAAACACGATCAAGAGTCAAATCCTTGGTCATAACGAGGTTGTGAACAACGGGGTTTCTCACCCTTACACTTACAGGTTCGTGACTAAATGCGTGTTCAAAATATTAATCTCCAATGAAATGGCATAAATTTACTAGATAAGGATATCAAAGATACACGTTGAAATGCTAAACTGACTGGTTACGTTATCACAAATCTCTGAATACCATACCAATGAGCGGATGAAAAATCCAATTGAAAATTAAATTTTGAACACCCTACTTTGAGCAACATAAACTTTCTAACATGTTACTAACAAGAGTGCAAACGTTTGAGAATTTATTGTTTACCTGTTGTATCACATTAAATTTTTTAAGTATTGAGCTATGTCATAATTTCCAAATAGTCAGTTTTCTAAGCTGACACAGGGTATTATGGGATGTATAGCAGGCTTCAGTATTATTATATATTCATCTGCTGCTTTACAAACTAGCAGGCAAAACACACATGCTATACACCCACTAGACTTATTGTATGGCTATCGAGTTGTAAGCCCTGAGCAAATTTTCCGGCAGCAGTAGCCAAATTATGGGCCAGTCCAAGTTTGTTATGAGCATAACAAAGGCAACTGTATCTCCACACACAAGGCAATACCAGTACATGAAGGCTCGTATCATTATTAACATTAACAATTCTAGTATTTTATCAGCATCGTTTCCCCAACAGTGTCCCTCAATTGTTGCTCGTTTACATATCCACACACATTCTGCATGCTAAGTAACCTTCAGAGAATTATTCCCTAAATATTACAATTATCAAATTATCTTGTATCATGGCCTTTGTTTATATGTAATTTTTTACCTATAAATTTTTACATTAATAATAACCATGGAAAAATATCTTCGTAATGGACAGCTGCTGACTTGACAGTCACAGATTAGTATAACTGATGACTTGGCAAGTCAGCTAGGGACATACTCAAAAACGTATACAATTCTCTTTAAATGCTCCACTGCTGTGAAGCTCCAGATTCACTTTTACCTGTTATCGTGAAGAGCAGGTTTCACTTATGATTCTTCCTCGTCTTCTAGCTCTAAATCCTCAGTGTCAGGAGAAATGGTATATGCACTAACAATCTTCAATCTTGGCTCATCGTCATCATCATCTTCACTATCTGTAATGTCATCAAAGAATACTTCTTCCCGTATAACTTTTTTATCTGGTAGCCGTGTTTTCTTTTCTTCGGTTATGATGGACTTACTTTCTGCTACTTTCACTGCAGAAAATAACCGTACTTCCATCTCATCTTTACAAGATGTGCCACCTTCCACAACTTGAGTATCACGAAGTTCATCGAGATCATATTTCAGCTCTTTCTCCATAGTTTCGTAGTAATTTACAACATCTTTATCAATGTTTTCAAGACTTTTCACTACTATCACTTTATTTTCAAAATTATCTGAACTGATTTTTGCCTGGATGTCAAGATTATCTGATATGGCTTCCCCTTCACTTTCAACACTGCATGTTATTGTGTTCACAGCACTTGCAATTTCATCATCCATATTTACTCTTTCATCAATTTCCAACTCAGGTTCACTTCCGTCAGAATCACTTTTTTCTACAATATCCCCTGGTTTTGCCTGACCTAAAGTCAATGGATCTTTTGCTCCATCTGGGAGCTTACGGAATAGAGTTTTGGATCCCGATATCAAGTCATGATTTAGCTCATGAGTTACCTGCAAGATTGACGAAAGGAAGATTGCTTTGCACTGTGTACATGGAAATCTGTGACTTGATCTATGGAGTCTCTTATGGTTGTCCAGGTGCAATTCACTAATGAATGCTGCTCCACACAAGGAGCACACAAACGTAGATGTTGTTGCCATCTTTTGTGCTCGACGGTCTTTTCCCCGCTTCGTTTGGAACCAATATTTTACTCGTTTTGGTCTTAGATTAAGACGTTTGGCCACAAGCCATACCTCAGACGTGCCCGGAAAATTGTTGTGCTCATAATGAGTCTCCAAAACCTGTGAAAATAAACTCTTTAATACAAGTGATATGTGTACACTTTTAAACAAAATTCATGACATCATCTATAGAAAAACAATGCAACAGCACACAGTGCTGCATTGTAAAAAGTTACAGAAAATAAAAAAAATAAAAATTTGCAATGTATATAACCTAAAGTTCACATACAGTATGTTTAAAATCACATCTACACATGAACCTATATATACATACTATATAACAAACAACATGAGGAACAACGTGTTTACCATGATAACCTGAAGTATTTACCACGATAGCACATCTCCTGTGCCAGGTAAGTAAGTGATTGTGTGAGAGGAGGGATGGATGAGGTGGATGTAAACAACAAAAACAAAACAAAAACAGCAATGAATGTAATGAAACGCTTCTTTTTGGTAGTGACCCGGTGGCTCCTTGACGCTAACTCACTGAGATTGCTTCATTCTCATGGGTCACATCAGTCTCAGGAACTCTGTTTGGCCTGCCAGGGATCAGATCCAGAACCTGGCTCCTTCACACAGGTACAGGGAGCGAGTGATAATCTGCCAACCCAGTGAGAAAAGCATCCAGAAAGTCAGCAAAGCTTTACAGACAACTGTAAAGTTCACAGAAAATGAAGCCTCGAAACCAGCAAACAACTTCCCTAACATTTAATAGGAAACAAGATATTTACTCAAAACCAGCTTGAACCCAGTAGTACTGATAACTGCCACAAGGTGGCCTGACCCCAGCCCACAGTCAGCTCCTCTGATCAGTTCTGGAGATGATGAACAACCCACTGATGAACCGACGAACCTGAAGGGAAGGGAGGGAGCCAGGAGGCCACCAGGACTCTACCAGAGAGAGACAATTTATTAAATTCAATGCTAGGCTTCTAAAGGAGCCTTCCTGGTGGCTCCCTGAATCTAATTAATCATGGAAAACAAAAACACAGGACTTACAATGGAGGAGAGGCAGCAGGAACGAAGATGAAGGAGAAAACCCAGGCCGGGGGGGAAAAACACGACCTAAAGTAACACAACACACTGGAACCAGGAAGGTCAATCAAATGCCAGGCCGCCATAACCCTGTTATACCGCCAATAGCCACAAACCCGAATATCGGCTAGGACATGTTGGAAAACACTGCCATCAAGAAGGCTTACTTGTTAGCCTCTGGGCCTGAGGGTAGACCATAGGCTGGCTAAACTTAATGACACTACAGATAACCTGGGAAATGCAAGCCTTGGAACCGGGCACCAAGGAAACAGAACCAACCAACAATGCATCAATCGAGGCAGAACCTGTAGCCAACGGGTAGCGGCAACAAGCCACCAATGCACACAACAAGTGATGAACCCCTGGCCAAACCAACTAAGCATCAATCACAACAGGCACCCTCTGAATGCAAGCTGACTAAAACTTTGGCAGAAAAGAAGAGGGCTGCAACTGAATTAAATGCCCTACAGGCGCAAAGAAGCAAAACCCATGCATCCGAAGAGAATGAATCTTACCTATACAGCAGCCGGAGACAACAGCCAACAAAACACCGCTTTCAGAAAGGTATCTCAAGTTGATGGGAAAACTGCTAACTGAGGTGAGGAGAAAAACACCAAAACCCTGTCCAGAAACAAGGATGGCTCAGGAGCAGCATGAGCAGACTGGAGGTGGAAAATGCACAAGATAACTTGCAAAACGGCACCGAAGAAGTCGACACTGAACGCAAGCAACAGTGGCTCCTCCAACACCAGATGATAAGAGGCAACAGTATTATGCATGAGATGCTGATCGAAAAACAACCACAACAAAAACAAACAGGCCAGACCTGACCGAAATTCAAGAACAACGACAAAGAGACAGAGAAGGCGACTTCATACAGTCATTGTGAGGAAAGATTCAGGTGGGACATTTAATCCAGCCACACGCTCACCATACAAATGGTGAGAGAACCGTGTCAAACACTCCAGACGTGAAGAGCAGAGAAGTTTGAACCAGCAAAGTATGTCGCCAGGCTATTTTGCTAACAGAGGTATGAAAAATGCCCAGAGTGAGTGAGTGAGTGAGTGAGTGAGTGAGTGAGTGAGTGAGAGAGTGAGAGAGTGAGTGTGAGAGTGTGAGAGTGTGAGAGTGTGAGAGTGTGAGAGTGTGAGAGTGTGAGAGAGTGAGAGTGTGAGAGTGTGAGAGTGTGAGAGTGTGAGAGTGAGAGAGAGAGAGAGAGAGAGAGAGAGAGAGAGAGAGAGAGAGAGAGAGAGAGAGAGAGAGAGAGAGAGAGAGAGAGAGAGAGAGAGAGAGTGAGAGTGAGAGTGAGAGAGAGAGAGAGAGAGAGAGAGAGAGAGAGAGAGAGAGAGAGAGAGAGAGAGAGAGAGAGAGAGAGAGAATGAGAGAATGAGAGAATGAGAGAATGAGAGAATGAATGAATGAATGAATGAATGAATGAATGAATGAATGAATGAATGAATAAATGAATTCGAGGTGGGGTGAGGGGGCTACTCACCTTTAGTTGTGTATCAGTAAGAGGTGCTCCTGAAGGTCTCCCTGTTTTGGAGTCTGAGTTCAATTCATTCTTAAGCTCTACTTTAATCCCATGCCGAATCCAGTGCGTCTCTAGGACAATCGAATTACTGTACTCTTTTCCACAAAAGTGGCAGGCCTGTGGATTAAACAAAATATTTAAAACAAGCCTTTGACAAGGAGTTTGTTACATTATATTTGTAAAATAATTGATAATATCAAATGCACAGAATTTATTTGCAAAATAAAATAACATGGCATCTACTACTTTCTACTTATCCAGCTGCATACTAATTGTGTTCAACAGTTTTCCTCACTGAAAAAGGGGTGACATGAAAGGGAGTGAACCGTGTGACAGACTTCAAATGACTGTATCATATTACAAGAAGAGTAAAAGATGTGCTCAGCCTCAGAGGCTGAAAAACAGTACCTGCCTCAAGAAATGGGAGATACATGCCATGCCTCAGTGCCTGTACATTATAACCATGCTTCAAGAGACGAGACAGATATGCCATGCCTTAGAAGCTGTATGTCATTCCCATGCTTCAAGAAATGATAGAGATATGCCATGTCTCAGAGACATGGAAAACACATGCCATAACTCAAGAGATGGAACAGCTACATCACATCTTAAAAGATGGAAGAAAAATACAACACCCTAAGAATGTCTAAAATAGTCCCTCCTCCAGTATCAATGTTGGATGAAAAATGAGTATTCAAAATAATGATATAGCTGAATACTTAATAGCTATAACTTATAACCTAATTCCTTAGCGGGAGTTTCATACGGACTTATGCTCCCACACACACATGATAGAGCCCAGTAGGCTCAGGAACCTGTACACCTGTTGATTGACGGTTGAGAGGCGGGACCAAAGAGCCAGAGCTCAACCCCCGCAAGCACAACTAGGTGAGTACAACTAGGTGAGTACACAATACATATAACCAATCGCTTGTCATTTTACTTGCATAAGCCACAGCAACATTCCTGTAAGGTGAATGAAGCCACATTTGAAGCACATGCCCATTCACGAACTTGCTTATAAATTTTTGAGCAAGCAAGGTGCAAAAGTAGCTCACCTGAGCCCAATGAGATTTATGCATCTCCTGATGTTTATTGAGGTCTGCCTGGCAGATGAAAGCTGCATCACAAGTCGAACACATCTTGCTCATAGCTTTTTGTGAGCTGATAGCTGCTTCACCCTCCAGGCCCTCATGCTTACTCTCTTCCAACTTGTGAATGTGCTGCTTTCTTCGTTCCTGAAAGAGGATCAAATATGCCATGAGGGTCAGTGTGGCTAGACTGTGATAACTAAATGACAGTGTGGCTAGACTGTGATAACTAAATGACAGTGTGGCTAGACTGTGATAACTAAATGACAGTGTGGCTAGACTGTGATAACTAAATGACAGTGTGGCTAGACAAACAGTCTTCCTCAGTCAATCTTGTGAAACAATGTTGAGTTAAAGAAAGTAGAGTTTCTGAATGAGAATATATAGCTACAGAAACATTTACAAGAAAATAAGAAGATGAGCAAGAAGAGCATGAAAATCACAATGAAGAAATGAGATGGAATTGGAGAGTGAAAATAACTCTGCCTGTCCTGAGTGTTCTGACGGCTGAGTGGACACGGCTTGGGATTCGTAGTCCTGAGGTTCCGGGTTCGATCCCCAGCGGAGGCGGAAACAAACGGGCAGAGTTTCTTTCACCCTGATGCACCTGTTCACCTAGCAGTAAATAGGTACCTGGGAGTTTGACAGCTGCTACGGGCTGCTTCCTGGGGATGTGTAACAAAAAGGAGGCCTGGTCGAGGACCGGGCCGCAGGAACCCTAAGCCCCAAAATCATCTCACGATAACCCTACAAGAATGATGCTGCTGGAGGGACAAACGAGGATCATGGCAAGATGATAGAGGACTAAGATTAATTAAATAAGTCAAGGAAAAATATGATATCAGTAAGTTTGCCTAGGGTTAGGAGGGTCAATATTTTGAGAGAACCCTTTAGAAAAATAGCTATACACAGAAAATCAATACACAGAATTAACACCAACGGAAATAAAGGACTCCAATAAATCCAATGAAAGGATGTCACGGAAAAGTATTGGTAACTGGAGGCTAGACAAATATTGCAAGGTCAATACAATTATAAATCCTTAGAAACTGGGATAAATTCTAGGCAAATTGACCATGTAAGGGATGAAGAATTTCTCTCTAAGGTGGGGAAGGAAGCCTTACATGGTGAAGTGCGGGTGGCCATTTTTAAGACTTGACAGGGATTTAAACTAATAAAAATACAGCAGTCTGGGAATGTGGAGAGAAGAAAGGAGCTGCAGAATCATATGACGGCATCATCACACAAAGTGAGAAACAGATTAATAATATCCTAATAATTTACTAGCAAACAGTAGAAGTATTAGAAATAAAGCAAAGGAGCTAAAGGTGATTATGTGTTTATACAGGAAAAAATTGGTGCCAATGTGATTCCTGAAATGTGGAAACCCAGGATTTTATTACAATTACTGTATATTACAGGCTAAATATTATTTCACATAAACAGAATCAACATACGAGGGACAGTAATTAAGTTTTTCACAAGGAAGAATGCTAATACAGAGATTAGGTTTATGTTATTTTTTATTTATATATACAGTACTGTGTATACAAGAGTTCTTACATTCTTGTACAGCCACTAGCATGTATAGCATTTCGGGCAAGTCCTTAATCCTGTGTTCCTTGGAATACAACCTGCCAAATCATTTAACAACCTGGTACAAATTTTACTGTTGGGTAAACAGAGGCTATAGTTAAGGATTGGCACCCAGTCAATCCTCCCCGGCCAGGATACGAACCTAGGCCAAAGCACTCGCCAAATGCCAAGCGAGTGTCTTACCACTTTGCCACGGGGAACGGTAATGTGCCTTCGTTGGTCATTCTGGAAACGATTTAGCTCACCCCCCCTTGCACTCACTGAACTGCCACAATCCTTGTTCAGAGGACACAGCCAAATTAACCTTAACATACCTCAATAGCATTCCTCAGAAAGGCATTTTTTCATACTTACTAAAAGCCTTTTTCATACTTACTCACAAAATATTAATTGCAAAGTCTTACCTTAAACCATATGTGAACATTTAGTGGGTCTACATCAAGCCGACGAGCAATGAATCCAATGTCCATTGGGTCAGGAAAGTTGTTGTCATTGTAGTGTGCCTCTAACACAGTAAAATTCTTCCACAGAGGAATGCGTCCATGATGTAATGCAGTCTTATCATCTACATTCTGTAAAGTAACAAATATTATTGAGCTTTAATTTCATGGAAAATGCTTCCCTTAGTGCATAGGCTCTCATACTTATGGAAACACTGGCTTCAGCTGCCCATAGAAACACTGATCTCATCTTCCCACAAAAACACTCTTTCAGCCGTCCATGGAAACACTGGCTTCAGCTGCCCATGGAAACACTGATCTCATCTTCCCACAAAAACACTCTTTCAGCCATCCATGGAAACACTGGCTTCAGCTGCCCATGGAAACACTGATCTCATCTTCCCACAAAAACACTCTTTCAGCCGTCCATGGAAACACTGGCTTCAGCTGCCCATGGAAACACTGATCTCATCTTCCCACAGAACCATTCTTTCAGCCGTCCATGGAAACACTGGCTTCAGCTACAAGTGGAAACACTGGCCCTTAACTGCCCGTGGAAACACTGGCCTTAAACTGCCCATGGAAACACTGGCCTTAAACTGCCCATGGAAACACTGGCTTCAGCTACAAGTGGAAACACTGGCCCTTAACTGCCCGTGGAAACACTGGCCTTAAACTGCCCATGGAAACACTGGCCTTAAACTGCCCATGGAAACACTGGCCTTAAACTACCCATGGAAACACTGGTCCTTAACTGCCCATTGAAACAGGGTATTTGGTAAAACTGATAAATAATGCAAAAATGTATTTTTCACATTAATTTGGCACAGCGGCACAGAATGTTGCCTGGCTGTTAACTAGCTTCCTCACGCACTCAAGCTCTAATGTATTCATCCAGTTTTGTTCTATCTGGCACTTTGATAATACGACTGAACCCTCAAATGTCAGAAAAGCCTAACATACCTCTTGAAAAGCCAGGAAACAATACAAGTGATGCATGATATTGTAACAATACTAGCTGACATTGTAACTATAAGGTGTGAAGGATAGATGAAATTGTTTATGTAATAATCTAAGATGAGGTCTGATAAAGACCTTTTGTGCCCTCTGTAATGCTTTTGCACTACCGCTCACAGAATGAGTATGGGGTGCACAATAAACTAGCCGCCTTCGGCGGCAACAATAAATGATGCACGATAGCCACAACTCTATCTCCAGTTGCACTATAGTAGAGGGTTAGAATGGCTGTTGGACTTAACTGATTGCATGTCTGCTTAATCAATCAATTCATATTAAATAAACCTGCATGAGCCAGTATAGGGAAACCATATAAATAAATAAATCTACCTTCCAAAAAGGATAGAACCTATGGCTACCATGGGTGGAATGTACAAAATATGTACTGTTGTACCTCTCTCTCTCTCTCAAAAAAAAGAGTTACATTTTGCACTCTTGGAATACTATAAAGGGCAAAGCAAAAAGTGGAACAGAAACAATTTACCTTACCTAACCTGTTCTAGGCATAAATAAGCAATCCTAGGTCTAGTATGTACTACCTAAGGCCTAATTTAGTACATTTAAAAGTTTGAGATCTTGTTCTGATCTTTCAAGATTTTTGGGTAGCTAAATCTCTGGATTTTTCAAGTTTCTGATATATCAAGGTTTGGATTTTTTAGGTTATGCTAAATTCAAAATATGCAAACTACACATATTTTAACTTTTACAACTGAAGTCAATTATTACAATACTTAAAGCTGTGACTTGATAAGGCCCCAGAACAAGCCAAAACATCATCACAATCCTTTCCTTTTCATATGTATGGTTTAGGTTATTTATTTTTACTCAAGTTATTGTGACTTCTTCTCCACACTATAAAATAATTACAACTTTTAACTAACGATGCACTTGCTCATCTTCACCATTGGAAGAGGAATGCTACATATGCATACTCCTACATATGCTAAGCATACTCCTACATATGCTAAGCATACTCTTACATATGCTAAGCATACTCCTACATATGCTAAGCATACTCCTACATATGCTAAGCATACTCCTACATATGCTAAGCATACTCCTACATATGCTAAGCATACTCCTACATATGCTAAGCATACTCTTACATATGCTAAGCATACTCCTACATATGCTAAGCATACTCCTACATATGCTAAGCATACGCCTACATATGCTAAGCGTGTAATGGGGCCCCACATTCCTCAGATGCTCACCTCGTCATTCTGCGAAGCATCACTTTCAACCTGATGAGCCATCCTGTGAGTAACCAGGAGATCTGCGTTGTTGAAGACAGCACCGCATCCTGGCACCAAGCAAACAAACTCACACTCCGGGATGCTGTCTTGGCTGTGAAGCACCTCATTGTGTCTCTTCAAATTGGAATCTGTCACAAAGGACACTTTGCACTCCTGACACTCAACCGGTGGATATTTACCTGCAAAAGTGATCAGAGTAAACCTAATTAAGTGCTTAACTCAATTTTTTTTAAATTATTTAATTAAAACAATACTGAGTACAGTATAATGAAAGGTCCCTTTATGGGGCAATATATCGGTAGCTTCGGTAGCTTCCCAAAGCACTGGCATTCTAGGGACATTCTGTTCACACCACTTTCCTATAACTAATCTGCCCCATCAAGGACTAATACTTTTTCTAATACTTGTTCAAACCCATTGTATACTCTGCAAGGGTGGGTGGTTCACCGCAATAGTGGGTGATCTTGATCCCCATGTGCTTCCCCACCTATTGGAGGAGACGAGATGGGTTTGAAAGTTCTGTGTTCCTGGTGGGTAGTATGCCATGTGAGCTCAAAGAAGCTACCAGGGTTGCCACTGTAGATATGGGCAATTTAAATTGCCTAAATAATTATTTATTTGTCAACAATACTGCCTGTTGGTCTACAAAAAATCAGTGTTGAATGTAATGAAATGCCATTTTTTGGGTGAGACCCAGAGGCTCCCAGGAGCTATACTGGGCTGATGTGTATATAGTAGACCGTAGCAACAGCCAATTAATGGAGTTCTAAGCCTAACGGGGACCACGAGCTAGAAATTGGCCTCCCTCAGAGAGGCACGAAAAGCAATGGCCTCTAGACAACCCCCATGTGGTTGAAAGCAGTCTATATCTGCCATCTACCAGGTCAGGCACCCAGAAAGGTAGGAATCCCAAAACAAACTACAGTACCTCAGTAGAGCCGAAGAGGCTTCCCACAGAAAACCAGCGTTAAATGTAATAAAACGCCATTTTCTGGGTGAAACCCGGGAGGCTCCCCCTGCAGCTATCCCTCCCTCCGGTCGGCGGTTTTCGCAGGTTTTTTAACATCCAGCCTCAGAACTTCAGGTGTGAATAGCTGGCGCAGGGGTCTGGGGCTCCCGGGGAGGGGGGAGCTGCACAAACAGCAGCACAGTGACGGTTGTGACGTCCTGCTTATTTGCTCGTTTTCGTTTGGGGGAGTTCTGTCCAACAGTTCGGCTTTCAGTAGCAATATTTTAACCAGATAGGGTTTGTTTTGGGGACATCTACCTTTCTGGGTACCTGACCAGGTCGATGGCAGACATAGAATGCTTCCAACCACATGGGGGGTTTCTATAGGCCATTGCTCCTCATGCCACTCTGAGGGGGCCAGGTTTTGGCCCGTGGTCCCCGGTAGGCCTAAGAACTCCGTGTGCTTTGACTGATGCCAGGGTCTAATACATTCATATCAGCCCAGATAGCTCTGGGGAGCCGAAGGGGTTTCCCCAAGAAAATAATAATAATAATAAGAAAACTATAAGAACAAAGATAAATGAAAGCCATACACTTACTCTCTTTCTGTTGTTTTCTTTCTTTACTTCGACGATTTTGAAACCAGTGCATGATTTGACGGTAACGAACACCCAAACGTCTTGCCAGTAAACTCATTTCTGACGGCATGGGGAAGTTATTTCTATCATAATGTGTAACAAGAATAGCCTGCTCTTCATCAGTGTATTCTATTCTCTGTCTCCCAGCATTACATTTACTTGAATTGAAGTGGTCCAAGAACGAAGGTCGATCGGGGAAGATTAAATGGCATTCAATGCAGCGGATTTCATTCCCAACTCTATGTTTCCGCTTTGCTTTCCTTCGTCTCCATTCTCCTGGTTTTCGCAAAAATTTGGTGTTTATGCACTTAAGTGGGTAGTGTTCCTTTAGGGCTATTAAAGAAGCAAAACTCTCCATACACGATGAGCATTTGTGACCTCCATTTTTAATGGGCGATTCATTCATCGATTCAGTTTCATATTCTTCTTCCGAGGAGTTGTCGAGAATACACTCCACAGCCATAATTGGATGATAGTCATCGAAATCCTCAGACATGCCATCATCCATCGAGTCATCCCGCGCTCTTGACAAGAGGTTGAAATCCTTGCCAGCTGGACGTTCACCATTTCCTTCATCATTAGAGTCGGACTCACTTGTGCTCTCATTATCTCCCTCATAAGTCTGTGGTGCTTCCGTTTGACTAGATGCCATCAGCATGGGAGCTTCAGCACCAAGCTTCTTTTTATGGCCATCAGCAGCTTTTGCTGAGGAAAAGAAAAGAAAACATTAATACAAAAGAAACTGAAAACAATAATTATCTGCCTCTAAATTTAATGTCATGTTTCCTCTGGAAGTTGCTCTTCCTTAAGGAGGGACTGCATTAAGAAACATGTTAACTACTATACCTCCAGGTGATCAAATTCATTTTAACCCTCGAAATGCCGTTATCGTCGTATGTTGATTCACGGAGTAATGTAGTTATCATTATGCACTGATATAGGGAGACACCACCTCTGAAGTTTGTGTTTGTAGGGACCCTCAGCCTCAAAGAAGAGGATATGCAGCACCCAGGAAATAAGTTCGGGTGGATATGAGGAGCTGCCTTGTATGGGCCAATAGGAGGTCCCCATTCTAATGACCTTCCCCAAGAAGGTCAAGTGTCCAACTCCCAAGTACCCAAATTACTCCTAGGTGAACAGAGGCATCAGATGAAAGGAAACATCCCTAACTGTTTCTGTCCCTCCCAGAGATTGAACCCAGGTCTCTGGAGTGTGAGCCAAGAACCCAGCCCGCTGCACTACAGGACCCACTGAACCAAATGACCGAAGAATCGAGTTACACTTAACAGACAATAAATTGTTCACAACTAACAGAAATATTACACATATTACAAACAAGGGAAGGGAAAACAAATGAACATCAAAATATTTAAACTTACTTAAATGTCTCATCAAATGAGTGTTAAGAACAACCGGATGAGAAAAATAGATGCCACATTCCCCGCAGGAGTAGCTTGATTCTGTGTTGTGTTTCTCATAATGTTTATTAAGGGACTCCCTTGTGATGTATGACACACTGCATTTGTAACAGGGAAAGGGTCCAACATCTTCGAATTTGGCTGAAAAGTGAAAAATTACATGCACTCAACATTTACAATTCATAAATAAACTGGCAATAATTTAATATATAGGAAAAGATGGACAATGGTAATGAGCTAGTTATTGTATGGGGCTGGCAGTTGAGTGGCTATTGTATGGGGCTGGCCGTAGAGTAGCTACTGTATAGGGCTGACAGTAGGGTGGCTATTGCAAGGCGCTGGCAAAGTGGTGGCTGTTGTATAGGGCTGGCAGTGATGGCTACTGTATAGGGCCAGCAGTAGAGTGGCTGTTGTATAAGGCTGGTAGTAGAGTGGCTATTGAACATGGTGGGCAGTAGAATGGCTATTGCATACAGCAGGCAGTGGAGCAGCTATTGTATAAGACCGACAGCAGAGTGGCTATTGCACAGGGCTGTCAGTAGAGAAGCTACTTCAGGCAGGTTTTAAGTTATTCTATCACAGTCTAGCTTGAGGGCAGGCTTCTTTTACTGAAAGCCTGAACTTTTTCTCTTTTTTTAATGTTATGGTACATGGTAAAGACATGGTAAATGTTTACCATGTCTGGAGGCCAACAAAGTCATCACAATGTAGTTAATCAGACACTTGCTAAGGAACCTGACCAGCTCCTTCTAGAGGTCATCAATCTTCAACCCGTTCTCGCAAATTTAATAAGTCAATATTGACTTATTAGTTGCGTGCATAGGTGACATACTTAACATAATAGTTTCCCTTGAAAAGCTTCATAGAAAACACCGACCTTACCTAACCTACTTAGTATGTTAAAATAAGCATCTTATAGCTTCATAATTACAATTGTTACTTAACCTATTATAGGTATAGGTTAGGTAATAATTGTAATTACGAAGCAATAAGATGCTTATCTTAACATACTAAGTAGGTTAGGTAAGGTCGGTGTTTTCTATGAAGCTTTTCAAGGGAAACTATTATGTTAAGTATGTCACCTATGCACATATTTAATAAGTCAATATTGACTTATTAAATTTGCGAGAACGGGTTGCAATCTTGTGTAAATTAGGTATCATACATGATGACCAAACCACACATCAGAAGATGGAAAAATGATGACGTGAAACGTCGTCATAACATTACAAAAAAAAAAATATAGATCAGGCATTCAGTAAAAGAAGTTATCAAGTCGTGTGTGAGGTCACATAGGACTTGATAATGGTCCAAGATAGACCGAAACGAAGTCATTTCTCCACCTTCTGAAGTGTAGTTTGGTCATCATACCTTCAGTCACAGTATTGTAACTCATCGTCTGCAGGAACCCACTATATACATCTTCTTCTTGAGGTTATCTTGAGACGATTTCGGGGCTTTTTTAGTGTCCCCGCTGCCTGGTCCTCGACCAGGCCTCCACCCCCAGGAAGCAGCCCGTGACAGCTGACTAACACCCAGGTACCTATTTTACTGTTAGGTAACAGGGGCATAGGGTGAAAGAAACTCTGCCCGTTGTTTCTTGCCGGCGCCAGGGATCGACCCCGGGACCACAGGATCACAAGTCCAGCGTGCTGTCTGCTCAGCCGACCGGCTCCCGGCTACATTATGAGAACTCTCTCTTGTCTCCATTCCAAGAGGTGAAAATGTCACAAAACACTGGGAGAATGAAGGCGAGGAGTAAACAATTACCGTACCATTACTGGGAGCCGGTCGGCCGAGTGGACAGCACGCTGGACTTGTGATCCTGTGGTCCTGGGTTCGATCCCAGGCGCCGGAGAGAAACAATGGGCAGAGTTTCTTTCACCCTATGCCCCTGTTACCAACAGTAAAATTGGTACGTGGGTGTTAGTCAGCTGTCACGGGCTGCTTCCTGGGGGTGGAGGCCTGGTCGAGGACCGGGCCTCGGGGACACTAAAAAGCCCCGAAATCATCTCAAGATAACCATGGGAAATAAAGGCTAATGACCAAATGGTTGATACGGTAAAAGTCAGAAATGTGAGAAGGCATATATGTGAAAATATTGTATACTGTCATGTACTAGAAGAGTTTTTACCAAAGAGAGTGATAGGAAGCAAAAGAGCAAATGAACAAGGAGCAATGGTAACATATCAGGTACATGTAAAGACACCATAGCCCAACTAGAAACAAATCACATATTGTTCTGAGTATTTTACAATTCAAATTTCTAAATAAACCACAGTACCTGTCTTATTCTTGAATTGACGTCTTGCTACAACAATTCTCTAACATTAATACATATACAAACAAAACATCAAGTTGTTATTAACCTCCAGATTTCTTACATTATTTGTACTGTTTAAATAAGAGAAAACCAAAAAATATCATTGTACACATACCCACTTCTTTCAGCTGTTTTCTATAATTTTTGCGAGTATTTTGAAACCAAGTTTTAACAACAACATATTCAACTCCCAGTTGAATTGAAATGGAAATTTGCTCTCCTGGTTCAGGAAAATTATCATGCTCAAAATGAGCTTCCAAGATTTCGCGTTGATTGCCAGTGAAATACGTTGGAGTTTTTCTTCCTGAAATTAAAGATTATCTTTCTAACAACAGAAAAAGACAAACTGTACCACAAACTGTTGAGTAAACCTTCCTATGGCATCACTGCCAACTATACCTACTAGCATCAAGGCATTTGTTTAATCATTTTTGTGCAACAAGGCTAATTTTGTTTCAAGATACAGTGCTGCTTTATCTTAAATATCAAGATATTTACTTTATCCCCCACCCAGCAATGTGATAAAATTATTCAATTTGCCACCAGCAAAATGCAAGGCTCAATTACAGTAGGTACCTTCCTTGCATTGCTAGACATACTGTAAATGTGGAAAGTTTTAAGTCAACACATGAAGATGTCAATATGTTACATACACAAACACAGTATAATTTTTTAAATAAAAATTCCTGTAAAAACCATAAAATATATGGATAATCTAATGTTGCATTTTATTCTTCTCTTAATACAATACAGTAATATCAAATTAAATCTCATTTAGAAGTTTTTTTAACATTACAAAATCCACTTACTTTTATACCCAACCAAATCAAACGACTCCCATAGCCTCTTATTTGGCACATTACGAGATCTTCTGGTTCTCTGAGGTGTTGCTGTATCGGAACTTGGGGGTTGTGGAGTTGCCTGAGGTTCTTGAGGAGCCAACTGGACTGGAATCATTGGTAGAATTGGCACATATCTTTTCTTGGCTGCAACCTGTTCAGTGAGTCATAATTATACACAATTATAACAACATTCAGAAGTGAACATTTTTATTACTAAAGTATACTATTGTTTCAGCCCATCCTCCTAAGTTTTCCCAACGTCAAGAAATAGTCGTACTGTATAAAAGTTCCTGTATCCTAACCTACCAGAGGACCCAAAACAGAAAACGGGACATAATGTCAATTTTGTGAGCCGCTACCGTTTTCTAGTACAACAATTCTTGGCTTTGGGTAAAGTATACGTCAAAATGCGACGTTCTATTAGGACAACAGGTTGGTTGTTTTGAGATTGTAACTTGAGATTTGACCCACACATATTCCCCTTTGACCAACTACTGGGACTGGATGGTAGTGACAGTCTTTCTTCTTGCAGGTTGGTGTTTAATCCCTGACCATCCAAGTGGTTGGGCACCATTCCTTTCCTTCATCCTATCCTAAATCCTAATCCTTATATCCCTTCCAAGTGGAATATAGTCGTAATGACTTAGTGCTTTCTTCTGATAATTACCTTACCTCCCCTGATTTATTGCTGCTCTGACACACAAAAATAAGAAACATATTATAAGCAAACGTCTCCCCACACACACGCTACATACTGCATGTCCATACAGTTATCACACATAGTCTTGCAAACATGAAAAGGACATACGCCCCCTCATACACACTCACACTGCCACTCAAGTTGCACTTGTCCCCCCCTCATACTCGCTAACATGTTAGTGTGATTACTCTCTGTGCATTGAAAGAGGAGTGTCAGAGGTAGAACATTCCCAGATAACAAAACCAGAGTACTTGATACCTGGTTGATGGGGTTCTGGGAGTTGTTCTACTCCCCAAGCCCAGCCCGAGGCCAGGCTCAACTTGTGAGAGTTTGGTCCACCAGGCTGTTGCTTGGAGCGGCCCGCAGGGCCACATACCCACCACAGCCCGGCTGATCCGGAACTTATCTTAGAAAACAGTCCAGTTTTCTCTTGAAGATGTAAGGGGAGCATGAAGTGCAAGGGGAGTTTGTGTGAAACTCTGGTTCGGCTTCAGCAAAAGCCTCAGGAATCCTTGTGGGTGCAGTTATCTTGAGATTATCTTGAGATGATTTCGGGGCTTTAGTGTCCCCGTGGCCCGGTCCTCGACCAGGCCTCCACCCCCAGGAAGCAGCCTGTGACAGCTGACTAACACCCAGGTACCTATTTACTGCTAGGTAACAGGGGCATAGGGTGAAAGAAACTTTTGCCCAATGTTTCTCGCCGGCGCCTGGGATCGAACCCGGGACCACAGGATCACAAGTCCAGCGTGCTGTCTGCTCGGCCGACCGGCTCCCACTACAGTAATACCCCAAGTTGCAATCCTTTTACCATGTCGTGACCTAGTTGTCTGGAGCGCGTGCCTGGGGAACACCCACCACAAAGGTTCGAATCCTCATCATGGCTCCTACAGATTTTCTCATTGATGCATCACGTTAGTGTGATTACTCTCTGTGTATTGAAAGAGGAATTTCAGAGGTAGAACATTCCTAGATGATAGAGCCTGAGACAGATGACATGTTATCCAAAAGTCTTCTTCCCTCCCATGAGCAGGGAGTGCATTAGGGATCAAAGACCAACTGACTACCAAGGTTACCTTGAGGTTACCTTGAGGTGCTTCCGGGGCTTAGCGTCCCCGCGGCCCGGTCGTCGACCAGGTGAAGAAACTCCCATCATAAAAATGACAAGGAGTCACAATACATTCAAACTCCCTCCAAACAATATTTGGCAACTCTTGAATCATCAAACAAACCTCTGAAAGGCCTAACAAGGAACTTAAACTTCTCCCATAAATTGCATTGAGACCAAGTGTCTTGTTAGGTCTTTTCAGAAATTTGTTAGGAAATTTTAAGAGCTGCCAAATATTGCTCAGAGAGAGATCAAGTGTTTTGTGATCTTTTGTTCCCAGCAGCAGTGAGTTGATTTCTTGATTCTCACGTTCTTTCCCTCTCTGGAAAAAAGGCAAGACAGTTGGAAAATTTCCCCACTTTGCTGTGCGGAGAGAAGTTATTGGAACCTGGCATGCGCAATAATTTCCTCGAGTGCCAGAACCATAAGTTCAGGAAAGACACTGAGATGGCACAAAGAAAAATATTTGTTTTATGCAAGCTTGCCAATTTATTCAGAATTTCTCATCAAACAACTAATGTGACAAAATTACTTAAACAAAATTTTCCTCTTGAAAATGGACTGTTGTTACACATTGTATACATACTATGGGAAGTACTGTACTGTTTGATATGGGTCTTTGTATTAATACCACACACACACACATTAGGAAGTGATGTGGGGGAGGCTGACTCCATACACAGTTTCAAGTGTAAATATGATAGAGCCCAGTAGGCTCAGGAACCAGTACACCAGTTGATTGACAGTTGAGAGGCGGGACCAAAGAACCAGAGCACAACCCCCGCAAGCACAAGGAGGTGAGTACACACACACACACACATTATTCTCTATATTATTTCAGTCGCACACCACTCACACTGCCGCAGGCTCCAGGATAAATCAAACTGTCTAAGTGTTGGGAGCAGGGTGAGGGCTGTTAGTGGTGTCCCATAATACATGAAAGTGTAGAGAATTTGAAAAGAAACTAAGAGTCAAGAAATAAGTGTAAGTGAATGAAATATCTGGGCTAGAAAAGTTGATCTTCCAATACAGCAGAATGTCAACAACAAAGATGGCCACCACCACAGGGCACACCAACAAAGGAATGTTTTGAAGGATTCTCAGCACAAGATATAATGAAAGGTGGGTTTCTTGGCAGGTTAGTGATTATTGAAGACATGCTAAAGAATTATGAAGACAAGATAATTAAATTAGAACAAAAACATGAAGGTCTCAAGGTCGAGTTTTGTAATTTAAAGGGAAGTATTTTCCCGCAAGGTAAGGAAATTACCAGCTTGACTGATAAGGTAAGGATACAGGAGGAACACATCAGGAACTAGTAAAGGATAATGAGGCATGGAAAGTGAAGAGTGGTTAATTTGAAGAAATAAACAAGAAAATAGACTCATATGGTGAACAACTTCAAGGAACCCTGAGGGCTGACATAGAGTTAGGCAAGGATATGTAAGGGAAAACCTCAGTGACAACTCAAATAGAGGAGGTTAATAAAGAACTAGAAAAGTATAAAGAAGAAATAAAAGAGATGTATGCGCAAGTTGTAAAAGAGAAGGAGACGATCAAGGAAGTGTGTTTGGAAGTCAAAACCAGACATGACCAACAAGAAGCAGAAATTAGGCAAGCAATTAGAAAAGAAATGGTAACCAATAGTAAACTTGTACAAAACACTGCAGACAGAAGTCCATAATAATTTTTGGGTGTTTAGAAAAGGAAATTTCATCTAAGGTGGACAGAGCAGCAAAATAGATGAAAATCATAGAGAAAATAGTAGGTTTAGGAGAAAGCCTCAATTCAAAGGAAAATGTCAGTGATTTTAGGAGGATAGGAAAATTTGAGAGACAAGAACCACCCCTTAATTAAGGGTGACATTTAATGGAGTGAAACAAATGACAGAAGTGCTTAGAAATGCCAGGAAATTGCAGTATGAGGAAGATGGCAAACTTTGGTCAACAACAAGAAAAGACCTCTCAAAGGAAGACAGAGAAACGCTGAAAATGAACCCCATTGAAGCAAAACATCTAAACAGGAATAGAAATGTAGATGAAAGAAAGAAATTTTTTCTACAAAGTGTTAGGGACTGGAAAGCAAGTGAAATGGTACATAAAAACAAAGCAACAAAATCATTAGTGGAAGGGGGAGTAGGGGAACAAAGGGAAAGGGAACTGAAAATTGTATATACCAACATAGATGGAGTTAGTTAAAAAATATTGGAGCTAAAAGATATAATTCGGCTTATGGTCCCAGATATTGTTGCATTAACAGAGTCGAAACTTGAAGAAAATATTTTAAATGAGGTCGTATTGCCAAGGGGCTATTCAGTTTGGAGACATGACAGGAGAATAGGAAGGGGAAAGGAGTGGCTGTGCTGGTGAAAGAACACTTGAAGGTAAGAGAGTTAATACTTGAAAACCCTCTAGAAGTTGACATAACGGCATTGCAGGTCTGGATTCTGGAAGATAAACTGATAATTGTAAATGCCTACAGCCCACCAGCAAGCAACACAAGGACAAAGGAAGAACTGGATGACACACGAGAGGGCCTATGTTAAACTTTCTAACTTCAGAATTGCTTTTAAATACATGGATGGTGAAATACTGAAGAAACTGTTCACGACTATTGTTAGACCAAAGCTGGAATATGTAGCGGTTGTATGGTGCCCATATCTTAAGAAGCACATCAACAAACTGGAAAAGGTGCAAAGACATGCCCCTAAGTGGCTCCCAGAACTGAAGGACAAGAGCTACGAGGAGAGGTTAGAGGCATTAAATATGCCAAAACTAGAAGAAAGAAGAAAAAGAGGCGATATGATCACTACGTACAAGACAGTAGCAGGAATCGATAAAATTGATAAGCAAGAATTCCTGAGACCTGGAACTTCAAGAACAAGAGGTCATAGATTTAAACTAACTAAACAAAGATGCCAAAGAGATATAAGTAAATTCCCTTTTGCAAATAGAGTGGTAAACGGTTGGAACAAGTTAGGTAAGAAGGTGGTGGAGGCCAAGACTGTCAGTAATTTCAAAGCGTTATATGACAAAGAGTGCTGGAAAGACTGGACACTACGAGCATAGCTCTTATCCTGTAACTACATTTAGGTAATTACACACACACTTCCATACTTGCCACAGGTGTAGAATAACACCATTATGTATATATCACCTGTAGGGTTCCATGTTCCCCTTGGATGCTCAGCTGATCACGAGCATCACTGTTCTCATTAACTATCTTCTGTAAGTCAGTTGTGTTGATGCTACTGATACTCTTCTCTGCAAAGGAAGTACAAATGTATGATTGTACTGTACATATTCTTTACATAAGTAACTATGTCAGCACTACATCAATACAAACCAACCACTATGACTGGATGGTAGAGAGACAGTCTCGCTTCTTGCAAGTCAGTGTTCAATCCCCAATCATTCAAGAGGCAGAGCACCACTCCTTTCCTACGTCCTATCCTAAATCTTTATCCCGATATTTACCTTACCTTACATCAATACAAACCAGATAAGGTGAGGGAATGAGAATTGAACTGACTTGGCTATTGTTGACCAAAGTCCTTGTAAGTGCAGGACAGTGTCTAATGGTGGACCTGAGTACTGTTCTTGTGGAGTGACAGGTGGTGAGATGTGGGAGGGTAGGCATGTGGAAGAGTATGGGTCGGGTGGGGGGTGGACACATGTGGGGTATGCATATGATGTGTAGGTGTGGGTCTGTTGGTTGTTGGGCTTAATATCTATCAACCTCTGGAGGGATTATTAAGACAACCCACAATAACTTACTGACCAACTAGCAAGTATACTTTAACCCTGAACACAGTGTACATACACTGAGTACAAAGTGTACATTGAGAAGCGGGCAACAATTTTAGGTGTAAATATACTTTGCTATGTGGTGTGCGTATAATAGTGGTGGTGATGGGTATTATGGGTATGGTGGAGGTAAGTATATGTGTGTGAGGTGGGTGTGTGCATATGATTGTTAGTGGTATATTATAATGACCAAACCACATATCAGAAAATGGAGAAACGACGACTTTTCGGTCCATGCTGGACCATTACCAAGTCGTGATTGACTGATGAATATTAAGCCGCTCAAGAGGTGGTACAGGCACGAGTAGCCCGTAAATGGTAGATGTTTGGAGTGAATGTGATATTTAGTCATGAAAGAATATACTATGTGATCGAAGAAGAAGGTACGGGTAAATAAATAAAGAAAGACGGTGAGGTGAGGAGCAGGTAAGAATAATATGAAGGGTAAGAATAGGATGAAGGTAAGAATGGAATGAGGTAAGAATAAGAGAAAGGTAAGAAAAAGGGGTAGGTTAAAGTCAGATCACATTTGTTAAGAAGGTTGGAGCATTTATGTACTGTGAAAGGCAAGAGTCAACAACAACAAAGCCAAGACTAAGGTTCATCTTGGATATGTTGTGTATCAGAGCTGAGTCAACAAGATTGCGTCTGTGAAGAATAGAGGCAGGAAAAATGATTTTATAAGACCAATCAATAAGATGATTAGAGTTCCTAACATGACAGAAGAGAACATTGTTTGTGTCTGCAGACTTAACACTTCTTTTGTGTTTCTTTTTGGGAAGAGGTGAGCATGTAGGTAGTAGTGGATCACTGATACAACAGGTATCTGAGGGTGTGGGTGAAGATGACCGCTGAAAGAATGATTTTGAAAGGTTTACTTGGTTGATACCTGGTTGATGGGGTTCTGGGAGGTCTTCTACTCCCCAGGCCCGGCCCGAGGCCAGGCTTGACTTGTGAGAGTTTGGTCCACCAGGCTGTTGCTTGGAGCAGCCCGCAGGCCCACATATACCTGGTTGATGGGGTTCTGGGAGTTCTTCTACTCCCAAGCCCGGCCCGAGGCCAAGTCAAGCCTGGCCTCGGGCCGGGCTTGGGGAGTAGAAGAACTCCCAGAACCCCATCAACCAGGTATTTGGTGGGTTTGGTGGAAAGGAATGGCAGAAGCAGTTTAAATTGGGAAGGTAAGGGTGTCAAGTATAGAACAAAGAAGGGAGTTAGGGCTTAGGAGTTTAGGTGAGAGTTGGTGGGGTGTGGGAGCAAGTGTATTAGTTAAGGGTTGGCAGCCTAAGTAACAGATCAAACTCACTAGGTTTGCTCCCCCTCCATCTGGGCTATACAACCCAAAAGCAAAAGTTAGCCAATTTTAATTATCATAATTGTGTTTGTTTTACATCAATACAATGAATGATTCCATTTTTTAGATACAAATAAAAATAAATTAGGAAAAATAGTTGCCTTTGGGCAACAGTACCTGATAACAAAGTAACCCGAGTTTGAAAATTATACATTAGTGTTTGTTTAAGTCAATATGACTGGGTTGTCTAATGTTATGGCAGAAAGCAAAATCACCAGATGCAATGGTGTTACAATCCTCAGTTTCAATGACAATCATATTTTTATTCTCAAACTCTACCAGTTTAAGCTTCAAGTCAAAATAATAAGGCATTCTCATGGTATTGAACAGAAACCTGTCTGGAAGAGAAACATACAAAAGCATAAGATAAGATATCCATACTGGGAACATAACTAATCTTGCAATTTAAATTACTGAATCATATTTACCTTTTGTTTTAACATTGTTGTGAATATCGAGCAGTTTTCCATTGTTCTGGCTATCAACATTAATACCATTTTTCACTTCTTTTGCCTTCTTAGTCTTCTCAATGAGCGGTGAGGACTTTTGCACTCCTTCTGCATTTTTCTCCTTTAAGGGCAAAATTGAACTCTGACTAATAGGAATGAGATTGGGCAGGGCCTTTTTTTTGGATTTCTTGGGGGGCAACTTGCCATCTGCCAAGATAGCCGGAGATGAGGTTCCCTCCAGAAGATAATTGAGGATGGGATTAGTTTCTGACGAGCCCTTCAATGAGACTGGAACAGAGATGAAGGTGGTAGTCGGTGTTGTAATACTTCCAGAGGACACTGTAGTGAAGCTGGCAGTTTTTTGTCCTGTCACTGAATTATTAACAGGGACCAGTTGCACAGGTATTAATTTAACGTAGTTGACAGCTCCTGATGGGGAAGTGAATGACAAGTTATTAAGAGAGGATGGAGTGATTATTGTGGAAGGTGGAGTTAACATTGGTGGCGATACAACAGTAGAAACAGATGAGGCTGGTGATTTTGAAGCCTTAGTGGTCGATGGACTTAAAACAGGGGTGTTACAAGAGACACTATACTCTGATTTTGTTGAGTCGGTCTCTGATGTAGCTTCGTTGTTATCAGAATTGTTGAGACTTGTGATGACGGATGCTACAGTCTTTCTTGCCCGTGCATGTATTGCTCTTACTGAAGTGTGTTGCAGCTGACTTCTTGACCTATCAATAGTGCTAACAGGAGCCAACGGAACCCCATGACCCATCCTGTGTGAAGATAGTAGTATCTTGTCGTGGAAAATTGCCCCACACAAATTACATTTGTAGTTCCATTCATGGTGTCTATGGGTCTCCATATGAGCTTCTAAACAAATGGCATTAACAAAGGTGGTTTTGCACTCAGAACACTGTGGTGGATCTCCATAATTATCTTTTAAATGTTTATGCTTGTGGATCATAAGATTTTCTTGATCAGTGAATTTCTCCTCACATAGGTAGCACATCAGAGCACCCCCTAACTTCTCATCAACCAGACTTAGATTTACATTGTGCCTGGTTTTAAGGTGCGATGCAAACACTTCCTTGTTCCATTTCTGCAGGCAAAGAGGACAGGTGCGCACACAAGTATCCTGGTCTGTGTCCCCATTGTGACGCATGCTGTGCTTCACTAAAAATGTCAGCATAGCGAAAGACATGCCACAATCACGACACTTGTATGGTTTTTCTTTGGAGTTTACTGAAAGATAAAGTTTCCAAACTTAATATATATATTAATGATAAAAATTCATGAACACATTCAAAATTCTATTAACAAATATAAAAAATACAATGTGCTGAGATGTACAGAAATTTGAATGTGGTAACAGCACAAAAATTCCATTAAAATTTAATACATACAGGTAGGTCATGTCTTGTATACAGTTCCCTACACACATACACTTTGTACCAAATGTATGGATGTATTTCTTGCATTGCTCTTCAGGGGCCAGATTCACGAAAGCACTTACGCAAGCACTTATAAACATGTACAACTTTCCTCAATCTTTGACGGCTTTGGTTACATTTATTAAACAGTTTACAAGCATGAAAACTTCCCATTCAACTGTTGTTATTGTTATAAACAGCCTCCTGGTGCTTCAGAGCTCATTAACTGTTTAATAATTGTAAACAAAGCCGCCAAAGATTGAGGAAAGGTGTACAGGTTCGTAAGTGCTGGCGTAAGTGCTTTCATGAATCTGGCCCCAGGTGAACAAGCATTTCTGCTATTACACACTGTACTTGTTTCACAATCTGATATCACTATATTCTTTCACTTGTTTGAAACCTTCAGCCACACCCATGTATACATCAGTAGTTTCAAAGTGTCATATGACAAAGATTATAGAGAAGACAGAACACAACACATATAGCTCTCATTCTGTAACTACACCTAGGTAACTGCACTCACACTTAGGTATTTACACTAAACGAGCGACAAACCTTCGTCCAAAATGTGTGTGGCTCTTTTCCTCTGTCTTGATCTTTCATTCTGAAACCAGATCTTGATGACTTGAGGTTCCAGCTTCGTCAGGTGTCCAATAATCTTAAACATGGAAGGATCGGGAAAGTTGCAGTACGTAAAGTGCAGATATAGCGTTCGCAGCTGAACTTCATTAAATACAGTCGTTCTTCTGCGATGTCGTTTCATGTTATTTAAATCGGTGTCGTCTGTTACATCTGAGGGAAGAATCAACAAATGAGCAACCAAGATACTCTTAGCTTATATAGCATTATTCAAATGAGCCACTCAAGTACAGTATAGTACAGGACTTTATAATTAAACTGTGTTACATATGAGCTTTGACAGAACAGGCAATGTAAAGTACACACACTGCTCTGTGTGTCAGAGAGAACCTGATGGGCAGCTTGCTTATTCATGACTTAACAATTTAACAGGATAAAGTTATGAATCTTTGGCAACCTAAACTGTGTTCAAATTTAATATACTTTACAATACAAGTGAAAACTTTTTAGAAGACTCTATGGTTTAAATGGAGAAATGTTTAAATAATACCACAAAATAGTCTACAGATGCAATACTTATCAAGATAATAATCAAAATATCTAGATGGCTAAACTTACCATACTAAAATGCACATTTTTAAAATAACAAAATTTGGAATCTGCATATCCAAAATCCACACATCTGAACACGGGTGCAGCAACCAACATTAGCTACTGAAATGTTCAACAGTTTGTGTCATGGGAACCACTGAACATTAAGTCATCCTCCATCATTAATGCCTCTGACTAAACCACATCTTCACCAGAGAAGAGGAAGTAGTAAGCAATTATTAAAAGAAGGGAGAGACTATGGGGAGACTATGTAGCACCATCAAAGGTGCTAACTGTCACTAAAGATGCCAATACGAAAACAAAAGTGCATAATGCAAATGATATCAAAGGTATTTTGAGTCACCAAGGATTCTACCGAGGGACAAATTACCGTGAGGAATAACCAGGAAGTAAGACACATGCACTTCCTGGAAGTCAGGACATTTAACAAGGATATGCACTACTGTAAGAGGTGCATATCCTCTTACAGTTAAGAGCTCGGACGATAAGGAGCAGGGTAGCGCTCCATTAAGTGCCCGTGAGTTAAACATGTATGGCCAATGCGTAACCTTGCCGGAGCCGTTTTCCACCAGTGGCTCCGGCCCAGAGGAAGGCCAAGGAGACAGGCTACCCTTAAGAACATGCAGTTTGCGTAGACGAGGAAAGGGTTGCCGTGAAGCCTAGCCCTTCAGTAGTATCCCAACCCAGGTCAGAACCAGAAGGAGCAACAGAACCAGACGTAGGAGCTGAGGAAGAAAGCGAAGCCTTCTTACCCGCCGGGGAAGAGGAAGGAGAGGAGCCAGGCTTACGCTTCTGACTTAAAGAGACCGGTGTCCCAGCAACTACGTACCGGGCAACGGATTCCAGTGTCTCAACAGGAGAAGCCGAACGAGAGCACACACGACGGCCGCTAGGAGAGCGATGGACATCCGCCCATCGCGGAGGCCCCTCTAGGGGCCTCCGCGATGCTAGGAGGCTCCTCAAAAAGGTACCAATAACTTCCCCAGAGGGAAGGCTGGGAGAAAAGGGTGGCACACACTGAACAAACTGAGAGAAAATCAATGACTCCAGCCAGGGCTTGGGAGCCCAACAGCATAACAAACAGATGAAAACATTTCAGCACCACAATCAGAGATGGCAGCTAGGATCAACCTGATCAACCAGGCTGTGACTCATACGTCAGGCTACGAGCAGCCGCGTCCAACAGCCTGGTTGATCAGTCCGGCAACCAGGAGGCCTGGTCGACGACCGGGCCGCGGGGACGCTAAGCCCCGGAAGCACCTCAAGGTAACCTCAAGGTAGGAGAAGCTAAAATGAACAATGGTGGGGAGAAAGCAGCCCATTTCTTTTCCCTGGGGGGGATCAGATTTACAGGTTAACCAGACCAGAAACTAAAAATTTGTGTAAAAATAACAAGGGGGAAAGTATGCAGATAACACTTCAATAAAGAATTGAAAATACCAATGAAAAAATTTCAGTGTGTGAGTACACAGACGTAAAACAGCATCTTTAGCTGCACCAAGCAACACCTCTGGCTCAATCCCATCCTCCGGTTTAGATAGTACTTTTTGTAACTATGTGGACCATCGTACATATACTGACGTAATGAAAAATTAGATAGTATAATTTTGTATTACTGTATTCACTTTAGAGTCCAGGAAAAAGACTGAAATAGAAGTAACACCAGAGGAAGTAAAGAAACAATTAGAGGAGCTGAATGTGGTGAAAGCTGCAGGCTCTGACAAGATCTTGCCAAGGATCCTTAAACAGGCAGCTGCAGCATGTGTGTGTGTGTGTGCCCCTTGCTATACAACTCCTCACCAGAAACCAGGAAACGTCCTGACATTTAGAGAGTGGCTAATGTGATATCTATATGCAAGAAAGCAGGAAGTCAGGAGCCAATGAACTACAGACCAGTATCATTAACAAGTATTCCCGTAAGATATTAAGAGACTAATCACAACTCATCAATTATTTAGAACATATCAATTTTGTTTCCAAGCATCAACATGGATCCAGCAAAGGAAAATCATGCTAGACCAACTTACTGAAGTTCTATGACAAGATGACAACAATCAAGCGGGATAGAGAGAACTGGGCAGACTGCATTTTCCTGGATTGCCAGAAAGCTTTTGACACTTCCTCACAAGAGACTCCTATGCAAACTTGAAAAACAGGCTGATGTATGGGGAAAAGTACTAAAGGTGAAGGTGAAGGAGTACCTATCATGTAGAAGGCAAAGAGGCATAGTAAGAGAAGTGTTATCAGAATGTAGAGATAATGAGAGGAGTACCTCAGGGGTCGTTACTAGGGCTCATCCTGTTTCAAATACTGCATATGTAAACAATCTAATAGAGGAAGTAAGCCTCCTCTTATCTATGTTTGTTGACGATGCTAAGCTAATGAGGTGACTCAGAACTGAGGACTGCAAACCCTTACAAGATGGCCTAGACAATCTCCAGAGATGGCTACTAGACTTTAACCCTGACAAATGCAAGGTTATGAGGATAGTAGTTGGCGCAAGAAGACCTCATATACAGCATAGGATGAAGGGAAGGCAACTTCTAACATTTGAAAAAAGAGAAAGATTTAGGAGTGCACATAACTCAAGATCTATCACTGGAGGCACACATCAGCAGAATAACGAGGGCAGCATATGCCATACTGGCAAATATCCAGTCATCCTTCAGGAACTTGAATTAAGATCCCTTCCGAGTTCTATATACATTCTTTGTGAGACCTATTATTAAGTTTGCTGCCCTGGCATGGAACCCTTACCTGAGGATTCACAAAGCAAAATTAGAAAAAGTCCAAAATTATGCAACAAGACTAGTTCCTGAGCTAAAGGGACTGAGCTATGGAAAAAGACTGAAGGAACTGGACCTCATTACACTAAAGGAAAGAAGGAACAGAGCAGACATGATAATGATGAACAAGATGTTAAGAGAGACTAACAAAGTAGATTAAGAAGCAATGTTCAAATTAAGGAACAGTAGAATGAGGACACAATTGAAAACTGGAAACACAGATGAGCCACAGGGATATCAGAAATACTGTAACTTTTCCAGTCTCGTAGTTGTAAATAAGTGGAATGGACTAGATGAGGAAGTTGTCGAAGCCAATTCAGTGCACAACTTTAAATGTAAATTATGATAGCAAAATTGAGTGAATGAGTCACTGTACTGAACTGAAGATGGCCGAAAGGCAGGGGATTAAAAGCAGATGCTCAACACTGCAAACTCAACTTGGTGAGCACTATATTAGGCCACAGATAGTGTGTATTAGACCTAGGATGGTAAGGTTAGGTTAGGTTAGGTAAGGTTACATTTTATTAGCAACACAAATACAAAACCTTTTCTTGTTTGTCCAAATTTAATAGTACCAAATTTTACTGTCTAATTGTTCATTATGTCAATACAATTATATGTACGATGGTCCACATCGTTATTGTAAGTACTATCTAAACTAAAGAATATGCTGCCCTAGCTCCACTCCCCAAAGCATGAGACACTAATTATAATATTATTATATTTTACTGAAATTATTATATGCCAAAACATTATTAAATGATAAGTCATATAAATACATTACAATAATAACTATCAAAGTCTATGTATAATTTGATATGTCAAAGATAATTGTTAAGTAAATGGTATAATTTGCACATACAAAATTGTTAAGTAAACAAAACTGAAACTTTGAATATGATTTCAGGCAGGAATGAATTGATTGTTGATTTACATGTAGTGTTCTGGGAGGAAAGTGATCCTACATAATGCTCAACGAGCATAGAGGATTAACGAAAGGATTCAATTATTCACTAAAGTATATTAAATCCTCAAACTCATCAAAGATAGAAAGTAACTTTGCATTTACCATCCTCATTATTCTTTTCCAGCTTCCGTCGTTGTTCTTCTTGATGCCGAAGAATAGCCTCAATCTGCTCCTGCATCGATTCTCTTTCTTTCGACGTTTGTGTGTTATCTACTGGCTCAGTCTTGATATTAACAGGGGTTTTCCATGTAGACTTGAGACCATGGCTTTGCAGTATAGCAGTTATCTGGTCTTGTAATGTTAAAGGCTGTTTTTCTTCTTCTGCCATTTCTTTGATTTCTTCCTTCACCCTGATCTTTGCTACCTCTGAACGCGAGGCTGGCACGGGAAATATAGTTAGACCTCCAAGGGTGAGAGAGCCTTTTGGCTCTTCCCGTTCCTTCGCTTCCTGCTGTTGTTGTTGTAGTAAGAGCTGCTGCTGCAAGTGTTGCTGCTGTATGTGCTGTTGAAGTTGTAACTGTAGTTGCTGTATCTGTATTTTCTCATCTTCCTGATCTTCTTCCATCTGATCTTCTGCCTGATTCTCTTCCTCCTGATCATCTTCCCTCTGATCGTCTTCCGAGTCATTACCTTCTTGCTTATCATTTTCTTGCTCATCTTCTTGTTCTTCTTTGATTGCAACTTTCGATAACTTGTTCTTGTGTGCATTGTGCAACTGTGCTAACAGCAACTGCTGCATTAACTGCTGCTGTTGCTGTTTTATTATGAGGGGATTGTCTTGTAACTGCGACAATACTGCTGAATCTATAAGTGGTGGGGGAGATGAAGGGGATTGGTGGTGTTGTTGTTTCTGTAACTTCTGCAGCAATAACAGAGGTAGGGCAGCTTGAAGAGGTGTCGGAGAGCTCTGTTGACTGGTTAGTGTGGGCTTTATATCTTTCTCAATATTTCCTTTGGCACAGATATCCGAGATATCCATAGCGTCATCTTCAAGGTGCGTCAGATCAACGCCAGTTTTGGAGCTGCATTTAGATATTTTGTGTGTGTCCAGTAACACCTTGTGAGTAAATCCCACATTGCAATGTGGACAATATAGTGTTTCACGCTCGTGGGCTTCTTTATGGCTCTCTAAAAACCTGAAAGTAAATAATAATAACTTATTTCATTTGAAAATAGAGAAAAATTATCTTGATATAACACATTCAGTAATGTTTCCTATACACAAGTAAACATATGTAATGCTGCTAAACTGACATTATCTTTACACTGTTTACTTTCCAATCTTTCTCAGTATAGTACACCCTTCAGACACCTTAACCCCTGCTGAAAGACGTATACCATCTTGAAGATGCCCCTGTATTGTTTCTCTTAATAAGCTCCATCATTCTATGAGAAAAAAATTATGTAAAATGCTTCCATAATATAGCTGACATCAACTTACTTTTTTGCAATAAATGTAGAGGGGCAGAGGGTACAGTACCATCGGGCATCAGGATCACTTGCATTCTTGCCGGCTTTGTTATCACCTGGTGCTGCACCTGAAACAAAAATACCGATTACGTTACAGAGTGACATGGCTCGGTGAATGACTTGATGATCGGTCTGGCACATCCGATGTGCCAGACCGAGCAGTCTGGCATAGAGCGGGTACCCCAGTAATATGCCTTTAAGCAGGTCAACTTTAGGAGATCTTTGGGATTTAACCTTATTTTTCCCATATACATTTAAGTTTGACTTTAATGGGTTTTTAACTGCACTGTTTTTGCAGAAACATAATCCCTCATACAAACTATACTACCTGTAGCACTGATAATATTATGCAAATAAGAGCAGAGTACAGCATATCAAATTTGCAGCAGCAACCCCATTTGTGGCAAAATATTAAATATTAATTTCATAGATTAAACAAGCATTAATGAGATAACAGAAGGATGATGACTGAGATGAAAATGAAGACGAAAGAATCCCTAGAAACTGAAAATAGGAAGCATAAGGAAGAAACGTACTGAGAACTTAGTTACAGATGGAATTACAAATACCCATATATTGCTGGGAATCAAGGACTATGTATTTTACCTCGGTCTTTTGGTGGCAAACGTTTGCGAATGCTCGCCCGTCTATTCTGAAACCACATTTTGATGCTGCGGTACGGTGTTTTGATTCGCAAAGCAATGCAGTGTTGGTCAATTGGCTCCGGGAAGTTGTTATGCTCAAATGTCGTCTGTGGAAATGAAATACAATTAAACTTTCTTTGATGATACCTGTAGTTCATAGCCTATTTTTATTATACAATCCTACTATTTATATTTGTACATATTACAGAGATCAGTTAACTGAAAAAATTTACTATATAAATGAGATGTCAATCCTTCAGACACAGTGTTGCTACTATTTCTGAGCCGAGGTCCTTGGATGCTAATTAAGTCAACCCTATGATGGTCCACCTAGGACTAGCATCCCTTGCTAGGCTCTCGTCAATCTCATCCCCCACCATGACAAGTATCTTTGCAAATGATCTGGTTGAGGAAGAGACAGTAAGGAGTCTAATTTAAGCCTCAAGGAACTTAAGAATGGGAGACAGTGGTTATCTTGAGGTTATCTTGAGATGATTTCGGGGCTTTAATGTCCCTGCGGCCTGGTCCTCGACCAGGCCTCCACCCCCATAAAGCAGCCCGTGACAGCTGACTAACACCCAGGTACCTATTTTACTGCTAGGTAACAGGGGCATAGGGTGAAAGAAACTCTGCCCATTGTTTCTCGCCAGCGCCCGGAATCGAACCCGGGACCACAGGATCACAAGTCCAGCGTGCTGTCCGCTCGGCTGACCGGCTCCCTAACCTCTGCCTGGGGTGCCTAACTCAAGCCACCTACCTCACTATGAGAGCAATGCCCTCAACTCTGCAAGTGATAATCAGCAACACATGAAATGTCAATAATTACTGCTATACTGCTAGTAGACAAATGTTGTCGGCCATCGTCACTTTGGTGCTTAAAATCCACCATATCTTGACATGAACTCTGTGGTGGCCAATACAAGGTTAATTTTGTTTACATTAAATAAGAACATAACAGAGGCAACTGCAGAAAGCCTATTTCTCCAAGGCAGTCGGCTCCTATTTATACACAACTAAACTCATTTGTATACCTGCCTAATTTTCACTTGAAACAATCCAGCGCTCTCATGTCTATTATAGTTTGCGAGGTTTCGAGGTCGAGCTTTACATTTGAAGCCAGTTACCTCCCTGTGTAGCCCTGGACTGCTTATCATCTATCAGATACCAGTGAGCGACTGTGTATCTGTGTATGCTTCATCTCCCATCTATGTGGCCCATTTTCCATACCTTCAGCTTGGGTAAGTGCTTTATTCAACGAGGAGAGCTGACTCAAGGTGTATCTGATGGGCTTCAACTAAAAAATATAGTGTTGAATGAAGTCAGTCGTATGCACTAGTCTTCATGGATACGCCCATTCACCTCTCATTTGTTGCCTTTTTCTAAGCTTGCTTAGATAGTCTGCGCTTAAAGTGAACCAACAACCACCTTGACACACCCTGCCAGTGACAATACAAGGAATGATACAGCTCTGTTTACTATTAGCTAAGTTCCCCCACTGCCACCTGCTTTACAGTAAGCCGATTCTTCAACAATAGCTACAGACTCTTCACTGTCTCCTTTCCCTAACTGCCTTCACAAGACCATTTACACGGACCCTTATCGTGGTAGGGGCTAAGGAGGGCAAGAGCCAAGTGTGGCATACAAGTCCAACTTAACCCGAGGACTTTTCTTATACAGTATCTACTCTTGCTTATCCCTCACATAATATTTATTCTTCTAGCTAATTTTGATATTATTATTAGATATTTGTCAGCTAAGTGGTAAGGTCAGTGTTAAATATTATATGAAAAACAAACCTCTAATACTTTATATTGTTTTTCATTGAATGCAGTTCGCTTGCGTTTAAATTGCATCTCCCCAACTTGACCACAATCTGAAACAAATAATTCAAGTGATAAAATCCATAAAGAAAACCTGCAAAAGGCAAAGAACATTTTATTCTCCTAAAGAATTAAAAAATTGCAATTACTCAAATGAATTAAAATCCTTTAAACTATCTTAAACTAAAGAATTCAAATCCTTTTAAGAATTAAAAAATTGCAATTACTCAAATTAATTAAAATCCTTTAAACATTTATATTACATTCACTATTTTAATTAAAGTACGAACAGTATTTCTATTTTTATTCTACGATATGGTATTTTCTTTAGATGGTAATTATCCATCTAAGAAATGAAGAACTGAAAGTTGCATACAATCTCTTGCAGAAATTTATATGCGTAATTTAACTAATCTCCAGAACATAATGTAACTAATCACCAGAACATAATGTATCTAATCACCAGAACGTAATGTAATTAATCACCAGAACGTAATGTAACTAATCACCAGAACGTAATGTAACTAATCACCAGAACGTAATGTAACTAATCACCAGAACGTAATGTAACTAATCACCAGAACGTAATGTAACTAATCACCAGAACGTAATGTAACTAATCACCAGAACGTAATGTAATTAATCACCAGAACGTAATGTAACTAATCACCAGAACGTAAAGTAACTAATCACCAGAACATAATGTAACTAATCACCAGAACGTAATGTAATTAATAACCAGAGCGAAATGTATCTCTGAGAAAATATTGGGGCCATACATACTGATACATTGGAATTGAATTCACATCCCCGAACTCACCATGCACGTGCACTACCGACTGAACCACGATGGGGTGAACTATCTCACCCAGAAGTACTACTGCTACTCCAAGGAAGTCTGGTACAGTAGTACTTTTGATGAACTTGAAGGTATAGAAAGGCTAAACAGTTAGCAGAAGATTAAATATATACCAGTTTTTTAACAGCATTAGTGAACTAGTACCATTTGGCTGTAAAGTTATGAAATATGACAACAGAGACAATACGGATTACCTCAAACAAAACCAGTGGAAAAGCAGAATGAAAGAAGCCGTCTAAACAAATAAAAGACAAAACTAATTGGAACGTAATAATTGTACAAAGGACAATATAATTGTGAGAAAAGTGCAGTTCTAAAATTTACATATTATAAAATAACAAATTTACCAACAAAACACAATTCCAGAAAACTGCTTCTCAACTTTACCTTCCTGATTTTCATTGTTGTTGCTCATGCTGGAAGCAGGGCGCTTGCGCTCATTCTTAATGTGGGGTGTAATGGTGACCTGTGGCTGCGTGCTGGAACTGAGCTGAGATAACATCTGCTGCTGAAGCTGTAACAATATACAAAACAGAATAATAGATTTTGAGACTCAATACATAATGCATTTCTAAGCACTCGCTTGGCTTCCCCTTAAGGTAAGACACCACTGTCGTTAAGAGAACATATTATGTAGTTAGGAAAGACACATTTGAGGAACGTAGCTCATAGAAAATAAGCCCTATGAACCCTTCCCATCAGAAGATGCTTGGGCTGAAGCCTATAGTTTAAACACCAGGTGTAAAGGCCGAAAGGTATCCTGAGCATCACCTAAGATTTGTTGAATGACAGATTCAGAAAACAACAATAGGAATAAAGGGTTGGAAAGCAACAGACTGAATGTCCACCAGGACTCCTGAGACTGGGCCAGGCTATCTTGAGTTATCTTGAGGTTATCTTGAGATGATTTCGGGGCTTTTAGTGTCCCCGCGGCCCGGTCCTCGACCAGGCCTCCACCCCCAGGAAGCACCCCGTGACAGCTGACTAACACCCAGGTACCTATTTTACTGCTAGGTAACAGGGGCATAGGGTGAAAGAAACTGCCCATTGTTTCTTGCCGGCACCCGGGATCGAACCCAGGACCACAGGATCACAAGTCCAGTGTGCTGTCCGCTCGGCTGACCGGCTCCCCGTCTGTGGGTGGCCAGGTTGGGGGTATTAGAGAGAGGGAAATCTTGGTTGCAAGGGTGGGTAGGCCTTGGAGAGCAGGCCTACCCACACAAACCCAGCAGGTGAGTGGGTTTATTTGCAGGTTATATACACCTGTGGCCAAAGCCAAATATACACATAGGCAAGGAGTTCCAAGGCCTAGACCCTCAGCTTCACTTGCCAGTGATATATCTTCTTATTATATTATAATATTTGCAATGTAATTTAGTTGATATACCACTTGGCCCAGTGCCATTCAGCCCCCCCCCCCCCCACAATTTTTGTAAAAAGCATATTCATTTTCATGTTGAATTGAATGCTCAAACAATTTTTTTTTAGATACTTTTAATGTATCAATATGTTATAGGAGAATATTTGAAGAATCTCACATTTTTGTTATATGATTTTATTCAATGGTATAGATACCAAATGTTTTACTCAGTCCAGGTCAAAATATAATTAACTCCCCTCATCAACATAATTTGTAATTATATGTTTCCCTAGTACGATATATACAGTATTTATTATCAAAATGTTAACAAGAGTACTTGCTTACATGTTAACACCTTCACATATGTGTTTTGGACCTCTTGGAGTCTTGCTCAGCCATGAGTAAAATGCTTATACAGAATAGTAATCATTTTAAGTTTTCAATTTTTTTTTTTGTTATAACTAAATTTTGTATTTAAATGTCTGCAAATGAATTCTTTAGAGTACAGTATAGATACAAAAATAACATGTGTACAGTATTGATAATGGATTATGCTTGATGGCACTTAATAATATAGTATATGAATGTTTATACATTTCAACATTCTTCATTTCTTTTTCAGCGTGAATTTTACAATATGAAAATATATGTACGTGATCGATTTATATGACTGTAAAAAATAAAATAAACAGAACTTTCATTCTTTTCTGTCAGGTATGTAAAGTGTAAAGTCCTGTCAGGTGTATAAGATGTAAAGTGAAAATACGCACTAATATAGCAATTACAGTCTTGAGGTGATCTCTAGTTGTGGTTGGCTGAGGTGATCGCTAGTTAGTCCCCCTCGTAAGCTCTGCCCCACACTGTGCTCATGTATTTCAACTTTCATCATGTAAGTGTAAACAGAATGGTTAAGATAGTGATTTTCGTACATTCCAATATGAAAAGACACTAGTCATCGGACCGTTTACAAGATATTACGGATGACTAAATAGTGTCATCGGAACATTAAAGTATTTACTAGAATAAGTTCAGAAAGGTTTAATTACTTTATTTAAAATTGACAGTATGTTTACTAACTTTTAAATCCATGTGCTTCTCTCTCAATGTAATAAGCTTTTGTATAGGTTACACACCAAAACATGTTGCAAACCCCATACTACTTTCTTGTACACGTATAAATGCAGGATGATGGATACAGACAGAGAGGAAGATATAATACGAGAGATGGAAAAATGGAGGCTAAAAACCTGAAAGATACGTACGTAAATACAGTATACAGCATGCTGTATACTTTTATACATACACAAAAGGGTTACAAGCGAGGCTATGATTAGGGAAACATGTCATTTGGCTAGACCTGTCACTGCTAACCTGCTGAAACTGAGCCATGACTCCTGCTTGGTACTGCAGAATGTGGGAAACTACCGTCTGCTGTAGTTGGTTCAATTGAGCAACGACAGCCTCCTGTGGTACAGTTGAGGTCGATGGTGGCGGTGAATCAGATGCCTGTGGAGGCAATTCTGGAGATTCTCTGCCTCCAGTTTTATCTTCTTCACTTTCTTCTTTTTCCTCATCTTTCTCCTTTTTAACATTTACTACTACTACTGTTGCTTCTTTCTTTTCTTTAATTACCTTCTGTTCCTCGTGTTTTACTACAACTGCTGTTACTTCTTGTTCTATATTATGTTCACGATCCTGTTTGTTCTTCTTTTCCATGCTTTTCCTCCGCTTGCTACATTGTCTCTTCTTCATGAGTGCAACTGGTTGGGTTCCCTTAATCCTAGATTGTCTCTCTCCATGCCATCTGTCCTTGCAACCCCCAAGGGAGCCTGTAAAACATCAAAGAAATATATTAAATACTGTAACCTCAATGTTTATAAATGCAGAGAATAAGTCACAATAACATGGATGAAACAAATCGCCCAACCTACACACGAAATGAAACGATAGTGACCATGTTTCAGTCTGTCTTGACGTGGGTTCATGATGACCTAAAATGCCATCGCTTTCATTTCTTGTGTGTTGGTTGGGTTGTGTGTTTATTACTGTCTTGCCAAAAGGTTCAGGTTACTCAAAGCACATGTGACTCGCATCCATGGCTCTTTCTCTCTCTCTCATTTTTAAATTTATATACTGTACAAGAATTCTTACATTCTTGTACAGCCACTAGCACGCATAGCGTTTCTGGTACTGTAGGTCCTTAATCCTATGTTCCACGGAATACAACCCCGCCAAATCGTTTAACAACCAGGTACCCATTTTACTGTTGGGTATACAGAGGCTACAGTTAAGGATTGACGCCCAGTAAATCCTCCCCGGCCAGGATACAAGCCTAGGACAAAGCGCTCACAAAATGCCAGGCGAGTGTCTAACCACTACACCATGGGAACCTCTCATAAAGTTTCACTGAGAAATTAACTATACAATTTATTAATCCCTTTAAATTATGACTTTACTCAAAACCAATACCAAAACATGCCATGGATTAAATAAGGCACGCTAATACTGCACAACATTTATACAAAAGAGGTATGTCTGTACGTTTTCAATACAGATTAAATAATTTCTGCAGGCAAGTGATACATGTTTAATTTATTTTCACCCTTAATTTTGTTGGGAAAACTTATCCTACGGCATAACTCAAAAGTAAAGACATTGTCCTATAAAATTAAACCAGAATGGTAACTATAGTCTATGCAATAACAACAGAGATACAGTATACCAAAAACAAAATAAAACTAGTAAAAGATCAGATATAAAACAAACAAGGCGCAATGGTTTCAAAGTTCACCAAGCCACAATGTAGGACAGAAAACAGGAGATGCTCTTTCACTTGGTCTGGGCCTAATGTAGCGGGGGCTACACCAGCTTAACCACCAAAACCGAAAATGCCAAAACATTGCTGCAATTCAAAATACAGCTCGATAAAATTATTAAGACAAGTGAGGACCCCTTTGACAAGTTGCCCATTTTCTATCTTTGTTGAGGATAGAAAATGGGCAACTATGGCCCCCCCCTCACCCTCAAAATGGGGAGTTGGGGGGGGGGGGGACATAGACAAATCAAGCAAAAACGGTCGAGTCGAGGGGGCAAAGCAGACTGATAGAGTTCGGGGTGGGAGGAGGCCTAGGAGATGGACGGTCGAGGGAATGGGGAAGGACAGAAACAGTGGAGAGCACTTGATCAGAGACAGCATCAGAGGAAGAATCAAGAGCCACAGAAATCTCCATAGAGGGGGCCCAGTCGACTCTGCCACAGAGATGGGAGGAGTTGTTACAATGGATGGAGCCAGTCCGAGTGACAAATTGTTCACCACTGGGGGGCTTTGGGCTCAACCCTACCAGAGATGGGAGTGGAGCAGTGTGTGTTAGTCGGGAGTCAGAGCAGCAGCTTGGTCTGGGCCTAATGTAGCAGGGGGCTACAGAGCCTGGCCTTCCATCACAATCTGAAGACCGACAACCAGAGCGTAACTCCATTGTCTCCCGAGACTGATGGATGCCTACCACTGTATTCAATGCTCTTTTGTATGTTTCACTCCATTTAATTATTGGAGGATTAATACTTCTTTTACAGGTTAAACTAATAGTTTTTTTTTTTTTTTTTTTTTTTTTACTTTTCTCATCCATCTGGTCCTTTTCCCTTCCACTGCCACAGCACATATATTTATACAAGTTCGGCACTGGTTTTTGTTAAGTTATCCCACAATGGTTCAAGGTCTTGTCACCTATTAGCTCCCTCCATTCTCATTCTTTGATGTCCTCAAAAGTAAGCACAGATCATCACCCTAGACTTTTATACTATGTATAGGTTTCTAGGATTATATTACATCTCGGGTAATAGTGGTCATATGTAGGAATGATGTTACCTAGGATGGGATTTGTCATATACTGTATATAAAAAAAAAAAAAAAAAGAGTATTATTGTATGCTGCATCATTGTTGAGGTCAAGAAACCTGTTAGGCTAATCAAGGTCTACCAATCTAAAGCACAATGTCCATATGATCACCCATCCAGCACTGGCTTAAAGCCTTAACTACCGCACTGCGCACTTGGTTTCGGCAAAAACTTCATAGTGCAACTGTCAAGGACATATTTTTGTTGTTTTTTAAAAATGTTCAGGTAAAGTTAATGTCAAAATGTTTCCAAACTCAACCATTTTCATTTCAAAACACAAAGTGTGATGAAAACATTAAAAAAAACATTAAAATATAGCCTAATTAAAAAAATAGCACTTCTTTCAAAGCCCCTCAGGGTGCTCTGTACCGTGCGGTGGATAACATGACTACATACACATGCCATACTGTGCCATGTCATTATTACTTCTGCACACTCATGACTGTTTCACACTGCCTAGACTTAACACATCATAAGTTTGATAAAGCCTGAAATATTTATATAATATCCATATTGTACAGTGAATAGACTCCCACATTATTGTGACATTTCAGCGCAAATTTTGAGGTATTAACTCCAGCTTAACAGGAACATTAAAATAAACTTTCCAAAACACAGTTTATTATATTCATTCGACAGGGCAACTCAGTCTATGGAAAGCGAGGGGTAACTGATTAACTACAGGAATTATGTTGTTAATATCCCTTCTAATGGTCAAACGGTTGGTTGCTTGAATTTCTAATGGTCAATGACCCATCACAAAAGTCCGCAGGTCAAATTCGATAAATTGGGAAAGTACAGTATTTGAAACTAAACTATACTGTTGAATTTAGACATATATCAAATCATCCACTAGTTTTAAGTACTTGAATTTTATAAACTGTTTTAGCTTATCACTGCAAACACTGTACTCCATTTGCTTTAAGGCTTTACAAAAACTCAGTACATTCTAGCGGCTTCATATAACAAATTACTGTATATACCAGGTACAATAACAGATGTGAGAGTGCTAGATTGTTTCAAGCAATGGATAAACACACACAGTATACGAGAATTTGGGTGGATACAAATAGGCCTATGGGCCCACCACACATGGGCCCATGAGCCTTCTGTAGTTTCCTATATTCTTATGTTCTTTCCAAAGAATTGCTTAATTTTAAATAGGTTAATGCATATAAATTAGTCTTAAGTAGCCTATTCTAATGTATTGATTCATTTACATTATACACAGTACATGTAAGCAATACATCAGAGCTACAGGATCCTGTGCATATTGTTTACTTATAGATCTTAAATAATATACAGTACAGTACAGTACATTGATTGATTGATGAAGATTAAGTCACCCAAAATGTGGCACGGGCATGAATAGCCCGTAAGTGGTGGCCCTTTTGAGCCATTACCAGTATCAAGAGCTGATACTGGAGATCTGTGAAGGTGCGACTGCACCCTGTGTGATGGGAGATGTCTCCCGTGAGTACAGTACATGTAATATCTAAGTACTGTACAGTACTAACCAGTGTACAGTACTTAGATGATATATTTCATATCATGCAAACTATTATTTAAATATTAAAATTTATATAACAGTTCACCCAATATGAAATACAGTACATTCTTCAAGCTGTAGTAATACGAATTATGTTCATTTAACAATTAGTAACAAAAATAAAACATCTGAAACTTTCTTAGAAAACAAGTTATGCAGTGCTTATAGTGCTAAATAGTAATTATTACCAACACCATTACTAGTAATTACTATTCAGTACTGACTGCAACACAGATAATCTAATTAGGAAATTTAAACACTCACTGTGGTGCTATTAATGTGTATTTTGCCAGCCTGGTTAGGCACCGACATAGGTTCTGACCAGTAACTGTCTACATAACCATGCAAACAGCCAACAGAGTCACTGTTTTAAATGGACACTGACAAGCCATCATCAGCTTCCTGTAATAGATTGAATATAAACCATATCTCGAGATGATTTCGGAGCTTAGCGTTCTCGCGGCGCGTAAAGGAGGCCCGACCAGGCCTCCTTTATGTTACACACCCCCAGGAAGCAGCCCGTAGCAGCTGTCTTAACTCCCAGGTACCTATTTACTGTTAGGTAACAGGGGGCATCAAGGTGAAAAAACTGCCCATTTGTTTCTGCCTCTGCCGGGGATCGAACCCGGAATCTCAGGACTATGAATTTGAAGTGCTGTTCACTCAGCTGCCAGGCCAATACCCAAATAAACCACATTCTAGGCCTATCTCAAGTAACTACTGTACATTATGTTAGGAACATAAATGATGGGTTGGCATCATTCATAGTTGTCAATGATGCCAAGCCATTAAGGAACATGTGTTCAATTATCGTAGCTCAGTTAATGTAAACAAATCTAAAGATCTCACTTGTAGGCCTACAAATATGAATGTACTGTATTTACATACCAACTTACACAACAGAATGTATTATTTGTGTCAATTAGATTTTCAAAAGATGGAGTTGGGGCTTTGGGAGTCATAGGCCAAAAGGAAATATCACTTTACCAGACCATTCAAGGTACAATGGTGGACTGATAATAGCAAGGAGCAGGTGTAGTTGTGTCGAGTACATAACTAACTTCAAGGTTTCATCAGGACAAAATAAGTAAAATGTTTATATGCAAATTTACCAACATAATGAATAATTAATTGCTTCACCAAGTTGCCCAAGAATCAAGTTTACTTTTGCCTCATATACTGTAGTGCCCATACAGCACCACTCCTGTGCCAGGCAAGTCCACTACGGGCTCACCATAGCCCGTGCTACTGTACTTGGAACTTGTTCCGAGTAGCTGAATCTATAACAACAACATGTACTCATCATGTTGTACAGTACTTAACAAATGGGTGCACAGTCGTAATAATTAGTGCTGTGATAACATGAACAAAGTTTCATCAAAGTTGCAGCAAATAACTTGTCCCAATGACCTAGTTCGAAGTTGCTAGTCTCCCGTCACATGCCCCTAGTGATGTTTACTCGTGTGTAATCATTAAATAATCCCACTAGAGAACAGGGCAGACTTAGGACCATCATTTAATGAAACAGTCTTCTTGGTTATGAGTCTTAAATCTTAATTATAACCATTTATTTTGTAATTTATGAAAGGCATTACAAAACAGGTCCTATAATTCTTGCATTTAAAATACAGTAATATATTTTGACAGACAAAAAGCCTGTATCATGTAAATATATGATACAGTATTGTAGTGAATCTTAAATTGAGCATCAACACTTAATCTCCAGCAATACAAACAAGGTGTATTAGTGGCTGAGCAATACTGTATAAAACACGCCAATTAAAAAAAAATCCATTGTATTTTCTTGTAAATAATGTAAATAACAATTGTAACTTTGTAGGCCTACAAATATCAATCCACAGCATTGTATTTACATTACCAAGTTACACAACATATTGTATTATTTGTATCAATTAGATTATCAAAAGATGGAGAGTAGGCCTATTGTGTGTGCAACTTGGACTAGTCTTAAAAGCCTCCTGGAAGTGAACAAGGGCCTCCACTCTCACTATATACTTACCACTCTGCTATTTCTCACTATATAATGTGTCAATTAGATTATCAAAAGCTGGAGAGTAGGCCTATTGTATGTAACTTGGACTAATGTTAACAAAAGCTTCCTGAAAGTGAACAAGGGCCTCCATTCTCACTATATACTTACCACTCGGCTATTTCTCACTATATAATCCAACTTGTGTTCACCCAAATCACAAATATTATAAACTAATATCACTTCTGGCACTTATTGGGTATAAATATGACACGTACTTCATTTCCTTATTTGGAACTTCTCTACCCCATTCTATCTCCATTTTGCAATTTAAATGGCACTTAAGGGAGTGAGAAATGTGCGTGGAGGATCAATTAGAGCAGGTGAGGGAGAGAGGCCAGCCTTATCAAAGATGGCAATTCCTTACGAGAATTGCCAAACTGGCCCACAACCCTTGACATTTGCTCCTGCACAACTTCCTCCAGGTTTAACACCGCTCTCCCTCGCCTCTCGCCTCCTCCACCCACCTCTCCCTCTTATTTTAACACTTTAATCATCGTGCGGGGGGTTAAAGGCGAGATAAAGCGCGCGTTAGTGGCGATAAAGGTGGACATTCCCCGCGGAGGAGCCAGGTGAGGGAGAATCACCTGGGCCGCCGCTTTATCTCAACCTCAAAATGTAAACAAACCGCCCTCAGCCATCACGTGACTCTAATTCACTCTGTCCTGGCCTCCTGCGGCCACTCACTAACCTCTCGGGGCCTAGTGCGGCACCATCGAGGTGCAAATGACCAGCGTGGCACCAAACTACGGGGCGCAAGGACACCGCTGTCCAACAAGGTAGTGCAACTGAGTCGTCAAGTCCACAATTACGGCGAACGACTAGGTTCGTATCCGTTCTTGCCCTTCGATTCCCTTCTCGTTTCCCCCGCGATAATAACCTCCCCAACCTCGCACGGGTTTATTAGTGGATTGAATAATGGATTGGAGTGGTTGGGAGTGTGGTGTGCGAAGGAGGGTGGAGTGTATAGCGGGTTATTAAGCGTGAGGTTGGGTGTGAATGCAAGGGTCGGGACGCGAGCCGTCGTTAACCACCCTTACCATCGCCAGCGGACGCGGATTGGCCGTAACCACCGGCGTCCGAGTGTGCGCACTGCGACTTCAAGTGGCGGCATCTGCGCCGCCCCCTACCGCCCTATATAACACCCTCCCCACTAACAATCCACTTCCACCGCCACTTGGGGTCGTCTCGATCAATAACCAGCCTCTGCAATGGGCACGGAGGGGCTCTGGGGTGGGGGCCGAGGCATTATCCGGCTATAGGAGAGGCGGGTCGTGAGGTGGTATACGGTTATGAATAGACTTGGCCGTTCCTGGGGGCAACAGCCATGGAGGCACCCGCCCGCCCCTAATGCCTGCCTCGCCAACCACCGCCCGCTAACGATCGAACACATTGACTCATATTGAAAGAGATGACCTTGCACATTCTACTAAGGTTTCTCAGATCGGGTGACCTCTCTAGCCGGATTTAACCAGGCCATTTGCAAGGTATTTAATGCCGGAAACTGTGGCTGGCAAACTAACGTGAATGATCCTAATTAGGCATCTATATTTACGTTGACACGTCACCATTAGTCGAAAATTATATTTTACAATATATTAGAACTAATACGCGAAACAATCTTTTATATAGGTAATAATGAAGTTATACACATCAAGTAATATTTATATATATAGATTAACTACAATATATTTGGGAAGCAAAAACAGATTGTTCAATAACTGATCCTGATGGATCGAGGAACTGTCAACCTCTTATCAAAATAAAGTGGACAAAACCCGCTAATAAAATTTTCCCATGAATACCATTTCCGGGGGATGGGGGTGAGGGGGGTGTGTGGGCAGGGAAGGTAAAGAGCGTAATGACTATTTTAAGGTTAACTATATATATATATACGGCTCAGCCACAGGACGGGGAACTGCACACACACATCCCCCTCCCCCCTCACACACTAGAGGTCACTGCTGTTTTTTTTTATCATGCAACATGTTGTTGTTACAGATTCAGCTACTCGGAACAAGTTCCAAGTAGCACGGGCTATGGTGAGCCCGTAACTTACCTGGCACAAGAGCGGGGCAAGTAGCACTGGCTATGGTGAGCCCGTAGTGGACTTACCTGGCACAGGAGCGGGGCTGTGTCACGCTTGCAACATACATAGGCTCTCTATATATCCCCTCTGTTGGCAGAGATGTGCAACTTTGCCACTTCTGATGTTTAGTACATCACATGTTCCTGACGGAGCCCGGGAACAACTCTGAACATGGTTGTTGTTGTTTAAGATTCAGCTACTGGGAACAAAACGTTCCAAGTAGCACGGGCTATGGTGAGCCCGTTGTGGACTTACCTGGCACAGGAGCGAGGCCGTAACTGGGATATATCTGCAAAATGGGTTGCCCATCACCATATATACACACACACACATGATACATGCACACTAGGCCTATAAGTAGGCCTGCATTATATACACAATCCCGACCCTACCTGTGGTAATGTCAATAGCCTTAACTAAGGAGGTAAATCCATGCGACATACTTAGGCTTTTAATTATGAAACAAATTTAGATAAAACCTTAATAAATGTTTAATATTTGTTTATTCAGGTAAAGTACATACATACAAGAGGTTATACAAAAATTGATAGATTTATAGATAGAGCTAGTACATACAATACCTAAAGCCACTATTACGCAAAGTGTTTCGGACAGGAAAAACATTAAAGACTATTACTTTATTATATTATATATAATATTACTTTAACACCCAAATATACTATATACCCCGGCGAACAACTAAAAAAAAATATGTATATTTTTTAGCCTAGTAACACATATTAATAAACTTAATACTCAAAAACATGAATATACACGATACGGTCTGCTAGTATATACATATACACATATACATGGCGGTATTTAAAGGAAGGAAATGGTGTCCAAGATGGTTGTTGGCCTTTGGTAGTGGGTGAGACAAAGCCCGGCTCGGTGGCTTGCTGTTACGGGAGCAGGAGGGGCCAGGGGGCCCTCCTTGCCCAGGTGCGCGCGTTTGGTGTGTGACGCATGCACGCACTCAGGGGGCCCCCAGTTATACTCACCCGGGGCCCGTTACATGCACCCGGGGCCCCTTTCATTCACCAGGGGCCTGTTACATGCTCCCGTACCCCCAGTTACACGCACCCAGGGGCCCCCCAGGTACACTCACCCGGGGGGGCCCCCAGGTACACTCACCCGGGCCCCAGGTACACTCACCCGGGCCCCCAGGTACACTCACCCGGGCCCCCAGGTACACTCACCCGGGGGGCCCCCAGGTACACTCACCCGGGGGCCCCAGGTACACTCCCCTGGGGCCCCCAGGTACACTCCCCTGGGGCCCCCAGGTACACTCACCAGGACCCCCAGGTACACTCACTCGGGGCCCGTTACACGTACTGTAACTTCGAGTAAACATCATTTTATAAACAATTTTAAACAAATGAAATTAAAAAAAAAATCCCATTCCATATACGTGTAGTGGTTTAATAATATAAATTAACGCATTGTAACATTATTAACCATATTAAATAAAAGATGATTTTAGTTAACTTATCATAATTTGTGTATAAAATATATATATATGGCTCAAAATAAATTAAAAACCTATTTGTTTACAATTTATACCCCACAAACGCAAGTATAAATAATTCAATTGAGTGTTTAGGAGATATAGTTATACCAATTTATTTATTATATGACATCTTGAGGGCCGTGGATGATAGGCTAGTCACATTTTATTTATTCATTTATTTATATATATACAAGAATTCCCACAATCTTATACATCGTGAAGGAGTTACATTTAATTATATTTACCTAAGGAACATTTTCATCCACTGGGCGGTGGTGGAGAGGCTACAGTCACGCGGGTACAGGAAACACTACAAACTTGGATGGGATGGAAGTTGTAAAAACTAAAATATCAGTCGAAACCCTGTTAGGAATTTTTTTTTTCGGCATTAATTCTTTTGCGATACTGGAGGTGTACGTACAGTAAGAGTGGGGGTGGGCGCAGTTCTGGGCGAACCGGTCCCCCTCCCTCTCTCTCTCTCTCCCTGTGAAGCGGGCCACACCTCTGGGCGCACTGCAGGCCCCCCTCCCCCATGAAGCGGGCTACACATGCCCCCTCCCCAATGAAGCGGACCACACATATCCCCTTGAAGCGGGCCACACACATGCCCTCCCCTCCCCTCCATGAAGCGGGGCACACCTCTAGGCGCCCCTTCTCCCCCCCCCCATGAAGCGGGGGTCAGTCCCAGAGCCCATCATGTGCCTCTGTAACCCTTTCCTCTACCGCCCACAGGATGGGTATGGGGTGCATAATAAATTAACTAAAGTTACAGTTTCGCCTTGATGAAGGAGATAGTAAACTATTTAACGTTGAAAATGATTAAATACTCATACTCGTCGCAGTGTTTTCCTAACACTTCCTGATCAAATCACGTTTCTCTATCCGAAAATAAGGATAGTAAATCAACCCGTCCTCTCGAATAATACAACGTATTTTAACGTATAAATCCTATAAGGCTCGTGTAGTGTAGTGCATCAGTTTAGTGACGATGCGATCGATCCTGAGGACGGGCTGGGTAGATGACAATACAGAATGCAAGCGTGTTTATTTTGGAATTTCTTAAGACAGGCGCACTGAACCCATCAACATTGCCACACTTCTGGTCAAAAAAAAGGTGTCCAGCAGCACGAGACCCTCATCAATACTGTCAAGCAGTATCCTCCTCCGCAATAACAGCCTCATAGTAAAGGTTGATGATTTAAATGCGAGCACAGCACGCACGCTTTCACCACCAAAGATCACATTCACTCCAAAAAATCTACCAATTACGGGCTATTCATGCCCATGCCACCTCTTGGATGGCTTGAGTTGGGATCCGAACAGTTGCGACGCCTAAATATCCATTCATCCACCGCTCCTGTGCCAGGTAAGTTACGGGCTCACCATAGCCCGTGCTACTTGCCCCGCTCCTGTGCCAGGTAAGTTACGGGCTCACCATAGCCCGTGCTACTTGCCCCACTCCTGTGCCAGGTAAGTTACGGGCTCACCATAGCCCGTGCTACTTGGAACTTGTTCCGAGTAGCTGAATCTATAACAACAACAACAACAGCCTGAATATCGCGACGGAGTCACGGGGGCGTTGATAGATTTTCTACCGTTTTCCGTCTTGCACCTCGGGTGTTGAGCTGGGGGTCCCGGCTTGGCCGAAAGCTGCTGGGGTCTGGCGGGCCCTGGAGGTTCCTGTGTTCTCTCTGGACGTGGAGGGCGCCAGGCGCTCACTTTGCTGGGGTCTGGCGGGCCCTGGAGGTTCCTGTGTTCCCTCTGGACGTGGAGGGCCCCCAGGCGCTCACTCTGCTGGGGTCTGGCGGGCCCTGGAGGTTCCTGTGTTCCCTCTGGACGTGGAGGGCGCCAGGCGCTCACTCTGCTGGGGTCTGGCGGGCCCTGGAGGTTCCTGTGTTCCCTCTGGACGTGGAGGGCCCCAGGCGCTCACTCTGCTGGGGTCTGGCGGGCCCTGGAGGCTCCTGTGTTCCCTCTGGACGTGGAGGGCCCCCAGGCGGTCACTTTGCTGGGGTCCGGCGGGCCCTGGAGGTTTCTGTGTTCCCTCTGGACGTGGAGGGCCCCAGGCGCTCACTCTGCTGGGGTCTGGCGGGCCCTGGAGGTTCCTGTGTTCCCTCTGGACGTGGAGGGCGCCAGGCGCTCACTCTGCTGGGGTCTGGCGGGCCCTGGAGGTTCCTGTGTTCCCTCTGGACGTGGAGGGCGCCAGGCGCTCACTCTGCTGGGGTATTACCCCGTGTGTGGTGTGGGTTGCCGGTGCCTGCCGGGTGTATTTGGGTGTCGCCAGGTGGTCAGCGTCACTAGGCGCGTGTCTTGTCGTCTGGCTTTGTTTTCATAGCGGAAATCCGGTTCGGCAGAGTGCATGCGTCTAGTTTCGTCGTCGCCATTAAATCAACCCGTCCTCAGACCAAGTCCATTCCATCCAGCGGTCGACCCCAAAGACGCATTCATAAATTTTAATATGCTGTCCATTCAAAGCAGGAATTTTATCAAATATAAATTAATATTATTTTATATTAGTATATTGTGGTTATCAGTTAGGAGTCATTTACTAAACAAAGGCCCAAAGTCCATTCCACCCACCCGCCAAACCCCCCCCCAGCTGTTTATGAATGAAAAACAGTTTACACACGACTCACAACTGCTGACGTCCGAACACTTCCGGAACAAGTGCTTCACTGACGACTTGTGTTCGAACCACAACGCTGTAAATGCTTCACCCACGTACTACAAATACAAATAATCGCCAACAGAACCTAAACACCTAACCTAACCTATGTCTATATATGCACAATATGCTAATATATTATAATATTAATTTATATGTGAGAAAATTCCCGTTTTGAATGAACAGCATGCAAAAATGTATGAATGCGTCTGTGGGGTTGACCGCTGGATGGAATAGACTTGAGTCGAGGACGGGTTGCAGTGTTCCAGGGGGTAACTAGTAAGATGAACAATGGGAAGGGTAAGCTAGAAAGTCTAAGCCAAATGGGGAAGTCTGAAGTCGTCTGAACATGTATATATTATGCATAAAAAAAGTTAAACAAATTATATATAGTTTCGTAGAGTAGTAATGTGTTGTAAAAAAGTAATGAGTAGAGTGTGGAGGTATTTTATATTTTTAATAGCTTTATTGGTAAATATTACAATAGCAGGTTTACAGTATTTAATACTAACAATAATAGCACACATAATTGGCTTAATTAGATGAAGAACCATATAAGATTACTGCTGTAACACACAATATATAAATGACTATATAATGTTAATTAGGTACTTCTTTTACTTTTAAATTGGTTACTGGAAGTTCTACATTTTATTCCATTTGGGAGATCACTCCACAATTCAGAAACCCTTAGTCATATGGCATTCAAGTTGGGACTCTTGGAATATGAAATATGTGTATAAATATGTACTTGTTTCTCGTGTGATTTGCATGGTTTCTCTTGCAGCCTCGTACTTGTGAAAGAGGAAATGTATATGTTTACCTCTCAGAATGTTTGGTAATATGTTTATTGTTTGTGATGTGTGTCTATGTATATATTATCACGTTGTACTGAATGGGGTGAGAATAGCTTGAGCTACCTCATCCCTTTGTGTGTATTTGACCTCAATAAACTTATTTCAATTTCAATTTCAATTTCTTGCAGACTTTTAAGAAGCGTTGAATGCTAGGATTGAAATTGTGTTTAAATGGTTTTGAAGAATTTAAGTACACTTGGGAGAGAGAGCGTAGTGCGTTTAGATTTAAGTAAAAGTGTTGCATGTTGTCTGAGGTTGGAGTTTGTTATTGTTCTAATTGCTGATTTGTGTTGAGTAACTATGTGTCAGAGGTAGTTTTGAGTGGCAGATCCTCAGCCGCTGATACCGTGAGTGAGATATAAACATGAGTAACAATTATCACGACAGAGCAAGGTGCACAGTAGGGATATTAGATAATATTCCTACAGCTTTACATACTTGAGTTTGTTATATTTTGTATATGGTGAAACTTATAGTTCCCAAAATCGAGAACAGGAAACTTGCCAGGCTTATAAAAAAGGGCATTATAACTTGGTCAGACTCATCTTTTATGGGTCCTATTTATTCTACAGACTTTCAGCGCCGTGGAGAGGGGGCACCTGCTGCATGGGTAACAGCTTCTCCCCAGAATCAACCTACCCTGGCATTACACCCTGGTGAGGCCACTCCAGACCGACGACCAGAGCATAATTCCAGAGGCTCCAATAGTTTATTTATATATACAAGAATTCTTACATTCTTGTACAGCCACTAGCACACATAGCGTTTCGGGTAGGTCCTTAATCCTAATTTTCACACACATCCCCAGGAAGCAGCCCGTAGCAGCTGTCTAATTCCCAGGTACCTATTTACTGCTAGGTAAACAGCGGCAACAGGGTGAAAGAAACTCTGCCCATTTGTTTCCGCCTCCGCCGGGAATCGAACCCGGTTCCTAAGGATTACGAACCCCAAGCGCTGTCCACTTAGCCACCAGGCCCCCATGCTGCAATTGTTATTGATTTGAGGAGTGCTGGGTTTCCCTTACTCTTTTTTGCTGCCGTGTAAGACACTTGTATTTCAGGGACTAATATATATATATATATATATATATATATATATATATATATATATATATATATATATATATATATATATATATATATATATATATATATATATATATATATATATATATATATTAAGTAGAAGTCCTATATATATATATATATATATATATATAATTATATATATATATATATGTGTGTATATCACGAAAATAAACACGTGATTAAGAATGTGACAATGTCAGACCACGAAGGAAAAATGAAACAGGAAATTTCCTTAAGTACTTTCGTATATTAAATACATCTTCAGACCTTCTGAAGATGTATTTAATATACGAAAGTACTTAAGGAAATTTCCTGTTTCATTTTTCCTTCGTGGTCTGACATTGTCACATTCTTAATCACGTGTTTATTTTCGTGATATACACACATATATATATATATATAATTATATATATATATATATATATATATATATATATATATATATATATATATAATGGAATGTCATTAGCTAGAACATTGCATACAATAGAAATATTCAGTTTGATGAGACATTGGTAACACTTCTACTTAACCAGTTTGCACACAAAATGTCCGCTGGTGCGTTGGCAATACTTTCCCTCCTACATCATCAATCAGTTTATCTCTCAGACAACCAGTCAATCAGTCTATCTCCACCAATCAGGTGGAGATCTTGGATGAGTTTGCAAATAATAATAATAAAAAATTAATAAATAAATGTTTATTCAGGTAAAAGTACATACAATCAACATATGTTTACAAACAGAATGTTGAATTTCTAGATAGATCTAGTACATACTATGCCTAAAGCCACTAGTACGCACAGCGTTTCGGGCAAAATGTGGGAAAAACACATAAACTAATACTTAAAAACTAATTGAGACCAAAGTATCAATTGAATTGAAAAAGGAACAAAAAGGAAAAAAAAGAATGATATATACATGATGGATTGAACAACAGAAATTGAAAGAGAGTAATGCAGAAGTAATTTTAACTAAATACCCAGAAGATTACATCTTTTTTTCAAGTTTATACATGGCAGATATCAGTCTGAAACTGGTTGAGAGAGGTACAGCCTTTGACGTGATTGGGAAGGTCATTCCACATTCTGGGTCCCTTGATTTATAGAGCATTTCCAGTTTGGTTAAGGCGCACTCTTGGAATATCAAATAGGTATTTGTTTCTGGTGTGGTGCCCATGGGTTCTGTTACAACCTTCTAGGAAGCGTTTAAGGTCAGTATTGGCATTACAGTTCAGAGTTTTAAATATATAGAATACACACGAGAGGATGTGCAGTGACTTAATATCTAACTTATTCAAAGATTTAAGTAAGGGGGCCGGAGTTTGTTATTGTTCTAATAGCAGATTTGTGTTGAGTAATTAGAGGATTTGTATTTATATATACAAGAATTCTTACATTGTTGTACAGCCACTAGCACTCATAGCGTTTCGGGCAGGTCCTTAATGCTAATTTTCCCAGAAATACGACCCGCCAAATTGTTTAACAACCAGGTACCCATTCACTGCTGGGTGAACAGAGGCTACAGTTAAGGATTGGTGCCCAGTCAATCCTCCCCGGCCAGGATACGAACCCAGGCCAAAGCGCTTGCGAAACCCCAGGCGAGTGTGTTACATTTTGCCAAGGGGACTGCACAACATTATTATTTGCTATGCATACCTAAGCTTGTTAAAAAACGACATTATTTGAGATGAATCTTATAGAAACTGGTAAAAAAATTATTATAATATAAAAAAAAGACATTATTTGACAGGAATCTTATAGAAACTGGTACAAAATTATTATAATATAATATTTCCATGAGTTAGTGTTAAGCTCTTATGAAAATCATGAAGTTATATTTAGTCAAATTTAATTTATTGTTTGTATTGAGGTAGGTATTTTCTCTCTTGATTCCATGTATGACTAACCATCTGTGAGAGGGGAGTATTATATGAACTTATAGCTAGTTTTGTATCTACACTTTGTAATCTTTCATATAGAATGGTAGCAGCACATTGATGTGTATACCTAAGCCTTTAATACAAAAAACAAAAATGGAAGACCCAAATTCAGCTAGGGAGTGTTTTTAGGCCTGGGTACATTAAAACCTGTATTTGATACCATGGTAACTACTACTTCTTCGTATGACTGTATGCCATACTCAATAAGTATTCGTCTGTATCATCATAGCCTCTGTTTCTTGAATATCCTTCGCGTAGTTATAGCCTATCCTCAGCCGGCTTGATATCCTGAAACAGTTTCATAATATTCTAAGATCGCTATAAGATGGATTACAATTATAGAAACCCACATAAAGGTTCATGATGATGACTTTCTAGATTACTTTCTAGATTATCAAGAAATGAGAGAGGAACTGGAGAGAGCCGATTGAGGGTAGAAATAGCCTAAGTTACTCTATCCCTTTGAGATGTATTTCTTTCTTGTCTTAATAAACATACTTGAACTTGAACTTGGTGACCATTGCATGGAAACGTCATGGGAAAATTTCAGGAAGGTCATCAATGAACCCGTGCAAAAATATGTTCCAAAAAGGAGAAAGAAAATAAAGGGAACTGGATGAATGACACAGGTAGTAAAAAGAGCTTTGATAACTAAGCGGACCCTCTAGAGGTCTAAATCCACGATGAACATCCTACATTATGAGATATATAAAAGTACAGATCAACATCCTACATTATGAGATATATAAAAGTACAGATGAACATCCTACATTATGAGATATATAAAAGTACAGTAACCCAGGAAACCAGATCAGACAAACAAAACTATGATTGAAAACTTGTCCAGAACGTAACGAAAGATCCAAAGTCATTCTATGCTTATATAAGAAGTAAAACCAAAACAAAAGACTCTGTAGGACCCTTAAAACATGAGACTAACCAAGTTATAATGTACGATACAAGGGCAGCAAACACTGAATGAATCCTGTACATCAGTGTTCACACTAGAAAGATTAAAAAACATTCGATTACCCACACAAATATATGAAGGAGGTGAAGAGAACGAATTAAGGGATATACTCATAATTTGCGATGTAATTAGGAAGAACATTAACAATCTAAAAGGCACAAAAGCCCCAGGTGTGGACGGAATTCAATCCAAAGTCGTAACGGAACTAACCTGCTCTCGCACAAAACAGTACATATATGACTTATTGCTTATAGTCACTATTTGGCTGATTAATAAGTACATATGTGGTATATGCCAAGTTATATTTCGTTTTTAAGACAATCTCTTCCTATAGGTTTGCTAACGGAACTGGTAGACGAACTATGCCTACCACTGAAACTGCTTTTCAGAAAATCTTTGGACCAAGGGTTAGTTCCCCCTAGATTAAATATAATTTTAAATAATAATTAATTGTGTTAAGGGACAGGAAGCCAGAGTGTATTTATACACTTTTTTTATCGACAATTTCTTCAAAAGGTCAGATGTAACACAAACAAGGAGCAACAGTTTCAAGCTCAACAAGCTACAATGTAGAACTGAAAACAGATATTTTTTCACCCACAGGGTTATAAGCCCATGGAAACGCCTACCCGCCGAAGCCGTAAATGGCAAAATTCTGTTGAATTTTAAAATCCAGCTTAAAAAAAATAACCAGGACAATTAGGGGGGGGGACCTTGAACAAGCCGCCGGCTTCCTGTCCTTGTCTACAGCACTAGAGTATGTCCCTCAAGTAAATTTAATTAATATATTTTACAACCCATGTCGCGGAACATAGGTAAATAATAATTTTGATTTAAATAGCTAATATTTATAAAACTTATGTTAATTCTGGAAACAAAAATTATTTCGTAGGTTAGTGCATGTCGTGCGTGACACGATAATTTCCAGTAAGACCAGTAATTGGTTGGGTGACCGCTCTGGCAGCATGATGCTTGTTCAAGCCTGGCTCGTTAAGTCAATCTCAAACAATAGTATACTAGTATATTTATTTTAAAGCTTTTAATTTAGGCTAGCATATATAGTACATCACGAACTTTGTGGATAGGGGTTTGAGGACTGGCTAGTTGGTGGTGGTGGATGGGGGTTTGAGGACTGGCTAGTTGGTGGTGGTGGATGGGGGGTTGAGGACTGGCTAGTTGGTGTGGTGGTGGTGGATGGGGGGGTTGAGGACTGGTTAGTTGGTGGTGGTGGATGGGCTTGAGGACTGGCTAGTTGGTGGTGGTGGATGGGCTTGAGGACTGGCTAGTTGGTGTGGTGGTGGTGGATGGGCTTGAGGACTGGCTAGTTGGTGGTGGTGGTGGATGGGGTTGAGGACTGGCTAGTTGGTGGTGGTGGTGGATGGGGTTGAGGACTGGTTAGTTGGTGGTGGTGGTGGATGGGCTTGAGGACTGGCTAGTTGGTGGTGGTGGTGGTGGTGGATGGGGGGCTTGAGGACTGGCTAGTTGGTGGTGGTGGATGGGCTTGAGGACTGGCTAGTTGGTGGTGGTGGATGGGCTTGAGGACTGGCTAGTTGGTGGTGGTGGTGGATGGGGTTGAGGACTGGTTAGTTGGTGGTGGTGGTGGATGGGCTTGAGGACTGGCTAGTTGGTGGTGGTGGATGGGCTTGAGGACTGGCTAGTTGGTGGTGGTGGATGGGCTTGAGGACTGGCTAGTTGGTGGTGGTGGTGGATGGGCTTGAGGACTGGCTAGTTGGTGGTGGTGGATGGGCTTGAGGACTGGCTAGTTGGTGGTGGTGGATGAGGTTGATGACTGACCTGAGGGTTGAAGGGGCTGAGGAACACCCTGACATCATCCCTAGGACTCATGGCCAACATGGAGTACTGCAGTTGGTGTTGTCTTGGGTCTGGTCGCAGTTCGAAGCTCTCCACCATCTTGGCCAACGCTAACTTGACCACCAACAGCGCGAACCATTTCCCTGGAGATTGTATTTTAGTCAAGAGATTACGAGCAAAAAATCAAATATTCTTCATAAATAGATATAACTAAAGTATAATTAGATACTGATTTGTCTTATCAACCCGTTCTCACACTTGCTTATAGTCAATATTGGCTTATTTAATAAGTGCATATGTGACATACTAATTGATTGTGAATATTTTAGTTTACCTTGAAAAGCTTCATAGAAAACACCGACCTCACCTAACCTTCTTAGTATGTTAAGATAAGCATCTTATTGCTTCTTAATTACAATTATTACTTAACCTATACCGTTGATAGGTTAAGTCTGCATACCCAAATTGACCCCTGGTCAGGAATGTTACACTCTCACAATGGACTGCATCCTCGGCTTGCAACCTGGAGACAAGGGTTCGATCCCCGGGTAGGACACAAACAATTGGGCACGTTTCCTTTCACCTGATGCCTCTGTTCACCTTGCAGTAAACAGATACCTCCCTAGGGTTAGACAATTGTTGTGGGTTGCATCCTGAGGAAGGTCAGTAGGCTACTAACATTAGTGGCCTTGACGGGAACAGGAAGCCGGCGGTTTGTCAAAGGTCCACCCATTTGCTCTGATGATCTTTTCCAGTTAGATTTTAAAACTTAACAGTTTTGGCAGTTACGGCTTCGGCGGGTAGGCGGTTCCATAACTTGTTCAGTATTTTAAGTTTCAATGAGATCCGCCCTGTCATGCCGGGAGTCGGTCGGCTGAGCGGACAGCACGCTGGGCACGTGATCCTGAGGTCCCGGGTTCGATGCCGGGCGCCGGCGAGAAACGATGGGCAGAGTTTCTTTCACCCTATGCCCCTGTTACCTAGCAGTAAATAGGTACCTGGGAATTAGTCAGCTGTCACGGGCTGCTTCCTGGGGGTGGAGGCCTGATCGAGGACCGGGCCGCGGGGACACTAAAGCCCCGAAATCAACTCAAGATAACTCCATGGTTGGATATAATAATCCAAAAAGGAGCGCCAGAGATTTATACAGTTGAATCACTACCTTCTTTTCCTTAATTAAAGTCAAAGATACTCTTGAATATATATAAATGTTACTCTAGTATTTCTTCAATTACACTTCATATTAATTAAAAAAATATTATTTATAATTTAATATTATTAAATAATTATATCCCATATTGTCTTTGAATCATCCAGCCGAATCTGTCATCAAGATCAGAATCAGGGACTCTGAACCAGGATTCATCGTTCATTTACGCATATATCTACGAAACCTGTGCATCTTTCAACATCCATAGTGGCTTCTTTTACATCCAATAAACAGGGGGATTAGACTCACCTATACAGTTTCTAGGGCCAAGACCAAATGGTAGGTAGGTGCCGCTGGTGATGTCCCGTCTGTGTTGCTGCAGAAACCGGTCCGGGTCGAAGGCGTGGGGCCGGCGCCAATAGCGGGAGTCGTGCTGAAGACTCCAGATGGGTATTGTGACTAGGTGACCCTTCCTCAGCACCACCCCTGTCCCTGGCAGGCTGTAAGGTAAGTTGGGTGTGTGAGGCAGGCTGTAAGTTGGGTGTGTGGTAGGCTGTAAGTTGTGTGTGAGGCAGGCTGTAAGGTAAGTTGTGTGTGAGGCAGGCTGTAAGGTAAGTTGTGTGTGAGGCAGGCTGTAAGGTGTGTGTGAGGCAGGCTGTAAGTTGTGTGTGAGGCAGGCTGTAAGGTAAGTTGTGTGTGAGGCAGGCTGTAAGGTAAGTTGTGTGTGAGGCAGGCTGTAAGGTGTGTGTGAGGCAGGCTGTAAGGTAAGTTGTGTGTGAGGCAGGCTGTAAGTTGTGTGTGAGGCAGGCTGTAAGGTAAGTTGTGTGTGAGGCAGGCTGTAAGGTAAGTTGTGTGTGAGGCAGGCTGTAAGGTAAGTTGTGTGTGAGGCAGGCTGTAAGTTGTGTGTGTGAGGCAGGCTGTAAGGTAAGTTGTGTGTGAGGCAGGCTGTAAGTTGTGTGTGAGGCAGGCTGTAAGGTAAGTTGTGTGTGAGGCAGGCTGTAAGGTGTGTGTGAGGCAGGCTGTAAGTTGTGTGTGAGGCAGGCTGTAAGTTGTGTGTGAGGCAGGCTGTAAGGTGTGTGTAAGGCAGGCTGTAAGGTAAGTTGTGTGTGAGGCAGGCTGTAGTTAAGGCAAGCATGTACACATGTACACACCGGCAGTTATACAGTATACACAAGTATACATATCACCAATAAAATACTATGTATAAGTGCACCTATCACCTGTTATATAGTCTACAAAAGTGTTAGAAGTTAATAGTAAGGGCTTACTAGTAATCGTTGGAACACACTCGCTCAGTCAATACTGCTGGTGGGTGCAGTCTCAGAGTTTCTGTAAATATATTACAATTGGATGAGAGAGGGATATTATATATATATATATATATATATATATATATATATATATATATATATATATATATATATATATATATATATATATATATATATATGTCGTACCTAGTAGCCAGAACTCACTTCTGACAATGCAAGGCCCGATTTGCCTAATAAGCCAAGTTTTCATGAATTAATTGCTTTTCGACTACCTAACCTACCTAACCTAACCTAACCTAACTTTTTCGGCTACCTAACCAAACCTAACCTATAAAGATAGGTTAGGTTAGGTTAGGTAGGGTTGGTTAGGTTCGGTCATATATCTACGTTAATTTTAACTCCAATAAAAAAAATTGACCTCTTACATAATGATATGGGTAGCGTTATCATTTCATAAGAAAAAAATTAGAGAAAATATATTAATTCATGAAAACTTGGCTTATTAGGCAAATCGGGCCTTGCATTGTAGTCTGAAAAGTGAGTTCTGGCTACTAGGTACGACATATATATATATATATATATATATATATATATATATATATATATATATATATATATATATATATATATATATATATATATATATATATATAACCCGCATAGTGTTTCGGGCAGGTCCTTAATCCTAATATACGACCCGCCAAATCGTTAAATAAACGAGTATTATCTCGTTTTCTGATGCGGGTCCTCTGGTAGGTTAGGATAAAGCACGCTATTACGAGTTTCTTAACGTTGGACACGTTCATGAGAACGGATTGGGTTAAATAGGGAGTCCAAAGCTTACTATTTTCGTGTCATTTATCTTTTTACATTTTGTAACATTAAAATCAAAATCAGATAGATATTAAATAGATATTAAGTCACTGCACATCCTCTCGTGTGTATTCTGTATATTTAAAACTCGAACTGTAATGCCAATCCTGACCTTAAACATTTCCTAGAAGGTTGTAACAGTACCCATGGGCACCACACCAGAAACAAATACCTATTTGATATTCCAAGAGTACGACTTAATCAAACTAGAAATGCTCTATAAATCAAGGGACCCAGAATGTGGAATGACCTTCCCAATCACGTCAAAGACTGTACCTCTCTCAACCAGTTTAAGAGGAAAACTAACTACTACCTAATAAACTCCATGTAACCTACCTTACCCCCTAAATGTCAACCCATGTCTCACTATTTTCAACCAATACTGTTTGTTGACCAACTAATATAATTACAACTATATATAATTATAACTTATTTACATAATTATATAATTATAACTTATTTACATAATTATATAATTATAACTTATTTACATAATTATATAATTATAACTTATTTACATAATTATATAATTATAACTTATTTACATAAATATATAATTATAACTTATTATATAATTACATATTTATATAATTACAACTTATTTACAAGATTGTAAATACTATGTTATATATTCTCTCTAACCCAACGTACCTTCTTGTATATAAATAAAATAAAATAAAATAAATTGCTGATTTCTGCCATGTTCTCCCCTTTTTTTCTACACAATTTATACTTTAATCTGTAACTCTGTAACTGTAATTCTTAATTATGTATGTAACTCAATGTATGTACCTTTACCTGAATATCTAAATCTAAATCTCAATTAGTATTAAGCATTAGTCTTAAGTGGTTTTTTTTCCCACACCTTGCCCGAAACGCCAAGCGTATTAGTGGTTTTAGGTATTATATGTACTATTTTTTTTTTTTGAGATATATACAAGAGTTGTTACATTCTTGTACAGCCACTAGTACGCGTAGCGTTTCGGGCAAGTCCTTAATCCTATGGTCCCTGGAATACGATCCCCTGCCGCGAAGAATCGTTTTTTCATCCAAGTACACATTTTACTGTTGCGTTAAACAGAGGCTACAGTTAAGGAATTGCGCCCAGTAAATCCTCCCCGGCCAGGATACGAACCCATGACATAGCGCTCGCGGAACGCCAGGCGAGTGTCTTACCACTACACCACGGAGACTGCAACGAGCTCTACTAGCTCTATCTATAAATCTAACATTATGTTTGTAACTCATCACCTATGTATGCACTTTTACCTGAATAAACATTTTTATTTTGTTTATTTCCATGTTCTTTCCATCCAGTTTTCTCTACTTTTCCATTTTCTGTCACGTTTTCTTTTATCTTTTAGTGGCCAACTACGTTTGTTCCGGCTAGTACAGTTGGGTTCGTTCTCGACTAACAATCGGGAATTCTGAGTTCGAATTCCGGGAGGAACAGAAATGGTTGCGCAAATTTTCTCTCACCCAATGCCTTTGTTTACCTAGCAGCAGATAGGTACTGAGCAGTTAGGCAATTGTTGTGAGTTTACATCCTGGGGAAGGTCAGTAGTTCGATCACCAGGAGGGGGGGCCTCGATGTAAGCTTAACGTATATATACGCAGGCTGCATGTTCCCGACAAAAGGAATTATTATTATTATACTCCTACTGACTCGTCTAAAACTCGTTCTGCACTTCTGCTCTGTCCAGTCCGCCCTAAAGACAGTTTCCTCTCAAACTCATCGCGGCCATATCAGTCCTCTCCTGAACTGCTTGTCTCTTTCCGTCCAGCGAAGTTCAGGTCACCTAACCCGTAATATTTGAATTCCACTCTGCCCATGGTTGGCCCACTTCTACGGCGCCGCCTACCTAACTAAGGCCATAATTGGTCCATCTCTCTGGCAATGTCTGGACCACCTAGGGTGGTCCAGACACTCTAGCCTGTTTGGACCTCGTCTTGATTAGACCATCCTATAGTCCTGTCCAGACCACTCAGGGTCCTAATTAGGCCAGTCATTGTGCCTCCAATCCCAGTCTCATTAGGCTTCTTCGCGGACCTTACGCTTCGTTACTTCCATACCTCTCCTCCACACAGGTTAGTCATGTTAAAACACCATTGTTTTCATGTTCCTACCCGCGACTTGTGTTCACTGTAAGTTTGGCCATGTTAGGTTCTGCCTGGCCCTGCTCCACAGCATCGGGCGCTACTTTATTTCACCATTTATTTTTACCCGGAAGGGGCAACAGCTTCAAGCTCAAAATGCCACAATACAGGATAGAAAAATGGAGATTTTTTTTTCACTTGTGGTGGTTATAAAGTCGTGGAGCCGCCTACCCGCTGAAGTTGTAATTGCAAAGACTTCAGTTTAAAATCCAGATAAACAAAAAATCATCAGAAACAAAAAGGGGACCTTTGACAAGCCGGCAGCTTCCTGTCCCTTTCAAGGCCACTAGGGAGATAGTGGCTTTCAGGTAAATATGTATATACAGTATATAATAAATAATTAATACTAGTAATGAAATAGTTGTCAACTATTACAGTATATGTAATAGTTTACCTGAGACGACAGCATCGAGGTATGGGGCATGCATGAGAGTTTGATAGGTGAGACAGCCATGTTCCTGTCTGATGTTGAGTACTTCCTGACGAAGGTGCTGCTGCTCGTGTGGGTGAGCTGCCAACAGGAAAGCAGCGAAGGTGAGGGTGTTGGAGGTCGGGACGCAGCCCGCCGCCAGGAACAAGCTGGTTTGAGCGATGTCTTCCACAGCTGGAGAAAATATCAAGAGCAAAATTATTTTTTGGGCGAAAATATAATAATTTATTGTGTCGGGGGACAGGCAGCCAGTGTATATTTACCTGAGGGCCACTAATACTAGTGGCCTCGACGAGGACAGGAAGCCTAGGCTTGTCAAGGATATATACATGATAGGCTTATATCAAGATCTTTTCCCCAAAGGTCGAATTACTGACACTTCCCAGGATGTAACCCCACAATAATTCCGGATTCGAACCCGGAATTCCAGATTGTGAGTCGAGAACAAACCCGACTATAATACTACTACTGTACAATATACTACGCTATGTTCCTGTAGCCTAATGCTTAGGCTACATAACTCACGTTCTAAGCTACATAACTCACGACCTAGGCTACATAACTCACGGCCTAGGCTACATAACTCACGGCCTAGGCTACATAACTCACGGCCTAGGCTACATAACTCACGGCCTAGGCTACATAACTCACGGCCTAGGCTACATAACTCACGGCCTAGGCTACATAACTCACGACCTAGGCTACATAACTCACGACCTAGGCTACATAATTCACGACCTAGGCTACATAACTCACGACCTAGGCTACATAACTCACAGCCTAGGCTACATAACTCACGACCTAGGCTACATAACTCACGACCTAGGCTACATAATTCACAACCTAGGCTACATAACTCACGACCTAGGCTACATAACTCACAACCTAGGCTACATAACTCACGATCTTGAGTCTTCCCGTCATGATACATCTGCTCTTCACGTTCCAGCATCATGTCCAGGAAGTCTCCACGCCTCTCGCCTGACTCCTGCCTCTTCTTCAGTGTTTCGTTAATCAGATCGTGGAAGTAGCATATGACTGGCGTGGTGAATCGTTTTGCGAGCGCCGAGAGCACAATGTTGGGCAAGGTGAGCTGTGCCAACGCCTTCATCATGATCTGCGTTGAGTTGGACTCCATCAGTTGTGCGGCCTTTTTGCAAATTTCGTCATCTTCGTTTTCTATAGCATTGGTTTTGATGCCGAAGGCGCAGGATGCAACGGCGTCTATGACATAGCGGGAGAAGCATGCTTTCATGCTGACGAAGGGTTTCTGCTGCTGGTAAAGGCTCATTAAGTGTTTTATCAAGACATCTGTCTTTTCCTCCACTGCTGGAAACATTCTCCGCATGCTGAGCCAGGTGAAGGAGGGCTTCAAGATCGATCTGATGGCCTTCGTGTGACTGCTGTTCAACATGTCTATGCGCTGTTCTCCCTCAGAGAGATCACCAGTCCAGTGCTGGTGGAAGTAATGAGAGTCGTACACCAGGATGCGTTTTACCAACTGTGGGTCGCCTACCATCATGGCGGGCCTCAGGTCTATCCCATATGCTCCCACGTAGCCTCTGTCGCCGAGCTCCTGGTATACCTGTCAAGGGGAAGGAGCATACTATTTGCTGCATTTCCAAACAAATAAATAATACAAATACAAAATAATAGTATATTTATAATTTTAACCATAAAAATATTCAAATGGTAAGTTACATTGTTTACATTTCTTGAATTGTAAACAATTCTTTAATTGTTACAATTCTTTATATTTGTTATAAAGCGAATAACGCACAGGAGACATCTCCCGTCACGCAGGGTGCAGTCACACCTCCACAGATCTCCAGAATCAGCTCTTGATACTGGTAATGGGTCATAAGGGCCACCACTTACGGGCTATTCATGCCCGTGCCACCTTTTGGATAGCTTAATCTTCATCAATCAATCTTATAAAGCGAATAACGTCTCATAAGTAAACCTGATAATCAACTACACAAGTGGCTGTCTCCTGGCCCCACCAACACCTGACTAACTGCAGCCGCTGACTTTTGCCAGGTGCAATTTAAGTGACATGACTAAATCACACACACACACACACACACACACACACACACACACACACACACACACACACACACACACACACACACACACACACACACACACACACACACACACACACACACACACACACACACACACACACACACACACACACACACACACACACACACACACACACACACAGCGCGGTGAAGCTAACCTCCAGAAAAGCTAAGGTTTGGCACCTTCTTTTGCCAATTACTTACCTTATCAACGACCTGCCAGACAGTTAGGTTAGTGTTGCAGATCATGGTGAAGATGGCATAGAGGGTACGGTAGGCAGGTATGGCTGGTACCCCACGGGACGACCAATAGGTGCCCCGACCCCACCACACTGCCACCAGCACGCCCACCACTATCACCACCGCCACCACCTCCATCCTAGTCTGCATAAACCAATAACTATTGTAATAAAGTAATAAATACATTAATACAAACTTGTTAATACCTATATCTCTCGTGTGAATCATTTATACAAATATATATTGCGTAATGATGTCTATAATAATAAATAAATAAATGTTTATATATATATATATATATATATATATATATATATATATATATATATATAAATACTATGCCTAAAGGCACTAATACGTACAGCGTTTCGGGCAATATTTGCTGTATTTACTTCTTGTTGAAAACATAAATGAAAATATGAAGTTACACACAGTCTATGCCTATATAAGAATTAAGACCAAAATAAAAAACTCGGAAGACTCCTAAAAGATAAGGCTAGCCGACTTATAATTGAAAGATAAAAGGACAGTTATCACCGAATAAATACACTAGAGAGTTTAGTGTATTCATATTCACTAATACAATACATCAGCACTCACACTAGAGAGTTTAGTGTATTCATATTCACTAATACAATACATCAGCACTCACACTAGAGAGTTTAGTGTATTCATATTCACTAATACAATACATCAGCACTCACCCTAGAGAGTAGAAAACATACCCACATGTTTGAAGCAAGTGGAGAGAGCGAATTAAGAGATAGCCCCATAACACGTCATATAATCAGGAAACGCATTGACAAACTGAAAGATTCAAAAGCTCCAGGTGGGGACGGAATTTCAGTCTAAAATCATTAAGCAACTAACAGCTTAACTATGTCTACCACTGAAACTCCATTTCACAAAATCTCTGGATCAAGTGATAGTTCCCCTATGATTGAAAATATGCAAATATCATTCCTTTTTTAAGGAAATATCTGCCCGGGAAGGCAGATATGGCAAAATATCTGCCAAAAAAAATCTTTCAATATCTTTCTGCCAAAAAAGGCAGAAAGAGAAGCAGCAGAAAACTACCGTCCGATTAATTTGATCTCGCATATCTGCAATCTCATGGCGAGAAGCCTAAAGGATTCTCAGTAACCAACTTTGTGAAATCAACGCAATATAGTTCTGATAAAAATAATTCTTGCCACTCAGACCTGCGCATATTTTTAGACACAGTAACCAAGTATTCAGACAAAGGTCTTCCAATATAATAATAATAATAATAATAATAACAAAATAATAAAAATAATAATAATAACAATGAGAAAATCCACTAGGATATAGGTGGGCGCGATCCTATATATCATTGCCAGTCACATACGCTACCACTTATTAAATAATAATAATAATAATAATAATAATAATAATAATAATAATAATAATGAGGTAAAGAAAAGACCCAATACTTGAGCAAGTGCATTATTAAACCGAATTTTCGGATGAAGCTCAAGGTGCTGTAAACAATGTACTGTTAATATATTGTTTACACTACCTTGATAAAGGATGTAGGTTCATCTGAAAATACGGGTTAATTTCATACTATGTAAAATTTGTGTAATTTAATGCACTTACACAACAGGGCCTTTTCTTCATCTTTATTCACACACTCCGGTATTGTAGTAAATTTCTCAATTATAATAATAATTTTATTAGGTACATCTCTCTTCACATCTAGTCCACTTGTGAATGTTTTATCTCTGTTGCATTCATATAATCATTTTTCTCTGTTTAGTTATCACAAACTTCCTAGCAACCATTAGCTTTTAGTGAGGGTGCTGCAGTAGAGTGGTCTACGTCCCCAATTCACAACCGAGGGTTACGGGTTCGATCCCCGGTCAGGACAGAAACGATTGGAAACGTTCCCATTCACTTGTTAGCCTAGCAGTAAACAGCTTCCCGGAAGTTTGGCAACTGTTGCCGTTTGCATAATAGGGAAGAACAGTAATTGGCCAGTGGGAAACCGCCGGCTTCCTGTCCCCGACGCGACCTTATAAATTTAATTTACAATCAACACAATACAACTGTTATCTTGAGATGATTTCGGGGCTTTTTTTAGTGTCCCCGCGGCCCGGTCCTCGACCAGGCCTCCACCCCCAGGAAGCAACCCGTGACAGCTGACTAACATCCAGGTACCTATTTTACTGCTAGGTAACAGGGGCATAGGGTGAAAGAAACTCTGCCCATTGTTTCTCGCCGGCGCCTGGGATCGAACCCAGGACCACAGGATCACAAGTCCAGCGTGCTGTCCGCTCGGCTCCTATTTGTCTAATTAAAACACAAAACTGCTTCAACAGTAAAACCATATAACTGATGAGTTGTTAATTACCTTATAAAGTCTCAGTTCCTCTTCTTGATTCCAGGTTTAAGTCGACAAGGAACCGAGGATGGTGACCGTTCGGTTCCACCTCTAAGACTGATGGCTTGCCGGCGGCTGACGGCTCGTAGAGCTTCCTGGGGTTATTTCCAACTACATCCTCCTCATCGCATTTGCTCTCTTGTTATTTCTCTCACTTACATATCCTTAGCCTCAAAGAGACTTCTCAGTAGGCAATATCCAGGAATTGCATTGATTCGACACTGAATCAACGTTGATGACGTCGAATCAATGCTGGTGACGTCGAAATGTCATTGGTTTTGGATATTGAGCTCCATAGGTCGTTGGGTGTCATGAAGCCAGTTCCTGCGTAGCTTCCATATTTGGTTTAATTAAGCAGAATTAGACATGTGGGTTCAGGGGCACCGGGCCTAATTATCTTTAAGCTAAATAATTTACATTTGTCATGAACTTGTATTAAGTATTACCCTAAAAATGTAAAGCTCTATTCTCTCATTATCTTAACTTGTACGCGTAGTTAATAACTTATATACAAAAATAAAAATTCTGTACCCACTGAGTAATTACTGTAATCTGATCCTTTGTGTATCTTATAGATATAAAATTAGTCACATTCATCTGCCCGAAACGCTGCGCGTACTAGTGGCTTTACAAGATTGTAAATACTATGCTATGTATTCTCACAAACCCAATGTACCTTCTTGTATATAAATAAATAAATTAATAAATATAATATTTACCGTTTTAAGAAGCTGAGATAATAGGCTTAAATTTCGGTTAATGGACCCTCTTGAATAAAATACTTGTAAATTATTTGCACATTGTGATAGTTATCTCTAAATTATTTAATTTGTTCTCATTCCAGGGGGGGGCCTGACGGCTGAGTGACCAGCGCTTGAGATTCGTATTCATAATGTTCCGGGTTCGATTCCCGTCGGAGGCGGAAACAAATGGGCAGAGTTTCTTTCACCCTGATGTCTTGTTCGCCTAGCAGTAAAACAGACAACTGCTACGGGCTGCTTCCTAGGGAATGTGTAACATAAATTAGGCCTGGTCAAGGACCGGGCCGCGGGGATGCTAAGCCCCGAAATCATCCCAAGATAACCTCAAAATAACCATCCAACAGTGACGCAGGTTATGAACAGTTTTGCTGATAGTTTTACTTTATTTTGCTGATAGACAGCTGATAGGTCAGGCATGGATGAATAATTTTTCTAACAGTTTACATTTACTTGTTAAAAATCTCTGGACCCTTTTCAGTTTCACGTGTTTCTTTAGGTAATGGGTTCCATACTGGTGCAGCATAGAACCCTGCAAATAATTCCAGGGTTGGACATCATAGATAGGCTACAGGAGTGAATATCATTGATAGGCTACATTGTTTACATTATTTTAGGCTCGCGGGACACTGGCTAATGTTGACTTATGCTGCTGGCGGTAATCAACTGATATATGCTTAATGCTGAAATTCCCAAATTTGACAGCGAAAAATATAATTGATGTCATGATTATTAACGATCTTAAGCCAATTTTGTATTAACATATTTAGGTACATCTGCATTTGTGCACCTGCCCTAGATTATATGAAAGGCTGGTAGTAAATAATAATAATAAAAAAAAACTATGAAAGGAAGTACATGTGTCAAAAAGTAGACTTTTGGTACATTATGAGGATATCATCAACACAAGAGTGAATAAGATAGCAGTGATACCGAGTCCCCATCTCGCAGAATGGTTAATCATACAGGGCCATAAGAATATTTATCGCAGGAATTTGAAACTCCTTTTGTGTGTGACATATATATACTTGAACCTATGCCGAAAAGGAAGACGAAGGTAATCACAAGAATTAGAAGAATCACTTATGTGACAGATTCACTTGATCCTACACAGGGAAGAATGAGAGGGTAGGAAATTGTCAGGGTAAAACGCCAAGCCACTACGACTATATAGCCCTTGGAAGGGGTCAGGATAAGGACTTGGGATGGGACGGGGGGGGGGAAGGAATGGTGCCCCAACCACTTGTGGACGGTCGGGGATTGAACGCCGACAGACATGAAGCGAGACCGTTGCTCTACTGTCCAGCCCAAGTGGTTGGGGAAGGATGACAATGTTTATCCCTAGAATTAGAAACCCTTCTAGCTTGTCTGTGTGTGCGCGCGCAAATATTGCTTTCCAGAGGCTTTAACTTCAACTTGGCCAAGAATAGCTCGTCACCCTTGCTTGTAGTGCTTCCGGAAGCTGCTGCGTTGGCGTTTGTGGCTATTTTTACTTAAAGTTCATGAGAGGTCACATAAACACGTCCCTCTGACCGCTGGAAGTCATATGAAAGAAAACACATCAGTCTGAACCTAAAGAAAACGACACAGTTTCGGGTCCGTTTTGGACCAGTATAAACTCATTATACGACTTTATAATGGTCCAGGACAGACCGAATATTCCTCACCTGTTTTATTTTCAGATGTGGGGTTGGGTGTCCAATTTTCTGCCCCTTTATTTTGACTTATTGTCTGCATGTAAACAAACAGTGTGTTCAAGTGGCCATTGTCACCTGAATCACCTAAGCATTCAGTGAAATGGCTGATTAAGTCAAAAATGGGTAGGAGCTGGTAGCTCAGGCTCGGCCTGATGCTGTCATATTGTTCATGAGAAATCTTTTGGCAGCGTGGATAATTGCTCGACCTCCTGCTGGAAAGGCCTGGGATTCAGTTCCTTCCTCAAATTATATTTATAACATAAATAATTTATGCATAACAATTTGAGGATAGTCCTGCATTTTAGCGGACGGGCCGGGCCCATCATTTGGGTAGGGGGTCCCGGTGCCCATCATCTGGGTTGGGGGTTCTACTGCTCATCATCCGTGTAAGGGACCTAATTCCCATCATCTGGGTAGGGGGTCCCGGTGCCCATCATCTGGGTAGAGGGGCCCCAATGCCCATCATTCGGTTAGGGGACCAAATTCCCATCATCTGGGTGAGGTCTCTAGTGCACGTCACCTGGGTAGGGGGCCCATTGCCAGTCATCTGGATAGAGGGTCCTACTGTCTATCATCCGGGTAGGGGCCCCATTGCTTTACCGAGGGCCTATATATGCTGTTAACATGCCCCTGAGGCTCAGCAAAGTCATGTTGTGCAAGGTAAGTTTTAAAATCCGTCTTGTGAACGATGTAATTTGTATCTGGCGAAATAACTATTATTGGCTTGTTGTTGTTTAAGATTCGCTACTTGGAACAAAAAGTTCCAAGCAGCACGGGCTATGGTAAGCCCGTAATTATTGGCTTATTGAGCACTTTATGGTACTCTCGTGGTACAAATATTGGGGAGCCTAGTCCTCTGGAGCTCTCCAATACTCTCTTTACACAGTCCAAATACTCCTTCAAAAGGATATATTATAAAAATCAAAGACTTAGAAATTCATGTCGAGTTTTAAACCATCGGAAAAATCCAACTTACAAACATTTGCCTCAAAAGTCAACTCAACGGCTTCTTGAAACTTTAAGAAGCCCAAGAGGCTTACTCTGAGGTCTAAACCTTTTTTCAAAATTTTTGTTTACCTAGTCGGAGTAATTCAATTACCTTAACCACTTGACCAACCGTGACCGTACAAAAGTCATAGGTAGCCGAAGCTATATCCCCACCGTCCCGACGGCACTTGGTGGTAAGCTTGGGCATAGTTATTTCATCGAATCATCTCACTTTGTGGGGCCACGTGAGCAACACAAATGGGAACAAGTGGTTGGTCAAGTGGTTAAGGTACCAGGTACGCCTGGTATATTATATATATATATATATATATATATATATATATATATATATATATATATATATATATATATATATATATATCATTGAATATGACCGCATATTCTGTATTTATTATTTTCTGGTTTAGGGCTTCTATCCCTCTAACTATTTTCTTAGCATCAGGGCTTAATTGGAATAGGAGTTCTCCTATTCCAATTAACTCCTATTAATTAACACTAACAGAACTCCTATTCCAATTAAGCCCTGATGCTAAGAAAATAGTTAGAGGGATAGAAGCCCTAAACCAGAAAATAATAAATACAGAATATGCGGTCATATTCAATGAAACATGTTTGAAAGAAAACCTGCTGCCAGTATACACCAATATATATATATATATATATATATATATATATATATATATATATATAATCTTTGGACAACACCCACCAGTGGGACTCGAACCCAGAAAAACACCCAACGGCTTACTCTGAGGTCTAAACCTTTTTTCAAAATTTTTGTTTACCTAGTCGGAGTAATTCAATTACCTTAACCACTTGACCAACCGTGACCGTACAAAAGTCATAGGTAGCCGAAGCTATATCCCCACCGTCCCGACGGCACTTGGTGGTAAGCTTGGGCACTTGGTGGTAATGCGGTCAACACCCAACACTGGTGGGTGTTGTCCAAAGATTGTTTATCTTCACTTGTGGTTTATGCAAGTATAGGCTTATATATATATATATATATATATATATATATATATATATATATATATATATATATATATATATATATGACCGAAAAGGTAAGATTAATAATTCTAACACGAATTTGTTTAATATTTCTTATGTTTTTCTTCACTGTCGGTGGTAATGGAAATATCAATTCTCCAAAATTCATTTTTATTAATGATATGACGCCTAGAAGCGCTTCGTAAGGGCTTCTTACATTCTCAAAGACTTGTTTACACTTAACACTACTTATGATACACTCGATACACTGTGTATGAAACATTTGACATAACTCTTGCTTTGTATTGATTTTGGGTGAGGTGGGTATTCGGTGAGGTGGATACATGAGAATGGAAATAACTGCAGAGGGCCTATTGACCCATACGGTGCCTTGAAGTGGGTAGAATATAGTTGTGCGTTAATTGGCTGTTGATTGCTGGTGTTGACTTTTTGATGTGTAGTGCCTCGCTGATGTCAAGCCGCCTGCTATCGCTGTACCTATCGATGATTTCAGTGTTGTTTGTTAAGATTTCTCTGGTGATGGTCTGGTTGTGAGAGATCATCACCAGATGGTCTCTTCTCACAACCACTTTAGGTTCTTTTGAACTAAGTTTAGGTTCTAACGTTAGGTTCTGTTGGCGATTATTTGTATTTGTAGTACGTGGGTGATACATTTACAGCGTTGTGGTTCGAACAAAATCTGTCATTCATGAACCGTTTTTCATCCATAAACAGGGGGGTTAGGCGGGTGCATGGAATGGACTTTGGGCCTTTGTTTGGAGGACGGGCTGGAGGACAGGTTGCCTTATGGCAGCTTGGACGAGGACGAGTCGAAGTAATGCAATTCCAAGCTTCGAGAAAGCTTTCATGCAAACATTCTATATTCCACATTTTTCTCCCACCCACAGTAGCCTCATATATTAGAAGTATGATAGACTGCTTGTACTACCACTCTGGCGTGCTGAAGGACAGGCATAGTCGACATCTTGCCTTGGGGGAAGGCTTGACAGGAACTGTGTTGACCGTCCAGGCAACAAAGAGGCTCCCTAGTACTGACTTCAGCGTACTCCCACGGTCCTTCGCACAGACTCATGTACAGATGCACCTGCAAAACTTGACATTTCTACAAAACTACATTTATAGAGAAACTACATTTCTCTGTGTATTCTCTGAATACACAGAGAAATTGCATTATCGTAAAACATAAATGAGAAACTCTACAAGAGTCGTGATTAGGATTCGAACCTATGCGCTGGGTTCTAAACAAATGAGAGCTGAAAATGTTCTGTAAATAGATTAATTATATGTGAAAAAGCTAGAAAGTTTATGTAAATTATGAGAACCGGTGTACACGATCTTAAGTTACCTCTCGTGTAGACTTAAATGTTTATGAGTGACAGAAATCTTAACGACGCTCTGAGCTAATTATGTGCCTCTGTAACCTTTCCACCACCGCCCACGGGAGGCGTATGGGGTGAATAATAAATAAATGAACTGAAATGCTCTTTACGGGCCTTTGGCAAAAACCACCACCACAAACAATGTTCATCACAGTCTCCACACAAACTACTCATCACAGTCTCCACACAAACTACTCATCACAGTCTCCACACAAACTACTCATCACAGTCTCCACACAAACTACTCATCACAGTCTCCACACAAACTACTCATCACAGTCTCCACACAAACTACTCATCACAGTCTCCACACAAACTACTCATCACAGTCTCCACACAAATTACTCATCACAGTCTCCACACAAACTACTCATCACAGTCTCCACACAAACTACTCATCACAGTCTCCACACAAACTACTCATCACAGTCTCCACACAAACTACTCATCACAGTCTCCACACAAACTACTCATCACAGTCTCCACACAAACTACTCATCACAGTCTCCACACAAACTACTCATCACAGTCTCCATACAAACTACTCATCACAGTCTCCATACAAACTCTACACAAACAGAAAAGACAATACCAAAACATTATGCCATATTGACCAGACCACACACTAGAAATTGAAGGGACGACGACGTTTCGGTCCGTCCTGGACCATTCTCAAGTCGATTGTGTTGAAAATCGACTTGAGAATGGTCCAGGACGGACCGAAACGTCGTCGTCCCTTCAATTTCTAGTGTGTGGTCTGGTCAACATACTTCAGCCACGTTATTGTGACTCATCGCCTGCATTATACCACAATCATCACCCACCACCATGTCTCCTAAGGCTTCCCACAAGCACAAATACTACCACAAACCACCGTAGAGTCCCGGCTTCTGAATAGTCCTAAACAGAGACCTTAAGCCGTGGCCAAACAAGACCTTTGGATACGTCTCCTTACATGCCTCGTTTCACCCAGCCTAAGAAATACAAAATTGTGACAACCATATATACCACAAACACAAATTTAATATACTAAACACATCAAAACGAGACAATAAAACAAGGGAAGGGAACGTTAACGAGAAAGCGCCAAGCTATTACGACTAAATAGCGCTTGGAAGGGGGGCAGGATAAGGGTTTCGGATGGAGACGGGGGATAAGGATGGTGCCCAAGCACTTGGACGGTCGGGTGATTGAACTCCGACCTGTAAGAAGCTCTACCGTCGCTCTACCGTCCAGCCCAAGTGGTTAGACAGACAATAAATAAGTCACAGACACCACCAATAAGGTGACGGATGCCACAACGCTACAAAACTCAACACATATGTCCAACACCAACACTACCACTCCCTAAGGAGGAGGTGTACCAGGTGTGCGGGCAGGTGTGGGTCTCCCCTCTCGTTCAGAGCACGACAGAACAGCTGTCCAACCGTCTCCCCGTCGTCCAGCTGGTGAGACAGGTTCCCTCCTCCCGTCACCTCCAGGAACTGATGGTCATAGTCTAATTAGTTGTGGAATTGATGAAGTCATGGATGTCAACTCAAGAGAGTTTGACATAATAGATGGGTTTGATAACGATGTACTGATACATGGGTGTTATCAGTCAACTGATTCTCCAAAAACTATAATGCTTTTATTTATTTATTTATTTATATATATACAAGAAGGTATATTGGGATTGTGAGGATACATAGCATAGCAATTACATTCTTGTAAAGCCACTAGTACGCGCAGCGTTTCGGTCAGGTCCTTAATCTAAGACACTTATAAGTAGGTAAATACTTGCAAAATTTATATAAATGATAACAAGTATTGGTCAAACATACACAATATACTCTTGTACCTCACAAATATTCACATTTGGTACTATATGAATACTCCAAATGGTAAAATTAATATTTAATAGTAACTCTATACAACCTCTTAGCCTATGCTAGGCTTAAAAAATCCTAGTTCTAATATACGCTAGGCCTAATTTAGTTCATATATGTTCTGAACTAGGCTTAGATTAGGGTTAGTTGCTGCCTCCTCTCTCTCTCTACCCTCTTCAAAATTTATAGGCAAAACTTTTTTTTTTGGGTGCAACAATCCACTTTTCGACCAGTTAAATGTTTAATATATTGCTTGACTAGCCTAAAAAATCTGGTGATTTTTATTGAAATATGTCACTCTTAATTGTTTATCCATCAACCTGCGTATATGGATGTGTGATAATGACACGATAGACAGTGTACCTAGGAGCTACAGGAATTTTGCCCCAAGAGTCTAACACTTATATGCTGTGCTTACTATATTAACCTGCAATGTTAAATGGGATTCTTGTATTGTTATTTGTGTATTTGTACTCACTGAATTTGTGCGCCACTTGAGGGACTTGAAGTAGAGGGGGTAGAAATAGCCTAAGCTACTCTATCCCTTTGAGATGTATTTTTTCTTGTCTCAATAAACATACTTGAACTTGAACTTGAACCTGCGTATAAATATTCCTGTGACGACTCAGTCTCGCAGAAGCTCACCTGCTCGATGCACGCTCTCCTACATGTGATGAAGGCGTGGCAATTATCTACGAGAGTAGACCTGAGAATGACCACCTGTTGCACCCACTGGTCGGTGCTGAGGAAGGTGCCGCAGTCACACACAGCCTCGCCCCATACCCTGTTGGGAACCTCTTATTCAGGCGATGAGTCACAATAACGTGGCTGAAGAATGTTGACCAGACCACACACTAGAAGGTGAAGGGACGACGACGTTTCGGTCCGTCCTGGACCATTCTCAAGTCGATTGTGAATGGTCCAGGACGGACCGAAACGTCGTTGTCCCTTCACCTTCTAGTGTGTGGTCTGGTCTGATTGATACCTGGTCAACGAACCTCTTATACTCGCTTAATTATTCTCTTTTTTAAAAACAAAGTGGTCTGAATAATATCTAATTTGTTCAGTATTGTAATGGTCTGGATGAGATCAGCCTTGTCATGTGTTTTTAGTCCTGCATGTGGCCCAAGTCGTTCCTGATGCGAAATTCGACTTAGTTCTGGGGTGAGTTTTGTCGTCCTGTGTTGAACTTTCTCCAAAGCGGATATGTCGGATTCAAGCGCGGGTTGGACATGTATATGAGTGGGATTGGGTGGTCATAAATAGGAGCTGCCTCGTATGGGCCAATAGGCCTTCTGCAGTTGCCTTTGTTCTTATGTTCTTATGTACTTTTGAAGGTAAAGTGTGATCCATATGCTTGGATATGTGTAAGGGGCACACCAGAGACGCAGCTGAACAACCAATTTGTCCGAACATAAGACCAATGTATAACTAGCTAATTACTTTGAAGTCCTGTATGAAATAATGTTTATACTATACAAATAGTTATGCAGAACGAAATTATCTCTTAACCATAAACTAAATTGTTTATTTTAAACATTCAAGTCCAGTTCCTAGACTCATTTTATGACGCTAACAACTCCATAGTAAACCAATTAAACTAAAGAGAATGTTATTGGTGACTCACGGGGAGGCGAGGACACAGAGGAGAAGAACAACTGCCAGGGACGCCATCGTTGAACTGCTGGCGGTGGTGGTGGTGGTGATAGTGGTGGTGGTGGAGGTGCTAGTGCTAGTGGTGGTGGTGCTGCGAGTGGTAGTGGTGGTGGTGCTGCGAGTGGTAGTGGTGGTGGTGCTGCGAGTGGTAGTGGTGGTGGCGCTGCTGGTGGTGGTGGTGGAGGTGATGTTGATGGTGAGAGTGCTAGTACTGGTGGTAATGGTGCTGTTGGTGGACGGGACAGTGAGAGCTCTACATCACAGACGCTCAAAATCTACTGATTGCTAATTTCCCCCCTCCCCCAGCTTATCTTTTCCCACGCCACCTCTGGCGCCACCACAGCCGCCCGGTCTCTTCATTTGCCACTCCGTACAAAATCCAACCTCCTAACCTGTCAAATCCGATGCGTAGGAAACGTAGATATTAGTGACCCGTTACTTTTCACAGTTGGCTGTAACGTTGGTTACAATAACGGAAAACCCGCAACCTATTAGTTTGAGAGGACAGGGTCAACCCCAGACTGCTTCATAATAACTGAATCTGATTACAAGGACAATAATAACTGCTTCTTGACACCCAGGACATAACCTGAAATCTATTGAAAGTTGCAATTACACATCCGTTAAGGAAGCAACTTTGTAGTTAGCGGGTTGGACATGTATATGAGTGGGATTGGGTGGTTATAGATAGGAGCTGCCTCGTATGGGCCAATAGGCCTTCTGCAGTTGCCTTTGTTCTTATGTTCTTCTTATGTTATCACAGCTCATCTCCCAGTTCCATATTAATTCACTGTTATTGTTATTTTTATTTTGAATATGAAAAATGCAAGCATTGCACGATACAACTGCCAAATCAACAATATTACCTAGCAGCTGATTGATGACGAAAAGGCACTTCGAGTCAGATCCACTAATCACTGACAGTTTCACAAGAGGGACCTAAAAATAAAAAACAAACCAAATCTTAGAAATAATCAAACGAAATGTAGATTTCAACGAAAAGAAGGTGTAGTTGTATAACAGATTGAGATAGTGTGTATAGCGTGAGATTGAGAGGAAGCTGTCATATATTATGCCCGATATATCATATATCTGTCCGAAACTCTTTACGTAATAGTGGCTTTAGGCATTGTATGTACTAGCTCTATTTATAAATTCAGCAATATTTGTATCACCCCTTAATTGCATGTATGTACTTTACCTGAATAAACATTTGAATTTGAATATTAATAACAAATTATTATTTGTTGTATTTCCTACTAAGTTCTGATATAAGGGTGACAGCGGTTAGAATAATTGAGCAGTCCAAGGGTTAATTATGGCTAAAAGATAGCAATAAGCGAAGGATTCACGACAGATTTCCCCTTGTCTAATCACACCGGAAAGGTAATTACTTTGCATTACTTCTGTGGCATAGTGATAAGTGCTATCGGCGTGTATTCCTTTTGCATCCTTACCTCCTCAGTGCATCGTAGTTCACAGGCCTCGATGTTGTCACAGCTGTCCTCCTGCGTCTCCGGCAGGTTGTGGACCAGCGTCGCCCCTTCCTCTGTAGTGACGGAGGTGGTGCAGTGGTAATGTTACTCCTGAACCGAAGTTGCGCAGTGGTAATGTTACTCTTGAACTGAAGTGGCGCAGTGGTAATGTTACTCCTGAACTGAAGTGGCGCAGTGGTAATGTTACTCCTGAACTGAAGTGGCGCAGTGGTAATGTTACTCCTGAACTGAAGTGGCGCAGTGGTAATGTTACTCTTGAACTGAAGTGGCGCAGTGGTAATGTTACTCCTGAACTGAAGTGGCGCAGTGGTAATGTTACTCCTGAACTGAAGTGGCGCAGTGGTAATGTTACCAGGAACAACAGAGGTCCCAGGACAGAGCCCTAAGGCCCCACACCCACAAAAATTAACACCCTCCCACACTGACTTAGCCCCATTTATACTAACTCTTCGTTTCCTTTGGTATAGCCATGCCCTAATCCAACTTAATATAGCACCCCCAATACCATGAGCCTCTATCTTTTTAATCAGTCTTACATGTGGCACTGTATTTATTTTATTTTATTTATTTATTTATTTATTTATATACAAGAAGGTACATTGGGTTTGTGAGAATACATAGCATAGTGCAGTAATTGCACTCTTGTAAAGCCACTAGTACGCGCAGCGTTTCGGGCAGGTCCTTAATCTAACAAATAATTTTAAGTAGGTAAATTCTAGCAGAATTAATAAAATGATAAATACATTGCAAGAAAAAAATGAGATGAGAGAGATTAGTAAGTATATTAAAGCACATTGGTATATTAAAGCTCTGATTGATTACATTGACAGGTTGATTGGTAATTTAAACAAGATTAATAGACACCATACATCAAAATCTTTGCTAAAGTCAAGGTACACAACATCACAATCCTTACCACTATTAACTGCCTCAACTATGCTGGACTAAAATGATAGCAAATTTATTAAACATGAACGGGCATGTTTACAAGAAAGAATTCCACCAAAATATACTATATATATATATATATATATATATATATATATATATATATATATATATATATATATATATATATGTCGTACCTAGTAGCCAGAACGCACTTCTCAGCCTACTATACAAGGCCCGATTTGCCTAATAAGCCAAGTTTTCCTGAATTAATATATTTTCTCAATTTTTTTTTCTTATGAAATGATAAAGCTACCCATTTCATTATGTACGAGGTCAATTTTTTTTATTGGAGTTAAAATTAACGTAGATATATGACCGAACCTAACCAACCCTACCTAACCTAACCTAACATATCTTTGTAGGTTAGGTTAGGTTAGGTAGCCGAAAAAGTTAGGTTAGGTTAGGTAGGTTAGGTAGTCAAAAAACTATTAATTCATGAAAACTTGGCTTATTAGGCAAATCGGGCCTTGCTGCATAGTAGGCTGACAAGTGCGTTCTGGCTACTAGGTACGACATATATATATATATATATATATAGAGAGAGAGAGAGAGAGAGAGAGAGAGAGAGAGAGAGAGAGAGAGAGAGAGAGAGAGAGAGAGAGAAAAGATACGTGAATTTAGAGACAATTCTATAACCAATGTTCCAGCGATGTGTAAATATTTCATTCAAAATGATCTGCTACCAGAAATTTTAGCCAAATATCCCCAGTTTGCTAACTGTAGGTAGTAACTGAGTGATTGTAACCTATCCACCGCTGCCCACTGGATGGGGGGCGGTGTGCAGGACAAACATATCAATTGTGACACTAGCTCTCCACATATGTCAGTTGCTTAATTTAGAACCTGTACTTGAGGTCGATCTCGAACCCATTGTTGATGTGACGACTTATATTAAAGTTTGTAACTAGCTCATCAAGATTGTAACTTGCTTAGCTAAATGAATTGCGGGGTTTAGTCCCTGAGCCCATTATGTGCCTCTGTAACCCTTTCCACTACCGCCCACAAGATGGGTATGGGGTGCATAATAAATGAACTAAACTAAACAGTTACCTAATTATATCCAACATGGTATTAAACTCTTATCATAAGCTACGGGATCAGTGTTTAAATGAAATTCGGAATTAATAATAATACAGCTGATGCCATCTATCGGCAGGAAAGAACACTATTAACAAGCCTCAACAAGAGCCATAAGATACAGCTTATGCCATCTGTTGACATCAAATTACACTATCAACACACCAGCCTTCAAAATACACCTGGCGACATCTGTTGAGTCGCCCATGCACTATCAATAGCTGAACAGCGGCCCATAAGGCGGGTTGTTGTGCTTCCATGTCATTGGTAGAAATTTTTTGTTGACATTCACACAACAGCCAATCACAGGAAGCTAAAGGTGCCACCTATTTAATAAATCATCTTTGTTCAGCACACCAGCCCTGCTGATGGCATTCTGCTTCAACTTTAATATATTCAAAAAGTGAATTGATAATCATTTAAGTCTTAATAAATTGAGAATTAAATATTGTAGGAGAAAACAAGTGTTATAGAAAATTGGCCTGGCTACCTAACTTGTGACGTCATCAGTGGGGTTGCCTCAAACAAATAACATTGAATACACAATACTCCGCCCTCTTATTGGACTACATTATTTAGTTAGATGGGAATTTCTGTCAGGTACAAAACAAAGATGTTGTTGTGTAAAAAGACGTATTTCTTAGTTTGCATTTCATTCAGAGAAAGAATGTTGACATTCCCTGCAACAGCCAATCACAGGAAGGTATTTGCTAGAAGCTTATGACGTCATCGTGAGCGTTCCGTACACCAATCTAGTTTATGGCTTTCTGTTAAAGAAGATAATAATATATATTATTATGTATGTGGTATGGAAACGCTTTGCGGGTTAGTGGTTAATAAGAATGTAAAATCTTCATTGCTAAGTACTCTCTTAACCCCAATGTACCTTTTTGTATATAAATAAATCAATAAATAAATTAAAATAAATGGAGCGCAACTCCATAGTCTCCTGAGACTGATGGCTGCCTACTACTGCTGCTAGAAAATAAACAAATTTTAAGGCTTACAATAAATGGCATTGTAATTTAATTAACTGTACTAAATGGTAATGTACATTACGATTTAGTAATGGTAATGCACAGAAAACAGTACAGTTCATATAATTCATAAATATATATATATATATATATATATATATATATATATATTAATATATAGACCCAAAAACTCCTGACCCCTGAAGGATTCGTACCTAGCTAACCAAGATTCCATGAATCTTAGCATGTCAAGTACTATACTAACTAGGCCATACTGAATATGTTTATCTCTCAGAATGTTCGGTAATATGTTTATTGTTTGTGATGTGTCTATGTATGTATTAACATGATGTACTGAACGGGGTGAGAATAGCTTGAGCTACCTCATCCCTTTGTGTGTATTTTACCTCAATAAACTTATTTCAATTTAAGTTTCGTATGTCTTCACTCAAAATCGATCTGAATTGTAAATAATATTACCTATCCAAGGACACCCAACGCAAGGTGCTCCAACCTAGGATAAGTAGAATCTTACTGCACAGTACACAGTATTGTGCACTGTTCAGTCATCTGTAACCTCGGGTGTGCAAGATCAGCTGAAAGACTTTAAATTCTTACCAGTCATAACTTCCCCTTTCGCAATCTCAACACCATCTAACTCATATCTTGTAACTCTCTCATCATTACCTAGCCTCAAAACCTTACATTTGAATTAATATCCTCAAGCAGTAGGAACAAAAAGTAATTGCCGAACACCAGTATGGCATTAAGCTCCGGGATTTAGATCAGTGTTTAAAGGGAATTCGGAATTAATAATAATACAGCTGATGCCATCTATCGGCAGGAAAGAACACTATTAACAAGCCTCAACAGGAGCCATAAGATACAGCTTATGCCATCTGTTGACATCAAATTACACTATCAACAAACCCCCCTTCAAAATACACCTAGCGACATCTGTTGAGTCGCCCATGCACTATCAATAGCCGAACAGCGGCCCATAAGGCGAGTTGTTGTGCTGAAGTAATTGTAAATGTTAGCACAACAGCCTGTAATTGGCTGTTGTGTGAATGTCAACAAAGAGTTTCTGCCAATGATATGCCACCATTTTATTTATTATGCACCCCATGTCATTTTTGTGGGCGGAGCTTGGAACCTCCTACCCGAGCACAACAACCCGCCTTATGGGTTGCTGTTTGGCTATTTATAGTGCGTTGGAAAAGCAACAGATGGCGTTAGTTGTATTTTGTGGGGTAATTTGTTATAAGTGTAATTTGATGTCAACAGATGGCGTAAGCTGTATCTTATGGCTACTATTGACCAGCAAGTTGATAGTGTTTTTATCTGCCAACAGATGGCATCAGCTGTATCATTATTACTTCCGAATTCCCTTTAAACACTGATCTACAAATCCCTTGGATTATGATAAGGTTTTATACCATTTATGATAAGTATTAGATAACTGGAGTTCAGCAATTACTTTTATTTATGAACTGTTCAGGATATCATCATCTGGTTAGGACGTACTGCTCTCGATTGATGAAGATTAAGCCACCCAAAAGGTGGCACGGGCATGAATAGCCCGTAAATACTGCAACAAGGCTCCATTAAGGAACATATAATCTCTTCCCACAACCAGACCATCACCAGAGAAGTCTTAACAAACAACACAGAAATCATCGATAGATACAGCGATAGCAGGCGGCTTGACATCTGCGAGGCATTACACATCAAAAAGTCAGCACCAGCAACCAACAGCCAATTAATGCACAACTATATTCTACCCACTTCAAGACTCCGCTCCAATATAGAAGGATCAAGAGAAATTGAATTGAAATAGAAATTGAAATAAGTTTATTGAGGTAAAATACACACAAAGGGATGAGGTAGCTCAAGCTATTCTCACCCCGTTCATTACATCGTGTTAATACATACATAGACACACATCACAAGCATATATATATATATATATATATATATATATATATATATATATATATATATATATATATATATATATATATATATATATATATATATATATATATATATATATATTTTATGTGTGTGTGTGTATGTGCAGAAATAATATTAATAAAACAATTAACATCGTGTAGTGTACTCTATATATCAAAATATATTACTTTGAAACCCATATCATTCACTAAAAAAATTGGGCTACTCTTATTACAAATTCGCTACTTTTAGACTGTCAGCTCGCTACTTTTAGACTGTCAGGTCGCTAGTTTTAGACTGTCAGCTCGCTACTTTTAGAATGTCAGCTCGCTACTTTTAGACTGTCAGCTCGCTACTTTTAGACTGTCAGCTCGCTACTTTTAGACTGTCAACTCGCTACTTTTAGATTGTCAGCTCGCTACTTTTAGACCGTCAGCTCGCTACTTTTCGACCGCCAGCTCGCTACTTTTAGACTGCCAGCTCGCTACTTTTAGTTTGTCAGCTCGCTACTTTTAGACTGTCAGCTCGCTACTTTTAGACTGCCAGCTCGCTACTTTTAGACTGCCAGCTCGCTACTTTTAGACTGTCAGCTCGCTACTTTTAGACTGTCAGCTCGCTACTTTTAGACTGTCAGCTCGCTACTTTTAGAATGTCAGCTCGCTAGTTTTAGACCGTCAGCTCGCTACTTTTAGACTGTCAGCTCGCTACTTTTAGACCGTCAGCTCGCTACTTTTAGACTGTCAGCTCGCTACTTTTAGACCGTCAACTCGCTACTTTCAGCAATTTAGATCTGGCAACGTGGGTGACGTCACGATGTAAACAAGACGCTCAAGCATGGCGGATGGCCACGGCCGCTCTAGGGTCCCCAGCGACGCCGACGACGACGACGAGCAGGATCCCGTAGAGTCCATGATCGCCAAGACGGGCTGCCTGGAGAAACATTACGCCGTGCAGGTGTGTGTGTGGGCAGAGGTCACGACCTCTCCGTAGGGTACAGTCGCACCTCCACAGATCTCCAGTATCAGCTAATGATACTGGTTCAAGTATGTTTATTGAGACAATAAAAAAAATACATTTCAAATGGATAGAGTAGCTTAGGCTATTTCTACCCCTCATGATACTGGTGATGGCTCCAAAGGGCCACCACTTACGGGCTATTCATGCCCGTGCCACCTTTTGGGTGGCTTAATCTTAATCTTCATCAGTGTGTGGGGTTAAACGATGTCTTCTAGCACGCTTAAGTCGGTGCCTGGCAGGTCGTACGTAACTACATGCCCTAAAAGCACTGTGCATATTAGTGGCTTTAGGCATCATTATTATATGGTGAATATATTAGGTTTACCATAGCTTTTATCAATTAGATGACAAAAAGCAAGTCATTCTAATAACTAGAGCCATACACAATTTTATTTGACTATCAAAACTTGTGCCCTCTAAATATTTATATAAAAATGTGGCCAAATTGTTTATTTTTCATGTGTTTAACTTATCTTCCCATTTAAGAGTTCAAAGTAACATTCATACATAATAAGTTGTTTACTACAGCAGTTTTCTATGGTAATTGTACGCATATTTTCTGTTCCAGTTTTGCATGGCAGACCACAAGGATTGGCGCAAGTGTCAGACTCAAGTGAAGGATTTTCAGTCTTGTATAACAGATTACAACAGAAATAAACATAAAGAATGATGACTGATGTGTAAAACATTATTTACTTGTACTGTAAACTGATCATCCAAATAATAGTTTGACTAAAGCAGACTATTTTATATCTTAAGTTGTGAACAAATCAAATTTTATTACCTTAGTTGTAATTTTCCACAAAATTTCTTCCCGCCAAACACACACCGAAACTAAGACGTTGGTACAACGTTCGAACAAGTTTTAACACCTCCTAACCAGTTATAACAACCAATATAGCAAGTTGTAACAACGTTCTAATACGTCATAAACACGTTAAGCCAAGCTGTAACAACTTTATTACAAGTTGTAACAAGCGGAAAATAGAGACAGTTTCGGTTTGTGTTTCCCGGGTTGTACTTTAATGAACGTACAAGATCGTCAGAGTGAAGACAGTACAGTATTGTATAGCTCAGAAAAATCTCCAGGACTTATGGATGGTTCTAATGTAAGCAGGCCTAAGCCTCTTTGGGAGCTGCCATCAAGCACTACAACAACTGTCGCTTTCACTTGTTTTCTGGCTGGCGTTTTTATTGGTCGCAAGTTGAGAAATGCTGCGCAAAGAGTGACTTCCCTCGTCTCGACTGGACCCACAAAATTGGCACTTGTGGTCAGAAATGACTTAAATATGGGGAAAGGTTGGTGTGAGATTTTTTATTAACTATTAGTGTATTTCACATTCAGCGTATAGGCTACATTCACAAAATATATTCCAGATTAGCAATGTTTAAATAATCAAAAACAGTATATGCAAAAATTAACACCTTAAAGTATATTGCAGCTCATCTTCATTCCCTTAATTTCATGTTCATAACCAGATACCGTGGAGGTCTCGGTATAAGACTAACACAAATAAATAAACTCTGGGTGCCTGTTCCCTGACACAATGGATTATTATTATGAATTATTTCTGAGATCTGAGTAGATTTTGAAGCTCGGTGCTAAGATAGAAAGAACTGGTGGTAAAGGTTCAGAGGGAAAAATGTGAGAGAAACTAAAAAAACAAGAGGAGTTAGATAAGGCTGCTTAGAAGTGTTTCACAAAGGTGTGTTGTGTGGGTGTGCCTGTTGATGGTGAGAAATACAAGGCACCAATGGGGAGATTGACTTGTAAACTTGGGAATTGAAGACTTTAAGTGTGTTGATAGCTGGCTTCAATCTTTTAAGAAAAGGCATGAAATTAGGAGAAAGTTCTCAGCTGAAGAAAAATTATATGGTAATGTAGTGTAGAATCCTTCAGGAGAAAATTCACCAGAGTACTGTATTGGTGATGACAAACTCATTTGTTTCAAATCTATATTGATGACGAAACTGGATGAGAGATATATGATTTAAGACATTTGCTAGTAGGATAGAGGGAATTGTTTCTGGCCACAAGGTTAGCAAAGATTGTCCTTTAGCTTTAGTGTGCCAGTGCAGACTACACACAAAGTAACTTTAGTAATTGTTGGAAAGTCTTCAAGACAAAAAGTCTTAAAAACTGCTCGCACAGTCTTTCTGTGCACTATTGCCATTGTGGGCATGGTTTCATTGCTAATTTTGTAAGGAAGCAAGTGTTCCATATTAACCACCTGACCATGTATACATGACATGCAGTTCCCGAGTGATGCCATTTTGGGACTAAAAAAAAAAAAAAAAAAATTCTGACCTACGGCTCCTTGTGATTTACTGAGGACTTCTACCAACTACCAGGCTTTTGTTGCCCTCATCCTTCACCATGGCTAGGATATGTCAAATGGTTTATCATGTATTTAAGGAAGATACAGTAGCAAGTCTATCTTAAGCCACCATTGAGATCAGTTTCTGTTACAAAAGAAATAAATTATGCCAACTACCAATTACAAATTAGCAGCACACCCAACCCCCCCACGTGACAACAGTCAGAGCAGCAGATAGTCTTCACTGTCTGGTGTCCAGACATCACCAATCTAGACTGATCAGTTTTCTAAATAGTTTTTCACTGGAAACGGTTATCTGGACGCAGGGGATTTCATGTTTCAGGTTTTGCTTCATGATGTATGTGCCATTTGTTTGTGTGCTACTGACTATGGCTTCTCTGCATCGTCTGTGTTACAAGAGTTTACTGTTGCTTGACAAAGGCTTCTGCCCCAGAGCATCTTTTCTGAAGTTGTTTTGGTGTTGTATTCAGCATGATTCAGTTCTTGATTTGGTTACACCACTACTTTGGTGGTGCACTGGGCTTGAGATTAGTTAACTCCCCAAACATTCAATTATTAAGAATATATTCTAACCTGAATATACAGTTTATTTATTTATACAGAATTATTATTTAATATACAGAACATTTATATCTGTCACTTATTCTGTAACATATGTAGACAAATGAAGTCAGGAAGTAAAAGGCAGCTCTGCCTCAAGCTTCTGCTATGGCTTACATCTGCCAGTGAGAAAAATAGTCAATCCTCACCAAGCCATATTAAAATGTGCACAGAAATTGACCAGAGAGGAGCAGTGCCGAATCGAATTCCACCAATGAACCACTTTATTCATTATTTGTGTGATATAAGTTTGCAATAATACAACTTTTAAATGCTCAGCATGTTAGGACTTGCAGGTAGAGAAAGTAGGAGCGTGAAGAGTGAAGGATACATCTTAATGCATTTTTTTTTTCAGGAAAAATAGCTGCCCAGTGTTCTCATGGGACCCTGGCAGCTTACCGACAGATGCAGAAAAGCAACCCAGGGTTGTTGCAAGCCTGGGAAGATGCTGGTCAGCCCAAAGTTGTGCTCAGAGCTGCAGACTTGGATCACTTACAAAAGTTAAATGAGGTTTGTTAAACCCTTTAATATAAGAACTGATTTGTCTATTATTACTGTTTGGCAGAACAGAACTTATACAATTCACCTTAAGATTTTACTGTGCGTTTTGACATGGCATTAACGAAAGTAAATAAAGCTTTAAAAGTCTTTAGTATGAATCGATATTTATGTTGCCAATTATTACAAAGGGCTTTGAGCCCCTAAAGGGACAGTATTTTATATTGGCATAAAAAATTCTTGGGGAAACTACTAGTAAAGAAGCCCAGCCTTGGCACATTCTTTTGGTGATCACTTTCAGAAATGTTTCAGATTGAAGTTTATCTTGTGCAAAGTTCAAGTTGTAAATTTATAATTTAGAAATTTACTAATGCATGCTGTTGCATTGCAGATGGCAGCAACAGCTGGAGTATTAACAGCCAGTGTACAGGATGCTGGGAAAACTCAAGTAGCCAAAGGTACAGTGACTGTTTTGGCTGTAGGACCAGCAACTGTGGCAGATGTTGACAAGATCACAGGTCACCTTAAACTACTTTAACATTCTAATAACTTTCATATACTGTATACAAATGTGCCATAATTTCTGACCATCATGAAATGACAAGCTATTAAGAATTTGGTTCTTATTGAGAGCAAGTGATCAAAATTTGTAGATATCGACAATTGTGACACTGCAACTTTAAAACATTTGAATCAGTGTAAATATGTTAAATAAAATACTACATATACTTAACTTTGTTTTAATAAAAAAAATCACAAAAGTTACATGCACGTGTTCCTTACATATATGTATAATGAAACCAGATTTGTCAGTACAATATTTATTATGTATGCACTATGGTCTTAAAAATCATACCAATAGCCGAAAAGTTATTAATACCAATTAGAACTAATCCCTGCGAAGTTTAACCGTTTCCTCTGTTTTAGCATCCTTAGTGATGGTATGAATGATTATGCCATCACCAGTATTTATGTCACGCTCGGCGGCTGACACAAAGGCATCGTGTATAAGCTGACGTGCAAGTTCCTGAAAAAATATAAAGATTTATGAATATCTACAAATAAAAAAGTACAAACTACAACATCTTATATTTTTGTACAGTACATTATTTTTCTTTTACAAATGCTAGTTTTAATGAACGAACAACTCGTCATTACAAAACGGGTCCCGTTTCATCTTGCTTTACAGTCTTTTTCTGTCTACAATCTTTGACTGTGCACCTTGTCAGATTGTTCAACTAATCCATAACTTGTCAACAAACAAATTCTTCCCTATATCAATTTTAAAGTCCATTCCTACATGTTCCATTTACAATATAATAAATAAACAAAATACCTTGAATCACCATTAACCAGGACACATTTGCCTACTCTGCTAAAACGAGTCAACTCATTCATAGTTCTTGATTCACTAGAGAAAACCTATGAAAAATTGAACTATTTGTGAACCAGCTCAGTTCTAATGATAAACTCATTGGGATAATGCTCTGGAAACTTAAGCCAAACTTGAACCAACATGACCTCATCAGGAATTAATTTGCAAAGGTTAATACTGTACAGTACAGTACTTAGACCAAGATAATGACTACAACCATACCCCTCATTAATACCTTTCATCTATTTGTACAATTTTATCATACAACATTACCATTCTTGTATCAGCCCATCCTCTCGAGTTAGCAAATAAAAATGTACAAACTTTATGGAACCTAACTGATGGACCCATGCAGAGAGAGGTTTGTGAGCCACCGATTTATAATACTGCACATCATAAGAACAAATCAACAAGGGCCGTGATGAGGGTTCGAACCTACGTCCGGGATAATCCCAGATGTGCCTTAGTCGACTGGGCCACGCCATGGTAAAAGAATTGCAACCTGGAGTACTACTCCAGGTACTACGTAGCCTTGTGGCTACGTTCACTCGATATATCACGCTATTGTGATTTCTGTGTGTACTGTACATCATATTTTGTCCATTGGGGACTTTGATGACAAAATGTTTATGCAAGTATTATTTGAAAGGACAGTTATTATTATTAATAAATAATATTAATACATGAACACTGCCAATTAAGCAACACCCATCCACAGAATAACATATCTGAGCAAGTATTATCTAGGCGGCAACACAGGTGCACTCGACAACACAAGTCAGCACACCACATCTAAATCATGATAAAGAATTTAACACAAATAATAATACTTCTAATAACAAAAACCATGATACAGTGGCCAATGGAATGCTAGAGTTTTTACATTTAATAAAGTCACTAATGTGCAAAGTATTTTGCATTCTACATATTGATGTAGAATAAAGGAAACTGCTTTTTAATACTGTAATTATTGAATAAATATTAATGTGTAATTTTAGAGTGGATCCATTGACCATTTTGTGGCACTGGGTTGTATTAGAGCAATGAAGGTTTGGTAAATACTCCCTTTTAGGAAGGCACAGTACTGTATTTGAATCACTTGGAACACTGGAGCACAAATGTAGGAGTGTTAATTACCCAGTTTTTCTGATACAAGACATACTGAAATACCAAAGTTTCCATAATAGACTATGAATTACATTTATATTGACAAATTCCCAATGAAAATTTAATGACTAAATACTGTACAGTACTATATACAAATAACTTTAAAACTTTTCACACAACTGTAATGTTAGAAAGATCACTTTACCTTGGTCATTTTGGGAGGCTCCACCCCTAGCATGTTGAGTCCTCCAATCTGGTTGTCCAGGAGAGGTTGAATCTGAGAGACGGATGCACCCGTTGCACTGAATGTCAGCTTTTCCATGTGTCCCACGGGATCATAATGATATACTACACCCTTGCCTAGGTAGAAATGGATAATTTAATACTACTGGATACTAGATCATTTTGAATACAATCATAAAACCTTGAAGACTAAACCACACACCAGAAGATGAGGAGACAACGAAATTTCTTTTATTTACAACTCTCTCACCTTTGTTACCCCCATACATTTTATCTACTGTGCCTGTTCTCAAGCTAAACTAAATTTCTTTCATCCCAAACCTGTTTCCAACGCTAGTACCACTGTGCTCTGCCTTTCCTTCATATCTGAACTAAAAAAATCTCACTAATACCCTTCGTCCTCTTGACAAAGCTCACCTTTTGAAAAACTAACACTTCGTAGTACAGTAATCTGGTTCACACTACTGCTCCTCCTGCTTCCAATGCTGCTGGTGTCTACTCCATTTCCTGTTGGTCTTGTCCTCTCCATTTTGGTGAAACTGGCCGTACACTAAATGACAGACTTTTGGAACACAAAAGAAGTGTTAAGTCTGCAGAAACAATGCTCTCTTCTCGTCATGTTAGGGATTCCAATCATCCTATTGATTAGTCTTTAAAATAATCTTTCCTGCCTTTACTCTTCACAGAAACCATCTTGTCAAACCAGCTCTGATACACAACATACCCAACGTGAACCCGAGTCCTGGCATTGTTGCTGTTGACTCTTCCCTTTCACAGTACATACTCAATGCTTTAACCTTTTTAACAAACGTGACCTAACAAGCCTACCCATCCCTTTTCTCTTTCTCCTCGTATTCTTTTGTTCCTATTCTTACCCCTTATTACACCAATCCCATCCATACCTATTGCCTTTTTTCTTGCTTTCCTCTAGGAATTTCATCTTCCTCACCTCTCTCTCGCCTTACTTAATGCCCGCACCTCCCTCACTCCCATCACAATTGAATTGATAATGGTCCAGAATGAACCGAAACATCATCGTCTCATCTTCTGGCGTGCGAGGTTAGTCTTCATATCTTCAGCAGTTATTGTGACTATTCATCTGCATCTTAAACCGACAAATTCTTTAACCAATTGATGCAACATGACCCTTTTGTGTGGGTTTCTTACACTTGTGTAATATGTGTGTGTATATGGAGCATTGAACCATGACACCAAGTGTTTGTCTCATTATAATTCCTGTCATCTGAAAAAAAACTTCAGGATTTCATAGAATTAAGTGCACAATCTACATATTTTTAAATCTGTAACTGCCGTACTGCACATTAAATCTACTTTTCTAGTACAGTTTCTGTTGTATAGAGTACATTTGTTAATTTTAACTTGGATGACTGACACTGTTGAAAATCAACACCAATATGGAACAAAAGGGGGCGAGGACGGGGTGCACGCTGCATGATCCATGGCAATCATATTAACCCTTATGTTGGGTTATCATCATACATTGATCCTCACAATAAAGCAGCTACATGTTTATTTGTTTATCCAGTTTTTATACAAATGATTACTATATCTATATGGATGTAATGAAATCAATGCAAAAAAATCTGCTATTGTTTTTAATTGCTTACTATAGATGAATTCAACATGTACCATCAACAAGGTGATTATCAAATAAAAATTTGGCGTTTCTCGCCAGTGTTTGAATCTATTTCTGAACGACATTACCAGACAGAACACCAACAAAGGAGTGGATTCCAAGACACTTTCTTTGAACTGTGCCACGAATAGATTTATATGCAATATAGGTGTTCACTCACATTACATTGAATACTGTAGATAGGTCTACCAATCATTTTTTTTTTTTACACTGAAAATTAGTTGACATAATGCGTGGAATAACAGCAAAATGTATGAAAACTAACAGAAGTTCCATAGTTCACTTCTAGACTTTCCTTGTCAACAAATTTACACGAGCAGACTGTGGACCAAATGATCCCCTTCCCCCGGCAATCTCCCAATGTACACGAAACAAACACATTGCTCTACATCAAAATATATAATTATATAAAACTTATTTAGCCCTGCAATTTTTGCAGTTTTCCAAGATGTCCAAATTAGGTATTAGTATAGACACGGATTTGCGTATTAGAAAGACTTGTCTATACTGTCACCATGTTGATCATTAATTGGTAAATTAAACAGACTTCTAGAGTCAATTCAGTCATTTCTTGTTCGAATGGAACTTGGTTCAATGCAAGTGTGGATGTAATGGAAAATGCAGCGAAAATATGGAAAAAATAGATTTATGTAGTTAAGCACAAAAATTATAATACTATGGGTTTACAGTAAAAATGCAGTCGTGTGGTTCTGTTATTGAAACACTAAATACACACACACACACATTTTATAACTTATGGTAATAAAAGTCACACCAAGTGTGGCACAAATAAAAATGTCAAAGACCCTTTAACAAAGGGTTCCATTTTAGAATATTAATATATTGCAGTAAATTTACTAAAAATTAGAAACAAAAATAGCTTTTAAGTTTCAAGAAAAATCATAAAAATAAAAGGCAGACTTCATTTTATCACTAAACTACTAGAGAACAGAAAAATTTGGTTTTACAATCTTTAAATCATTTTCGAATTGCTTTAAAGTCTTTTACCAATGACCGCAAAAATACTAGGCAGAACTTACCATCTTCATCAATGCCTGCAAGAATATTGGACACATAATATGGGAAGAATCGCCTCCAGTAGAGCATTGTTGACAGCAGCTGGGCAACAGCTGTAGTGGACATCATATCATGGTGCTCATGAGAATACATCTGAAAGATTTAGGCCGTCAAATTATTTTAATCAATTTAAATTGTTAAAAAAGAGGTTCAAAATTAAGGTAATTTTGCAAATGACAACTGAGGTACACATTCAAGTTTTCACATATAAACAGAGCCTAAAGAAACTAAAATAAGAAGTATCAGTAGATACACAGTGTATCCTCGATTCGGGGAACTATATGGGACCATGCCCGATTCATTCGAGTGAGGGAGTCATTGCAACTGGAGGCATTTGTGATATGCAATTTCTTAAGACAAGAAAAATACATTGCTTCAGCAGTTTATTTCTTCTGAAGTTGCTTCCATCTAAGAATATTGTTAAATTGTGGGAAAGTTTTAGACTTGACTGGTGCTGCACACTGAACCTTTGGGTCCACATACTGACATATTGACCCTTGCACGTGATTGGATCCATATTAAAGAGTTACCACTCATATCCAAATATTTCTCATGCTTATGGGTTGATTTCACCATGGTTGAAATTAAAATTTCACTATCACATAAAGGACAACTATCATGAGAATCAATTTGTAAAGATTTCACCACATCCTGCATATTTCCCATGCCCTAGCTTTGAAACCTCATTTCAAAGGAAGTTCTCAAACAAAAACCCACCAACTGGAAATGCAAACGAACCATTGAATTTGCTTTTAAATATCCTCAATAGCCTTCTCACGGCTCCAACCGTTTCTTGTAATGGTGCTTCCAACAATAGTAATAAAAAATGCGATTGGAACCATATTAATGGTAAACATTCATGCCTTAATATTTCCCATGCTCTATGGGCTAATATCACAGAGCAACATTTTAATTTCAAACTATCAAATGATGGGCAACTTTTCCACCAGTCTGTAAACTCTGTTCCAACATTCTAAGCAAATCCGCACACATCCTCTGCTGTGGCAATCTTGTTCGTCGAACTGGGCTAGTAAATCTAGCCTGGAAAGTAAGCATTACAACTAGAGATTTGCTGAAATGAGGTCAATTTAATTGAGGTTCCACTGTAATAATAATAATAATATATGAAAACAAAAACAAAAAACTGTGGCTATTTCCACATTGGTCGTCTCAAGATGATTTGCATGTCAACCCTAAATTCAATGTATGGGTCACCTTACAGTTTCCCAAAGTTGGAACAGGAAGTCCGTTACATTACCTTGTGTTATCAACCTTCCCCAGGGTGCAACCAACAACAAGTGCCTAATTCCCAGGTTTCTACTTACTGCTAGCTGAACAGATGCACCAGGCAAAAAGGAAACATTGCCTAAATGCTTGTCCTATTGTAGGGATTGAACCTGGGACCCTTGGTTGCGAGCCAATGATGGAGACCACTGTGCTATCTGGCTATGTATCAAAATGACTTTTCACTCACTTTCAGATGAATACTTTGCAGTAAAGAATATGATGCACAGTCTAGTTACTAGATAGTTGAAGTATTGTAATGTACAACTGCAGCATCAACCTAACAATGAAGATAGATACGACTAAAATGAACAACTACTGTAAAAATGCATATAAATTGAAGAGATGTTACTGAACCCTTATTCTGATACCTCTTTCACATGTCTTTCATGTGCAAATATATTGTTAATTGTTGATTAAACTGTTTTAGCACTTGCCAGCAAGGAACTGCAATATTCTAGGTTCAGCAATTTTGTTATTTACATATCAATAGGGATGTTGTCTACTTTGATACAAGATTATGTTATGATATAACCCAACATTATAACCCTTGCATTAGGCCCACGCAGCTGCAAAATGGTATGTAGAATAGCCTTCTCAGTTTAGTTTAGTGCAGCTTTGCCAAATTCTATATATCTCTGAAAATAGAAATGTCCAATCTAACCTAGCAGTGTTCATTAACCTGGAACAATAAAAAAAGAAAGCCGACAGAATGATCAGTGGTGGATAAATGAACACACCAATTACCAAGAAATTTAAAGTGTTCTTCCCTATCTTTCTGAAGTCCTCCAATACATGAAAACTAATCGGCAATCTTAATATCTTCTCCAGCCATTAATGAAGACCTCTAAAAGGCAAGCATCTTCCATACCATACCACACCAGTGACTGCACACATGCAACTTTAGTATTAAACTCTTCCTCCAACCCTACATAACACTCCTTTTTGGGAGACTGGGGAGGTCAGATACACCAACATTGAAGCTATGAATTCCGAGAGTAATTTCTTACCGTTAGTCTGGCCTGCAACACCTTGTTGAGAGTTAGTACGTCGGCCCAACAGCCTGACGATGCCATCATGGTCTTTGGTGTCAGTGGGAACACTTTCCCTTGATCACGAGAGAAGATGTTGAAGCCTCGAGACAAACGGGTATCGCTGGCAATCATCACAAAGTCATCACCAGCAATGGCCACAGATGTGCTGCATGGGGAAATAAACAAAATGTTGGAAATAAGAAGTGGGTTAAAAGGCAACATGACATGATTTTGGTCAGACATGGAATTAAAGTTACTGATTAAATATATAAATTTTGTAATGTTAAACTAAGTTACAACCACTTCCTACACTTATAAGTTCAAGTAATGAAACTTTCTACAGCCACTTATATAAATGCAGAAAATAATTTTCTGTCGTGAGATAAGAGAAAAGAAGGTAGCAGCGAGTCCACTATCTGCTTTGCTAAGTTTAATAAAACCTAATCCAATCTAGTAAAGGTACATGTCCGAAAAATATAACACACATTTGTTTTGTGCACAATGCTGTAGCACGATAAAGTTTGTTGAACTGTCACATATACTTGGATTTTTACATTTCACAAACAATAATTTACACCCATATTAAAACAGGCTTCATACATTCTAATATACATCACAGGTCATGTCAGGTCTTAAAATCCACATGCAAACTATCTGGTGTGATGCAAAATGTATGCAGATTAGCACGAAACATGGAATGAGCAGCAGTGCCGAGCCACAAAGTACCAAAAACAGTCTTGTAAACCATTCAAAACCTATCAAATCCAACTAAACCCTACCCAACATGGCCTAACCTAAAACAACCTAATCTAATGATATATATACAGCTTTGACAATTAAAAAGCTATCTTCGTCAAAACTTGCGTACGACTTGATTTATGCCTCGGCCTAGAGTATACAGCAGCATCACTTTCCTCCCCCCCTCTCTTCAAATAAAATAAAAAAATCCCTGGAAACAATCTGACTGCTCAATGACATCGCAAACGCTGAGCATGTATATATGTATATATTACACACACTATGTGTATACATATAAAATAGCATTCGTCAATTATTTTTGTTGGTTTAGATTAGAGAGTAGAGATGACTTTACACGATTTTTCCAGACACTTGAGGCACACAACCAAGGTATACGTGGTTCCAGGCCCATGTTTGTCTAGAATGGCTTTTAAACAATACAAAATGAATTAATACATTGTTGAACAGTATCGTGTACCCGGGCCAGGAGCATGAGGTGTACAAGGGGGGGGGGGCGACTCACCCGCCATTATCAGCATAGGGGCTAAACTGGTGCTTCCTGGGATCCCTCATATAGTCCGCCCCGCTCTCAAGCATCTCTACAGCCATAATTAACTACGAGCGTCACGTTACGGGCACGGCGAGCAGCGTTAATTTCCTCTGTGATCAGCGTCTGTGTCCTCTCCTCCTCTGTCACCGTCAACACCTCGACTTACTAGCCGCCGCCGACTCGTCCGGAACCCTTCCTCCCGAAGTCAATTTTAAGGTCTATATGTAATCTATTACATTTATTATAAAATTGGCTCATTTATTTATGATAACATACTATAACAAATCTTTGTAAGAGTAAAGTTTCAATGACTTTTTGCTGATTTTTTATTAACATTTAAAATTCCAAGTCAATATTATGGTGTTTGAACAGAGTTGTCGACGTTTAAGAAGGTAAACATTTACGAGAATAATGCAATATATATATAAAATTGATTACTATATTTGGTATTTATATTTAACGCATTGTTAATTGTTTAAAATTACTTAAATATACTATTCAAAGCTGTAATTTCTCACTGTATCTCTGAATAAATTAATACGCTTTACGACTGTATCTCTGAAATGCTCTATATAATATACAGTACGCAAGAAATGAAACAGGAATTTCCTTAAGTACTTTCGTATTTAATAATACATCTTCAGAAGGGTCGTATTATTAAATACGAAAGTACTTAAAGAAATTCCTGTTTCATTTCTTCCTCCGTGGTCTGACGCTGTCACATTTTAAATCACGTGTTAATTTTAGTGATTTACACACAATATATATTTGACAATGATAATGTTTATTTAGGGAAAAAGTGCATACAAACATAATTGTTTGAGCTATGGAGATATTACAGGGTCATACGGGAGCTGCTGTTTGTTATTATTAGTCTTCACAATTTGCTTCTTAATCTCCAACATTATGTTTGTAACTCATCTTCTATGTATGTACTTTTACCTGAATAAACATTTTTATTTTGATGTTTGTATATTGTGAATGTGTTTAGCAGCAAGCTGATGTGATGGATATAATCCGGACATCATAAGCTTGCCCGAAACGCTGTGCGTACTAGTGGCTTTACCACCGTGTAAACCCATCATGCTATGTACTCTCATAAACCCAATGTAAGTTCTTGTATATATATAAATAAAATAAATAAATAAATTTGTCAGGCAACCCCTACTGATGACGTCACAAGTTAAGTAGCCAAGTCATTTTTCTATAACACCTGCTATATCCTACAATATTTATTTATCACAATATTAACACTTTTAAATAATCATCACTTAACTTTTTGGGTAGATTAAAGTTGAAGCAGAATGCCATCAGCAGGGCTGGTGTGCTGAACAAAGATGATTTATTAAATAGGTGGCCCCTTTAGCTGATCCCTTCCTGTGATTGGCTGTTGTGGTGAATGTCAACAAAGAATTTCTACCAATGACATGGAAGCACAACAACCCGCCTTATGGGCCGCTGTTCGGCTATTGATAGTGCATGGGCGACTCAACAGATGTCGCTAGGTGTATTTTGAAGGGTGATTTGTTGATAGTGTAATTTGATGTCAACAGATGGCATAAGCTGTATCTTATGGCTCTTGTTGAGGCTTGTTAATAGTGTTCTTTCCTGCCGATAGATGGCATCAGCTGTATTATTATTACTTGCGAATTCCATTTAAACACTGATCCCGTAGCTTATGATAAGAGTTTAATACCATGCTGGTATTAATTAGGTAAATGTAGCTCTGAAATTACATGTTTTATCAACTGTTGAGGATATGTAAGACAAATGTAAGGTTTTGAGGCTAGGTAATAATGAGAGTTACAAGATACGAGCAAGATGGTGTTGAGATTGCGAAAGGGATGGGAGTTACGATTAATAAGAATTTAAAACCCAAAAATAAATGCATAAATGTTCGAAAAATGGCAAATAGGACACTGGGATTTACTTCTCGAAGTGTTAGTAAAACACCTGTGTTCTGCAAGGTGTTGAAATATATCAACACAAGTTTTCTCGACGCATTGAAATATTTGTTTCAATGTAGAGTAAATAAATACATAAAGCTAACGTCACTTATGCATCAAGTCTTTACACAATCCTTCGGCTTTCCAATGCTATAGGATTCTTTGTTTCTTATCAGTAACTATATTTATTTAATAATTTATACCAAATCCACGAAGTCAGGACCCAATGACAGCTGAACTGTCATTAGGTCGTGGCTTCGCCCAACTATACTAGTTTCTTGCCAAACGCTTGCCTGTGCTTTGCCATTTCGGTAATCTTCCTACATTATTTATTTATTTATTTATACAAGAGTTTTTACATTCTTGTACAGCCACTAGCACGCATAGCGTTTCGGGCAGGTCCTTAATTCTAATTTTCCCGGAAATACGACCCGCCAAATCGTTTAACCAGGTACCCATTCACTGCTGGGTGAACAGAGGCTTCAGTTAAGGATTGGCGCCTAGTCAATCCACCTCGGCCAGATACGAACCCAAGCCAAAGCGCTGGCGAAGCGCCGGGCGAGTGCTTTACCACTGCACCACGAATAATCTTGCAAAGAAGCCTGAGATGCTGTGGGACTCGATGGTCAACACTTTGTACTGATGATCGACAGCCAAGGTAGCAAGCAAACAATCCGATCATTGAAACTGTTGTGTGTAGCTTGCTGTATGTGAAAACGAGTTCATTAACTGCAGATAGAGATCTTTAGCTGTAGGTGTAAAGTTTGGCAATTTATTGAGCTTCTAAACTAAGGTGTAAGAATGTATTTCTTTAGTCTGATTGAAGTTCGTAAGATTTAGAGAAAGATTTCGTAAGGCTTATATGTAAAATTTCGTGACATTTAGCGATAGAATGTAAGATTTTAGAAGTAGAGTTCGTTTGATTTTAGAAGTAGAGTTTGTAAGGGTTTAGAAGTAGAGTTCATAAGATTTTAGAGGTGAGTTCGTAAGATTTTGAAGAGGAACTCGTGTATTCAAGGTGAGGAACATTTTCATTAGGATTTCAGTTTATTAATCTCAAGGAAATTTATTTTGTATCATAATAATACATCATAACATAACATGAACATATAATACAACAGATAGGTACTGCATTTTCAGGTGTATACAATGCACTAAATATATTACAATGATATTTTGTTGATTATATATTTTTTGTGTGTTTTTACAATTATTGAAAGTGATTTTCAACTGGTTTTGTAGGAAAAAATACATGATTATGTATATATAAAAACAATATGTATTGAGTTGGTGGTGGACAATCAACTCATTAGGCACAATGCACAGGAGTAACGCAAATTCAACGTTGATATAATTGAATTAACGTTGAATCATCGTGATGATTTTGATGTTATTCATCATTTTGAATCATCGTGATGACTTGATGTTATTCTTGGACATTTTGCCTCAAGGGACATGTCGTATCCCCTAGGAAATACGGTATATTTTTAATGGGTATTTTGCCTATATAAACAGATAAAATATCGCGCCTATTTAAGTAATGCTATTGAATACTAGGTAAACTAAGAGGTCTACCTTGCTTCGTTGTTTAGAAATAGTTTACTTAGATCCTGAACTTTGTTAAGGACTTTAAGGTAAACTTGGTGATTAGTCGGTGAGCTATTGGGGGTGGCCCTAATAATTACCACGGCTGATAGGCTACCAGGTCAATTCAAAGTAGCCAGATTCAGGAAACAGTTACACAAGCACTTACGAACGTGTACATCTTTCCTCAATTTTTGACGGCTTTGGTTACATTTATTAAATAGTTTACAAGCTTGAAAACTTGCCAATCAAGTGTTGTTATTGTTATAAACAGCCTCCTGGTGCTTCGGAGCTCATTAACTGTTTAATAATTGTAAACAAAGCCGCCAAAGATTGAGAAAAAGTGCTTGCGTAACTGCTTCGTGAATCTAATAGGGAAAGCCTATGTTAAATACAAAATTATTAATTATTATATAACTATATTAATTAAAAACATCACTTTCATAGAACATTTAGCTATATTAAATACTTAATTGTTAACAGGTAAAAATACTCCTAAATAATACACAACATTTTTAATAGAAAAAATATATACTTACGTTGAATGTAATTCATTTAGGAGCCAATATACCCCTATGTCAATTGCATGAATTCTTAAATGATATACATCATTATATTATGGCAACCGGTTATCCATAAATAATAGTAATAATAGCAACTACTGGTAGAACGTACAAAAATGAACTGTTGCACTCCAAAAATATTCACACTTTGCATTATTCAATTTGCAGAGCGCCAGAAAAAATTTAATAACAAAACCTAAACTTTCCTAGGCCTTGTGCACTAAATTTAATTTAAAATTGCGTATATTAGGCCTAAGATTGTTAATTAAGGGCTAGGACAGGTTAGGCTAGTAGTACAGTAGGCTTCGTTCTCGACCCACAATCGGGGATCCAGGCTTCCTGTCCCCGACAATGGGAATTATATTGCTATACGTACTATCTTTTTTTTACTAGATAACCTCTAGCTCATATAGCATATACCCTAGACTAGAGAACCTATAGTGTCTGTGGACTTTATTATTTTGATTTCCACTTGTTTTCTGTTTTAAAAGTAAATTACTTCATATTGGTAAGAGTTGGTAATGTTATCACGGGCGTGGGGTTGGCTACCCTGGATGGGCGTGGCGCTTGCTAGCCAGAATGGGCGTGACGATGGCTTGTTTGAGTGGGCGTTTGTGTGGGTGTTGGCTAGCCTGAGAGAGCCTTTGGGCGTGTTGTTGGATATCCTGAGTGGGCGTGTGGGCGTGACGTTGGGTATCCTGAGTGGGCGTATGGGCGTGACGTTGGGTATCTTGAGTGGGCGTGTGGGCGTGGCTAACTTCAGTGGGCGTGTGGGCGTTCTGACGCGCCTCCATAGCGGCGGGCATGTTAGCAATACCAGGGTAGAACTTCGAGTCCACTGGGTGGAGAAAGGAGAACTTCGATGTGGTCTTGCTCTTATTCGAACCTTTGACGGCCGAACCTGTTCCAGGGGGAAAACGAAGCTGAGTTTACCAGTCAAAATGACATTAGTGATAGCACCAGTAGCATTAATTATTATTTATAGTAGCGTTAGTATGTAGTTATAGATTAATTCAGTGTTGGGCTTAAGGCTTGTCGACCTCTGGACGGCCATTAAGGTCACCACAATACCTTAAAGACCAGCTAGCAAGTTCGGCGTTGGGCTTAAGGCCTGCCGACCTCTGGAGGGTCATTAAGGTCAGAAACACTCACCGTGGGAGGCCAGGACAGCCACAGCGACGATCAGGGCAATACCAGCCGCTGAGAGCACGAACAGCGCCACCAGCAACTTCCTCTCGAAGTCCGTTCGTGAGCGCCAGAAGACGTTCACTCTCCCGCCCCTGTACAAGACACGAGGATTGTCAGGACGTGTGTAAGGATGGGAAACTTTGGAGCGGTAGGATCGAACCGTCGTCCTGGTTTTGGGAAGATCTATAAAAGCAGCTGGGAAAAAGTTATTGCGATGATTGGAATGATGGGTTCAGATGGAGGGATCAGATGATTATTTTTGAGAAGAATGAGAGTTGTTGTGGAAGGCGATTGTGGTCATTGCACACAAAAGGAATTACTGGCAAATTAGGGAAATGGATCTTTAACTTCCTAACGACCAGAACTCAGCTGGTAATAGTCGACAAAGTAAAATTCGGATCATCCACTGAAAAGCTTAGCATTCCTTAGACTGCAGGCGGGAGATATACATAATAATTTACAGTTGGAAAATACTTGACTGGTTCCAAATCTGACCAGAGATATAACACGAGACCAGGAGGCATGGCAGGATGTGCAGAATACCCCCGTTATGAAGCAAAGGCGCAATAGGCACGCTGAGAGAGAACTCTGTCAATGCACGGTTATTAATTAAGCTTCCATTCACCTGGGGGCTCTAGGAGATTCGAACCGTGAGCCCCAGGCGAGTGAGCCCGAGGCTCTATCCACCGAGCTATTGAGTAGCCTTAATAAGAAAAGTTTATTTCCACGGAAATGTTGTATGACAATTAATTAAGGCTATTAAAGGAGGCTAAACTCACCCCCCACTAAGAAGATTGTTGCTATCTCCTAATTCCATCGACATGATGTTTTATCTTTACTGCGAAAAGATATCTTTATCTTGTGGCTTTCCTTCTGTATACCCCTTTCTCCAGTCTTCAATATCTCTCTACCACACACCTCTATGTATGTTATTTCTTAGATATTTCTCCTTGCTCTTCTATCTCCCTTTCTCCTCCTCGTCTCTCCTTCTATCTGGAAAATAAACAATTATTAGAGAAGTCCACTACGGGATCACCATAGCCCGTGCTACTTGGGACTTTTTGTTCCCAGTAGCGAATCTTAAACAACAACAACAACAACAGAAATTGTTATCTACAAATCCACAATATTATTTAGGATAAATCCCCATAATATTCAGCACAGAAACATTGTTTATTTTTACACTGAGATTCGAGGGGACCCTGAAGGTAAGGTCTCGATATTCGTGTATAAAGCTGATAGACTCTCGATGGGCCTGATAGACTCTTGATGGGCCTGATAGACTCTCTCGATGGGCCTGATAGACTCTTGATGGGCCTGATAGACTCTCTCGATGGGCCTGATAGACTCTTGATGGGCCTGATAGACTCTTGATTGGCCTGATAGACTCTTGATGGCCCTGATAGACTTTCTTGAAGGGCCTGATAGACTCTTGATGGGCCTGATAGACTCTCTCGATGGGCCTGATAGACTCTTGATGGGCCTGATAGACTCTTGATTGGCCTGATAGACTCTTGATGGCCCTGATAGACTTTCTTGAAGGGCCTGATAGACTCACTTGATGGGGTTCACAGGGGGTATATCCACAACTCGTCCACACCTGTCCAGACACAACACTGCCTCCGTCACACACCTGTCCAGTCACAACACTGCCTCCAACACTGCACCGTCCGTCTTCCCCCCCCCCCACGAACACCGTCCCAAGTCAGCCCAGTTTCTACTAAAAAAAATAAACAATTACTTTATATATTGTTGTAGAAAATTTTCCAAAATTATTTAAACTGGGACTTACACTTGACCTTCTAATAATTAATATTAAAATAATTCCCACCTTGAGAAGTATATATATATATATTTTGGTTTAAATAAGTCATCTTTCTTGAACCGAAGTCAAGGTCACTGATGCGAACACATTTAGATAGCACTATCTATCTGAAGTTTGATACGTTATCTATCTCATTTGGAGATATGGTAACGGTGGACATTAAGACAATATCAACGCAATTTGCAGTTAAACAAACAAACTAATGTATCTTGAGTTAACTTGAGTTTACGTTAAAATATTTAATAACTAATTAATGTACTCTGTTATAACTTTTGATTTATTGATATAAGGTAGTTACTTCACTTCTTGCTTTTGCGGTTTTCTAAGGAATGTAAAGTTAGTTTAGTTAATTACAAGATTCTCAGAGGAATTGGTAGGTTGGATAAAGACAGATTATTTAATACGGGTGGTACGCGAACAAGGGGACACAGGTGGGAACTGAGTACCCAAATGAGTCACAGGGACATTAGAAAGAACTTTTTCAGTGTCAGAGTAGTTAACAGATGGAATGCATTAGGCAGTAATGTGGTGGAGGCTGACTCCATACACAGTTTCAAGTGTAGATATGATAGAGCCCAATAGGCACAGGAATCTGCACACCAGTTAGTTGACGGTTGAGAGGCGGGACCAAAGAGCCAGAGCTCAACCCCCGCAAGCACAATTAGGTGAGTACACACACACACCAACTAGGTGAATACATATTTGGGGGCTTCGCGGCTGAGTGAACAGCGCTCGGGGAGCCGAAGTTCTAACGGCCCGGGTTCGATTCCCGGCCGAGGAAGAAACAAATGGCCAGAGTTTCTTCACTCTGATACCCTCTATTCACCTAGCACTAAATAGGTACCTGGGAATTAGATAGCTGCCGCGGGCTGCTTCCTGGATGTATGTGTGTTAGAGAGAAATATATGTAGTAGACATAATAGAGGAAAAATAAACAAGAAAGGCGGGGTCCAAGAGCTAACAGCTCGTTTCTGTAGACACAAATAGTCAACACACACACACACACACACACACACTAGCATACTCAAGTCACGTGACCCACAGGTGTTCTCCAGGTGTGCCAACCGCACCGACGTCGTTCCCATACAGTAAATTTTTTTTTTTTTTTAAATCTCTACCTTGAAAAATATCTACTATTAACACACGTACACACATTATATATATATATATATATATATATGTATGTATATATATATATATATATATATATATATATATATATATATATATATATATATATATATATATATATATGCGGAAAATCCACAGAGAAATATGAAATGAGGTGAACGTTTCGGCTTTGTTAAAGCCTTTGTCAACACCAGACTGACTGATGTTTAGTCAGTCTGGTGTTGACAAAGGCTTTAACAAAGCCGAAACGTTCACCTCATTTCATATTTCTCTGTGGATTTTCCGCATAAAATGATCAGTGTTTTGTGATCGTCAATTGCATATATATATATATATATATATATATATATATATATATATATATATATATATATATATATATATATATATATATATATATATAACACATTTCACTATCTCAACTAATATATTTGACACATGACAATTAGCATCATAAAGTCAAATTCAGCGTCAAAAGTCAAATCATTTATTGATTAATAAACTATATACAGAACTTAGATAAATAAAATGTTTTTATATACATTTTTGGCCGTTTTTATAGACAATATTATGACTGGAAACTAGATACCAAAATCACAGATCTGAAAAAAAAGAATTGTCAAACGTTTCGGTCGGACTTGGACCTCGATGTTTCGGCCGGTCTGGACTTCGATGTTTCCGTCAAGGCGAGACCGAAACATCTTCATTTTCTGTATTTTTAGATTTGTGTGGTGTTGACCAGACCACACACTAGAAGGTGAAGGGACGACGACGTTTCGGTCCGTCCTGGACCATTCTCAATCGACTTAAAAATGGTCCAGGACGGACCGAAACGTCGTCGTCCCTTCACTTTCTAGTGTGTGGTCTGGTTAAAATATACATATATGCTTATTCCATAGATGAAGGAACACAGTGCTCATGGGCCACACTGAAGATGTGGCCCGGGCCACACAATGATATGGCCCGGGCCACACTAAGAATGAAATTAGCGCCATATACCATGGTCAATTTAGCCTAGGAAATTCGGAGTAATATATTGAATAAATCTTACAAATTATTCAAAATACTCTCTATAATAATAATAATAATAATAATAATAATAATAATTATAACAATAATGCACATATATAATAAAAAACATATACCTTATATAATTTCATGAAATTTTTATTATTATTTATAAAGTAGCATAAACTATTCATAAATTAAACATTCATAAAATTTTAATATAGATATAGCATTTGAAGTCTTGATATTCCACTTAAAAAATTATATATTAAAAGTTCACTTTAACACGTGTAATACATTCTTTGGAGGATAGAATGGTAAATAGAGAATAAATGTAGATATTCTATCTTCACTTAAGGATAGACTAATCTACTGTCTCTTAAAGATAGAATAATCTACCTTCTATTAAAGATAAAATAATCTACCTTCTATTAAAGATAAAATAATCTACCTTCTATTAAAGATAGAATAATCTATCTTCCCTTAAGGATAGACTAATCTATTTAAAGATAGAATAATCTATTTTTTTTTTTTGGGGGGGGGCTGTGCTACCTATAGTTTGGAAACTTAACAGCCCAATTCTCTCAAATAATAGGTCGCGTTTTTCACGTTATGGTAACCATAACGTTACAAAGGCAACCTACTATAATAATCCCCGTTTTCTATGCATCGGACTCAATAGGTACAAACGTCTGCGGTTAGCTTAAAAGGTTGTCTTTTTTACGTAATGACGAACCAAGAAAACTGACACAAGTGGACTAGAAAGAACGTATTTCCTGCTTATAAACCTCGATCTTCAGTATATAACGATTCCCCCTTGATATACCTCGTATATCTATATAATAACAATAATAATAATAATAATCTTTATTTAGGTAAGGTACATACATAAAGAGATTTACAAAGTTTGTTGGCTTTATAGATAGAGCTAGTACATACAATGCCTAAAGCCACTATTACGCAAAGCGTTTCGGGCAGAGCCACTATTACGCAAAGCGTTTCGGGCAGAGCCACTATTACGCAAAGCGTTTCGGGTATATATATGATATATGTCGTATATAAGCCAGTTTAGAGATATCAAAGATATCTTAAACTATGAAAAAACTCTCCATAATTCTTCTTCACTCCCAGCTGCTAAACTATAGTAATACACTATTCATTTATAAATAAAATATATATACATCAGATATATAAATATATAAAAATATACCAGCAATATATTTGCATAAAACATACACACCAATTATAGAAATCAATAATAGATATACAGTAGGTATATTAAATGTGCACATACACACAGCTATATAAACAAGCTGTATATACATCAGGAGGTATACTTCTCACCTTGTATACACCAAGGGTATACTTGAAGATAAGAAAGAAAGTAATCAGGTATACACCAAGAGGTGTCCCGCACCTCTTGGTGAGTATACACGCAAAGTTTACTCTGGAGAGCTATTGTGGTGGTCTTAACAACCCACAAGATGGTTAACAGACCCTAACAACCTTCCATAGGTTGATAGGCCATAATAACCCTCTAAAAGTTGATAGACTTTAATAACCCTCCAGAGATTATGGGTCTTAATAACCCTTCAGAGGGTGATAGGCCTTAATAACCCTTCAGAGGCTTATGGGGCTTAATAACCCTTCAGAGGGTGATAGGTCTTAATAACCCTTCAGAGGGTGATAGGCCTTAATAACCCTTCAGAGGGTGATAGGCCTTAATAACCCTTCAGAGGCTTATGGGTCTTAATAAGCCTTCAAAGGGTGATAGGTCTTAATAACCCTTCAGAGATTATGGGTCTTAATAACTCTTCAGAGGTTGATAGGCCTTAATAACCCTCCAGAAGCTTATGGGTCTTAATAATCCTTCAGAGGGTGATAGGCCTTAATAACCCTCCAGAGGCTTATGGGCCTTAAGCCCAGCTCCAAGCCAAGAAAACATGCAGTATTATTGATCCTAGCAACAGTACAGTAGACTTAACTACAAATAATTATATTTTCACTAATTGCATTAACACTAAAATACCCTGGGATTATATCCCGTAGTTCACCTGTCTAAAACGACAGGTCCTGTATATGGCACTGATTCAACGACAACTTCGACACGTTAGTGCCAAATAGGTTATGTCAACTTGTCACCCAACATAGTCATCGTCGAAGAGTTAAATTGGTGTGAAATTGGTCCCAAAATAGGGACCAGAGAGGCTCTAAATTAGTGTCGTACTCATTTCAAATTGGTAGTTAAATTTTGACACCCTAAAAAATTGGTACAGACACACATTATTGGTACAACCATGTACATATCCTTGTGGTACAACCATGTACATATCCTTGTGGTACAACCAAGTACATATCCTTGTGGTACAACCATGTACATATCCTTGTGGTACAACCATGTACATATCCTTGTGGTACAACCAAGTACATATCCTTGTGGTACAACCATGTACATATCCTTGTGGTACAACCATGTACATATCCTTGTGGTACAACCAAGTACATATCCTGGCTACCTGTCATTACCATTGCACTCAACTTGGCCCTTCATACAGGCATTTAAAATTAACACTTTTTTATAAAAATTAGAAATTAGTTTTTATTTTATCTAGGAATGGAAAAATGGACATTTTTTTCTAAGCCTTTGAAATGGGTCCTTTATCTGGCCATTTCAAATGGACACCTTTTTATAGGCCTTTGAATGGGGGCTCTTTATTTAGACATTATTAGTGAGCACTAAAGTCTTCAATCTCGTTCGTCTGATTAGTTCAGAGTTTCAGATCAGCAGCTGTCATTTCCCCTTTGTACTGTTCCACAAGTCCTCATTTGATACTGTTCCACAAGTCCTCATTTGATACTGTTCCACAAGTCCTCATTTGATACTGTTCCACAAGTCCTTATTTGATACTGTTCCACAAGTCCTCATTTGGTACTGTTCCACAAGTCCTCATTTGGATCTCAATTAAAGACTACAATTGTTGTATTAACTTGCTTCATGAATCGGATTTTCGTAGATTTACCCAATGTGATATTTTATCACCCTTCCATGTAGTGGACCCAGCCAGTTGTGTATATAGGACCACAGAGGAACATCTGTTCTTATCATCCGGGTCCTGTTTACTGACGTCTCTTTGTTCTTGTAGAGGAGTGAACCACTGGTACCTACAGTAGACATGGGTTCACTGTATCACCGCCTCCTGGTTCATATGGTATAACCAGGGGTGACTGTATTCTTCGCCTCTGGATTCATCATCTTACAAGCGGAAGACGCTCTACGGGGCAGCTCGGGGCCGTTCCTTGGGCTCGGTCTTACGCCCTTCAGTCCTGAAAATAAATTCAGGTTATTAACGTTACAGCGATACAGAATAAAGTTGCTGGGAAATATATCACTTACAAAATATTTAAGTTTGTAATCTAGACACATTTTGTAATTTTGTTTTCAGGAAGCCTGAAACTTGGTCGACTTACAGGATTTGTTAGTTTAATGTTATTTACTAATTATTTGCGCTACCACTGCGCCACGGAGTCCTAGTGGCCCAGTGATGAAACACTCGCCTGGCGCCTCGCTAGCGATTTGGCCGGGGTTCGTATCCTGGGGCCAGATTCCCGAAAGCACTTACGAACCTGTACATCTTTTCTCAATCTTTGTCGGCTTTGTTTACAATTATTAAACAGTTAATGAGCTCGGAAGCACCAGGACGCTGTTTATAACAATAACAACAGTTGATTGGCAAGTTTTCATGCTTGTAAACTGTTTAATAAATGTAACCAAAGCCGTCAAAGGTTGAGGAAAGATGTACACGTTCGTAAGTGCTTGCGTAACTGCTTCGTGAATCTGGCCCCTGGCCGGGGAGGATTGACTAGGCACCAATCCTTAACTGTAGCCTCTGTTCACCCAGCAGTAAATGGGTACCTGGTTGTTAAACGATTTGGCGGGTCGTATTTCCGGGAAAATTAGTATTAAGAACCTGCCCGAAACGCTATGCGTGCTAGTGGCTGTACAAGAACGTAAGAACTTTTGTATATATAAATAAATTAACAATAAATATACTTAAAATTCATATTTTATGTATGGAAGTCTTTCCACCATGTGAGTTATTCCTAATATGCTAATGAATGCAAGTTATTCCATCTTCCTAATGTCACGTGACCTGTTGTAGCCAATGAATGCAAGGCCACGCGTGACGTAACACATCGACGTTCTTGCACCTGATTGGGCAGAGATCCGGCAGTGTCTTCTCAGACTCCAGAGAGGGAGGACGCTCGATCCCCGCGCTGAACTGATGTAACAATATCTACTGACTACATATGTACTAATTGTAAATTAAGACCGAAATATAACTTAGAACGAAAATATAAGATAAAACCCCCCCAAAAATTATATAAAACACTTAGGACGTAGAATATATATATAGATATGTATGCAAACAAGCCTGAATGGTCCCCATACATAGATATGTATGTATGTATGAACACAAAAATCTTACCGTATACATAGGGTTGGTAACACCTTCCAGTACACAGTCACTGTCTATCATTGACCGACGTCTGTTGCTCAGGAAATGAGTTCCTGGGTCGTGTTGACAGCTGTGACACTGATTGGTACAACCAGGGTTGTTGGAACCCTGATTGGCCGGGATTGAGTTGGCTTGATTTACAAGACCCTGTTTGACGCCGTCCTGATAGCCTTTGCCCTGATTGAGGTGACCATGATTGGCGTGGCCCCTATTGGCATTACCCTGAATGATGGGACCTAGATTTCCGTGACCCTGCTCACCATCCTCAGCTCTGGTGCTGGAACCTAAAATTTAATCGGTAATTAATAACCAGAATATTTTGAGAAATAGTCAATGGTTAAACTATTCATTTTTTAATATTCTAAGTATTAATCTAATTATTTGTCCCCACTTTATGAATTTTGTTTGGGATTAATTACAAAATATTACAGTGCATCAGTATTAATGTATACATCTCTGTATGGAGGGGTTTGACTTATGTATGACATATATACATCTCTGTATGGAGTGGTTTGACCTATGTATGACATATATACATCTCTGTATTGAGTGGTATGACCTATGTATGACATGTATACATCTCTGTATGGAGTGGTTTGACCTACGTATGACATATATACATCTCTGTATTGAGTGGTATGACCTATGTATGACATGTATACATCTCTGTATGGAGTGGTTTGACCTATGTATGACATATATACATCTCTGTATGGAGTGGTTTGACCTATGTATGACATATATACATCTCTGTATTGAGTGGAATGACCTATGTATGACATATATACATCTCTGTATGGAGTGGTTTGACCTACGTATAACATACCATACTGTTTATGGTATGACCCAGTATCTCTATTACAATGTTATTCATTCGGCAGTATGTGAATTTTTTTTACAGTTTTTAATTTTTTTTATATTATATTTTTAAAGTTTTTAAATTTTACAGTTACGTCGGTCGGCCCCGGGTACTGTCATTACTCTAAGGTTCCGGGTTCGATCCCCGGCGGAGATGGAAACAAATGGGGCAGTGTTTCTTTCACCCTGATGCCCCTATTCACCTAGCAGTAAATAGGTACCTGGGAGTTAGACAGCTGCTACGGGCTGCTTCCTGGGGGTGTGTAACAAAAAGGAGGCCTGGTCGAGGACCGGGCCGCAGGGACGCTAAGCCCCGAAATCATCTCAAGATAACCTCAAGATAGATCGTGGAAATGTAAGAGCCCCCAGCAATAGATAATCTAGTCTATCCTAACCTAAATTAGCTTAGTTAATCCTGATATCTAAACCTAATCTAACCCAACATAGCTTGAGCTAATCTCACATAACCTTATCTACCAAATCTAACCTAAGCTAACTTTACCCCAAATGAGAGATACTTTATATGTAAATTGTAAAGTGCACTTCTCAATCAAGGTTCACTTCACTACTTTACTCATGTTTGGAAACAGTTTACACTCTACGGTTAAAAGACGGAAAAGACTGGTGTGGTGTTGGGTGAAGAGGTCTTGAACCCTAACACCAGAGCTGAGAGCTACTGAAGAGGGAGGTGGCCCATGGGAAAGAGGCAACGAATACCTATGCAAAGACCCCATGGGTAAGAGGGGAAGGCACTTGGGTAAGAGGGAAGGCTGCAGGGTTACCCATACCAGCGTGTGAACAACGGGAGAAGCCTGTGAACAGCGGGAACAACGTGTGAACAACGGGAGGAGCCTGTGAACAGCGGGAACAACGTGTGAACAACGGGAGGAGCCTGTGAACAGCGGGAACAACGGGAGAAGCCTGTGAACAGCGGGAACAACGTGTGAACAACGGGAGGAGCCTGTGAACAGCGGGAACAACGTGTGAACAACGGGAGGAGCCTGTGAACAGCGGGAACAACGTGTGAACAACGGGAGGAGCCTGTGAACAGCGGGAACAACGGGAGGAGCCTGGGAACAACAGGAACAACGTGTGAACAACGGGAGGAGCCTGTGAACAACAGGAACAACGTATGAACAACGGGAGGAGCCTGTGAACAGCAGGAACAACGTATGAACAACGGGAGGAGCCTGTGAACAGCGGGAACAACGGGAGGAGCCTGGGAACAGTGGGAACAACGTGTGAACAACGGGAGGAGCCTGGGAACAACAGGAACAACGTGTGAACAACGGGAGGAGCCTGTGAACAACAGGAACAACGTGTGAACAACGGGAGTAGCCTGTGAACAGCAGGAACAACGTGTGAACAACGGGAGGAGCCTGTGAACAGCAGGAACAACGTATGAACAACGGGAGGAGCCTGGGAACAACAGAAACAACGTATGAACAACGGGAGGAGCCTGGGAACAGCGTGTGAACAACGGGAGGAGCCTGGGAACAACAGGAACAGCGTGTGAACAACGGGGGAAACCTGCAACAGACTCACCTACCAGGAGAAAAAACGGGTTCTTAGATGAACAAGAGAAAGGTCTGGGACAACTTACCTGGGACAAGAGGGGTCTGGTTCTCACTGGTTCTGGCCTGCTCTGATGGTCCACTCAGATCCATCTGAAAATGTCTTCATATGTAAACAAATGGTTCTACTAAATGATAGGTTAGGTAATAATTGTAATTACGAAGCAATAAGATGCTTATCTTAAGATACTAACAAGGTTAGGTAAGGTCGGTGTTTTCTATGAATCTTTTTAATGGTATCTATTATGTTAAGTATGTCACCTATGCACATATTTAATAAGTCAATATTGACTTATTAAATTTGCGAGAACGGGTTGACTAAATGGCGGTTCTAAAGGAGTAGAAGAAATAGGGCCCCAGCATCAAGCCCTATTTCTATATAGTTCCACAATTCTGCTAACTTTGTCTATCTAAATGTCTATCAGCACTAAACAATCTCCAAGGATTGTTGATTAATGTTGTTTATTAGTTTGTGCATAGTTGAGAAGGGGTTCAGATGTTAATAATGTTCAACGCTACGAAAATTAATTTATAATCCCATTTTGAACAACTCATATTTGCATGATAGCAATATTTCTCTATGCCTTCAGGGAGTTGAAATCGAGAAATGTAAATACTTTAAATACAGTTAGGTGAATACAGACACACAGACACACTCTTCAGCACGGGTGGGACACGAACAAGGGGACACAGGTGGAAACTTAGTACCCAGATGAGCCACAGAGACGTTAGAAAGAATTTTTTCACTGTCAGAGTAGTTAATAAATGGAATGCACTAGGAAGTGATGTGGTGGAGGCTGACTCCATACATAGACAGAGTACACACACACACACACATACCCACACACACACACACACACACACACACACACACACACACACACACACACACACACACACACACTCACCTCCTCCCAAAGAAACTGGAAGTGGTCCTCAGGAGACGGCTCAGGCGTAAGAATAACAGTCTCCAGTTCGCTTCCCCCAGACTTGAACTCCGGCGAACACTTGCCCGGGTCACCACACCTCAGGTCACCACGTCTAGGGTCACCACACCCCAAGCTGACCTTCCCAAGGCCCAAATCACTCCGGCCTAGGTCACCCTTCTCCAAGTTCATGCAGAAGTGGCTGCCCCAAGCTGGATCTTTAGCATGTCCCAAGAGTCCCGTGTCGGCCGTGGACCTCCCAAACATCCCTGGGATGACCTTGTCCCAGCACATATCGTCCAGTTCCACTGGGTCCTCGCTCGGCGTCACGTCTCCCAGCAGGTAAGACATCTGTGGACAATATTTCAAAGGCGATGAGTCACAATAACGTGGCTGAAGTTTGTTGACCAGACCACACACTAGAAGGTGAAGGGACGACGACGTTTCGGTCCGTCCTGGACCATTCTCAATCGACTTGGTCTAGGACGGACCGAAACGTCGTCGTCCCTTCACCTTCTAGTGTGTGGTCTGGTCAACAATATTTCAAATATTTTTTGGTATAAATTATTCAGCAATTTAATGACTTATTAGTTATACAGTTGAATCCGGCCATCGTTGTTCTAGAAAGTTCCTCAGATAGTCCAACCACTTGGGGCTGGACGGTAGAGCGACGGTCTCGCTTCATGCAGGTCGGCGTTCAATCCCCGACCGTCCACAAGTGGTTGGGAACCATTCCTTTCACCCCGTCCCATCCCAAATCCTTATCCTGGCCCCTACCCAGTGCTATATAGTCGTGATGGCTTGGTGCTTTCTCCTGATAAATCCCTCCCTCCATAGAGGGGGAGAGGCGGCCCTAGATAACAAGGCCTGATAACTGCACCATTGAGTCCTCTTCCATTTAATAATATCATAATCTAGATTATAATTATCTAATCCCAGAAAGCCTATATAGATTATATAAAAACCAAACTAATTACAGAACTAGGGGGGGGGGGAATACCTGAAACAACCTGGGGCCAGATTCACGAAGCAGTTACGCAAGCACTTACGAACCTGTGGGCCAGATTCACGAAGCAGTTACGCAAGCACTTACGAACGTGTACATCTTTCCTCAATCTTTGACGGCTTTGGTTACATTTATTAAACAGTTTACAAGCATGAAAACTTGCCAATCAACTGTTGTTATTGTTATAAACAGCCTCCTGGTGCTTCGGAGCTCATTAACTGTTTAATAATTGTAAACAAAGCCGCCAAAGATTGAGAAAAGATGGACAGGTTCGTAAGTGCTTGCGTAACTGCTTCGTGAATCTAGCCCCAGGTTCGTAAGTGCTTGCGTAACTGCTTCGTGAATCTAGTCCCAGGTTCGTAAGTGCTTGCGTAACTGCTTCGTGAATCTGGCCCCAGGTTCGTAAGTGCTTGCGTAACTGCTTCGTGAATCTGGCCCCTGGTTCGTAAGCGCTTGCGTAACTGCTTCGTGAATCAGGAGCTTGAACGGGCCGCCGACAAAGATACACAACTGCCAGAAAATGACTTATAATTATTAACATCTTTACTTACTAAAATTAATTACAATTTTGCCTAATCTGAGGAATTCAATTAGGTCTTATTAGATGGAAGGGAACTATCAGGGGAAAGCACCAAGCCATTACGACTATATAACACTGGGAAGGAAGTCAGGATAAGGATTTGGGATGGGACAGGGGGAAAGGAATGGTGCCCCAACCACTTATGGACGGTCGCGGGGGATTGAACGCCGACCTGCATGACGCGAGACCATCGCTCTACCGTCCAGCCCAAGTGAGGATAACGCTCGCATTCACTGTCAATCAGGACAGAGGAACATACTAACAAGATATGAGCTAAGGCATATAGTACGATAGGCAAGATAGCACACAAGGCACGATAGTACACTATAAAACTGACCTTAAGGTGGCGTTCGAGTATGAGGTCAAGGTCAAAGTCGTCATCATCCTCACCGAAGGGGTTGACTAACGACTCGGCCACCTTTAACCACCCCATATAGAAAAAGAACTGTAACAGCGTGAAGATAGGCACGATAAAGTCAATGGTCCGGTTGGGGTATTTCTGAGCCGGGTCCAAGAACTGGCGCCCGAGCACCGAGAAGAAGAAGAAGGAGTACACAGCCAGCGTCACCACCTGCCACAAAGGGATAGAGAGGTGTCAATATTATTTGGGATGGGACGGAGGGAAAGGAATGGTGCCCCAACCACTTGTGGACGGTCGCGGGGATTGAACGCCGACCTGCATGAATCAGGTCGCTCTACCGTCCAATCCAAGTAGATGGGCTTGAGGGGGGTAGAAATAGCCTAAGCTACTCTATCCCTTTGAGATGTATTTATTGCTTATCTCAATAAACATACTTGAACTTGAAATGGGCTTGTAATATACAAAGTAAGGATAGAGGACTCGAGGATAGAGGAACAATAGCTAGACGAAACAAAGAAACAGGAAGTGAAAATAAGGAATAGGTGACAGAGACAAGAATAAAGCAAATACAAAATAACAATGAGTAAAGAAGGCCCAAAAAATATCAGAACCAAGAATAATGCTAATAATGGAAGAGAAGAATAGGCGAGGCGAGAGAAATGAGAGAAATTATATCACAAAGTGAGAGGAGAAAGAGGAGGAGGAGAATGTATTATCATTAACAATAAGAACGAAGGCAGATAAATCCCTAAGACGAAGAGAATAGTAAACAAGAGAGGCCAGGAGATAAGCAAGAGAGGCCAGGTGATAAGCAAGAGAGCCCAGGAGATAAGCAAGAGAGGCCAGGAGATAAGCAAGAGAGGCCAGGAGATAAGCAAGAGAGGCCAGGTGATAAGCAAGAGAGCCCAGGAGATAAGCAAGAGAGGCCAGGTGACAAGCAAGAGAGCCCAGGAGATAAGCAAGAGAGCCCAGGAGATAAGCAAGAGAGCCCAGGTGATAAGCAAGAGAGGCCAGGAGATAAGCAAGAGAGGCCAGGTGATAAGCAAGAGAGGCCAGGAGATAAGCAAGAGAGGCCAGGAGATAAGCAAGAGAGGCCAGGTGATAAGCAAGAGAGCCCAGGAGATAAGCAAGAGAGGCCAGGTGATAAGCAAGAGAGGCCAGGAGATAAGCAAGAGAGCCCAGGAGATAAGCAAGAGAGCCCAGGAGATAAGCAAGAGAGCCCAGGAGTTAAGCAAGAGAGCCCAGGTGATAAGCAAGAGAGGCCAGGAGATAAGCAAGAGAGGCCAGGTGATAAGCAAGAGAGGCCAGGTGATAAGCAAGAGAGCCCAGGAGATAAGCAAGAGAGGCCAGGTGATAAGCAAGAGAGGCCAGGAGATAAGCAAGAGAGGCCAGGTGATAAGCAAGAGAGCCCAGGAGATAAGCAAGAGAGCCCAGGAGATAAGCAAGAGAGCTATAAGTCACAAAATAACTGAATGAACCACAGAGGAAAAATCAGTGTCCTATTTCCCCCTTTCCATTGCTTCCTATCCTTCCCCCCCTTCCATCTGTCCCTTTCCTCCCCTCACCTGAGTATACACCAGAGGGATGCTGATGTCTGTCCACCTGCCCAGCATCCCTGCCTTATTCCGCAGCTTGGTGACCTCTTCGATCAACATCCGAAGTCCGAAGTCGTCCCTGACGAAGCCGGACGACCTGGCACTCTCCAGCACCTTGCACGACCACATCAGAGGTAGCGTGGCGAGGGAGACGCTCGTCCGGGTCTTCTGCTCCTGTAGGATCCTCATCTCGTGGGGCGTGATGTAGCCTGCAGGAGGCCAGAGGATACTTCTAAGTGTCCTGTGTAGTATCTGGGACACTTAAGTAATTGTTGTGGGAGGAGTAGACAGCCAGTAGTCTCAGGAGACTATGGAGTTACGGTCTGGAGTGGCCTCTCCAGGGCGCAAAGCTAGGGTAGGTTGATATGGAGGAGAAGCTGTTACCCATGCAGCAGGTCCAACCTCTCCAGGACGCAAAGCTAGGGTAGGTTGATATGGAGGAGAAGCTGTTACCCATGCAGCAGGTCCAACCTCTCCAGGACGCAAAGCTAGGGTAGGTTGATATGGAGGAGAAGCTGTTACCCATGCAGCAGGTCCAACCTCTCCAGGACGCAAAGCAACGGGTAGGTTGATATGGAGGAGAAGCTGTTACCCATGCAGCAGGTCCAACCTCTCCAGGACGCAAAGCTAGGGTAGGTTGATATGGAGGAGAAGCTGTTACCCATGCAGCAGGTCCAACCTCTCCAGGACGCAAAGCTAGGGTAGGTTGATATGGAGGAGAAGCTGTTACCCATGCAGCAGGTCCAACCTCTCCAGGACGCAAAGCTAGGGTAGGTTGATATGGAGGAGAAGCTGTTACCCATGCAGCAGGTCCAACCTCTCCAGGGCGCAAAGCTAGGGTAGGTTGATATGGAGGAGAAGCTGTTACCCATGCAGCAGGTCCAACCTCTCCAGGACGCAAAGCTAGGGTAGGTTGATATGGAGGAGAAGCTGTTACCCATGCACCAGGTCCCCACTCCCCACTCTCCAGGGCGCAAAGCCTGGGTAGGTTTATATGGAGGAGAAGCTGTTACCCATGCAGCAGGTCCAACCTCTCCAGGACGCAAAGCCAGGGTAGGTTTATATGGAGGAGAAGCTGTTACCCATGCAGCAGGTCTCCCCCCTCTCCAGGGCGCCGAAAGTCTCCAATGGAAAGGCAAACGCCAATATGATTGGTTCCAGCGCCGTCGCAGGAGTAAGTTCTAATATGAGGTTAATTAAATGCCTTAAGTAAATATTATACCATAAACTAATATGACAATACTTATAAGGTAACTTAGATTGTATCAGAGAACAATAGACAACACAATGCCAGTGAGAAACAGATCCAACAAAAGCAGTCAAGTCTGATAACGTCACGGTGGAAACAAAAAGAACCTTCGGAAATCTTAAATAAAACCCACTCAATAAGACTCACAGTTCCTGGAGTTTGGTGAAGCACCAAACAGCTAGAAGATGGCAGATGTTTTGTACCAATCAACAATATTAAATGTTGAAAAGAAAGCACTTTTATTTATTTTATTTTATTTATTTTATTTTATTTTTTTATTTTTTTATCATTTTCTACCACAGACGTGGCCAGACATTTACAATGCTAACCAGCATATATACATTTTCTTCTGTCCTCCATGGACAGGGTTTGAGAAGTGTTAAACATATAGTTCAAGGGTTTATTGAACACGAAAGCACTGAAAATAACATCCTAGTATAATTGTTATACTATCTTAGTTACTGGAGAAGTTAGACAACTGGAACACCAGCATGGAACACAATATATATGAAAACATTAAACACGAATCTCAAACAATATAGAAACAGTCCGGACCATCTATAGCACATCACAACCCGTTCTCGCAAATTTAATAAGTCAATATTGACTTATTAAATATGTGCATAGGTGACATACTTAACATAATAGATACCCTTAAAAAGATTCATAGAAAACACCGACCTTACCTAACCTACTTAGTATGTTAAGATAAGCATCTTATTGCTTCGTAATTACAATTATTACCTAATGTGCAATAAACTGGGCGAGAGAACACTTAACATAGAACCACAAATTAACAAGGAGAACCGTCGACATAGATCACAGTCTATCAAACTCATTTACTCTCACAGGCCAGATTTCATTTCATGAAATCTTGAAATTTCCCAGCTTAAAACCTTCAGATAGTTCAATAGCACCAAAATAGAATGGATTCTACTCTTTTTCACAACTTGGGAAATTCATTAATCTTCTCTATGGGCATCAGCATAACCTCAAGTAGTTCTTGCATGTATTTCAAAGATTACAAACGCAAATTGCCTTTCAAAAGACTCAGTAGTTTCATCACAGAGGCATGAATGCAGTCAGAAAAATTCTGTACCTAATTTACTGCATTCTTGCAACCTCGTTTTCAGGAAATTTATGAGTCCATTGTGGTTCGGTTCGTGTATATCCTGTCCCCTCTGTTGCGTGGAGGTGTGAGCCCACTGTGGCGTTGATCAGGGCACTGTGGCGTTGATCAGGGCACTGTGGCGTTGATCAGGCCCACTGTGGCGTTGATCAGGCCCACTGTGGCGTTGATCAGGCCCACTGTGGCGTTGATCACACCCACTGTGGCGTTGATCATGCCCACTGTGGCGTTGATCAGGCCCACTGTGGCGTTGATCAGGCCCACTGTGGCGTTGATCAGGCCCACTGTGGCGTTGATCAGGCCCACTGTGGCGTTGATCAGGCCCACTGTGGCGTTGATCACACCCACTGTGGCGTTGATCAGGCCCACTGTGGCGTTGATCAGGCCCACTGTGGCGTTGATCAGACCCACTGTGGCGTTGATCAGGGCACTGTGGCGTTGATCAGGGCACTGTGGCGTTGATCAGGGCACTGTGGCGTTGATCAGGCCCACTGTGGCGTTGATCAGGCCCACTGTGGCGTTGATCAGGGCACTGTGGCGTTGATCAGGGCACTGTGGCGTTGATCAGGCCCACTGTGGCGTTGATCAGGCCCACTGTGGCGTTGATCAGGCCCACTGTGGCGTTGATCACACCCACTGTGGCGTTGATCATGCCCACTGTGGCGTTGATCAGGCCCACTGTGGCGTTGATCAGGCCCACTGTGGCGTTGATCAGGCCCACTGTGGCGTTGATCAGGCCCACTGTGGCGTTGATCAGGCCCACTGTGGCGTTGATCACACCCACTGTGGCGTTGATCAGGCCCACTGTGGCGTTGATCAGGCCACTGTGGCGTTGACCACAGCGCCACAGTAAACTTTCCTAAGTTTACCATTAATCATCCTCGTTACGGTGAAGTCCGCTAAGGTTCTGACGATCTTCAAAGAAACAATTGAACTGTGAGATGTTACTAAGGCCCAGTTACCGTGTAAAGTTACCACGGTGACGCCATTACTGACATTATACATGTTGAATGTTTTGAAAAATGCAGTGAAAAGGGTGAAATTCATGTTTGGTATTTACAGTCAGGACCGTTTAATATAGAAGCCATTTCTGTTTGTCCAATCTGGCCATGCCTGGTTGTCCAATCTGGCCATGCCTGGTTGTCCAATGTGGCCATGCCTGGTTGTCCAATCTGGCCATGCCTGGTTGTCCAATGTGGCCATGCCTGGTTGTCCAATCTGGCCATGCCTGGTTGTCCAATGTGGCCATGTCAGCTTGTCCAGATGTCATCTGTGGTGTCCCATTGTGGCCAGACTCGAAGCTTTTGTCCAAGACCCTCAATTAAGTCTTTTTATTTTAAACTCATCAAATATCATCTGCTGTTTTTTGTATTGGTGCAACAAACTCTTCAGTTTGTTGCATATATTCATCAACACCAAGAATACAATTTGCAACTACAGCTGTATCAGTGACATGTGTACTTTCACAGATGGCAATAGAAAATGGCGTAACGTCTTATCTGTGTCTACAAGAACGACTTGAGGGTCGTTTGGTAGTCTGTTTACAACCTTAAATAACTGATACCTGATGAACTGACCTACACACACATGGGGACCCAAGAGCCGAAGCTCAACTCCCTCCACCAGCACAACTAGGTGGGTACGCTACGGGGGACCTGCAAGCTTAGTTTGCGATGATTTCGGGGCTTAGTGTGCCCTCGGCCCGGTCCTCGACCAGGCCTGCTGGTTGCTGGACTGATCAACCAGGCTGTTGGACGCAGCTGCTCGCAGCCTGACGTATGAATCACAGCCTGGTTGATCAACCCTTACAAGCGTTAGGATGTGATATAACACAGTAATTACCTAACAAATGTTTAGTATTTTTAACTTAAACTGAATGTTTAAGTTGGAAATGTTTCTAACTTAGAGTTCTTACCTAGTTGAGTACTTAAGGAGAAGATGAAATAGGGAATGCTTGCCAAACTGGTTTGACAGCCCCTGATTGCTCAAGTTCAAATAAGTTTATTGAAATCATAAAATACATGTGGAAAGGATAGAGTAACTTAGGCTATATATATCCTCCTTCCCCCCTGACTAGCATATAAGAAAATATTAAGGCTCACTTATTCACCCTTTTCACATCTTAATATCCCACACAGAAATAACAATAGCGCGATGTATCAAATGAACAAATCCACAAGGGCCGTGACGAGGATTCGAACCGAGAGCATCCCAGACGCTGCCTTAATCGACTGAGCTACGACATGGTAAAAAGAATTGCAACCAGAAGTTCTACTGAATTTACTTTGGATCCTGCAGCCTCTCCGAGACACAAACCAGGATTTTACACAAATCCCCCCATGCACTCGAGCTAGGTCAATAGGCCGTTCTACCTCTTCGCCTTCATTACACCTCACTCTCGGACGTAGGTTCGAATCCCCGTCACGGCCCTGGTGGATTTGTTCATTAAAGAAGCACTCTCTTTCACGATGATGATTGAAGTTGACGTAAAGTTGACAAGAACAATAAACTCAAGAGACAACCTCACAACTCCACAGGAAGACTGAGGAATTGAATCCCCCAAAATCCAGGGCCCAGATTAACGAAGCAGTTACGCAAGCACTTACGAGCCTGGGGTCAGATTCACGAAGCAGTTACGCAAGCACTTACGAGCCTGGGGTCAGATTCACGAAGCAGTTACGCCAGAACTTACGAACCTGGGGCCAGATTAACGAAGCAGTTACGCCAGCACTTACGAACCTGGGGCCAGATTCACGAAACAGTTACGCCAGCACTTATGAACGTGTACATCTTTCCTCAATCTTTGACGGCTTTGGTTACATTTATTAAACAGTTTACAAGCATGAAAACTTGCCAATCAACTGTTGTTATTGTTATAAACAGCCTCCTGGTGCTTCGGAGCTCATTAACTGTTTAATAATTGTAAACAAAGCCGCCAAAGATTGAGAAAAGATGTACACGTTCGTAAGTGCTTGCGTAACTACTTCGTGAATCTGGCCCCACGTTAATGAGAACGATGATATGGATGAGAAACACTGGACAAAGAGAAAATGTTTCACATCACTTGGAAAGGAAGGAAAAAGCCGCAGGTGGAAGTGAGAACTACATATTAGTGTGACACGAGGCATCAATTTATGTCAGAATACGGAAGTGAGTGGAATAAACCGGAAATGCCTGACTCTATCTATAATCTTAATGGCAGAGGGCGATAACATATGGAAAAGATAACATATGTTGACCAGACCACACACTAGAAGTTGAAGGGACAACCACGTTTCGGTCCGTCCTGGACCATTCTCAAGTCCATTCCCAATCGACTTGAGAATGGTCCAGGACGGACCGAAACGTCGTCGTCCCTTCAACTTCTAGTGTGTGGTCTGGTCAACATACTTCAGCCACGTTATTGTGACTCATCGCCTGAATATAACATATGATAACGTATGGAAGTACAGAGTTGCTATACCAACTTTGTACTTCCTGTACGGGATCACCATAGCCCGTGCTACTTGGAACTTTTGGTTCTAGGTAGCGAATCTTTAACAACAATATGCTATACCAGACTATCAACAACTCAAAGGCTGGGCCTAAGAGCTAAAGTTTTATCCCTGTAAACATATCTATGCCACTAGACTAAGCCCAGATCTGACATAAATAAGTGACAAACTAAATAAGCTAATGCTATTGGTAGATATAAGAAACATGAGACATGATCACGACACACAAAATACTCACTTCGAATCTATTTCATACATTCAATACAATTTTAAAGTGAAAATCAGCTTAGTGGCAAAAGCTTAGTTTAACCTGGGGATATTCCACCGTGTCCAGCAGTATTCAGGTGTACACACTTGTGGCGACGCAGGTATGTGTGTATACTGAGATATGTTTGCAGGTGTGTGTGTGTGTGTGTTCTCACCTTGTCGTGCCTCCACGGCTCAGTCTATGCTCTTGGGTCCCGCCTTTTCAGCGTTATGTATTGAAATGTTTTCTCAAATTCACAAAATCTTGACCAGAGATATATATATATATATATATATATATATATATATATATATATATATATATATATATATATATATATATATATATATATATATATATATATATATATATATATATATATATATATATATATATATATATATATATATATATATATATATATATATATATATATATATATATATATATATATATATATGTATATTATATATATTATATATATATATATATATATATATATATATATATATATATATATATATTAATATATGTATATATATATGTATATATATATATATATATATATATATATATATATATATATATATATATATATATATATATATATATATATAATATAAAGTCTTTGTATGATATCTCATGCTATTTATCTACTACTCTATGACTAAATAAATGCTTTCTTTCGCTCGAGACATTATTCTGTGGCTCTAGCTTCATTCCATGGGCTTTCGCTTTGCGTTTATTTCCTACGTCGTAATCATGTCTCCTTTCTCCCTCCAACTTCGCTTTATCCTCATTCTCTATCTTCCGAAATCTGAGACAATTATGTGTACTCACCTAATTCACCTAATTGTGCTTGCGGGGGTTGAGCTCTAGCTCTTTGGTCCCGCCTCTCAACCGTCAATCAACAGTGTATGAGTGTGTATTCAGATATGTTTGTAGGTTGAGAGTTAGCTCCTGAGCCCCGCCTTGCCAGCTGTCGGCCGTCTAATTCAGTTCCCCCAACCTTGCTGTTTAACCTGTTATAAATAATCTGAGACCAGATTCACGAAGCAGTTACGCAAGCACTTACGAACCTTGTCCATCTTTTCTCAATCTTTGGCGGCTTTGTTTACAATTATTAAACAGTTAATGAGCTCCGAAGCACCAGGAGGCTGTTTATAACAATAACAACAGTTGATTGGCAAGTTTTCATGCTTGTAAACTGTTTAATAAATGTAACCAAAGCCGTCAAAGATTGAGGAAAGATGAACACGTTCGTAAGTGCTTGCGTAACTGCTTCGTGAATCTGGCCCCTGGTTCGTAAGTGCTTGCGTAACTGCTTCGTGAATCTGGCCCCAGGAAACATTTTATTAAATAATATTCTATACTCTTCCAAATTTTTATTCCACATTCTCCTCTCCCTGCTCCTTCACCTATTCCACAACCCCCCGTAAGCCATTCCCCCCTCTCACCCTGGCACTCTCCCTCTCACCCTGGCACTCTCCCTCTCACTCTGGCACTCTCCCTCTCACCCTGGCACTCTCCCTCTCACCCTGGCACTCTCCCTCTCACCCTGGCACTCTCCCTCTCACCCTGGCACTCTCCCTCTCACCCTGGCACTCTCCCTCACCCTGGCACTCTCCCTCTGGCACTCTCCCTCTCACCCTGGCACTCTCCCTCACCCTGGTACTCTCCCTCTCACCATGGCACTCACCTGCTTCCAGCATCTCCTTGTGTGTGGGAAACTTCTTGTGCACCTTGGGAGAGATGTTGGCGAAGGTGAGAACACAGGAGAGGTTGACGTATCGAAGCAGCGTCGCCCTCACCGCCCGCGCTGTCCCCTGCTGCAAGACGGAAAGAATCCGGGTGGTTAGGCGAACGCTGGCCAGGGTTTGTTGACATGGTTAGGCGAACGCTGTGAGAGGTTTGTTTACATGGGTAGACGAACGCTGTGTAAGGTTTGGGTAGGTGAACGCTGTGTAAGGTTTGTTTACATGGTTAGACGAACGCTGGCCAGGGTTTGTTTACATGGTTAGACGAACGCTGTGTAAGGTTTATTTACATGGTTAGGCGAACGCTGGCCAGGGTTTGTTTACATGGTTAGACGAACGCTGTGTAAGGTTTATTTACATGGTTAGACGAACGCTGGCCAGGGTTTGTTTACATGGTTAGACGAACGCTGTGTAAGGTTTATTTACATGGTTAGGCGAACGCTGTGTGAGATTTATTTACAAGGCCAGATGGACGCTGGCTAAGGTGTGTATATACTGCGACTGAACTATAAACATGGCGTGATTCAACCTTGACGAGCCGAGTGGACACCTGTTCCACATTAGCACCGCATGCAACATGGTTCTTGTTCGATGGTTGCTAGTTATTCCACCTCAGTGGCCGGCTTCCCGTCGCCTGGGGCGATAGATTTTTTACTGTCATTTCCATTTCCTGATTAATGGTGGTTCTTGAAGCCACTGGAGATGGTGGTTCTTGAAGCCACTGGAGATGGTGGTTCTCGAGGCCCCTAGAGAAGGTGGCCCTTGAAGTAACCTTAACCTTGAAGACCAAACCACCTGTGATAACACTAAAATAACCTCGCTTACACATATCCATTGATAACAAATACATCCCTTGAATACAGCACCTCCCCCCTCTCAGAATACATCCGTACCTGCCGTCGTAACTTACTTTGCCTTTGATGTAAGCGGTACAGAGCAGGGCGAAGTCATCAGGCCAGGGGATGGTGAGGTACTGCTCCCACCACCGCTGAACCACCACACTCACGTAGAAGCCCAGCACGAAGGAGATGGGGATGAGGTTCCTGAAGTAGTCGCAGTAGAGGGAGAGGTGCTCGAACGTCCTGCCCGGGGGAGAGGGAGAGATATAGGCTTGGTGGTGGTTGTTATAGAGTCAGTTGCTTGGAACAAATTCCAAGTAGCACGGGCTATGGTGAGCCCGTAGTGGACTTACCTGGCACAGGAGCTGTGCTGTGTGTAGGCTTGGTGGGGGAGAGGTGAAGAGATGTCAAGATAGGAGGGAGGAAGAGGCCTTAATATAGTAGCTCTCGTAGCTCTCATCCTGTAACTACACTCAGGTAATTACACTTAGGTAATTACACACCCTCGTCTCATGACAAGCCCCGGGAGGACTGACTGGGAACCAATCCATAACTGTTCGCTCCTGTTTACCCAGCAGTAATTGGGGACCTGGAATTAAACTGATTGGCGGATCGTGTTCCAGGGGAATATACTAGTGATTAGGATATGTTTACATAGAAGGCAAGGGTGAAAGGTCGTTAGAGTAGTATGATTAAAGAACCCAGTAGATGAGTAGATTGATGAACATTGACATTTAAAACTACAGTTAGAACTACCCAGGAGGGAGACATTTAGAACCATCCCAAACAATTCCAGCCCGCCCCACCTACAAACACAGTTACCAACCTCCGCTGCTCTTCATTGAGGGCGAACCTGTAGACAAGAGAGCAGATGAAGTAGAGTAGACAGTAGACGAGTGTGTCTGGCCACACTAGCTTGTAGATGCTGCCACGCCATCTGTCGGAGGGAAAAGAAGGTGGAGAAGCGTCACATTTCCCGCCAATTCCTACAAATTTCCCGCCAATTCTGACACATTTCCCGCCAATTCTGACACATTTCCCGCCAATTCTGACATTTCCCGCCAAACTTAACGCTAGATTTATGGCTTCAAATATCTAATTGTGTATTAGAATGATATTAAGGACTACTGTGACGCCGTCACATATGTGTTAGAGTACTGTGACGCCGTTACACAGGTGGGAGAGTACAGTGACATAACAGTAACGTTGTAACACCAACCTGAATAACAGTCGCCAGAAGGAGCCGAAGCCTCGACACTCCGACACCTTTTGTGTGTATGTGACGGTCATGGTGACGTGACGCGGCCTCCAGGACCAGCTGTGACGGTGTTAGTGACGTGACGCGGCCTCCAGGACCAGCTGTGACGGTGTTAGTGACGTGACGCAACCTCCAGGACCAGCTGTGACGCTGTTAGTGACGTGACGCGGCCTCCAGGACCAGCTGTGACGGTGTTAGTGACGTGACGCAACCTCCAGGACCAGCTGTGACGCTGTTAGTGACGTGACGCGGCCTCCAGGACCAGCTGTGACGCTGTTAGTGACGTGACGCAACCTCCAGGACCAGCTGTGACGGTGTTAGTGGCGTGACGCAGCCTCCAGGACCAGCTGTGACGGTGTTAGTGACGTGACGCGGCCTCCAGGACCAGCTGTGACGGTGTTAGTGGCGTGACGCAGCCTCCAGGACCAGCTGTGACGGTGTTAGTGACGTGACGCAGCCTCCAGGACCAGCTGTGACGGTGTTAGTGACGTGACGCGGCCTCCAGGACCAGCTGTGACGGTGTTAGTGACGTGACGCAACCTCCAGGACCAGCTGTGACGCTGTTAGTGACGTGACGCGGCCTCCAGGACCAGCTGTGACGGTGTTAGTGACGTGACGCAACCTCCAGGACCAGCTGTGACGGTGTTAGTGGCGTGACGCGGCCTCCAGGACCAGCTGTGACGGTGTTAGTGACGTGACGCAACCTCCAGGACCAGCTGTGACGGTGTTAGTGACGTGACGCGGCCTCCAGGACCAGCTGTGACGGTGTTAGTGACGTGACGCAACCTCCAGGACCAGCTGTGACGCTGTTAGTGACGTGACGCAGCCTCCAGGACCAGCTGTGACGCTGCTAGTGGCGTGACGTAGCTTCCAGGACCAGCTGTGACGGTGTTAGTGGCGTGACGCAGCTTCCAGCTGTGACGCAAGGTTCTGGTTAGATAGACAGACAGACAGACAGGCAGGCAGACAGAGACAGATAGACAGACAGACAGACAGACAGACAGACAGACAGACAGACAGACAGACAGACAGACAGGCAGACAGACAGACAGACAGACAGGCAGGCAGACAGAGACAGATAGACAGACAGACAGACAGACAGACAGACAGACAGACAGACAGACAGACAGACAGACAGACAGACAGACATACATACAGACAGACAGACAGACAGACAGACAGACAGACAGACAGTCAGACAGACACTGCGTGCACTTCATAAAGCTATTGCACAATGTTTCGTTCAGATTCACACACAATCATTTTATTCCAATCCCTGCCCAATCGCTTTTCCAAAACGACCCAATCGCGAAAACTTCACCGGACGCCACCCACAACAGTCAGCTACCTCCTAGGTTCCGAGTTACTACTAGAGGTGAACAGTGGCACCAGATGAATACGAGACCAAACGTTTCGGTCCTGCCCAGGAATCGAACCCGGGGTCATATATTTGTGAACTTCACGAGAATGTCTGGCTAACAAAGGCATTAACTAGTTTTCTCATGGTCTTAAGTATCGAATTGCCGCTGATATGTTGAGTAAACAAAGTACCTAATGAGAGAAAGTTACGTAATAAGAGAAAGTTATGTAATAAGAGAAAGTTACGTAATAATAGAGAGAGTTATGTAATAAGAGAGAGATATGTAATAAGAGAAAATTACATAATAAGAGAAAGTTACGTCATAAGAGAAAGTTACATAATGAGAAAAGTTATGTAATAAGAGAAAGTTACGTCATAAGAGAAAGTTACATAATGAGAAAAGTTATGTAATAAGAGAAAGTTACGTAATAAAAGTTACGTAATAAGAGAAAGTTACGTCATAAGAGAAAGTTACATAATGAGAAAAAGTTATGTAATAAGAGAAAGTTACGTAATAAAAGTTACGTAATAAGAGAAAGTTACGTCATAAGAGAAAGTTATGTAATAAGAGAAAGTTACATAATAAAAGAAAGTTATGTAATAAGAGAAAGTTACATAATAAGAGAAAGTTATGTAATAAGAGAAAGTTACATAATAAAAGAAAGTTATGTAATAAGAGAAAGTTACATAATAAGAGAAAGTTATGTAATAAGAGAAAGTTACATAATAAGAGAAAGTTATGTAATAAGAGAAAGTTACATAATAAAAGAAAGTTATGTAATAAGAGAAAGTTACATAATAAGAGAAAGTTATGTAATAAGAGAAAGTTACATAATAAAAGAAAGTTATGTAATAAGAGAAAGTTACATAATAAGAGAAAGTTATGTAATAAGAGAAAGTTACATAATAAGAGAAAGTTATGTAATAAGAGAAAGTTACATAATAAGAGAAAGTTATGTAATAAGAGAAAGTTACATAATAAGAGAAAGTTATGTAATAAGAGAAAGTTACATAATAAAAGAAAGTTGTGTAATAAGAGAAAGTTACATAATAAAAGAAAGTTATGTAATAAGAGAAAGTTACATAATAAGAGAAAGTTATGTAATAAGAGAAAGTTAATGAGGAATGTGAAACAAACTAAATATGTCATAAACGAAAGTATGAATATGGAATAAGAGAAATAATAAGCATACAACAAGAGCGATAAAGATGAAATACGTAACAAAATATTTAATAAGAGTCGCAATAAGTACGAAAAAAAGAGAGCAATTAAGTACACGAACATTCGTCACCTGGCGGCCATCGTCTCACTTACACGAACGCTGTTAAGTATTATTTCGTGGATCGTTGATGATAGCTGATGATAACATCAATGTGGCTGATGATATCATTAATTTATTGATGAGGTCTTGGTTCATCCCGAATTTAACAAAAAGCGGCCGATTGGTTGGTCGGCAAAGCTATTCAGGCGGTCTTAATAAGCTTCTAGGGCTTAATTGGTCTTAAGACCAACACCAACAGTTTGGGAATTCGCATTAAGGACCACCTAGACCGAGCACATTTAACAAGCCAATTGGTCATCCCTCTAATTCAGGCATTAGTCAGTGCTCTGAGTCACAGAATTACATTACAGCGCGGCTGTACATACATGTGTAGATATTAATCATTGGATGAGTTGACCAAATATAGTTACTTCAGTTTAATGCCTCTTCCTGTACATAGAATTCTCATAGCATTTTGTTATTTATATATTTTATATATGTTGTTTATGACTATATGTATTTTTTTTGTTTCAGTGTTGTCTTGCCTATATATTGATAACGTTGGAACTGGCAGTCTCCAAGTGGGTATGTTAAGGCATAGACGACATTCGTCTTTTTCAAGGTGTCGGCGACTTCACTCGCACTGGACGGTAGAGTGACGGTCTCGCTTCATGCAGGTCGACGTTCAATCCCCGACCGTCCACAGGTGGTTGGGAACCATTCATTTCCCTCCGTCCCATCCCAAATCTTTATCCTGACCCCTTCCCAGTGCTATATAGTCGTGATGGCTTGGTACTTTCTCCCCTAATCCCTTGCTATTAGCAAGGGTGTCGGTAAGGGTGACAATTCTATCCATGTCTATCCGGACTCTATCCTCCGCTTTCAGAACCAGGGTAAAGCAGTTCCTGTAGAATATTTGAATCTATTATAAATCTATCATAAATTAATCGTTCTAGAATTTCGCCAAAACGGAGCAATTTTGCCAAAAAAATTAATTGATTAAATTGATTGAGTAAATAAACTTCACATAAATATTCACACTTCACACAGTATCTGAAGTTTTACTCATGAAATATTCACTGTTTCAGCTGTAGCATTTTCCTGAAATGTTTACAATACCAATTTCCTGAAATAGTGTCCGTTAAAGTTCCTTTATTACTGCATTTTCCATTCAAATGCTAATTTTTATGTAGCACAATGGTCTACATCCTTGAATCACAATCGAGAATTCCGGGTTATCCACGGGCGGGACAGAAATAGTCGCGATCGTTTCTTTTCCACCTAAAGCTTCTGTTCACCTAGTAGTAAATAGATACCTGGGCGTTATAGACAACTGTTGTGGGGTTTTCTGCTAAGGGGAAGGTCATTAGTTGACCTTGGTGAGGTTCATGAATGATAAACACTACTATGAGGCACTTACACTCGCTAGTATTATGCACTTACACTCATTAGCTACACGCACTTATACTCGCTAGTCACATGTACTTACACTCGCCAGTAATGCACTTACACTCACAAAGCTGCCTGGTAGACAAGGACATGCACTTTAACTTACTATATATCAGGTATAAGCAAGAACTTGCACTTGAGAGAGAACAATATTGGACACGTGAAGAGAGGAGGACGCAGCGACCGGCCCAGCGTGCTCCCCCTAGACCCCACAGTTCGGCACTGACCAATCCCAGGTGTATCGGGTAATTGGCCGCCACACATAGACCCGTGCGCATGCGCACATACGCAACTACAGCAATCAAAGCAATGTTTATGGAGCTATATACACACAAGAATGTCAGTAGGACTGAGAAGTATCTATATTTATTACTGCCCGAGACCATTTGAACCTGAATCATATATATTTGATGGCACTCGAACCAAAGCGCTTCTAACTGAGGGATATTTACATATATTATCTCTCAAGGCTAAGAGTCGTCCATTAGCAGAACGAATGGACATTTTCTCTTGGTACTACGGCCAGTACTAAGGAGCCTGAGGGCTGAGTGGACAGCGCTCGGGATTCGTAATCCTAGGGGTCCGGGGATCGATCCCAGGCGATAGCGGAAACAAATGGGCAGAGTTTCTTTCGCCTTGATGCTCCTGTTCACCTACATGAAAGGACAATTTCAGGTCATGAAAGGTATTATTAATAGGAACGTTATCCCTACAGACACAAATCAGAAGATTTAATTAACAATTTACTACAAAAACAAGAAAATGGTCAACACACTCATGAAGAACTCTCCAGACACCAACAAGAACGCCTTGAAGGAAACCAACGTCGTTTATGCCTTCACATGCCCACTTGGGGACTGTCAGCCCCAAAGATCTCAGTATATAGGCAAGACAACAACGTCTCTTTCCAGGAGATTAACAATACATAAACAACAAGGCTCCATCAAGGAACATATAATCTCTTCTCACAACCAGACCATCACCAGAGAAATCTTAACAAGCAACACAGAAATCATTGATAGACACAGCGATAGCAGGAGACGTGTCCATAGTTCCTGCCCGCCATCTGAGGAGCTGGAGGAGCTCTACAACTTGTGACAAGCAGCCTTGAACCCTGCATGTAACCAATGTTGTAAAGCTTTTTGTGTAATGACATTTTCAAATAAAGTTATATATATATATATATATATATATATATATATATATATATATATATATATATATATATATATATATATATATATATATATATATATATATATATATACATATATTATTAAATATGACCGAAAAAGTAAGATTAATAATTCTAACACGAATTTTCTCAATATTTCTTATGTTTCTTTTCACTGTCGATGGTAATTGAAAAACCAATTCTCCAAAATTCATTTTTATTTTTAGTCTGACGCGACACTTGAACGCGTTTCGTAATAACTTATTACATTTTCAAAGACTTTAGTTTACACACACACAACTATAACCTGCAAACACTAAACAGAGTTCTACTATGCTATCATTTAAACAGCTTTCATCTTATATACCTGCATTTGGGTGAGGTGATATGTTACAACAGTTTTGGCTGAGGTGAACAAAACTTTCAACACAAGACAGAACACGGTTCAATGGGTATAAATTGGGTAAATTAAAGGGAAGAATGGAAGTAACTGCAAAGGGCCTATTGGCCCATATTTCTTGATGCTTCTATTAAGAACATAAATTATTTACTTAGTTGTGTTAGTTTAGGTTAGGTTAAAGTAGGTTATATTAGGTTAGGTAGGGTTGGTTAGGTTCGGTCATATATCTTCGTTAGTTTTAACTTAAATTTAAAAAAAATTAACTCGTACATAATGAAATGGATAGCTTTATCATTTCATAAGAAAAAAAAAATAGAAAAATATATAAATTCAGGAAAATTTGGCTTATTAGGCAAATCAGGCCTTGCATAGTAGGCCAAGTACTGCATTCTGGCTACAAGGTACAACATATGTATATATATATATATATATATATATATATATATATATATATATATATATATATATATATATATATATATATAAACTGAACGAAAATTATATATTTACAAATATATGTACGATATGGGGAACTAGGTTGGAGACTTCAACAGGACGATGAGTAATGATCTTTGCATTCTAGGAATGGGGAAAATATGTAAGCTAGGAGCTTAGACAATCTTCATGCATTTAAATTAGTCTCTACTACGAGTATTTGAACGAATAAGCCATTCTATAGCTAGGTGAAGAGAGAATGCATGAGTCTCCTGCAGTTTATATAAGTTATTTGCTTGAAATGTATAAATGGATAACAATAGGGAATAATTAAGCAACAGATAAGTTTTTTATCATTTATTTGGGAATGATATAGATAAATACAGGTGTGTATATTATATTTACAGTCTCCGTGGTGTAGTGGTAAGACACTCGCCTGGCGTTCCGCGAGCGCTATGTCATGGGTTCGTATCCTGGCCGGGGAGGATTTACTGGGCGCAAATCCTTAACTGTAGCCTCTGTTTAACGCAACAGTAAAATGTGTACTTGGATGAAAAACGATTCTTCGCGGCAGGGGATCGTATTCCAGGGACCATAGGATTAAGGACTTGCTCGAAACGCTACGCGTACTAGTGGCTCTACAAGAATGTAACAACTCTTCTATATATCAAAAAAAAAATTATGCTATTTCCTGGCTTTTCATACATGGATCTTTCTGAAGTTTGTCATAGTGTCAGTTGATGATTAGCTGGAAGTAAAATAAGAGGTTCTGTATGACCTTTCCAAAAACTCTTTCTGCACTTTCATTCTTGAAAGTGATCTTTTATTCAGAAATATTCATTGAAAATGGGATGAAATATCTCATCACAGAAAATGGAGTTATTGAGGGAAGATAAAGACTGGCTTGCTGATGACGGAATTGTCGATTAGGGATGTCTCTGTCTCTTGTCCTGACAGCTTGTCCTGACAGCTTGTCCTGACAGCTTGTCCTGACAGCTTGTCCTGACAGCTTGTCCTGACAGCTTGTCCTGACAGCTTGACGGTAAAGGGCGAGTGCGAGGCAATGGTAAGCATAGTACTGTTTGGAGGATGTGTTCAGGCTGTGCCTTTGACGCCCATCCTCGTGCTCTTTATGGCTCTGTCTCTCTCTCTCTCTCTCTCTCTCTCTCTCTCTCTCTCTCTCTCTCTCTCTCTCTCTCTCTCTCTCTCTCTCTCTCTCTCTCTCTCTCTCTCTCTCTCTCTCTCTCTCTCTCTCTCTCTCTCTCTCTCTCTCTCTCTCTCTCTCTCTCTCTCTCTCTCCGTGGACCTAACATGCGTGGGGTTCTGGGTTGTACAGTACTGCCTTGGTCTGCACGATGACCATGAACACACCTGTAGAGCGACTGTGTACACCTGCTACAGATGTCACTTACTCTGAGGGGTCGTAGCATGTGTGTGTGTGTGTTGGTAAGGAATAACTGTTTGAGTCAATTCCCCGAAGTGCGGAAAATTCCAGGAGTTTGATCAACTTTTATGTATGTACATAGTTACACATATACACAGTTTATAGAAATATAGGTACAAATAGTATATAGAAATATAGATATAGGATATAGAAATATAGATATAGAGAGTTTATAGAAATATAGATATAGAGAGTTTATAGAAATATAGATATAGAGAGCTTATAGAAATATAGATATAGAGAGTTTATAGAAATATAGATATAGAGACCTTATAGAAATGTAGATATAGAGAGTTTATAGAAATATAGATATAGAGAGCTTATAGAAATATAGATATAGAGAGTTTATAGAAATATAGATATAGAGAGTTTATAGAAATATAGATATGCTGAACTCTTTACCGTCAAACTGGCATGAGAAATAACCTCGTTCGATTCACTAACACATAATTTATTGTATAAATAACACAGTATTGACAAATATGATTAATAACTTGTGTTAATAACTCTCCAGTTTTCACTGATGTTTAGAAATACTGAAAAAAATATTCGATCTATTTTATTTATTCAAAGGTTGTTAAGTTAATTTCGGCTAAAAGGAAATACATATATTAGAATGTTTGAAAACAATAAAAAGTTGATTATTAATGAAATTTGCTTATTGTAACCTTATTAATTATATATATATATATATATATATATATATATATATATATATATATATATATATATATATATATATATATATATATATATATATATATATATATATATATATATATATATATATATATATATATATATATTAGGCATGACCTGAATAAAATGTTTTCTTTCTTAATTTAAGAAACAAGAGATATTGCTGATAGGTCTAGTTACAAAAATGTGTCTCCCTTTCCAGTAAAAGAAGTTAGTATTATCTTCTATCTATTATCTTCTATTTCATCTATTATCTTCTATCTATTATATTATATCTATTGTCTTCTATATATTATTTTCTATCTATTATCTTATATCTATTATATTATATATATTATCTTGTATCTATTATCTTCTATTCTATCTAGAATCTTCGCTTGCATTGATGACCTTCTCTTCTATTATATTCTCCATCTATTACCTTCTCTTCCGTCTATTAACAGTACTTCCATCTCTACTTCCTTTCTACTTCTACTTCTTATTTTGAATTCTTCAAATTCTACTTCCTCCTAGCCCTGAGGTACAGGCCACAGAAACCTATGATATGGAAACCGACGTATAGAGTGGTCATCATGCAAAGGTCAAAGGGCAGGTGCCAGCTCCTGAAGGTGTACTTGGAGATGACCTCGTCTCCTGTAGTCAAGCAGGGCACGTCCGGAGGAGTCTCACATGCTGTTAGGGGTCAAAGGTCATGTGAATATATTAGTGGTTATGTTTACAATTAGGTGTTAGGTTAAAAGTTAGAATTCAGGTTCAAATTTAGAGATTAGATTCATAGTTAGGAACCAGGTTCATAGTTAGAAATTTGGTTTAAAGTAATTAGCCAGGTTCATAGTTAGATATTAGGTTCAAAGTTAGATATTAGATTCAAAGTTAAATACTACATTCAAAGTTAGATATTACATTCAAAGTTAGATATTAAGTTTAAAATAAAATTTTTGGTTCAAAAGTTAGATATTAGGTTCATAGTTAGATACTAGGTTAAAAGTTAGATATTAGGGTCACATTTATATATTAGGTTCAAAGTTAGGAAATTAGGCATGAACAAAAAGACCCCCATCACTGGTGAACAAAAAGACCCTATCCCTTGGTGAAGAAAAAGACCCGATCCAAGATTCAACTCACTTATATTCTGTACACCTATCCACTGAGTCACTGTAAGGGCCTCGTTACTCCACATGAACCAGGATAGATACTTGACCCATCCTATGTACCAGGGCAAAGACCTGTGGGCAAAGGGGGGGGGGGTTAGATAGGCCTACAGAGATAACAAGACCTAACAAAAAAAAGTAAGCAAAAAATAATGTCATGAATCTGCCAATGGTTGGCTTGTTACTTGGCTTATTAAGGCCTATAGCAACCTCGTGAGAGTAATTAAGGCCTATCAGCCTCTGGAAGATTATTAAGGCCTATGAACCTCTGCAGGGTTGTTAAGGCCTAATAGCCTCTAGAGGGTTATTAAGATCTATCAACCTCTGTAGGGTTATTAAAGCTTTTTCAGCTTCTGGAGGGTACACAACATTCCAGGTACCCACACAACATCCCAGGTACCCACACATCTCAGGTACCAACACAACATCACAGGTACCCACACAACATCCCCAGGTACCCACACAACATCCCAGGTACCCACACAACATCCCCAGGTACCCCACACAACATCCCAGGTACCCACACAACATCCCCAGGTACCCACACAACATCACAGGTACCAACACAACATCCCAGGTACCCCACACAACATCCCAGGTACCAACACAACATCCCAGGTACCAACACAACATCCCAGGTACCCACACAACATCCCAGGTACCAACACAACATCCCAGGTACCCACACAACATCCCAGGTACCAACACAACATCCCAGGTACCCACACAACATCCCAGGTACCAACACAACATCCCAGATACCCACACAACATCGCAGCTACAACATCTCAACTACTCACACAGCATCTTTAATACCTACGCCAGGTTAATGAAGAGTCCACCGGAGATGAGAAGCATCATATCAAACGGGATGAGTAGGACCATGATGTAAGGGATGCTGTCAAACATAGCAGAAAACATCGCCCCTACATGCGTGGTCGAGAAGAATAATATCAGTAAAAATAATAATAATAATAATAATAATAATAATAATGGTATAGATGTAGATGGTATATCTTATGAAGTAATGGAACTAATGTCAGGTCTGTTATCGTAGGTGAACCAAAGGGTCTCAAAAGTGAAGAGGATTTACCTGACGAAGCCTTCAGCGTTGGTGTGTTGATTGGTAGCACGTCTGACATGATGAAATGATCTATAGACTTCATTTCTGACATGTTGAAGTGATCAGCATGTTTGACTTTTCTGAACTATCACCATCGCCAGTACTCACCACCACCACCACCAGTACTAACCACCACCACCACCACCACCACCACCGCCAGTACTCACCACCACCACCAGTACTCACCACCACCACCAGTACTCACCACCACCACCACCAGTACTCGCCACCAGTACTAACCACCACCACCACCAGTACTCACCACCACCACCACCACCAGTACTCACCACCGCCAGTACTCACCACCACCACCACCACCAGTACTCACCACCACCACCACCACCAGTACTCACCACCACCACCAGTACTCACCACCACCAGTACTCACCACCACCAGTACTCACCACCACCACCACCACCAGTACTCACCACCACCACCAGTACTCACCACCACCACCACCACCAGTACTCACCACCACCACCAGTACTCACCACCACCAGTACTCACCACCACCAGTACTCACCACAAGCAGAGGCAGTATTAGCAGTGAAGATAACAATCAGAACAGTCATGAAGAACTGGTAGGCGTGATGCTGGAGGCCGACGATCCAGTAACAGACAGTCACGAAGATAACAGGATCCACCACGAACCCTGGAACCTGTCCACACCAACAACAGTTCAATTGAACACGTCAAAACAAATGGGCAGCGGGGTCGCGATGTGAATGGACCGTGATAGTCCGAATTCTGTTTTTTGTAGAATGTGATTGAGGATGAACGATGAACGTTAGTGAAACATTGATCATGGTTGCAAGTAGAGATTGAGGCGTGTTGCAGCCAGCGGCCTTGCAACTCTTTATTTGGTGGGGGGGGGGGGTTTGAACACATGAAAACTTGTATAATTTTATTTTGAACACATGAAAAGTTGTATTATTTTAGTTTTAACACATGAAAACTCGCGTTATGATGGTTTTAAATAAAGCAAAAATGTAATTTTAGCTAACACATAAGGTTGTATATCCTATATCAACCTATATCTCTCTCCACACACGCACCATTTAGTCACCATTTGGTCCGGGAGACATCTCCCGTCACGCAGGGTGCAGTTGCGCCTCCACAGATCTCCAGTATCATCTTTTGATACTGGTAATGGCTCAAAAGGGCCACCACTTACGGGTTATTCATGCCCGTGCCACCTCTTGGGTGGCTTAATCTTCATCAATCAATCATCAATCCACACACGACGAAACTACAACGTTTCTACAACATTCAGTCACCTAACCTCTCTCTTCACACACGACGAAACTACAACGTTCCCACAACATTCAGTCACCTAACCTCTCTCTTCACACACGACGAAACTACAACGTTCCTACAACATTCAGTCACCTAACCTCTCTCTTCACACACGACGAAACTACAACGTTCCCACAACATTCAGTCACCTAACCTCTCAACACAAGGCGAAACTACAACGTTCCTACAACATTCAGTCACCTAACCTCTCAACACAAGGTGAAACTACAACGTTCCTACAACATTCAGTCGCCCTACCTATATCTCTCTCTCAACACAAGACAAAACTACACCGTTGCTACAACATTCCGTCACCTTACATCTCTCTCCACACAACCAAACTACACCGTTGCCACAACATTCAGTCAGCTTACATCTCTCTCCACACAACCAAACTACACCGTTGCCACAACATTCCGTCACCTTATATCTCTCTCCACACAACCAAACTACACCGTTGCCACAACATTCAGGCCACTAACCATAGCCAGCATCTTGGAGACGTAATAAGCGTCGCAGCGGTAGATGCCGTTCTTGTACTCCCTGAGGAAGAGCGGCAGCTCCTGCGGGAAGGTGTTGAGGACGCCGTAGACGGAAGGGAACGTGTTCTCGGTGATGAAGATGAACAGCACCCCCTCTATGTCCTGCACGCCCGCTTGGTTCAGCATCACGCCCGTGTAGCACGCTCCTATTAACACGGCCATCAGCTGGTGGGTGGGAGGGGGAGTGGTGGTGGTAGTGGTGGTGGTGGTGGTGGTGGTGAGTAGTGCTGGTGGTGGTAGTGGTGGTGGTGGTGGTGGTGAGTAGTGGTGGTAGTGGTGGTGAGTAGTGCTGGTGGTGGTAGTGGTGGTGGTGGTGGTGGTGAGTAGTGGTGGTAGTGGTGGTGAGTAGTGCTGGTGGTGGTAGTGGTGGTGGTAGTGGTGGTGAGTAGTGCTGGTGGTGGTAGTGGTGGTGGTAGTGGTGGTGGTGATGAGTAGCGGTACTGATGGTGGTGGTGGTGAGTAGTGGTGGTGGTAGTGGTGGTGGTAGTGGTGGTGGTGGTGAGTAGCGGTACTGATGGTGGTGGTGGTGAGTAGTGGTGGTGGTAGAGGTAGTGGTGGTGGTGATGAGTAGCGGTACTGATGGTGGTGGTGGTGAGTAGTGGTGGTGGTGGTGGTGGTGGTGGTGGTGGTAGTGAGGAGGATGGGTAGTGGTCATCTGTCAGGATTACTGACAAAACATTACAAATACCGGTGATAGTTGATGATCAAGGTGACTATTGAGGTTGGTAGGGGATTATAAACTCTAAAGAACAGAAGCGGAGGTGTGTGAGAAAACGCCAATAACGGGAATTACAGCACAAGGTGTTGTCACGCGTGATAAGGACTAACGGATTAAGGCAGCGTCTGGGATGCTCTCGGACGCAGGTTCGAATCCTCGTCACGGCCCATGTGGATTTGTTCGTAATGGTGGAATTAGCGAGCCAAACAGCAGAACCACTCCCTCACTCTACCTGTCCAACCACTTGGGGCTGGACGGTAGAGCGACGGTCTCGCATCATGCAGGTCGTCGTTCAATCCCCGACCGTCCAAGAGGTTGGGGCACCATTCCTTCCCTCCGTCCCATCCCAAATCCTTATCCTGACCCCTTCAAAGTGCTATATAGTCGTAATGACTTGACACTTTCCCTTGATAATTCCCTCCCTCCACCACTCTACCACTTCTATACAAGTGATATAGTGAGAGGGATTACACTGGATTGGAGATTGGCTTGTCGCAGATTAGTGAACATATAATAATGGTATAATATGGGAGGATTAGTGTGGTATTAGTATAATATGAGGGATTAGTGTGATATTTACATAATGAGTGCATCACTCATGTCCCTAAACTTGTCAATACTCACAATCTTCTGCAATATCCTGATCCCATGTACATCCGGATTCCTGTATGAATCCACGAACGAGCGCCAGGTGAGCCAGTACAGCTGAATCCACCAGCCGGGCAGCCGGCTGCAAGAACGCCAAGGAAAAAACACACCAATTACACATAGAAATCACAATATTACACACAGAATTCTGGTTGCAATTCTTTTAACCATGTCGTAGCTCAGTCGATTAAGGCAGCGTCTGGGATCCTCTCAGACGTAGGTTAGAATCCTCGTCACGGCCCTTGTGGATTTGTTAACACACCAATTCATAACAGGATTCACCAAGCCTTTAGGCAGCCACTGGTGAAACCTCTTCATCTTTCCTTAACCATAGCGGCTTGGTTTACATCTATCAAAGAGTTTACAAGATTGGAAACTTCACAACCCAAAGTTATTGTTGTAAAACACCCTTACTCATAAGCTATTTAATATATATAAACAACGCCCAAATGATCATTAAAAGATATAAAGGTTTCGAATCAAAATTAACATTAAAAGTGCCAAATAGCGTATTTATTTATTTATATTATTTTTATTGTTGCTTGTTTGTATTTGTTTAAATTAACTTAATTATCGTATAACAGATTAAATTATATAACATTGTCATAGTTCATTATTAAAGAACATTTTTGTACCTACGGAACATTTTTGTACTTACGGAACATTTTTGTACTTACGGAACATTTTTGTACTTACGGAACATTTTTGTACTTACGGAACATTTTTGTACTTACGGAACATTTTTGTACTTACGGAACATTTTTGTACCTACGTAACATTTTTGTACGTACGGAACATTTATGTACATACGGAACATTTTTGTACCTACGGAACATTTATGTACTTACGGAACATTTTTGTACCTACGGAACATTTATGTACATACGGAACATTTTTGTACCTACGGAACATTTTTGTACCTACGGAACATTTATGTACTTACGGAACATTTTTCATAATGCTGAGGACAGATTCCTGGAGAGAAGAGACAGGTGTGTTAGTAACTGTTCACAGGAAGCGCAGTTCTGACTTCCAAAAGCCAGTGCACTATTAAAGTTAATAGTAAAAATATTATTATTATTATTATTATTATTATTATTATTATTATTATTATTATTAATTTTCCATTGCTGACTACTTTCTCTCTCCACCCCAACCTCTCTCTCCACCCCAACCTCTCTCTCCACCCCAACCTCTCTCTCTCTTTCTCTCTCTCTCTCTCTCTCTCTCTCTCTCTCTCTCTCTCTCTCTCTCTCTCTCTCTCTCTCCTCTCTCTCTCTCTCTCTCTCTCTCTCTCTCTCTCTCTCTCTCTCTCTCTCTCTCTCTCTCTCTCTCTCTCTCTCTCTCTCTCTCTCTCTCTCTCTCTCTCTCTCTCTCTCACCGTGCTGGAGCTGGTGCTGGAGATGGCGAAGGCGCTGCTGTAGGAGAGTTTCTGTAAAGGGAAGCACAGGGTTACTGGTGATCACACACACACACACACACACACACACACACACACACACACACACACACACACACACACACACACACACACACACACACACACACACACACACACACACACACACACACACACACACACACACACACACACGGTTTATATTAGTTTAGATATGATAGAGCCCAGTAGCCTCAATAATCTGCACACTAGTTGATTGATAGTTGAGAGGCGGGACCAAAGAGCCAGAGCTCAACCCCTGCAAGCGCAACTAGATGAATACACACACACACACACACACACACACACACACACACACACACACACACACACACACACACACACACACACACACACACACACACACACACACACACACACCTTTACAGAAACAAATGAATAAACAGTTACATATATAAGCACATATGTCCACGTGTTGATGTGTTTCAACTTCGCCACCTAGACTTCAACTGTTTCACTCCCGTTACAGTAACCCGTTATTCCATCCCCGTTACGGTGACTACTGTTCCATTTTACTGTAGGCTCAACAGCATGAGTATGCTCCTATATATCCGTTGAGTAGTCAAGATCAATGACCTTGGATATCTCACCTCTCTATCCCGGTTCTGCAGGCCCATATTATCCTGGTACTGGATGATGAGGTCCATGTCCTTGGCGTAGGCGGACACGGCGAAGTTGTCACAGATTCGCTTAATCCTGTCCCGTGACCTCAGTTCGTGACCCGGCTGGACAGCGAGGGTGTGAATGTAGAAGTCGGCGGGGTTGAAGGTCGCTGGACACTTGTGACCCAGACTGAGGTCAGGGGGAGGCAAGGTCAGGGGGAGACAAGGTCAGAAGAGACACAAATCATTCAAGTTCTGGGGATTCTCTCCCCCATACCTACTTAAGGGGGTTCTACAACACTTATACACTCAAGGGTATTCTCTCCTCCCTCAATCCTCCTAGAGAGGTATCTCCCCCAACCCCTATTCTCATAGAAGGATTCCTCCTCCTTCTAGTTAGGATGGAACCCCATCCTCCGAGAAGGGGTTCCCATCCCTCTCTTTCTTACCTAAATATCAAAGTAGTTTTGAGATAATCTTTCTGTCCAGAAATACAAACATAGGAACAGAAGAATAATTGAAACTGTAGAATCCCTTTTGGCTTCTATGCTTGAAACAGTTTTGAAAAGACTATGAGAAAGACAAAGCCAAAACAAAGATGATTGCCTGAATGCAGAGAGGACAGTGATGCAAGGAAAGGCGGGGCCAGGGAGCTATTGCTAGACTTGGTAAACACAACTATGTTAGAAACTAAGTGAGAATCCGTACACACGTGTGTGTGTGTGTGTGTGTGTGTGTGTGTGTGTGTGTGTGTGTGTGTGTGTGTGTGTGTGTGTGTGTGTGTGTTAGAAAATACATGTAGTAGACATAATAGAGGAAAATAGATTGGCTAGAAAGACGGGGTCCAAGAACCAAAAGCTCGATTCTACATACACAAATAGTAAATACACACGGAAGCAAAGCTCCCCCTCACCCATCTAAGAACTCCAGAGCACCAGAAGACGACCCCATGTACGCCAGACGTCCCTCCGCCAGCACCAAGAGTTTATCAAACATGAGGAAGACTTCGGTGGATGGCTGGTGGATAGTGCACAGGATAGTCTTGCCCCGAGCCGCCATCTCCCTCATCATCCGCACTAACTTCTTGGCATTAAAGGAGTCGAGTCCGGTGGTTGGTTCGTCGCAGAAGAGAAGCGGAGGGTCGGTCAGGATCTGTCGGAACCGGACCGGAAGAGGGACGCGGGTAATTGAATAACGAATACAAAATGAGTTATTTTGCAATTATAAATCAGTTAGCCCATAAATGGTGCTCTATAACCATCTCTATTCTTTGTTTACCTCGGTGGCAAAGGCTAGTCGCTTGCGTTCGCCTCCGGATAGGGACTTGTTCATGCCAGGGACGCCTATCCGGGAGTTCTGGACCTTGGTCAGTCCAAGTTCCTTCATCAGCTCTCGAACCCGACTCGTCCGGTCAGATGGGGACGTCCTCGAGTCCATCCGGAGACGAGCCTGTCAGGTTGGTACTCCTGTTAACGTTATTATTTATGTCGTTGTTTTCGTTAGTAGCAGTTGTACTAGTATTACTAGTAGCAGTTGTACTAACATTACTAGTAACAGTAATTATTAATCATTATTAGTTGAAAATAAGAATCAATTCTAATAATTTATAATTGGAAAACATTCAACCACCAATCCGCTCAACGAGGACCCACCACCAGCACCATTTAACAACCACGCAAGTACGCTACACGGGTAGTTAACAAACTGAAAGTAGTTTTCAGTAGTCAACACTGAAAGCGGAAGCTATGGAAGCCACCTCCTTCCACAACTTTCAAGCCAGATTCAACAGTAAATTCTAACAACAGAATAGTTCAATTATAACGCAATAGGTGCAACAAGGCTGGTAGGCGGGGCATGCAGAGCTAGATCTCACCTCCTGATAGTCATTGATAGGTGAGAATTGTTAGGATAGGTAAATACTCAACCAACTTCCTTACTCACCATGATATATGTAAATAATCTCCCAGAGGGAATAGACTCGTTCCTCTCTATATTTGCTTTCAATCCCCGTTACTCACCATGAACGTAAGATGCTCCTTGACGCTCAGGGACCCCACGAAGATGTCATCTTGGTGAACGTAGCCCGAGATGGCGTTCATGCTTCGACCTGAACGGCGTCCGTTCACTAGGATCTCTCCGTCAACCACCACCTCCGCCGCTGTCCGGTGAGCCAGGGCGTTCATCAGGGTGGACTTGCCCGCTCCGCTGCGGGTATACGTGTGTGGCTTCATGTGGGTACGTGTAGATACGTGCGAGAATATGTGGATACACTCACGGATACGTGTAGATACGTGTGAGTATATGTGGGTACACCACAATATGTAAGCGGGAACACAAAGAAGATATGGAAGAGGGTACATATTTGCCACTACGGGTATGTGGCTGCTACTTCCCTCTCGTTATATGTAGCTATAACGAGAGAGAGAAAGTAGTCACCTGTGGCCATTGAAATTGAAATAAGTTTATTGAGGTAAAATACACACAAAGGGATGAGGTAGCTCAAGCTATTCTCACCCCATAAAGTCAAATGTTTCCGCCCGGGATCGAACCGGGGACCTTGAGCGTGTGAGGCGCACGTGATAACCACTACACTATGGAAACCTCCTGTGGCCATGTCAAGCTGGATATAGATATTATATATACTGGATAAATACCTACTGGATGCTGTATACTCGAGGAAAATACATACTGGAAGGTGTATACTGGAGGAAAATACATACTGGAAGTTGTATACTGAAGGAAAATACATACTGGAAGCTGTATACTGGAGGAAAATACATACTGGAAGTTGTATACTGAAGGAAAACTACCGGAGAATACAAACCACAAGTGACATACCTGGCTCCCATTAACGCAACCAAACTACCAGGTCGAACAGCTCCGGAAACTATCAAAACAATGGAGACAGCCATTACCTTTTTTTGCGATTGACGACCATACACATATTTACATACGTTTCAGCTACTAAAACCTATTTTGCGAATGTTTCTATCGTCAGTTATTCAATTGTTAAGCGTATGAGATGTTTAATATATAACTCATTTATGGGTTTAAGATTCACTATTTCAAGCAGGATGAAATAGATATATAGTCATTGATTTTTGTTTCTTTAATAAATATATAGTGTACAATCAATTTGTAACTCTTTCTCTCTCTCTCTCTCTCAATTTCAAGTACATTTATTGAGACAATAAAATACGTCTCAAAGGGATAGAGTAGCTTAAGCTATTTCTACCCTCCTGTCTCTGTCTCTCTGTCTCTCTGTCTCCCTGTCTCCTTGTCTCCCTGTCTCCCTGTCTCTCTCTCTCTCTCTCTCTCTCTCTCTCTCTCTCTCTCTCTCTCTCTCTCTCTCTCTCTCTCTCTCTCTCTCTCTCTCTCTCTCTCTCTCTCTCTCTCTCTCTCTCTCTCTCTCTCTCTCTCTCTCTCTCTCTCTCTCTCTCTCTCTCTCTCTCTCTCTCTCTCTCTCTCTCTCTCTCTCTCTCTCTCTCTCTCTCTCTCTCTCTCTCTCTCTCTCTCTCTCTCTCTCTCTCTCTCTCTCTCTCTCTCTCTCTCTCTCTCTCTCTCTCTCTCTCTCTCTCTCACCGTTATTGAGGACACGCTTGAAGGCCTTGTTCTTGGCACTGCTCCTGAACCAGGTCTTCTTCTGTGGGATGTACACGCTAAGGTCCCTCCACGTGAGCGTGAGGCCCTCATCCACACACTTCCAGGTCCCGTAGCGTGTAGAGGGTCGCTGGACCAGCTCCAGCCCTGACTGTGGCCCCCAGGGAGAGTCACAGAGTGATGGAGAGTGAGAGTGTGAGGGGTGAGAGTGATGGAAAGGGTTAAGGTGCGAGTGAGGGTGAGAATAATGAGAGTTAGAGAGTGAAGCTGAGAGCAAAAAAAAACAATACAATTCAATATCAGGAACACACACAGAGCCCATAATATCAACAAGACTCACTCCAGTCTCGTCAGAGTCACAGGCGGAGACATCAAGGAACTGTGATGAGTCCAGCAGCGAGGCGCGGTCCTCCTCCAGCTCCTGATGGTGTCTGAAGAACGGTAGACCCATCAGATTGGGGTTCCCCATCAGGAAGAACCTCTCCGTCGGCAAAGAACGCTGCCGCAGCTCAGCGCTGTTGCCGATCTCACTCTCCAGGTCACTCATGGCGCTCGAGGATCCGTAACACAACAGATGTTTGGTATTTGAGTTACTGTTCCATCCAGGAACAAACGTTTCTTATCTTCACGTCTGAACAGCGCTCCTCTCGGTACGGATGCCAGAAGGTAACTGAAGGGGGTTGGTGGGTGTCAGGAAGGGAGGAGCCAGCAGGAGAGGCTCAACCAATCATATCTCGTCACGTCACGACTCAAAATATCACGAATCAACCAATCAATCGTGGCCATGTCACAATCGAGTCTCGTGGCAGTGATTGGGCAAGGCATGACGGAGACGCAGTCCGGCCGGCGGGGACAGTGAAGGATCACGCGCGCTGTCAAGGCACAATGTGAGGCCGGAGGACACCGGGGGACACCGGGGGGACACCGGGGGACACCGGGGGGACACTGGGGGCGTCTAGCAGGGATCAGTGTCAAGCTTGACGTCCGAGGAGCTGCCACAGGTCCCTGAGTCACACTGCTCTTCACTCAACATTATTGTGCGGGAAATTGTGTAAAATATTTAACAGTAATGGTTTCTCATAATTCAGTATATGCATAATTCTTATATATAATATGACTGAAAACTCCACACTCCAGAAGTGACTCGAACCCGGGACAGCCAGGAGCAACAATGCAACTGGTGTATACGGTACTTTAACCACTCGACCATCCATGACCGTATAAAAGACGATGTTAGCCGAGGCTATTTCACCGTCTCGACGACATTTGGTGACGTCATACCTATGTACTGAGATTGAAGGCTACATCCTTCATCATTATATAATGATGCACACACACACACACACACACACACACACACACACACACACACACACACACACACACACACACACACACACACACACACACACACACACATACACACACAGGATACAGAATAGGAGATGAAGTACTTAATGAAACGGACAGAGAGAAAGATCTAGGAGTTGATATCACACTAAACCTGTCTCCTGAAGCCCACATAAAGAGAATAACGTCTGCGGCATATGCGAGGCTGGCTAACATCAGAACGGCGTTCAGGAACCTGTGTAAGGAATCATTCAGAATCTTGTACACCACATATGTAAGACCAATCCTATAGCATGCGGCCCCAGCATGGAGCCCGTACCTTGTCAAGCACAAGACGAAGCTGGAAAAAGTCCAAAGGTATGCTACTAGACTAGTCCCAGAACTAAGAGGCATGAGTTATGAGGAAAGGCTGCGGGAAATGCACCTTACGACACTGGAAGACAGAAGAGTAAGGGGGGACATGATCACAACCTACAAAATCCTCAGGGGAATCGACCGGGTAAACAAGGATGAACTATTCAACACTGGAGGGACGCGAACAAGGGGACACAGGTGGAAGCTGAGTACCCAAATGAGCCACAGAGACATTAGAAAGAACTTTTTCAGTGTCAGAGTAGTTAGTAAATGGAATGCACTAGGAAGTGATGTGGTGGAGGCTGACTCCATACACAGTTTCAAATGTAGATATGATAGAGCCCAATAGGCTCAGGAACCTGTACACCAGTTGATTGACGGTTGAGAGGCGGGACCAAAGAGCCAAAGCTCAACCCCCGCAAGCACAATTAGGTAAATTAGGTGAGTACATACACATATTTCAATTAAACTCCAAACCTTCCTCCAAAGTCGAGCATAGAGGATAACTTGGAGTAATTCCTCATGATACTATTAATAGCAAAGTATATCAGCTTTATTTCCTGCACAGCTGACAGTGTGAACCCAGACGTAACCTTATTAGTCTGCCACTCTGTCACCCACCAGCCCGCCCCAGTGCCATAGGTAGTCGAATATAACGAAATGGTAGGTTGTACAAGCGGTAGGTCTGACAGCCAAGTGAAATGGGTTCGTATCCTGGCCGGGGAGGATTTACTGGGCGCAATTCCTTAACTGTAGCCTCTGTTTAACTCAACAGTAAAATGTGTACTTGGATGAAAAAACGATTCTTCGCGGCAGGGGATCGTATTCCAGGGACCATAGGATTAAGGACTTGCCCGAAACGCTACGCGTACTAGTGGCTCTACAAGAATGTAACAACTCTTGTATATATCTTAAAAAAAAAAAAAAAAAAAAAATGTGATTTAAAGAGGAATTATTTCTTTATTTATGCACCCCCATGCCCATCCCGAGGGCGGTGATGGAGAGGGGCACAGAGGCACATAATGGGTTCAGGAACTGAACGACATAGTTCGTTTAGCTAAGCAAGTGATAGTCTTTTGAAGCTAGTTACACAATTGTTAATGTTACATACTCATGTACATATATATATATATATACATCCATGTACATATATATATACATCCATGTACACAAATACATATCAATAATTTTTTTTTATATCACAAGTTATTCAACAAGAGGCTCACAACAGTCAGTATACAAAGCACTTTACATATAATGACTAAATCACACACCAGAAGATGAGGAGACGACGACGACGACGTTTCGGTGCGTCCTGGACCATTATCAAGTCGATTGTGATGGGAACCAAAAGTTCCAAGTAGCACGGGCTATGGTGAGCCCGTAGTGGACTTACCTGGCACAGGAGCGGGGCAAGTAGCACGGGCTATGGTGAGCCCGTAGTGGACTTACCTGGCACAAGAGCGGTGCTGTCGGGAGCGAGATTGATTGATTGATGAAGATTAAGCCACCCAAAAGGTGGCACGGGCATGAATAGCCCGTAAGTGGTGGCCCTTTTGAGCCATTACCAGTATCAAAAGCTGATACTGAAGATCTGTGGAGGTGCGAATGCACCCTGCATGACGGGAGATGTCTCCTTTGTGAATGTGTTAAGATGAAGATGAAGCCACCCAAAAGGTGGCACAGGCATGAATAGCTCGTAAGTGGTGACCCTTTTGAGCCATTACCAGTATCAAGAGCTGATACTGGAGATCTGTGGAGGCGCGACTGCACCCTGCGTGACGGGAGATGTCTCCCGGACCAGATGGTGAGGGAGCGAGGAAGGTCCGGGCATTAAGTAAGGCAAGAGAGGTACGGAGCAGGAAGGTCCGGACATTAAGTAAGGCAAGAGAGGTACGGAGCAGGAAGGTCCGGACATTAAGTAAGGCAAGAGAGGTACGGAGCAGGAAGGTCCGGACATTAAGTAAGGCAAGAGAGGTACGGAGCAGGAAGGTCCGGACATTAAGTAAGGCAAGAGAGGTACGGAGCAGGAAGAAGGAAATTCCTAGAGGAAGGTAAAGACAGAAGAACTTTTCCTACCATCTTCCTTCTGTTAAGAAAAGTGTCCTCGTGTCTCTCTCTCTCTATTTCCGCGCACTATACGCATCAGCGACCCTCAGTTTCTTGATTTTCAAACTGCCTTTATTTATAAATCTTTTTCTTGTCTTGGTTAGTCCTTACATTTTATCCACTGTGCCTATTCTCACGCTAATCGTAATTTCTATCATCGCAAAGCTGTTTCCAACACTATTACACTGTGCGCTGCCTTCCCTTCATATCTGAACTCAAAACTCTTACTAATAACTTTCGTCCTCTTGACATAAGGCTCGCCTTTCGACAAACTAACACACTTCGTGGTAATCTAGTTCACACTGCTCCTCCTGCTTCTAATGCTGCTGGTGTCTGCTCTATTTCCTGTTCGCCTTGTCCTCTCCAATACTTCGGTGAGTACACTTTATGACAGACTTAAGGAACACAAAAGAAGTGTTAAGTCTGCAGACAAACAATGCTTTCTTCTGTCATGTAAGGGACTCTAATCATCCTCTGACACACAACATGACCCTTAGTCTTGGCTATGTTGCTTTTGACTCTTCCCCTTTTACAGTACCCAGGGGGCTTCCCTTTCCCAGGGGGGCCTGGTAGCCTGGTGGATAGCACGCAGGACTCATAATTCTGTGGCGCGGGTTCGATTCCCGCACCAGGCAGAAACAAATGGGCAAAGTTTCTTTCACCTTGAATGCCCCTGTTTACCTAGCAGTAAATAGGTACCTGGGAGTTTGTCAGCTGTCGCAGGCTGCTTCCTGGGATGTGTAGTGTGAAAAAAAAGTAGTTAGTAAAACAGTTGATTGACAGTTAAGAGGCGGGCCGAAAGAGCAAAGCTCAATCCCCGCAAACACAACTAGGTGAATTCATATTCAAATGCTCTAACCTTTCTAACAAACGTGATCTAACATAAGCCTAACAACCCATTTTCTCTTTTTCTTGTTTCTTTCTCTTTTTTCTTACGTTCCCTTCTTAAACCTCATTATTACACCTCATCTCTTCTGTACCTTTCCTCTCGTTCTTACCTTTGGATTTTTTTTAGGAATTTATTCAAATTTATTCAAAATCCTATTTTTTTAGGAATTTTTCCTTCCTGCTCCGTACCTCTCTCTTGTCTTAATACCCGTGCCTCCCATTACGGGTTATTCATGCCCGTGCCTCATATTACGGGTTATTCATGCCCGTGCCTCCCATTACGGGTTATTCATGCCCGTGCCTCATATTACGGGTTATTCATGCCTGTGCCACCTCTAGGGTGGCTTAATCTTCATCAATCAATCAATCAATCAATCAATCAATCAATCAATCAATCAATCAATCTCTCTCCCATCACAATTGACTTGATAAGGTTCCAGGATGGACCGAAACGTCGTCACTTAAGGGTCCAGGATGGACCGAAACGTCGTCACTTAAGGGTCCAGGACGGACCGAAACGTCGTCACTTAAGGGTACAGGAGGGACCGAAACGTCGTCACTTAAGGGTCCAGGTCGGACCGAAACGTCGTCACTTAAGAACTCCAGGACGGACCGAAACGTCGTCACTTAAGGGTCCAGGACGGACCGAAACGTCGTCACTTAAGAACTCCAGGACGGACCGAAACGTCGTCACTTAAGGGTCCAGGACGGACCGAAACGTCGTCGTCCCCTCATCTTCTGGAGTGGGGATTAGTTCTTAGTACCCCCTTATTTTAGCCGATGTGGTACATTAAGAAAACGTAATGTGCTGGCAATGTTGGACTCTGAAGATTAATATGATCAATGACAGCCTGCATTCTGGACCTTATCAAGGCCAAACAGGAAGAATACGATACGACTATAAGGAACGACAAGAGACGAGGTGAGGTAGAAACATTGTGAGGTGGGATGTAGGTAATATGAGGTGAGGTGTGAGGGAGGGAAGGTGAGATACAGTGTAAGGAAGGGGAGAGGGAATGAGGTGATATGTAAACATGTTGAAGTGAGCTCTGATGAATTGTGAGGATCGTGAGGGAAAGATGAGGTGAAGTGACGTTGTGTAAGCAAGATTTTGTGTAAGGAGTAAGCAAGGTGTTGAGAGTTGAGCAAGAAAACCAAACTAAAGACAACTCCCGAGAGGGTAAAACAAACAAATAAACAAAGTAAGAGGAGAAGGGAAGATGACTGAACGCGAACAAGAAAACAGAGATAAACAGAAACTGCAAAAAGAGGCTTAGATTAGAGATATTCGGACACAAGAGAAATCCAGTGACATAGATATCAAAATTATCTTAAAAAAATTATCTTAAATTATCTTAAAAAAATTGTTATCTTTTTATTCTAGCATTGTTGAGGCAGTTGATAGTGGTAAGGATTGCGATGTTGTATACCTTGACTTTAGCAAAGCTTTTGATACAGTGCCACATGAAAGACTGATTAAAAAGATAGAGTCTCATGGTATTGGGGGTGTTATATTAAGCTGGATTAGGGCATGGCTATACCAAAGGAAACAGAGAGTTAGTATAAATGGAATCAAGTCAGAGTGGGAAAATGTTGTAAGTGGAGTGCCTCAAGGCTCTGTCCTGGGACCTCTGTTGTTTATAATATATATAAATGATTTAGATTCAGGTTTGAGTAGCAACATTTGCAAATTTGCCGATGATACGAAAATCGGTAGGGAAATTAATTCGGAGGAGGACTCACTATCACTTCAAGTTGATCTAGATAGGGTTTTGAAATGGTCAAAGGATTGGCAGATGCAGTTTAATGCTGATAAATGTAAAGTTCTGAGGTTAGGTAATGATGATAGAGTTACAAGATACGAGCTAGATGGTGTTGTGATTGCGAAGTCGGATTGCGAAAGGGATCTGGGAGTTATGATTAGTAAGAATTTAAAACAAAAGGATCAATGCATAAATGTTCGTAATAAGGCAAATCGGACACTTGGATTTATTAATCGCAGCGTTAGTAACAAGACACCTGGTGTGGTTCTCAAGCTATATCTTGCTCTAGTTAGGCCCCATTTAGATTATGCAGTTCAGTTTTGGTCGCCATATTATAGAATGGATATAAATTCACTTGAACGTGTCCAGCGTAGGATGACTAAGTTAATTCCCCAAATTAGAAATCTTTCATATGAAGAAAGATTAACAAAGCTTAAGTTGCATTCACTGGAAAGGCGAAGAGTTAGGGGTGACATGATAGAGGTTTACAAGTGGATGAATGGACATAACCGGGGGGATATTAATAGGGTATTAAAAGTATCAACACAGGACAGAACACGAAACAATGGGTATAAATTGGATAAGTTTAGATTTAGGAAAGACTTGGGTAAATACTGGTTCAGTAACAGGGTTGTTGATTTGTGGAACCAATTGCCGCGTAACATTGTGGAGGTGGGGTCCCTCGATTGTTTCAAGCACGGGTTGGACAAGTATATGAGTGGGATTGGGTGGTTATAGAATAGGAGCTGCCTCGTATGGGCCAATAGGCCTTCTGCAGTTACCTTTGTTCTTATGTTCTTATGTTAAATCAAATCACTATTGTCTTAGAAGAATAGAGAATTTACCTGAGGGCCACCATCTCTAGTGGCCTCAAAGCCTTATTAAAGCCCTCCTTATCATTCATTCTAGTATTTGTTCTAGTTTAATTTAAAACCTTTACGTCCTTATTAAGTAAAGGAATCTTTGCATATTATCCAATGGACGAAACTGGAGAAGCTGTTTTCTCTCCTACATTGTGCCCAACCACTTGGGCTGGACGGTAGAACAACAGTCTCGCTTCATGGTACCCAACCACTTGGACGGTCGGGGATTGAACGTCGATCTGCAGGAGGCGAGGCCGTCGCTCTACCGTCCAGTACAAGTGGTTGGACGTACTGGAGACAGGTTAGAACCAACAAAAAACAATGCCTGAACTTAAGTTCATATCGAACACTTTGCATACGAGGCAAGCTTGCTTAGTTACTATATGGTTAGGCGCGTATTCTATCACCTAAGTGCCCCTGTTCACCAAAAAGGTAAATAGGTACCCAGGAGTTAATCAACTTTTTATTGGACAAATACACAAGGGCCGTGACGAGGATTCGAACCTGCGTTCGGGAGCATCCCAGACACTGCCTTAATCGACTGAGCTACGACAGGGTAAAAGGGTTGAAACCGAAGTTCTACTGGGGTTCTACCGAGTTCTACCCGATTAAGGCAGCGTCTGGGATGCTCCCGGACGCAGGTTCGAATCCTCGTCACGGCCCTTGTGGATTTGTTCATTTGGTGCATCACGTTAGTGTGATCTCTGTGTGTAACTTTTTATTGGGTTGCATCCTGGGTAGGTAGTTCTGCCTCTTTTCTTGTTGCCAACTTCTGTACTTTTTCACTTTTGATATTTTGAGGATATTGAGAAATTGACAGAAATATATAAATTAATATTTTAATTTTCATTTAAATATTAGATAACTTATTTTTTTACTTTTCTTTCTACTTTTAGGTTTCAGTAGTTAGAGAAGAAACATAATTATCGCCCCTTAAATTACGGTGACGATGTTCATTCGGCGAAAATACATTATTGTCATTAAAGGGTTAACTGTGTTAATTCTGCTTACTGCAATGTATTCCAATTTTATAGTAGTTTTCCAAAGTAAAAACGTGAATGTGGATATAAACGTGGATGTGGATATGAACGTAAGTGTGGGCGTGGATAACTGGGTGATCCATCTGTGCCCGAAGTATTCCCTGTTGAACACTTCTATCATCAACCAAACTCTCCACTGGCGGTCACCGACCCCAAACACCATCTTCTTCACCGACACCTCGTGCGGCATCAACTTCACCCCCAGGCAGGTAAGGTTAGTTAGTCTCCCAGGCAGGTAAGGTTAGTTAGTCCTCCAGGCAGGTAAGCTTAGTCTTCCAGATAGGTAAGGTTAGTTAGTCACCCAGGCAGGTAAGGTTAGTTAGTCCCCCAGGCAGGTAAGGTTAGTCACCCAGGCAATCTACTGAGTAACCTTCCTGTCTGCCTATCCACAAACAGTAACTTTCCTGCCTGTCTATTCACACACACAGTAACTCTCCCTGTCTGCCTATCCACACACAGTAACTCTCCCTTGCCTGCTTATCCACACACAGTAACTCTCCCTGTCTTCCTATTAACACACAGTAACTCTCCCTGTCTGTCTATCCACACACAGTAACTCCCCCTGCTTGCCTATCCACACACAGTAACTCCCCCTGCCTGCCTATCCACACACAGTAACTCCCCTGTCTGTCTATCCACACACAGTAACTCCCCCTGCTTGCCTATCCACACACAGTAACTCCCCCTGCCTGCCTATCCACACACAGTAACTCCCCCTGCCTGCCTATCCACACACAGTAACTCCTCCTGTCTGCCTATCCACACACAGTAACTCCTCCTGTCTGCCTATCCACACACAGTAACTCCCCTGTCTGCCTATCCACACACAGTAACTCCCCCTGCCTGCCTATCCGCACACACAAAATGTAATCAGAAACTAGCACAACTATTGTATACTTAAATTTCGTACATTTTATGCCAATATGAAATACTAAAAGCCCTCATTAACTCAACTCTAATGCTTGGACCACATAAAGATCTAAGAGTGTCTGTAATCCAATTTACAAGAACAACTTTCTGCTTACGGAAATAAAATATATTCATATTATTCTCAATTTCAGTACATTGGTCACACCTATTGTTGTCCTTAAAGCCACACATCAACAACCTATCATTAGTAGGGAGGGTCTCATGAATATAGCCATATAATAGCTCACGTTTTTTGGGGTAATAAATTTAACATGAAGGTTTGACCATATTACTTGCCAGCTATAGAGTGGATATAGAGTCTCTAGAGCTATAGAGTCTCCTCTGATCTACGAACTATATGTGGGAGCAAAACATCATACAAAAAGAAGTTACAGCCCCGCTCCTGTGCCAGGTAAGCCCACTACGGGCTCACCATAGCCAGTGCTACTTGGAACTTTTTGTTCCCAGTAGCTCACTCTTAATCTTAAACAATATCATACACTTGCTTATTGTTCATCATTAAAAAACCTTCAACATTACAAATCTGTCTAAAGAACTTCAATTGCACATGAATAAAAGTGAGGTGAAATAAAGGCAATGTCAGTATACTCTGGCAAATGTATTAAGTAGCTAACACGTATTATACAAAACTAATGTCCTAGCGCATTTACACTATTTCTTTGCATTATTTCCTTTCTAAAGGTAGCGCATAAGATTGACATTGACTTATGGTACACATTCAGTCTTCCTATTTCACCGTCTTTCTTTCCTTCACATGGTGTGGTCCGTTTAATTGGTTGATATCTACCACACCAAACATCCAAAAATAGTTTTGTCAGCCTCCATATCATTTGGAAAATTATGAGACAAATACCACACTTTTGTCAACATTTTGCAATTAATTATTATAAAAAGAGTGCCTAGCCTCCATGTCATCTCGCCCGGCCGCTCAGCCCAACATCTGCCGTTTTGAAAAAGTTCCTTAGTAAGGATTGATTGACTGATGAAGATTAAGCCACCCAAAAGGTGGCACGGGCATGAATAGCCCGTAAGTGGTGGCCCTTTGGAGCCATTACCAGTATCAAGAGCTGATACTGGAGATCTGTAGAGGTGCAACTGCACCCTGCGTGACGGAGATGTCTCCTGCCCCTTAGTAAGGTACCTTAGCCCGTTCCTAACCCGTCCCGGCAACGTACCTCACAACACTGCCACCTCACCTCCACTCAGGCCCCGGGGGGATCCGCACCATCCTGGCCTCATTATCATCCCTCCAAGTTCAAGCGAGTCTTTTGAGATATTCAAATACATGGATTGAGTAGCTGAGGCTATTTATAGCCTATTTAAGGTCCCTCAAAGGGCTCATAAATTCATAGTCTAGACAAATATTAATAATTGTTTACGCTTCACATTCCAATAGTCCTCATCATTCACCTCACCACCATCAAACTAGCCAATAGCCTACCTCAATAACATAGATGAGAATATTACAAAGCACATAATAAAATTTGCAGACGATATTAAGCTCACAGGGGCCTGACAGCTGAGTGGACAGCGCTCGGGATTCGTAGTCCTGAGGTTCCGGGTTCGATCCCCGGTGGAGGCGGAAACAAATGAGCAGAGTTTCTTTCATCCTGAATCTGATGCCCTTGTCCACCTAGCAGTAAATAAGTAGCTGCTACGGGCTGCTTTCTGGGGATGTGTAACAAAAGGAGACCTGGTCGAGGACCGGGCCGCTAAGACGCTAAGCCCCGAAATCATCTCAAGATAAGGTGGTAATGTGCTAAGTAAAAATGATATTGAATCCTTGCAAAAATATCTACATGAACTCGTTGCAAGTCCTTAGAAAGATCAACGTGAACTATGCAATATTTCTTCACTTATGAGATTGCAATCATTCAATGGACTGGGCTAATTCATTCAAAGTTACGGATTATAAATAAGTTACTGAAAGAAATATTATTGAATCTTCATTTATAAAAAGTAGTGAATTAGAAAATATTTATGAAAGTCCAAGGTTATATAGATTAGATGACTTTGGTAAGATTTGTGACTTGTATAAAAATAGTGTATGAATGAAGGAATACCCAGTTAATATCTACTTAATCATCTCACCTTCATGTCACTTCCTCCACCCCTGCGGGCTCACCATAGCCCGTGCTACTTGGAACTTTTTGTTCCAGGTAGCAAATCTTAAACAACAACAATGTCACTTCCTTAAATCCATGATTATACGTATAGATCCTTGTTCAAAGCAGGTGCATAGTTGGGTAAATAGTCTCAATCACTTATTACATCCTTCTGTATTAAATGAACAAATCCACAAGGGCCGTGACGAGGATTCGAACCTGCGTCCGGGAGCATCCCAGACGCTGCCTTAATCGACTGAGCTACGACAGGGTTAAAAGAGTTGAAACCGAAGTTCTACTGAACTTACTGGATCCTGCAGCCTCTCCGAGACACAAACCAGGGTTTTACACAACTCTCCCATGCACTCAAGCTATGTCAATAGGCCGTTCTCCCTCTTCGCCCTTACATCATTTCCTTCTGTATTTCCTTGATAATGTGTTGAAACACCAAAACATTCATTCGAACCAGTTGTATGTTTCCTCAGGTTTTCAATGCCACTAGAAGGTTTCTACTCGTACAATGTTTTTTATCTCGCAGTATCACCGCAAAATAATCTAATTGGCTGATTGTAGATACAATTTTGCGCTATCACAACGAGGTCATTGGAGGTTTTGTGTGCCCTTAAGAGGACGCAGTCTGAGATTGATGACTGAGTTACTTACTGTGAGGAATAATGATGAATGTTACATGACCTTCCTGTCTACTGTGTTTATACAAGTGACCTTCCTGTCTACTGTGTTTACACAAGTGACCTTCCTGTCTACTGTGTTTACACAAGTGACCTTCCCGTCTTCTGTGTTTACACAAGTGACCTTCCCATCATCTGTGTTTACACAAGTGACCTTCCCATCATCTGTGTTTACACAAGTGACCTTCCCATCATCTGTGTTTACACAAGTGACCTTCCCATCATCTGTGTTTACACGTGACCTTCCCGTCTACTGTGTTTACACAAGTGACCTTCCTGTCTACTGTGTTTACATAAGTGACCTTCCCGTCTTCTGTGTTTACACAAGCGACCTTCCCGTCTCCCGTATTTACACAAGTAACCTTCCCGTCTCCTGTGTTTACACAAGCGACCTTCCCGTCTTCTGTGTTTACACAAGTGACCTTCCCATCATCTGTGTTTACACAAGTGACCTTCCCATCATCTGTGTTTACACAAGTGACCTTCCCGTCTCCTGTGCTTACACAAGTGACCTTCCCGTCTCCCGTATTTACACAAGTGACCTTCCCGTCTCCCGTATTTACACAAGTGACCTTCCCGTCTCCTGTATTTACACATGTGACTACTGACAGGCTTGCGCTGTGGAAAGCGCCGCCCATCACCACCCTCACCGCCCAGTCCTGTTGATGGTGACCGCCCCGGCTGTGCGTCCCCACCCACTCCTTCAGGTATGTGTCAACTCGCTCTCTTTCTTAAGGATGAAGATTTAAAGATGAAGTCTGTCTATAGACATATGTGAAGGGGAGTCTACAGAGACAAGGTTCAGAGAAAAACATTTAAAAACTGTATTTCATGGAAGGTAGGACATAAACAAAGGACATAGCAACACAAGAACAATTAAAAACCACATAAAATCATGATCCCTCGATGCAATTCCTTTTCCTTCCCAGCTAAAAGCTTTTGACCTTTTAAAAAAGTGTTCTGGATTAACATTCAGAGAGTTCTTCAGTATTTTACAAGCCCTGAACCGTTCCTGGTATGATTTGGTTCAGGGAGGAATTATGTGACTCTGTGATGAGCCTTTGTTCCAAGCAGATATGTCCTCTTGGTGGTGAGGATACAGTAGTCCACATGGTGGATATTGTATTGATCTATTTAACACACACACACACAGACACAAACAAACAGGCAGGGATTCTTTCACCCTGATGCATCTGTTCACCTAGCAGTAAATAGGTACCTGGGGGTTACACAGCTGCTACGGGCTGCTTCCTGGGGATGCGTGTGTTAGAGAGAAATATATGTAGTAGACATAATAAAGGAAAAATAGATTGGTTAGAAAGGTGGGGTCCAAGAACTAATCACTCGATTCTGCAGACACAAATAGTAAATACACACACTTAAAATCACTCGCAAAATAATAATGATATTAATAATTACCATAAAAACCTTCAGCAATGATTAATTTTATTTTTTTCCAGATAGTTGAAGATCTGGGAAACGTGGAGCTGGTATATTTGGATCTCGATCAGGTGTTTGACGGACCTCCTCTCCAGTCGTGGCACAGCCAGCGTCTCTGGCTGTACATAGAAGGTAATGCTGTGTGTGTGTGTGTGTGTGTGTGTGTGTGTGTGTGTGTGCGTGCGTGCGTGCGTGCGTGTGTGTGTGTGTGTGTGTGTGTGTGTGTGTGTGTGTGTGTGTGAGTATTCTAATGTTTAATCTGATAATTCAAAACCTGAGAATAGGGTGTGTCAAGGTCTCCTCATAGGTCTGATACTGACTCCAGGGGTCTGGATCACTGACCCCAGACTAAGAGTCTCCGTGGTTCGAGTCTCCTACAGCCTAGATGAATGGTCTGTCTATTTCCACGGAAGTGTGGATGCCAATTTACACTCAATTGTTTCAGAGTTCGATTCCCGGGGAGAGCGAAACGCTTAAGCACGTTTCTTAGTGCCCGATGCCTCTGTTCACCTAGCAGTAAATAGGTTCATGGGAGTTAGTCAACTGTTGTGGTTTGCCACTTGTAAAATGTCAGTAGTCGCCCTAGAGGGACTTGGATAATACTAACAAGTTGTCTGTTCCTTCACTCCATCCTCATATCCCAGCTTCATATCCTAATATCCTCATATCCCAGTATCTTGTTCTTACATCCCAGGTCCCTGTCCTTATATCCCATCTCCTTGTCTTTATAACTCATCTCCTTGTCCTCATAACCCAGATCCTTGTCCTCATATCCCAGATCCTTGTCCTCATATCCCAGATCCTTGTCCTCATATCCCAGATCCTTGTACTCATATCCCAGATTCTTGCCCTCATATTCCAGCTCCTTGTCCTCATATCCCAGATTCTTGTCCTCATATCTCAGCTCCTTGTCCTCATATCCCAGATTCTTGGCCTCATATCCCTTCCAAATGTATATAGTCACACTGGCTTGGCTTTTTCCCCCTATTCTTTGCCTGTCTCCGATAATGGGGAATCCATTGGCCCTTAGGAGTATGGTTTTTAACTGACTTTTATCTCTCCGCCAGAGCGTTCGTCCATCTTCGTCAGCGACGCAGCCAGGGTTGAGCTCCTGCGACGCTACGGAGGGACCTACCTTGACCTCGACGCCCTGACCCTGCGACCTCTCCCTGACCTCGAACCCTACGTGGGTCGTGTTAGCTCCACCCATGCTGGCAATGGGGTCATGAGCTTCCCACCTCGACATCCACTGATTCAGGTAAGTCGTATTCCGTCAGGGGTCACGCTGGGAGGTCAATGCTCTCAGGGCTCATTTCTGGTCCAGGAAACAGGCTGTGTCAAAGTTTTTTGTTATTTCTGTAGTCATATTTAAGCCAGGTTATAACGAGGTTAACCTTATGTCAAGGGTCATATTGTTAATGAAGTTGTTTCATTGAGTGTCATGACGTACTGGTTAATAGATATAGATACGTTGCCTCGTTAGTCATGCCAGGATATGTCACGTTTCCTGATATGCCATTTGATTTCAAGTGTCAAATGTAACGGGCCATCGTAACTTTAATATCGGATTTAACAATGGCCCAGAAGCCATGTTGATGTCAGTAGACATGATAATTCGGGATTATAAATGAACTTGTCCTGCCCATAAAATATTTTGAGCCCATGTCTCCTTCAGTTATATTTGAGGTTTCTTTGAATCTGTTCCACCTACTGCTATCAAATCATGACCTCGGTGACCCACAGGCGATGGCGGATGACCTTCCACGAGCATTCAACCCTACTGAGTGTTGCAGCATCGGGCCCTACCTAATTACCAGACATCTTCACAATTGGTGTCCTGGGAACTTCACCATTCCCAGGAACACCAGCAACAGGGCCAAGGAGACCTGCCAAGACATCACCATCTACCCGGAGCGTGCCTTCTGTCCTATCAAGTGGACTCCAGTTCTGACAGAGTTACAAGGTGTCTTCTTTAACGGAATGGGGCTCGGAGCTAAGTTCCTGAAGGATGCGTCTGACGTCTATTCCCTTCATCTTTATAACTCTTTATCAAAAGAGGAAAGAGTTGAGCTGAAGGGAGACTCCATTATAGAGGAGGTGGCCAAGAGGAACTGTCCCAAGGTGTATGATTTTCTTCTCACCCATAACATGGCGATCTGACTTCATATTATTTATATTATCACTAAAACTGAATATCTACTGGATATTATTATTGAACTGAGTTCTTCCAGAGAAGTTAAGTTCATGTTTTGCTGTGCTAGAGAGGTGACATTTGCCCACAGTTGACTTGCTCACTGATCTGGAAAAAGACAGTCATTGGTGATAAGTGATATTTGTTAGCAAATTAAACCTGCAATAAATGTATATGCATTCTTAACAACAGGGGTGAGAGTCGTGCAGTGTTGTGGTGGAAGCTCTCACATAATATAATTGACGCCCTTGCCATGTTTGCACGAAATAAAGACAACGCTGATCCTAATCTTGGGTGATTAAATAGTATTCTAAAAAGTGTCATTAGAGTAGAACCTTAAGACGAGTCTTAAGAGAGCATAAGTCACCCTAACAGTGACAACGTTAATAACAAAGAAATGCGACACACAACATACTTGGGACAAGTAGTAAACTCGGTAGGGTGACAGATAACATCTAAGCGTGGCTACAAATATCTCTGGCAGTTCACCTTGCAAGTGGGGGAACTAAATGACATGCAACCCAACGAATTTATTATTATTATTAACATCTTTATTGACAAAATTGAATTACAATTTTGCCAAATCCGAGGATTTAAATTGTCTTATTAAAGTGAGGATAATACTGGTATTTACTGTCATACAGGACAGAGGGTCATACACAAAACAATAGGTATAAACTGTAGGCTGAAGCACATATATATCATGGTTACAATCAATGTTTTAATGTATGAATGGGAATGCGACACAATGCTGTAAGAAGTAATCCAGACATATTTCATTCATATGGGTGGGTTAGCTTATTTGACTTTGACTTGAGTGTATGGACAAAAACAGGGGCACACATTACAGCAATGATCATTATGAAGTAGCCGTAGCTGTCGACAACAATACCCGTGTATATAGAATAATAATGCAATAATAATGCTGATTGAAGCGTTACCTTGGGTTCATTCCGGGGTTCAGGGTCCCCGCGGCCCGGTTTCTGACCAGGCCTCCTAATGATATATATAAAAAGTTAAATATGTTGTAGAAATTATGTATTTATTTTCACAATCAGAATTACTCTAAAATGACACCAAAATATTAAGTATATACGGAAGAGAGAGATGAAAAGCATTAAAAAAGCGACTTATTTCCCAGAGGAGGAAAAATTGTTTACGATTTTCCATTACGAAGAGGATTTGCCAAGCTTTGCATGTTGCTGCCATTTTGCCCCTTAATGGTTAATTTAACCTAAATTCACGGCATCTAACCATTTCTTCCTTAAATAATCTCTCTCTAACTCTTATTTAACAATTTTCCATGAAAAAGCGATTACTACTCAAGCTCCATAGAGAATAGGCCTACCGGGAGAGTTGATGACAGGCTATACAAAGCAGTGTGAAGTATGGCATAGGAAAATGTTGCAAATTGTGCATGCAGTAAGGAGGTGCTTGCATGCCTGTGGTGGTACAGTGATGTGGAGCTCATTCCTGGTGAGAGCTCCGACCACTGCCTCTCACTGTGGGACTATTGGTTGTCCCTGTATGTAGATTTATTACGGTAAAAGCTCTGCTTGTTGCTTTATTAAAGTAGGAGCTCTGATTTTTGCTTTATTACAGCAATAGCTCTGCTTGTTGCTTTATTACAGTAAGAGCTCATCACGCTGAATTATTGCATACTACCCATTCGACGCACACTAACAGCACCCATTCCATGTTTCATTTTTCTTCCTGTATAATACATTTTCGTATAAAGTGGTCGTGTTGACAACAGTTATAACTATGTTTGAGCCGAAAGTGCTTCTCCTTCGTTATTCAAGTTGGTGATATGCCGAAACATCTGAATAAACCATTTTTTTCTGCAAGATTCGAACGCCAGCGTGATTGGTGGGTGCTGGTTGTCTTCTTTCCTGATGTTTTTTCCCGAAATAGCAGTCATGGTCATGTTTAAGTCGTTGATACACATCAGGATATGCAGGAGCTGAAGCGTCGGACGAAGATGAGTCTTTTAGTGTGGAAATAAACGCCTTGGTGGGAGTAGCAAGACGTGGGACTCTTGCATTGCGGGCTGAATTGCAGGGTTAATCAGTTTCTGAAGAGCCTCTTCACTGAAGAAAATGGAATGTAACACTATTGACTTCATCTAACATATCGAAAGAGGATGCCGCCGAAAATATTTCACTCGGGGGTAATGGAGGTCCCCAGAATCGAACTGCTATAGATCATAGTAGTGCCAATATGTGAGCACCACCAGGCGAGTCCAAGGGCATCTACAGAGGGGGGTTCAACTTATAGTGCCTCGGCGGAATAAACGCTGAAAGAACAGTCTGTGATGTCTGGTTCTGGGGTCAGGGTATCGAGGCGCAGACCAACGCTGATTGATCAAGGAGCAGCAATGTGTTGACGTCGGCGGGGATATCACTGCTTACGTCAGCACTTTTAGAAGGCCCCCTTTAGGTATCACAATCCAAGCTTTTACAAGGTACCCGTCCACATACAGGTGTCGGCAGGAATGTTCCTCATCTCCCTCCTTTGACAATGCACAATGAAAGAAGAACGTCATCATGAGACATTGATCCAAGTAACTTTTCTAAAAAATGCAACATAATTAACAACTCACGTTAGCGTAAACACAGATGCGAACAGTCCCAGCCTAATTATTGTCCTTGTTTAAGATTCAGCTACTCGGAACAAAAAGTTAAAAGTAGCACGGGCTATGGTGAGTCCGAAGTGTACTTACCTGGCACAGGAGCCCACAGTGTACCGATATGGCACAGGAGAGCCCGCAGTGTGCTTACCTGGTACAGGAGAGCCCGCAGTGTGCTTACCTGGTACAGGAGAGCCCGCAATCTACTTACCTGGCACAGGAGAGCCCGCAGTGTACTTACCTGGCACAGGAGAGCCAGCAGTGTACTTACCTGGCACAGGAGAGCCCGGAATATGCTTACCTGGCACAGGAGAGCCCGTAGTGTGCCTATCTGGTACAGGAGAGCCCGCAGTGTACTTACCTGGCACAGGAGAGCCCGCAGTGTACTTACCTGGCACAGAAGAGCCCACAGTGTGCTTACCTGGCACAGGAGAGCCCGCAGTGTGCTTACCTGACACAGGAGATTTTGAGGAGACACACAGGTGGCAGATTTTGAAAGAGAAATTGACAATATGCCAATGCACTCAGCCCCGGGTCCAGACTCATGGAATTCAATATTTATAAAGAAATACAAAGTGCCAGTAGCACAGGCACTCTGTATAGTGTGGAGGAAGAGCTTGGATACAGAAGAGATACCAGATGCGCTTAAAGCAGCAGACATTGCCCCCTCTACACAAGGGTGGTAGCAAAGCACCGGCAAAGAATTATAGACCAGTTGCACTAACGTCCCACATAATAAAAGTATTTGAAAGAGTGATCAGGAGTCAGGTCACTAGATTCATGGAAACCAATGACCGCCACAATCCAGGCCAACATGGATTTAGAGCAGGAAGATCATGCCTCTCACAGCTACTTGACCATTATGACAAAATCACTGAGGCATTAGAGGAAAAACATAATGCAGATGTATACACAGATTTTACAAAGGCATTCGACAAATGTGACCATGGAGTGATTGCACACAAAATGAGGTCAATGGGTATAACTTGTAAAGTAGGACGCTGTATACTCAATTTCCTATCGAACAGAACACAAAGAGTAACAGTCAATCGAGTCCGAGCGCAGTTAAAAGCTCTGTACCTCAAGGTACAGTCCTTGCACCACTGCTGTTCCTTATTCTCATATCAGATATAGACAAAAACAAAAGTCACAGCTTCGTGTCATCCTTTGCAGATGATAAAAAAATCAGCATGAAAATTACCTCTGCTGAAGACATTGATAAACTACAAACAGATATTAACAAAGTTTTCGATTGGGCAGCAGAAAATATCATGATGTTTAACGGTGATAAATTCCAGGTACTCAGATACGGCAAAAATGAGGATCTTAAACATAATACAGGGTACAAAACACAATCGAATCTGCCCATAGAAGGAAAACAGCATGTCAAGGATTTGGGAATAATGATGTCTGACGACCTAACGTTTAGGGAGCATAACCAAGCAAGTATTGCGTCAGCCAGAAAAATGACAGGATAGATTACGAGAACCTTCAAGTCCAGAGATCCCATCACAATGGTTTTACTCTTCAAATCACTTGTGTTGTCCCGCCTTGAGTACTGCTCAGTACTCACATTCCCCTTCAGAGCAAGAGAGATTGCTGAAATTGAGGGAATACAGAGAACATATACGGCACGCATAGACGAGATAAAGCACCTAAATTATTGGGATCGTCTCAAAGCTCTCCAAATGTACTCACTAGAAAGGAGACGAGTGAGATACCAAATAATATACACATGGAAAATACTGGAGGGACAGGTCCCAAATCTGCACAGTAAAATAACAACGTACTGGAGTGAACGACATGGAAGAAAATGCAGAATAGACCCAGTGAAGAGCAGAGGTGCCATGGGCACAATCAGAGAACACTGTATGAACATCAGAGGTCCACGGTTGTTCAACGTCCTACCAGCGAGCATCATAAATATTACAGGAACAACCGTGGACATCTTCAAGAGGAAACTAGATTGTTTCCTTCAAGGAGTGCCGGACCTACCGGACTGTGGTGGGTATGTGGGCCTATTGGCCGCTCCAAGCAACAGCCTGGTGGACCAAACTCTCACAAGTCAAGTCTGGCCCCGGGCCGGGCTTGGGGAGTAGAAGAACTCTCAGAACCCCATCAAGCAGGAGAGCCCGCAGTGTACTTACCTGGTACAGGAGAGCCCACAGTGTACTTATCTGGCACAGGAGAGCCCACAGTGTACTTATCTGGCAAAGGAGAGCCCGCAGTGTGTTTATCTGGCACAAGAGAGCTCGCAGTGTACTTACGTGGTACAGGAGAGTCCGCAGTATGCTTACCTGGCACAGGAGAGCCCGCAGTGTACTTATCTGGCAAAGGAGAGCCCGCAGTGTTTATCTGGCACAAGAGAGCCCGCAGTGTACTTACCTGGCACAGGAGAGCCCACAGTGTACTTACCTGGCACAGGAGAGCCCACAGTGTACTTACCTGGTACAGGAGAGCCCGCAACATGCTTACCTGGCACAGGAGAGCCCGTAGTGTGCCTATCAGGTACAGGAGAGCCCGCAGTGTACTTACCTGGCACAGGAGAGCCCGCAGTGTGCTTACCTGGCACAGGAGAGCCCGCAGTGTACTTACCTGGCACAGGAGAGCCCGCAGTGTGCTTACCTGACACAGGAGATTTTGAGGAGACACATAGGTGGCAGATTTTGAAAGAGAAATTGGCAATATGCCCATGCACTCAGTCCCGGGTTCAGACTCATGGAATTCAATATTTATAAAGAAATACAAAGTGCCAGTAGCACAGGCACTCTGTATAGTGTGGAGGAAGAGCTTGGATACAGAGGAGATACCAGATGCGCTTAAAGCAGCAGACATTGCCCCTTCTACACAAGGTTGGTAGCAAAGCACCGGCAAAGAATTATAGACCAGTTGCACTAACGTCCCACATAATAAAAGTATTTGAAAGAGTGATCAGGAGTCAGGTCACTAGATTCATGGAAACCAATGACCTCCACAATCCAGGCCAACATGGATTTAGAGCAGGAAGATCATGCCTCTCACAGCTACTTGACCACTATGACAAAATCACTGAGGCATTAGAGGAAAAACATAATGCAGATGTCGTATACACAGATTTTACAAAGGCATTCGACAAATGTGACCATGGAGTGATTGCACACAAAATGAGGTCAATGGGTATAACTTGTAAAGTAGGACGCTGTATACTCAATTTCCTATCGAACAGAACACAAAGAGTAACAGTCAATCGAGTCCGAGCGCAGTTAAAAGCTCTGTACCTCAAGGTACAGTCCTTGCACCACTGCTGTTCCTTATTCTCATATCAGATATAGACAAAAACACAAGTCACAGCTTCGTGTCATCCTTTGCAGATGATACAAAAATCAGCATGAAAATTACCTCTGCTGAAGACATTGATAAACTACAAACAGATATTAACAAAGTTTTCGATTGGGCAGCCCGCAGTGTGCTTATCTGGTACAGGAGAGCTTGCAGTGTACTTACCTGGTACAGGAGAGCCGCAGTGTACTTATCTGGCAAAGGAGAGCCCGCAGTGTGTTTATCTGGCACAAGAGAGCCCGCAGTGTACTTACCTGGCATAGGAGAGCCCACAGTGTACTTACCTGGCACAGGAGAGCCCACAGTGTACTTACCTGGCACAGGAGAGCCCGCAGTATGCTTACTTGGCACAGGAGAGCCCACAGTGTACTTATCTGGCAAAGGAGAGCTCTCAGTGTGCTTATCTGGTACAGGAGAGCCCGCAGTGTGTTTATCTGGCACAAGAGAGCCCGCAGTGTACTTACCTGGCACAGGAGAGCCCACAGTGTACTTACCTGGCACAGGAGTGCCCACAGTGTACTTACCTTATTTATTTTATTTATGCATATACAAGAAGGTACATTGGGAATGTGAGGATACATAATATGGTAATTACAATCTTGTAAAGCCACTAGTACGCGCAGCGTTTCGGGCAGGTCCTTAATCTAAGAAAATTTTAAGTATTTAAATACTTGCAATATATATATATAAAAATGATAACAGTTACATGGCAAGAAAAAAAAAATGAGAGAAAATTGTAGGTACAGTATATTAAAGCACATAGGTAGCTAAGATTGATTGCAATGACAGCTTGAATGGTAGTTGACAAAAATTGGTAGGCACAATACAGCATATGGCTAGCACATAAAAGAAGACAGGAGACCTGCCACAGGAGAGCCTGCAGTATGAACAAATCCACAACGGCCGTGACGAGGATTCGGACCTGCGTCCGAAAGCACCCCGCAGTATGCTTACTTGGCACAGGAGAGCCCGCAGTGTACTTACCTGGCACAGGAGTAGGGCTATAACTCTGCTGATCTTCATTTCTCCTTAGATTAAAAATTAATTTATTAATTTCTAACGTCAATATTTTTCCTAATATATAACATTAACTGATGACTTAAAGTCTTAAACAGAATAGTTCAAAACGGTCAGGGAAGTTATGGCCTCTCCTTATCGAGAACATAAAGCCTGACTAAGCTTACCGAGGCTCACTAATAATATTTCCCAAGATGTAACTCACAATAGTTGCCTAACTCCCAGGTGTCTGTTCTAGCAGTGAATGAAGGCATAAGGTTAAAAGATACGTTGCCCAAATGCCTGTGCTGCCGCATGAATTCTATCTGACTTTTGTGAGCGCTGCAGGACCCAGGAAGAAAAAGTCTGCCTGTACTCTTGGCAGACTTTTTCTCCCTAGCCCTAGAGATAATTAGATATGTAGATAAATTCGAAAGGGATAAAGAATTTGACATAGGAATTTGTATTTACATTAATTAAATTTTGTCATTATTTTCTGCATTCATATTTCTAACAAGAAATACAAGAGTTGCTCCTTAATCTCAGGCAACGATGTGTGCTGGTAGAAAATAGATTATTTTAGTTAAAGGGATAACCATTTTATATATGATAACTACTTCGTATTTGTATTTTTTACCATTAGTATCCTCTACGAGGACAGGAAGCTGGCGGCTTGTCATATGGTACCTATATTTATCCTGACTTTCGGTATTTTCGGGAGTATCATCGCAGCACTCAAGTAAATGTGGACTCAAGCGTGGACGTGGATATGAACGTAAGTGTGGGCGTGGATAACTGGGTGATCCATCTGTGCCCTGTTAAACACCTCCATCATCAACCAAACTATCCACTGGCGGCCACCGACTCCAAACACCATCTTCTTCACCGACACCTCCTGCGTCATCAACTTCACCCCGAGGCAGGTAAGCTTAGTTTATCAACTATTTGGCATATCCACTGCTGGCACAAAGAAAAGGTCATTCAAGCTCAAAATTTTGCATTTGTGTCAGAGAGTTTGGTAATATCATGGTGTTTACTGCTTACTGCGAGTATTCAACCCATTGTACCGTACAGCGACGGCTTGGCTTTTTGTATCCAGGTTAGCGTTCGATGCCCGATGGTCCAAGTGGCTGGGATCATCGGGGATCGAACTTAGTATCCCAGCACCTTGTTCTCATATCCCTTCCAAGTGCTATATAGCTTCATAAGCATACCATTTTCTCCTGATAATTACCTACCTAAAGCCATTGGACCTAACCAGTTGTTATTTCATTACCGTGAATGCCTATAACTATTGGGATGCAAATTTGACTATTAAAATAATATAATATATTTTATATTCATGAAGAACATACATAAATTAAGAAATATTGTTCACACTCATTACAGTAACATAATGATTTACAAAATTTATATATATATTTTTATCAGGCTTCTAATTACGCCAAATAAATTACTAATTTAGTGCTATATAGGTTTACACAAGTGACCTTTCTGTCTCACGTGTTTACACAAGTGACCTCTGACAGGCTTGAAATGTGGACAGCGTCCCCACCCACTCCTTCAGGTAAGTGACAGCTCCGCTCCTCTGCCTTTACACGACCAGGATACTATTAGACTCGAGCGCACATCTAACTCAAGGATGACCAACCTGTTTTTCCCTTTAGTTCTCTGTGTTAATTTGGTAAAATAATTATAGTCTTATTTATTCGGAGGGTTCCCGTAGCACAGTCGGGTTCGTTCTCGACTCTCAATCGGAAATTCCGGGTTCGAATCTTGAGGCGGGATATATATGGTTACACGCGTTTCCTATCACCTAATGCATCTGTTCGCCTAGTAGTATATAGGTACCAAGGAATTAGACAGCTTGATATGGGGTTGCATCCTGGGGAGGGACAGTAGTTCCACTTTGGGGGGGGTGTCCCTCGATATAAGCCTAACATGTATATATTCCCTGGTTGCCTGTCCCCTAGACACAATGCATCATTAAATGACGACTTAAGTTTTGAAGAAGCCTCTTAAATCAGCATCAAAGAAAACATGGCGACAAATTAGACAAGTCTGAAAATGGCGAGGTAGATTGCAAGTTCTTGGACTGCCAGAAGGTTTTTGACACAGTGCTCACATGAGAATAGCCACTGTAACTAACAACCAATTGGACACGAGTTCCATTCCTGGGCAAGTCGAGACTTTTGGGCAAGCTTCCTTACACAATCGACTTGAGAATGGTCCAAGACGGACCGAAACGTCGTCGTCCCTTCACCTTCTAGTGTGTGGTCTGGTCAACAAGCTTCCTTACACATGACACCACTGTTCACTTAACCATTTATAGATCCCCCAAGAGTTAGTTGACTGTTGTGGGCTTCATCGTGATCAGTCGTTGACCTAGATACGCTTCTTTCAGCCTAACAGGTATTGAGGGTGTTAATTCGTTCGGGGACACGCAGCCTGTGTATATGTATGCTTTAGCCTTGTGTCGAGATCCCCCCTCAAGATCAAACAACTGACCCTCCCCAGGATGCAACCCCCACAACAGTTGCTTAACTCGCAAGTTCGTATTTGCTGCTAGGTGAACAGCAGCATAAGGTGAAAGGAAACGCCCATTCATTTCAGTCCCGCTGGGGAATCGAACCAAGGATTTCCGATTAGAGAGAACCTAGGTAATATAAAACAAAGAGCAATACACCAACACATACATTAGTAAAGATTCATTTATTAACTAACGCGGGAGTAGAGCATTTAATAGCTAATGCTCTACTCTATAAGTGTATCAAGGTGAGCACAAACACTTAATCTGCATGAAACAAAATATGAACTGTGCTCTAACAGCTGCTGGAGAGTCTGGAGAGTGTGCACCTGGATCTGAATCTGGTCTTCAGTGGACCTTCCCTCAGGCCCTGGCGTAGTCAACGTCTCTGGTTCTACTTGGCAGGTGCGCGTGTGTGTACTCACCTAATTGTGCTTGTGGGGGTTGAGCTCCGGCTCTTTGGTCCCGCCTCTCAACCGTCAAACAACTGGTGTACAGATTCCTGAGCCTACTGGGCTCTATCATATCTACAATTAAAACTGTGTATGGAGTCAGCCTCCACCACATCACTGCCTAATGCATTCCACCTGTTAACTACTCTGACACTGAAAAGTTCTTTCTAACGTCCCTGTGGCTCATTTGGGTACTCAGTTTCCACCTGTGTCCCCTTGTTCGCGTACCACCAGTGTATGTATTCACCTAGTTGTGCTTGCGGAGGTTGAGCTTCGGCTCTTTGATCGACAAAAAGGCACACACACACACACACACTCACACTCAAATTATGGTTAAATCTAATAAAACATATAGATTTTTATCATTTGTATTGGAAAAATAAATTTCATATGCATTTAAATGATAACACTATGACGAAATCAAGATTTTATATTTGAATTGAATAAGTGACAGGCAAATAAAGATTATAAATTTATATCTACATCAAGATTGTGTGTTATTTCCGTAGACTTAATATACTCAGTTTTACATAAAAAAATAGTTTATAATCTTTCTTTTATGCATCCAACTCACGCAAATATAATTTATCATGATGGCAAACGTAGGAAGCAATTTAAGATGCCACACAGATGAAGTTAAACTAGATCTATGTATCCCCATCTCTTTTTGTTAAGACTATTTTACTGTAAACATTCAGGTCTGATAAGAAAGCAGTTAGTCTCTCAAAGACCTGAAAGCGCCAGTATAAAAGTTAGTTGTCAAGTTTTGATAATGCGAAACAGTGCTTGCCAGCATCAGGTGGGCTTACCGTTACCTGTGGCAGGTGGCAACAGGTGCCAGCATCAGGTGGGCTTACCGTTACCTGTGGCAGGTGGCAACAGGTGCCAGCATCAGGTGGGGTTACCGTTACCTGTGGCAACAGGTGCCAGCATCAGGTGGGCTTACCGTTACCTGTGGCAGGTGGCAACAGGTGCCAGGATCAGGTGGGGCTACCGTTACCTGTGGCAGGTGGCTACAGATGCCAGGATCAGGTGTGGTTACCGTTACCTGTGGTAGGTGGCAACAGGTGCCAGGATCAGGTGGGGCTACCGTTACCTGTGGCAGGTGGCAACAGGTGCCAGGATCAGGTGGGGCTACCGTTACCTGTGGCAGGTGGCAACAGGTGCCAGGATCAGGTGGGGTTACAGTTACTTGTGGCAGGTGGCAACAGGTAACGGATCCCCCAATCCTGAACACTCTAGGTGTCAACTCGGTGACCAGGAACTGGGTCATGATCTCACACACTATATTATTGACTGTTCAGTCATTACACCATTAACACCTGCCGGCATGAGGTACCTGGAGCGTTGCAATTACTTTATTACCTCTCGTGTTCTTGAGGATATCCTCATAATGCAGCCAAAGTTTGACAGTGCAGGATGCTGATCCACATGCCCCTGTATGACCAACCATCCTTCGAGATAGGTCATACAGGGTATGACCCTGAATGCATAAATCTTATCATCATAGATAGGATTTTTAGAGTCACATAGCTTGCTCTTGATATAAGCTAAGTAACTTTTTGTATAGTCTACTCTCTTATCTACGTTTCTCTAATGTCTAATCTACTCTTCTCGGCTCTCTCATCTATTCACTCTCTCCGTCAATATCCTCCATTAATTTTTTGTCATATTTTATTTGCCTGATAACATGTTCCCTCCGAGCCTTTTCTTGCTATCCTCAACCAGTCTAGTATTACCCTCCATCAGCCTCCTAGCACTACCCCTCCACCAGCTTCCCTCCATCACACTCCCTCTGGCGGCACAACGTCAAACATTCCACACAGGCTTAGCTCAATGAAGCGAGATGGTGAGTCCAACAGGTAGGTCGGCAGGTATCCGTCTCTCTCTCTCTCTCTCTCTCTGTCTGTCTGTCTGTCTGTCTGTCTGTCTGTCTGTCTGTCTGTCTGTCTGTCTGTCTGTCTGTCTGTCTGTCTGTCTGTCTGTCTGTCTCTCTCTCTCTCTCTCTCTCTCTCTCTCTCTCTCTCTCTCTCTCTCTCTCTCTCTCTCTCTCTCTCTCTCTCTCTCTCTCTCTCTCTCTTCCCTTCTTTATTTATACTTATTTCTTCTGGAGTGTGTTCTTGCCTGGTGTTGATAGGCAAGGTGCGCTGTTCGCCCGCCATACTTAAATATTTTCTCATCTTCTTCGTGGGATTAACTAGCGAAATTGACAACTAGCAAACGCTAATTGAACGAGGGTTTCAACCCTTGTCGTTGGCGGAAGCTGTCTAGGCGACGGGTTCAATCCCTTGTGCCTCGTCTTGGTCACGTATTCCAAACTCATCAACTACGTGCATATGTAACGAAATGTGCTCATTCATTCACATTTACTTAGATTTTAACGAATGTCCAAAACGAAATGTAAGACATATTAGAAATCGCGAGTAATTGGAGCGTCAGAAGCCGTGGCTCAACAGGTGGGGTCGGGTGACGTTCAGGGTGTCAGAGTGGAACAACAACACCCGAGAACATCCACAATTTTCGATCTGTTTCCTAACCGTTCTGAATGTTCTCTCTCTTCTCCTGTAAGTTATTGTGCTTTAGGAGAGTGAATTAGTTGGTAGTTATGCAAGATGAGTGTTTGTTCGTTTATCTCCGGAGGGTGGAGGTACTTTTTTTTTTTTTTGAGTGCGTTGAAGCGAGGATTGACGGGTGAGTTTTGGCGGCATCAGTGCTGGATTACAAGTGAACAGCTGCGTCTCTAGGCGTGGCTGTGACTCTGGCTTGGGACACGCCTCGTTTTTAATTAAAGGATAATTTGGTATATTATCTCGTGAATTTATATATTTACTATTATGAAAAGCTAATAAGTAATGTTTTGTGTGTTTATTTATGTTTTCAATTTTTTTATGCATTAGATTGATAGATAGATAGCTACACTATTATGTTCATACAGTACAACAAGGAAGTAATTTAAAATACATTCCACTTGAATATATCATTATAAAACCATCGACGAGGAAAACAATAATTCATCCCAATAAATCGATTACAGCAACAAACGAAACAAACTACTAACGCGACCAATAAACCCAGCTAATACAGAAACCAGCGAAGCCATCTGGGCAGAGATTGGGACTCGCCAAAGGCGGTCGGTCGGAGGGATAAAGAGGAGGTATTTCATTCATCGTCCGGCCGCTTCCAACAGTCGAGTTTTCTCTTATTTACAAGTTTCCCGTTACGGGAGAGAGGACCCAACGGTCGGGAAGGAAGGGCGGGCCCCAGAGAGAGTGTCTTGGGTATCAACAAAGACTCACATGCGATCTACCGGCGCTCTAAGCCAGGTACATCCTGACCTGTTTACGCGTTGAGGACCGTTGGCCGAGACACTGGAAGATAGAGGGCGCTCTGTGGTGTCTTGGCGCTCTGGGGGACTGTCTTGGGGTGGTCTCTGGGGACTGTCTTGGGATGGTCTCTGGGGGACTGTCTTGGGTCTCTGGGGACTGTCTTGGGTCTCTGGGGACTGTCTTGGGATGGTCTCTGGGCACTGTTTTGGGTCTCTGAGGACTGTCTTGGGATGGTCTCTGGGGACTGTCTTGGGTCTCTGGGGACTGTCTTGGGTCTCTGGGTGTCTTGGGATGGTCTCTGGGGGCTGTCTTGGGTCTCTGGGGACGGTCTTGGGTCTCTGGGGACTGTCTTGGGTCTCTGGGTGTCTTGGGTCTCTGGGGACTGTCTTGGGATGGCATCTGGGGACTGTCTTGGGGTGGTTTCTGGGTACTAAAATCGCTATGTTAAATGGAAGGAGAGATGGAAAAGATAAAGAATGCGATATCTCTCTTTCTCCTTCTGTCTCCCTCTCTCTCTCTCTCTCCTTCTGTTTCCCCCCCTCTTTCTCTCTCTCTCTCTCTCTCTCTCTCTCTCTCTCTCTCTCTCTCTCTCTCTCTCTCTCTCTCTCTCTCTCTCTCTCTCTCTCTCTCTCTCTCTCTCTCTCTCTCTCTCTCTCTCTCCCTCTCTCCTACCTACCTGTTACTCCCAGCCTGGGAAATTTTCCAGAAAACTTCCCAGCTGGAAGAGCTGGCGTTATTGTTGTTAAATAAACACTTCCACGAAGCCTCCAGCGCCAACGGACAGGTGATGTTGAGAGCCGCTTCACCTGATATCTTAACCAGTTGAGAGCCGCTTCACCTGATATCTTAACCAGTTGAGAGCCGCTTCACCTGATATCTTAACCAGTTGAGAGCCGCTTCACCTGATATCTTAACCAGTTGAGAGCCGCTTCACCTGATATCTTAACCAGTTGAGAGCCGGTTCACCTGATATCTTAACCAGTTGAGAGCCGCTTCACTTGATATCTTAACCAGTTGAGAGCCGCTTCACTTGATATCTTAACCAGTTGAGAGCCGCTTCACCTGGTATCTTAACCAGTTGAGAGCCGCTTCACCTGGTATCTTAACCAGTTGAGAGCCGCTTCACCTGGTATCTTAACCAGTTGAGAGCCGCTTCACTTGATATCTTAACCAGTTGAGAGCCGCTTCACCTGGTATCTTAACCAGTTGAGAGCCGCTTCACCTGATATCTTAACCTGTTGAGAGCCGCTTCACTTGATATCTTAACCTGTTGAGAGCTACTTTACCTGATATATTAACCTGGAGAGAATTGCCTCACCTGATATATCTTACCATATATTACTCACCTGATATTTTACCACACATTACTCACCTGATATCGTACCATACATTACTCACCTGATATATTACCATACATTACTCACCTGATATCGTACCACACATTACTCACCTGATATATTACCATACATTACTCACCTGATATCGTACCACACATTACTCACCTGATATCGTACCACACATTACTCACCTGATATCTTACCACACATTACTCACCTGATATCTTACCATACATTAATCACCTGATATCTTACCACACATTACTCACCTGGAGCAACTACCAGTAGATCTGTCCTAAGCATCACATCCTAGCAATACTGTTATCTTCTTGAGGTTATCTTAAGATGATTTCGGGGATTAGCGTCCCCGCGGCCCGGTCCTCGACCAGGCCTCCTTTTTGTTACACACACCCCCAGGAAGCAGCCCGTAGCAGCTGTCTAACTCCTAGGTACCTATTTACTGCTAGATGAGCAGGAACATCAGGGGGAAAGAAACTCTGCCCATTTGTTTCCGCCTCCCCCGGGGATCGAACCCGGAACCTTAAGACTACGAATCCGAAGCGCTGTCCACTCAGCTTTCAGGCCCCTATTTTATTACGGGTTCTTATTTTATTTTATTACTAGGCCCTAGCCTGAGCAATAGGTTCGAACAACAGGTACAAACAACAGGTACGAATAACAGGTACGAACAACAGGTATGAACAACAGGTACGAACAACAGGTCTGAACAACAGGTACGAACAACAGGTACGAACAACAGGTACGAACAACAGGTACGTGCAACAGGTACGAACAACAGGTACGAACAACAGGTACATGCAACAGGTGAAGCCATCCCGAAAATTCGTCTTAAGGGTTTAGGAATTTCGTTTATCCGGACAATATCGGTAATCCGGATATTATTATTGGCTTTATCCGGAATATCCGGAGTAGTGGGTGGATTACTTTCCTTAGTCTTCTGCCTTTGACGTGCTGTTACGCCGTCACAATACCTGCTACATCTGTTGTTTCCTGTGTGGAGGCCGTCACCTGTCTGTGTGACGGTCTGGCTTGGTGACTGTCACCTGTCTGTGTGACGGCTGGCTTGGTGTCTGTCACCTGTCTGTCAGACAGTTAAGGTTAAAAGCTTCAGCATGAATCTCTCAAGCTAAACTGTTGCATATATGCTTTAATTACTAGATAGGTAAAACATATATTTGATTCTTTTATTAGCTAACTTGACTCTACTTAGTTTCAGAAAGAAATGACCGTTTCTATAACACTGAAAGGCGGTAGAGGTAACAGAAGACACATATAGACAAGTTACAGACTCATATAGACAAGTTACAGACACATATAAACAAGTTACAGACACATATAAGCGGGTTACAGACATGTAACGGGTTACAGACATGTAACGGGTTACAGACATGTAACGGGTTACAGACATGTAACGGGTTACAGACATGTAACGGGTTACAGACATGTAACGGGTTACAGACATGAATAAACAAGTTACAGACAAATATAAATGCGTTACAGACACTCATGAAAGGGTTACAGATATGTATAACAGGTTACAACCTCGTAAACAAGTTACAGACACGTAATCAACGTGTTACAGACAAACATGCAAGGGGTTACAGATATGTATGAAATGCCACAACTGCTTATATATAAGTTACAGCCACGTATAAACGGGTTACAGACGCGTATGGAGAGGTTACAGATATGTATAACAGGTCACAACCACGTATAGAGTTATAAACAGGAAAACAGAGTTTTTAAACACGCATTAACGGATATAAACACATAAGAACAGGTTATTAACAGGTCACAGACATGTTTCAACAGGTGCAAACATTTGGGTCTAGCATTTTTCCTAATTATCATTAATGTCATAATTCGAATAAATTTTAATTTATTGGTTTATACTGATGCACTTTCATTGTCATTCTCACAAACTCTAATTTATTGATTAGTTTTGTCCAATAACGAATGCAATATAAAAAAAAACAATAGGTGGCAACTCGGTTATGGCGGGAGGGGGTGTGAGGGCGCCGGGCGGCTCAGACGCGCGTGAGGCCGCAGAGGGTGAGGACGTCGCTCCTGTCCACCCGACCATGGGGCTTCAGCCGGGAAATATTATTCGACCCAAACCCCCGCGCCCACCGAGTGAGACAAGAAGGGTAAGTTATATAGGAATTATTAATTATTTTTTTGTTGTTATGATTAATTATCAGGGTTGGTAAACCCAGTCCGTTCATTCGGTTTGACAAGCGTCAAATTTGAAGTGTTTTGACAGGAAGGGTCAATTCTGCAGTGCTTTAAATTTCTCTAAAGCACCGAAATATTAGCGTTGTGATTGTAAAAACTGCGATCCATTTAGTGTTGAGCACAGAAATCATTATATAAACCCGTTCAGTTTCGCTCAGTAATTTATTTAGACAATATATGTGACATTTACTATACTATATACAGTAAACAGTCACCACATTATAATACAAATTTACTAACAAAACAAATATAACGCCAAGAATATATATATATATATATATATATATATATATATATATATATATATATATATATATATATATATATATTAGGCCTAGTTAGACTTTTGCAGATACGTTCATTATCAAAGATAATTTTTCCCAATAGGCCTAGTTCGCGTTTTTGTAAAAAAAATTCTTTAAATGTTTAAAGGGATTTTTGTTGCAGCAAATTTGAATATACTATTACCGGATTTTGTATACAATAATTACATTGATATTTTGTATTTATTTTGTTACCATTGATGATTTTTTTGTTTTCATTTTAGTTTATGATAATGCAAGGTGCAAAAAATTTTGTTCTGATATTTTCGAGTATTTTATTTCTGTTCAAAAGAAAGGCAAACATATTTCCATTATTTTAGCGTGGAATTTTGGCAACAACGTTGTTTTGTTTTGAACCTCTAGGCTGTGTTCAGTACCTCAAGGGAGTGTTCAGTACCTCTAGGCTGTGTTCAGTACCTCTAGGCTGTGTTCAGTACCTCTAGGCTGTGTTCAGTACCTCTAGGCTGTGTTCAGTACCTCTAGGCTGTGTTCAGTACCTCTAGGCTGTGTTCAGCACCTCTAGGCTGTGTTCAGTACCTCAAGGGAGTGTTCAGTACCTCTAGGGAGTGTTCAGTACCTCTAGGCAGTGTTCAGTACCTCTAGGCTGTGTTCAGTACCTCTAGGCTGTGTTCAGTACCTCTAGGCAGTGTTCAGTACCTCTAGGCTGTGTTCAGCACCTCTAGGGAGTGTTCAGTACCTCTAGGGAGTGTTCAGTACCTCTAGGCTGTGTTCAGTACCTCTAGGCTGTGTTCAGTACCTCTAGGCTGTGTTCAGCACCTCTAGGCTGTGTTCAGTACCTCTAGGCTGTGTTCAGTACCTCTAGGCTGTGTTCAGTACCTCTAGGCAGTGTTCAGTACCTCTAGGCTGTGTTCAGTACCTCTAGGCAGTGTTCAGTACCTCTAGGCTGTGTTCAGTACCTCAAGGGAGTGTTCAGTACCTCTAGGGAGTGTTCAGTACCTCTAGGCAGTGTTCAGTACCTCTAGGCTGTGTTCAGTACCTCTAGGGAGTGTTCAGTACCTCTAGGCAGTGTTCAGTACCTCTAGGGAGTGTTCAGTACCTCTAGGGAGTGTTCAGTACCTCTAGGCTGTGTTCAGTACCTCTAGGGAGTGTTCAGTACCTCTAGGCTGTGTTCAGTACCTCTAGGCTGTGTTCAGTACCTCTAGGCAGTGTTCAGTACCTCTAGGCTGTGTTCAGTACCTCTAGGGAGTGTTCAGTACCTCTAGGCTGTGTTCAGTACCTCTAGGCTGTGTTCAGTACCTCTAGGGAGTGTTCAGTACCTCTAGGCTGTGTTCAGTACCTCTAGGCAGTGTTCAGTACCTCTAGGGAGTGTTCAGTACCTCTAGGCTGTGTTCAGTACCTCTAGGCAGTGTTCAGTACCTCTAGGCTGTGTTCAGTACCTCTAGGGAGTGTTCAGCACCTCTAGGCTGTGTTCAGTACCTCTAGGCAGTGTTCAGTACCTCTAGGGAGTGTTCAGTACCTCTAGGCTGTGTTCAGTACCTCTAGGCAGTGTTCAGTACCTCTAGGCTGTGTTCAGCACCTCTAGGCTGTGTTCAGTACCTCTAGGCTGTGTTCAGTACCTCTAGGGAGTGTTCAGTACCTCTAGGCTGTGTTCAGCACCTCTAGGCTGTGTTCAGTACCTCTAGGCTGTGTTCAGTACCTCTAGGCTGTGTTCAGTACCTCTAGGCTGTGTTCAGTACCTCTAGGCTGTGTTCAGTACCTCTAGGCTGTGTTCAGTACCTCTAGGCTGTGTTCAGTACCTCTAGGCTGTGTTCAGCACCTCTAGGCTGTGTTCAGTACCTCAAGGGAGTGTTCAGTACCTCTAGGGAGTGTTCAGTACCTCTAGGCAGTGTTCAGTACCTCTAGGCTGTGTTCAGTACCTCTAGGCTGTGTTCAGTACCTCTAGGCAGTGTTCAGTACCTCTAGGCTGTGTTCAGCACCTCTAGGGAGTGTTCAGTACCTCTAGGGAGTGTTCAGTACCTCTAGGCTGTGTTCAGTACCTCTAGGCTGTGTTCAGTACCTCTAGGCTGTGTTCAGCACCTCTAGGCTGTGTTCAGTACCTCTAGGCTGTGTTCAGTACCTCTAGGCTGTGTTCAGTACCTCTAGGCAGTGTTCAGTACCTCTAGGCTGTGTTCAGTACCTCTAGGCAGTGTTCAGTACCTCTAGGCTGTGTTCAGTACCTCAAGGGAGTGTTCAGTACCTCTAGGGAGTGTTCAGTACCTCTAGGCAGTGTTCAGTACCTCTAGGCTGTGTTCAGTACCTCTAGGGAGTGTTCAGTACCTCTAGGCAGTGTTCAGTACCTCTAGGGAGTGTTCAGTACCTCTAGGGAGTGTTCAGTACCTCTAGGCTGTGTTCAGTACCTCTAGGGAGTGTTCAGTACCTCTAGGCTGTGTTCAGTACCTCTAGGCTGTGTTCAGTACCTCTAGGCAGTGTTCAGTACCTCTAGGCTGTGTTCAGTACCTCTAGGGAGTGTTCAGTACCTCTAGGCTGTGTTCAGTACCTCTAGGCTGTGTTCAGTACCTCTAGGGAGTGTTCAGTACCTCTAGGCTGTGTTCAGTACCTCTAGGCAGTGTTCAGTACCTCTAGGGAGTGTTCAGTACCTCTAGGCTGTGTTCAGTACCTCTAGGCAGTGTTCAGTACCTCTAGGCTGTGTTCAGTACCTCTAGGGAGTGTTCAGCACCTCTAGGCTGTGTTCAGTACCTCTAGGCAGTGTTCAGTACCTCTAGGGAGTGTTACAGTACCTCTAGGCTGTGTTCAGTACCTCTAGGCAGTGTTCAGTACCTCTAGGCTGTGTTCAGCACCTCTAGGCTGTGTTCAGTACCTCTAGGCTGTGTTCAGTACCTCTAGGGAGTGTTCAGTACCTCTAGGCTGTGTTCAGCACCTCTAGGCTGTGTTCAGTACCTCTAGGCTGTGTTCAGTACCTCTAGGCTGTGTTCAGTACCTCTAGGCTGTGTTCAGTACCTCTAGGCTGTGTTCAGTACCTCTAGGCTGTGTTCAGTACCTCTAGGCTGTGTTCAGTACCTCTAGGCTGTGTTCAGTACCTCTAGGCTGTGTTCAGTACCTCTAGGCTGTGTTCAGTACCTCTAGGCTGTGTTCAGTACCTCTAGGCTGTGTTCAGTACCTCTAGGCTGTGTTCAGTACCTCTAGGCTGTGTTCAGTACCTCTAGGCTGTGTTCAGTACCTCTAGGCTGTGTTCAGTACCTCTAGGGAGTGTTCAGTACCTCTAGGCTGTGTTCAGCACCTCTAGGCTGTGTTCAGTACCTCTAGGCTGTGTTCAGTACCTCTAGGGAGTGTTCAGTACCTCTAGGCAGTGTTCAGTACCTCTAGGCAGTGTTCAGTACCTCTAGGCAGTGTTCAGTACCTCTAGGCAGTGTTCAGTACCTCTAGGCAGTGTTCAGTACCTCTAAGCAGTGTTCAGCACCTCTAGGCAGTGTTCAGCACCTCTAGGCTGTGTTCAGTACCTCTAGGCAGTGTTCAGTACCTCTAAGCAGTGTTCAGCACCTCTAGGCAGTGTTCAGCACCTCTAGGCTGTGTTCAGTACCTCTAGGCTGTGTTCAGTATACGTATCATATCCTGGCCACACATACAACCATCATACCTGGCAGCATACTCGCCAGTTATATCCTTGCCATATATCATCCTGTCATATCCTGATCATATATCCGCGTTATATCCTGGCCACATATCCGCATGTCATATTCTGCACAAATATCTACCTGTCATAACATTGCCACATATCCACATATCATATCTTGGCCACATATTATCCTGTCATATATTTATTTATTTACTTTATTTATATATATACAAGTCCTTAATTTAACAGATAATATTAAGTAGGTAAATTCTAGCAAAATTGATAAAATGTTAACAGGTACATTGAAGAAAATTTGAGAGAGATTAGTAGGTATATTAAAGCTCATTGATAATTGACTGATAATTTGAGAAAGATTATTAGGCACAATAAAGCATATTGATAGCACGTATAAGATGGCAGCAATGATCACAATATATATATATATATATATATATATATATATATATATATATATATATATGTCGTACCTAGTAGCCAGAACTCACTTCTCAGCCTACTATTCAAGGCCCGATTTGCCTAATAAGCCAAGTTTTCCTGAATTAATATATTTACTATAATTTTTTTCTATTGAAATGATAAAGCTACCCTTTTCACTGTGTATGAGGTCAATTTTTTTTTATTGGAGTTAAAATTAACGTAGATATATGACCGAACCTAACCAACCCTACCTAACCTAACCTAACCTATATATATAGGTAAGGTTAGGTTAGGTAGCCAAAAAAAGCTAGGTTAGGTTAGGTTAGGTCGGTTAGGTCGACGAAAAAACATTAATTCATGAAAACTTGGCTTATTAGGCAAATCGGGCCTTGAATAGTAGGCTGAGAAGTGCGTTCTGGCTATTAGGTACGACATATATATATATATATATATATATATATATATATATATATATATATATATATATATATATATATACTTTTGTTTTTGTTTTTGAATAAGGCAAAAGTTGGGCAGCTTTTCAATTCATTAGGGAGTGAGTTTCATAGATCAAGTCCCTTTATTTGCATTGAGTGTTTAAACAGATTAAGTTTGACTCTGGGGTTATCAAAGAGATATTTATTTCTGGTGTGGTGATAATGGGTCCTATTACATCTGTCCAGGGAGAGTTTCAGAGCATGGTTTGCATTTAAGAACAGGGTTATGTAAATGTAGATGGCACAAGAGAATGTGTGGAGTGAGTTTACGTTTAGCATGTTTAGGGAGTTAAACAAGGGGGCGGAGTGTTGTCTGAAAGCAGAGTTGATATTGTTCTGATAGCCGAATTTTGCTGGGTGATGATGGGCTTGAGGTGGTTTGCAGTGGTTAAACCCCATGCACAGATACCATATGTAAGATAGGGATATATTAGTGCATAATATAGTGAGAGGAGAGCAGAGTTAGGTATATAATATCTGATTTTAGAGAGTATAGCAACTATTTAAGAGACTTTCTTAGTTATGTGTTGTATGTGGGTGCTGAAGTGGAGTCTCTTGTCTAAGTACAGGCAAAGAAACTTTCAATCATTATTATTGCTAATGTTAACATTATCTGTCTATAGCTGAACTGTATTTGTTGATTTGCTTCCAAATAAGATGTAGTAGGTCTTTTTTATGTTTAGTGTGAGTTGGTTGACAGCCAAAAGTGGACTTTTTTAATTCATGTTTTACAACATTAATTAATACTTCTATATATTCTATATATATATAAATAATACTATTCTATATATAATATTAGTATATAATATATATATACTTCTCATATCCTGGCCACATATCCATCTTCGATATCCTGGCAACATATCCATCTTAAATATCCTGGTCACATATTTACTTTTCATATCCTGGCCACATATCCACGTATCATATCTTGGCCACATATTCATTTGCCATATCCTGGCCATATATTCACCTACCTTATCCTGGCTACATATACACCTGTCATATATTGAACACATATGTATACCAATCATATCTTGGCCACATTTGCTTCATTCCTCCTGTTTGCTTGCTATTAAAAACGTTTTTTGCTTCGTTGACCGGAAACGTTTTCCTGAAATTTTAAAGCCAACGTTTCGTGTGATGGTCGGCAGAGTAGGATGACACTCTTATCCTGTGTCAGGATTGTCATGCCTTAAAGGGGAGTATATAATTGTGTTAAATTGTCTCTTGACACCTTTTCTCCCTCATTCACTAATTCGATTTACCTCACCTGGTCGCCTTATTCATCTGTCTGCTTTATTCACGTGTTTGTCTCACTCACCTGTCCTGTCTCCTCGACAGATCCGGAAGCCACTGATGGAACGGAAACGACGGGAGAGAATTAACACGAGCCTGAACGACCTGGCCTCTCTCTTGGCCGAGGCCCACCTGGTCAAGGGCGAGGCTGGCAAGCCCACCAAGCTAGAGAAAGCTGACATACTCGAGCTTACCGTCAAGCATCTCCTCAGACTCAAGAGCCGGGCGAGTGGGACGTCCAAGGGCACGGCTGCTCCTCCAAGCAAGCTCCTGGGGGTCGAAGATTCACAAAATGGAGGTTCCTCAATACGCGTCTTGTTCCAGGGCGCCACTGTGCCGCAAAGTGTCAATATATTAGAAGGAAAGAATAGCCCAACTGGAAGCGTTGTTCAGCAAGAGTGTGCCATTCCACAGGGGAGCGCTGTGACACAGGAAGACACAGCTACACAAAGGAATATTGCGGAACAGGAGAAGGCTGTGTCACAAGGAGGTTCAGCTGCACAGAATAACACCAATGTGCAAGGGGACACTCTGCAACAGGGGCGTATAATTGTGCAAACATACGCTGTTGCACAAGGGGGTAACGTTGCACAGAAGGGTACTTCATCTCCTGAAACTCCCACCACTGTCAAGACATTCCAGGCATCGCAAGACGACCGGCCCAATCTGAAGGCTCCTCATGGCAAAACCCCAGCCGCTCGCAGCACTCACAGCGAGGAAAACTATAGACTTGGCTTTAAGAAATGTATTAGCACCATTGACAGCGCCATGAAGCAATATCTAGAGCATGAACATGACAACATCCGACCAAGACTTCTGCAGCATCTCCACAGCTTCCTCAAGCTGGTCGACAACAAGAATTCCTCCACACATGTATCACGTGAGGCTCCCAGCACCAGTCCATCTGGAGTGCCAAGTTCTACCCAGGAAGAGCAGCCCTTTGCCCACCCAACAGTGTCTACAAGCAAAGCTACAAGCTCAAGCCAATGTACAACGTCCACCTCTCCTCAAGTACCCGGCTTAACTCTCGTTCCAACTCGTCTTCCTAGTGGCAGTTTAGCTTTTGTGATTCAGGGCGTCCTGGACCCTTCTTTGCTGTTTGAGACTGCTGAAGACAGCTTGGGAAATAACTCCAAGACACTGGCGACAGTCAATATAAGAAATGTGAAGGCTGAAACGTGCCCTTCCAGTATACCTGCCACAATCACCATGTCTTCCGGAATCACGACGATAAGAACGGCCTCCTCAGCGACCAAAATTGAACCCGGGAACGTCAAAAGTGAAGGAAGCAAATGTGAGATTAAAAACGACATTTCAAAACAAACTTCGACATTAGAAGAGTTTGCACCTACTGAGGTATATGCTAAACCCATTTCAAATTTGGAAGTTATTAGTTTAGCACCTAGGGCACCTGGAGCATCATCTAGTGCAGTTGGAACAACACCTGGTGCTGTTGGAACAACACCTAGTGTTACTGGAACCCCTAGTGCTGCTGGAACAACACCTAGTGTTGCTGGAACAACACCTAGAGCTGCTGGAACAACACCTAGTGCTACTGGAACAACACCTAGTGTTGCTGGAACAACACCTAGAGCTGCTGGAACAACACCTAGTGCTGCTGGAACAACACCTAGTGCTGCTGGAACAACACCTAGAGCTGCTGGAACAACACTTAGTGCTGCTGGAACAACACCTAGAGCTGCTGGAACAACACCTAGTGCTGCTGGAACAACACTTAGTGCTGCTGGAACTACACCTAGTGCTGCTGGAACCGTTAGTGTAGCTGGATCAGCACCATCCCCAGCAGCTCCCGTGGGCGTTATGGTGTTTAGTAACCCTCCAGAAAGGTTATTAGGCTTCCAAAATCTTCACCGACTGCCTCCAACGCCTCCAACTCCCCCAACTGGAAGCATTCTGTCACGCATTTCCCCAACGCTCTTCACTCCCACAACCTCCAAAGGACACGGCACAATTCGCTTCACTCACCGCAGAGTTGCTAGTAATTCCGGAGGCCAGAGTGTACCTCCGATGTCATCGCCGACTAAAGACGAGCTTCAAAGAACGGCCGCCGCACCTCCGACTAGTCAAGCCATAATAAATGAAGGTTTCCAGACCTCCGCGATCGCTGTTCAACCCAAGACCTCGACGCAATACCTTCCAGCGACTCCTTCGGGTACTTCGATGCGCAGTGTTCAGATTCTGACGCCGGAGAATACGCCTCCTGGCAGCACTTTTCACAGAGTGCCGCAGCAACCATGCATGCTGACTCCTACAACTATCCAAGGTGTTTATATGCTGCCTCCAACCCCTCCCACGCCTCCAACACTACACGTTCTCCGACTGGAAACTCCAACACCAGGCGTTCTCCCTCAGGAAGGACCATTAAAACAACCTCCACCAATGCCGGTGTTTATACAACCTCAAAGAGGTGGAGATCAAGTGTTGGAGAAAGCCGAAGCGATGGAGGAGGGAGAAGAAGTGGAGATGGATATGTTGATGGATGTTGGAGAGGATATAGTCGAGAGAAGACAGCACAATAACATGCCCTTTGACCTCTCTTTAAGAAGAATGTGGAGGCCTTGGTGACCAAGCCGTGGGGTTAGAGACTCACAAACTATAGTGACCTCAGACGTCAAGTGGCTGAAAGTGACGCAAGAACTCAACAAATTGGTTGTGAGTAATGGTGATTAAAGATATTTTAAACGATGGTGAAGCATCGTTCATTGGTGATTATCACCTGTTAGCACCAAGGCGACTATGGGTTTATTGGGTTTAACACGTTATTGAAAACTAATGTTTTAATGCGGCTTGAAAGACAGTGAAATTGGTTAAGTGCTGTGACAACTAGAATTAGTAGTGCTGTCATAATTAGTGATGTTGGTGGTGACATAACTAGTGATCCTGGTACTGACATAACTACCGTGTTCGTAACTTATTTACCAACCCAGGATGCTAAGTACCTCTTACTCTAACACATAATGGCTGACCTGAGACTACCGACCATTTAAGATAGTATATAGTTTGTTTCTACGAAGTGAGATCTTAATAATAGTCGCCCAATGATCTCCAGACTCATTATCCTGTCCCAAGTGGGCTCAGGATGCAAGAGCAACGGCAATTCAACGCCAAATCAATGTCATTGTTGATTCACTTAAGTCGTTACGAGGTGGTTAGGGGTCAGAGGCGGTCCAGAGCGTCGTCATCTTTTTCATATATGTGGGTTGGGTCCTTGATTTAATTCCTGTTTATAATTATTTATCATCAAGAAACTGTTTATTGAGATATATTTATGACCAGTTTCCGTACAGGTTTAAACTCCATTTGTTGCAAAAGAGGTGAATTGATCTTCGTAACCTCCTCCCTCCCCCCTGTAAGCTACATGTACCAATTGTACCATATTCTTAGCTCGTGTCTGTCTGTAGACTAATGCCGTAGACTCGACACTGTACCTGATCTATTCTCTGGTTTACAGACACTTGTGTAAACCCATTTGGGAATCCTGATTCTCGTTGGTGATCTTAGTTGAGAGGATTTTTCTTGTGTCAGGTTATCTTGAGGTTATCTTGAGATGATTTCGGGGCTTTTTAGTGTCTTTTTAGTGTTTAGTGACACTTTTTAGTGTCTGGTAAGAAAAGTGTCAAACAATTTTTGACACTGAAAATTTTTAGACTTTCGGACCCCTGTGACTTATTTTATGACCACGACTTTTAAATGTCTTTGATCTTTCTTCTTTGCCCTGTCATAGATTTTTAGAGAAAATATTTGATGTGAGAAATGTAGTATATATGAATTAGGTCGCTCAAATAATCTCTTGCTTACAATCTGTCTTTAAATGTAAATATTCTTAGAATTCTTCACGAATTTAGTGACTAATTCAATAGCAATATTGTCTTCCTAGATCTTCCAAGATTTTCCAAAACCTCCCTGGATCTTCCAAGATCTTCCAAGATTTTCCAAAATCTCCCTAGATCTTCTAGGATCTTCCAAGATCTTCTCACTTACGTTGAATTTTGGCTATTTTAAACACATTTAATAAAAAATTAGTTATATTGACAATCTCATCCATTTAGGGCCAACCGACTGGATAAATCTGAATTTATATTATGTGTTTTATCCTCTGGATAACAGATTTGTTGGCTAAATGTTAGTGAATGTTTATCCTGAGAGTATAAATGGTTTATTTTATTTTATCTGTGATTTGGATTTTATTTAAGATCAGCAAATATGGATAATATTTATTATATCAGGATAATTGATAATGATTCGTTTTTAATGGATTCCAGTAAACATTAATTATTTTGCTATAAAGCTCCAGAAATTTTTTTTTCACCATAAACAGGATTTTAAATATTTGAAATATTGCTATACAAGTTCTGTATTAACCCCCCCAAAAAATTACATAAATAGCTAGCAAAAGTATTTTTTAAATATGTTTGGGATAAAGTTTATATATTATTCAAAATGCCACTTAAAAGTGAAACTAAATTTTGAAACGATACATATTTTTTGATTAATTTATTTTTGTTTAATTTGTTTGTTTTTTAAACATTTGGAGGAGTTAATGTCGATTGTGTGTATTTTTCTTTGTTGTATGTTCAGTATTTGCTGATAAGAGAATCATTTACAATTTATTTACAATGTATGTGTATGTGTGTATGTATAACAGTGCTGGAATACGAATGTATAAGATATATACATTCAGACATAAGTGTGTGTATCAACGAAACCGTATGTATGTATGTATGTATGTATGTATGTATGTATGTATGTATGTATGTATGTATGTATGTATGTATGTATGTATGTATGTATGTATGTGACAGTGTCAGACCACGAGGAAAATTAAAACAGGAATTTCCTTAAGTACTTTCGTATATTAATACATCTTCAGAAGGAGAGAAGGAGTGAATACATCGCCACTCCTTCTGAAGATATATTAATATACGAAAGTACTTAAGGAAATTCCTGTTTCAATTTTCCTCCGTGGTCTGACACTGTCACATTTTAATCACGTGTTTATTTTTCGTGATTTACTCACATGTATGTATGTATATATGTATGTATACATGCATACATATACGTGCCCTTCCCTTGTCCTATCTACTGTAATCATCTGTGATAACATGGCATCCTTTACTCTGTTTATTACATAAAATTTACGAAACATCTAAATCTTTGTATATCAAATATCCTTATTTCAGCTCAGCGGAAATTATATATAACGTTTTGTGTGTTCATTATACGCTTGAACACATTGTATATTGAGCATTATAATGACTAAAATTATATATTATGAAATTAAATTGATCCGATGACATATAAAAGAAAATGTGTAGCAATCAAGTATAAATGTAGTCCAGAAACTAACTCTTTCACAAGTCCAACAAATCCCACAAGCCACAATAGACCAAAAAGTCCCACAAGTTCAAAAGCCCCAAAAGTCCAACAAGTCACAAAAGTCCCACAAGTCCAAAAAGTCCAACAAATCCCTCCCTAAAAGAAAAACAAAAGAACAAGAGATAAGAACTTTGACTATTAGCTTAAACTTTTTTTTTCACGAAACAATTTCGAGGATTAATTAAAAAAAAATAATCTAATTTCTGCAATGGTCTGACGCCCAGACACTCTCTCACTTCAAGAATTTGTTAACAACTTAATTATCAGTAACAAAATGTTGTTAATTTAGATGTCAAAGATAACTGAACTACTTGAGCAGTGATTGAACAGTTCCGGATTTCAACAACCAAATATATATATATATATATATATATATATATATATATATATATATATATATATATATATATATATATATATATATATATATATATATATATAAAGAGTGACATCTATTGATAATCAAATAAATAATAATATCAATAATAAATTAAATAATACAAGTAATATTGTTTTCAATTTAAACTGATTTTATTCACATGACAAATTTCAAGAAATTTGACAGTTTCAACATTAAGATATTATTCAACATTACCTAATTGTTATATCAAAATTATATTAATAATAATTACATTTTTTAACATTGCATTACGAAACTCCTAAAATCAAATTTATATTTTTACAAAATTCGCCACAATTGTTCAAGAATATAGAACTGGCAAGCGACGGTCTCGCTTCATGCAGGTCGGCGTTCAATCCCCCGACTGTCTCAATATATATATATATATATATATATATATATATATATATATATATATATATATATATATATATATATATATATATATATATATATATATATATATATATATCAAGATTTCACTGTAGGAGCGCCTGACGGCTGAGTGGACGGCGCTTCGTATTCGTAGTCCTGAGGTTCCGGGTTCGATCCCCGGTGGATGCGGAGACAAACGGGCGATATGTTTCTTTCATCCTGATGCATCTGTTCACCTAGCAGTAAATAGGTACCTGGGAGTTAGCTGCTATGGGCTGCTTCCTTGGGGTGTGTAACAAAAAGGAGGCCTGGTCGAGGACCGGGCCGCTAAGCCCCGAAATCATCTCAAGATAACCTCAAGAAGATAGTCTTGGACAATGTTCAGGATTACAGTACATTTGCTGGTGGATCAGTAAGCTGTTGTGGTGGGCTTAATAACCCTCCAGAGGTTGATAGGCCTTAATAGAACTCCCGAGGTTGATAGGCCTTAATAACCCTCCAGAGGTTGATAGGTCTTAATAACCCTTCAGAGGTTGATAGGTCTTAATAACCCTCCAGAGGTTGATAGACCTTAATAACCCTCCAGAGGGTGATAGGCCTTAATAACCCTCCAGAGGTTGATAGGACTTAATAACCCTCCAGAGGTTGATAGGCCTTAATAACCCTCCAGAGGTTAATATGCCTTAATAACCCTCCAGGGGTTAATAAGCCTCCAGGGGTTAATAAGCCTTAATAACCCTCCAGGGGTTAATAAGCCTCCAGGAGTTAATAGGCCTTAATAACCCTCCAGGGGTTAATAACCCTCCAGGGGTTAATAAGCCTTAATAACCCTCCAGGGGTTAATAAGCCTTAATAACCCTCCAGGGGTTAATAAGCCTTAATAACCCTCCAGGGGTTGTGACCGCAGGCGGCGTCGCGTGCGGCCGCAGGAAATCCGCAGTTCGTGAATCAGCGACATCCAGAGGTCAGTGAGGAACCCGACTACCTCTCTCTCTCTCTCTCTCTCTCTCTCTCTCTCTCTCTCTCTCTCTCTCTCTCTCTCTCTCTCTGTCTCTCTCTCTCTCTCTCCCTCTCTCTCTCTCTCTCTCTCTCTCTCTCTCTCTCTCTCTCTCTCTCTCTCTCTCTCTCTCTCTCTCTCTCTCTCTCTCTCTCTCTCTCTCTCTCTCTCTGTCTCTCTGTCTCTGTCTGTCTCTCTCTCTCTCTCTCTCTCTCTCTCTCTCTCTCTCTCTCTCTCTCTCTCTCTCTCTCTCTCTCTCTCTCTCTCTCTCTCTCTCTCTCTCCCTGGGGTGTAGACCTCATTCCTGGGGGTGTAGACCTCATTCCTACAGTGATTCAAGTATTTATCTCTAAAATTATTATTTCATAAAATAAATATATTTTTAGAATGAATACAACAATGAAATAACTTAAATCTCTTACACGAATGGACATTGTATTAGAATACTAATTTATACGTATTGTATATGATGAATTAATCATATTCATCATATTCAATCAGTATGATGAATTGATTGGTAATCTAGTTCTTTATTAGTTTATTCAACATTAATATATTGCGTGATTTGCGAGCTGTTTTGTACACAATTACAATTATCGAATTGTAATAAATTTATTACAAATGAATTTGTAATAAATGTTTTAATAAATCAAGACTCCTAAATGTTTTATTGATATAAACAAAATTGAGCAGTTTTGGAATTTTAAATTAAATTATTAATTTTGTTTTTAATTTATTTCTTGTTTACTATGAAAGTTTGGAGAGAATATTTTGAAATTTGTAAAGATTCTTCAGTAATATTTGTTGAGATGTTAATGTGAAAACTTTGAAGTGTATATAGCTTTGATATAGTCATTGATAATATGCTTTACATTACAAATTATATCTCTCTCTCTCTGTCTCTCTCTCTGTCTCTGTCTCTGTCTCTCTCTGTCTCTGTGTCTCTCTGTCTCTGTCTGTCTCTGTCTGTCTGTCTGTCTCTCTCTCTCTCTCTCTCTCTCTCTCTCTCTCTCTCTCTCTCTCTCTCTCTCTCTCTCTCTCTCTCTCTCTCTCTCTCTCTCTCTCTCTCTCTCTCTCTCTCTCTCTCTCTTTCTCTCTCTCTCTCTCTCTTTCTCTCTTTCTCTCTCTCTCTGTGTCTCTGTGTCTCTCTCTCGTTCTCTCTATCTCTGTCTCTGCCTCTGTCTCTGTCAGTCTGTCTGTCTGTCTGTCTGTCTGTCTGTCTGTCTGTCTGTCTGTCTGTCTGTCTGTCTGTCTGTCTGTCTTTCTCTATCTCTCCTCCTGTGTGCATGACGGGTAATGGCGGCCATGCGTTATTTCCGGTTCGTGTGCATCGCCGCATCACGCTCGCCACGCCATTGGCTAATTGCTCCGGTGGGGAAGCCCGCCGATTGGCTGGCAGCACGTGGTGACGTCACGCCTCATGTCTCCTTCCGCCAGCCACCGGAACGGCTCGCAGACTTACGACCGCCACGGGGTTTTGCGCCTTAAAAACGCTAATGTTGGCCATGTTGCGGCGCGGGATCACTATGAGGCAGCGAGAGGGAGAGGTGAAGCGAGGAACGAGGCGCAGGAGCGGGCTCTACCGGCTGTTGTTGCTAGCGACATGTGGCAGCGTCGCCACCACGAGCCGCTGCACGCGCTCCGCGATGAAAATGGCGACTTACTTCCTCAATGTCAATCGTCCCTTCTCCTCTTTTCCTTCTAGTTTCATCATTGTTCCTTTTTACCAACGTATAACAACATATAATATACCACACGGGTATACCTGCAGGATATGTCGTATGTGAAGGTCATTATGTTTCGCGGGCTTTTGACAGCGTCACGACGAAGACCCGCGCACCTGTCACAGTGTGGAGGCGGCGGCCAGGTAGCACGTGCGGCGCGGCAGGTGAGGTGTTGGGGGGGGGCGGGTGAGGGGCTGAGGTAGGGGGTGAGGGAGGGGTGAGAGGCCCTGGGGGTTTGGGTGAGGTGTAAATCACCGAGACCGCCTCCTCAACATACTCATCCAGGAAGGCTTCTTCTTCGACCCTTTGCTGGAATTGTATCTTTTATATTGCTTTATTTCAGTGTGATACTGGCTTGGGTTTTGTATGATTTTACCTTTTGGTGCTTTCGAGGGTTCCTCTCCCGCAGCCTGGTCTGTGGCCAGCTTCGTCTGGCGATTACCTGGTCTGGGAAGTTATGTCTTCGTAGCTCAGAGCCATCACAGCCGGGTTGATCCGGTAATTGCAGCGGATACTAGGCCGGGTGATTTGAGAACTTCCACTGTCTTCCCAGCGACAGTTCTTATATTCCGTGGCGGGAGAGTGAAGATTCCCAGTCACCTGGTGCTCTAGACAATCCCAGAGCTGTGGGATTGTCTCAGGGCCCTGGGATTGTCCCAACTAGGGCCCTGAGATTTTCCCAACTAGGGCTCTGGGATTGTCCCAACTAGGGCCCTGGGATTGTCCCAACTAGGGCCCTGGGATTGTCCCAGGGATAGGTCCAGGGATCAGTGTTGTTTACCATATATGTCAACAATATTTACACAGGACTGTAGACAATAACAAAGAGATACATGTAGGCAAGACAAGAAATGCTTCAAGACGACGAGGAAAATTTATTAAAATAGACGAAAGATTTGCAGATGTACCTT